AAAATGTGAACCGAGAGTGTGTGTGTTTAAGATTCTCGCAAAGTTGGATTATCTATAAGTATTCATTATGTGATTACAGGTATGCCTTCATCTTCTCATTTTTGTGGTCGCAATTCAGCCACAAGCCAATGGAAAATACTGTCGACCATCGAACTTCGCCATTAGTGGCGGTTCTCCAACAACATATATACTACCAAAATCTGGTGTCCAACTACTTGATTCCTACTATTGTCATATCGAATTCCGACGACCAAAGGTTGGGAACCTGGAATTATGAATATTTTGATAATTTTTTGAAAATTGTAGTATATTTTTTCCACATTAATTCCTATTTTTATTTGTATCTTAGAACCAAAAAATAAAATGTATGATATGCTCTTATTTAGAATGAACTAACCAAATATGGTGACTACTTTATATCAAAATTTTACAAACTCTTACTTCCTATTGACTACTCATTTGCTTGTTGAATTTAAAAAATAAGAGTTTTTTTCGAAACTTGAGTTTTGACAACCATTAAATTTATTAGGGATTTGTTGCGTGTATTCGAAGCAATTTATCTTTTGTATAGTTGATTTGTTTATAAATTTATAGTTTTAAACTATATTTTACCTTACTACCCTTCTTCATATTTTTGTGCTATGAATTTTTGCCAATTCCAACTTAGTTTGGATTTTGATCATGAGCGGGGATAGGTGGATTTCGAGGAAGCCTCGATCCTCTAAGAATTTTAAAATTACGTAAAAAATATTATATGAGTAAAAAAAAAGTTACATATAAACTTACTAATATTTTATAAATAAATGTCATCTACAAAAATAATAATATACGGTGGTAGTGTAGCGGAAATTTTAAAGTATTTCTCATGATTGGTATGAGCACGAGCAACTTTCCTCTTGAACATACTACTAGTATATTTTTAAAATTAGGCAAGACCCTCTTGAACATACCAATCATGGAAAGTTGCTCGTGCTCATACAAACTTATGTCTTTCCTATTACGAATATGAGCATGAGCACGAGCAAATTCCTTGAAGCTGTGAACTACACTCCTAACACAACCAAGTGTAACCAACAAAAGGGATGCAGCATATTGGCAAGAGTAATAAGTATCAAATCCACAAGTCTCTAGACGTACTATTACTCGACTTCAGTTTATTATTTAGTCAAAATAGGTATAAAGAAGGTTAAACTACCCTAACAAACTAACTAAGTTTATGAACTCACTCATATATGATTCCCTAGCCACTAGTGGGATTATTGATTGATGATTCTCTAGCGTGTTTCACTCTTCATTCATAATGCGAAAAGTCCTTAACAAGCCTTGAATCTTGAATAAAGTAGGCAAGACCCTCTTGAACATACTACTATAACGCTTAAATTATTGTTTTATCGCATACCATGTTTGATACATTTCTCTTTCTATCGATGCATCTTTAGTACATTTTACTATGTTCTGTATGGATCATAACATTTAATCAATGTGCTTATAATAGACCTAGGTTCTATTTTGTATCATTTTATGCCTTTTGTTGTGGTTTTGTGCTTTTCAAGGTCAAACACAATTAAGGATAAGTTGCATCAATCATTGGATCAAATAGGATGATTAAATGGATAATTATTAGTAGATCAAGGAGTAATTCATTCATTAACAGTAGCCGAAATCGCAAACGTAGGGCAGCTTTAGAGGAAGTTTTCATATGCACCTAAGAGGAGCCCACTAGAGAAATCAGCCTAAGCAGATAAAAGAATAGGTGATGGGTCCAATCGTTGGTGGGCAGGCACTAACACTAACCCATCAAGTCATGCTAAAAATCCATAGAGAGGTTACTTGTGGGTCAATAAGCCCATTGGAAGAGGAAAAACAATGACGTGACGGCCAGGAGGTCGTTGTGGGCTCAATCCCAATGCAAGCTTCAAGAATATTATTTATTCGTTCTTGAATTAAAGAATCCGAGTCTCATTCATACAAAGAAGATTTTGGTCGAGTTTTAGGAGGAAAAACCTAAAACCCCCTTCTCCTCTGTACTATAAATAGAAGTCAAGCTATATGATTTAGTACACTGCAAATCTATACAAATCTACTCTTCGGTTTTCGAACAAAGATCCATTCGACTCAAGTGGAGATCGAGGATAGAATCTATAGGAAGGACACAATTAAGAAGATGTCTTCATCATAGGATTTAGTTCATATATTAAATATGAACTCGGGTTTAACAAATAACAGTACTCATACTATCATAAAAAATACATGACTAGGGTTCTCAAACATAAGTGAATATATGAGTAAGTTACTCCATAGAGAGGAGATAAAATACAAAAATCAGCTTTTGATCTTCAATCCTCACTTCCAAGTTTATCCTCGAGCTCTAATTGCAAATAAATTCACCAATTTTGCTCCAGCATCGCCCATGGGTCGCTCTCCCCCTCTAGGGTTCGTCGCTTGGGTACTTGGGATCTAAAACCCCATTTCCTTTTCTCCAGAATCATATAAAAGACATTTATACCAGAGTGCATATGCCATGTCACGGCTAGGGTCACTATAATGACTCAACACTTAGGTCTTGACCTATGAAAATCTTCGTTTCAATTGAACTTCTCGGGGCCAATGTCACGACCAAGAAGGGAATATCACCCCTCATGCTAATGACATAATGGTTCTGGTTGTGACATGCATAGGTTACTAATATTTCTCTAGGCATGTCACCCATGAATATGAATGTCACCCCATGTCGTGACATGAGGGTGTTGCCCGTGACATAGGCTTTGGCTCCCCAAATCTTCCGTAATAACCTCCAAATGAACCAAAACTGGATCTTAAGCTTCCTCATGTGCTAGGACCAGAAATATGACAAAAGAAACACCACCTAGCGTAAAATAGATTAAACAACAAGTATTCAAATCCAAACTATCAAGAAACAAAGATAAAAATATGTATAGCTTATCACTTTGCCTAAGAGAGATGGAGTCTTTGGTCTGAAGAATTTGGATGCTAAAGCACTTGTTTGGAGCTCAGTATGGCGTTGGACAGTTGGTATTGTGTGGAAGGAGAGGTATAACGAGCATTCGGGTCTTCTGTCCGAAGTAGTAGTGAAGTGAGGAGATATATACTAGATGAAGTCAAGTTGTATAGCTATAATAACTTAGATTTTGTTGAGAGTATTGCTTCTCGGTATTTTCACACTGTTTGAGAGTAGTTAGTTGTTTGCGGGACCTACTTGTAATGAGCTTTAGTTGTAGTTTTTCGAGGCCTAGTCTTTTTTTTTTTAAGAAACAGAGTGCAAAGGGGTGCTCTAACCCTTAATTAGATATAATACGAGGAGTTTGAACTCCAATGTTGTCAAAGTACAACCAATAGCGGAGAGTAGCACTTGGGGTGTCCACAACATGGATCCCAATGGGGAGTGAATGGCCACACGACGCCAAGAAATCTGCAACAAAGTTACATTCCCGAAAAACATGCTTAACCTAGACCTCCCAATCCATTCCAATCCATCTGCGGATATTAGCGACCGCAGTATGATGAGGGTGATTATCGGAGGCTGCCTGAATGAGATTAACTGTTGTTACTAAGTCAGTCTGAACTAGCACCTTCCGGCACCCCGCTTCCCACGATGCCTGAATTCCGTAGGCGATCCCGGCGAGCTCGGCGTGGGTTATGGAACCACTACCCAGATTGGCTGAGAAAGCCTTGACCAGTCTCCCTTCACAATCGCGGATAATGGTCTATTAATCAAGTGGGGCTTAATAAGATCACCAAATTACTCGTGAGGAAAAACCAACAAGGAAACAATCTTTTAATATTGTGACCATATTAACACTTTTAGTATTATCACTCTATTTGGGCTTAACAAAATACCGGCCTTGGCTTTCTCATTCGATTCATTAAGTATTACTTTATTTATTTAATATATTAAAACCAAAGATGCGAGTTACTGTTCATTAGTGGCCTCCAAACTCTTTCAAATGCAAGTGGACAGACTTTATGTAGTGTTTTTTTCTTCACTCGCATACCATTTCCTAAGCACGCCAATTTTAGAAGCCCTACTTTTACCCCCACTCTCTCATTCCAGAACCTCTGTATTCAGCTATTGTCCGCTGGGTCGGCATCTATTATCCTCTAGGTTTCTCATCATAGTTATTGTATACTAGGTTTTCAGCCATTGTTCGTTAGTTTCTCCATGACACCTATTATCCACCGAGTTTTCATCTATTGTCTGCAGATTCGCGCATGAATTCACAGCCGATCTCGAAAAACTGTCGGCGGAATCCTATGTTGTCTTCCACCATTTGCCATGGCTGCTACTGAAGATCCATATATACCACATTGCATTCACCCACCAATTAATAGCTCATCTCAAAATACTATAGGCGGAATTGTAAGTTCTCCTCCACCGTTTCCCACGATTGTTGTCGAATTTTTAGCATTGTTAATTTTGTCTCCTCGGTATTGTAACATTCAAAACATTCAAAACAATTTCAAATGCTCATTCCATTAAACTAATCACTGTCATCCCAAACACCAAACTACTTTTTCACCATTTCGATCAACATTCAAACTATATTTCTTTAAAGTATTATGTACGAGGAAGCAGTAGCGAGCTAGGCTTATGCTAGTTCCATGGTTGTCATGTCGGTGGCATGCCACCCGGTTGAACCTGGTTCAATCTGTGCCGGTCATGAAACCGGCATGACACCACCGATATGACCGGTATGATCGACTTACGCATTCTAAGTTTAATGACATCATTTTAATCAATTTAATGAATAAAAAAATTAATTTATTATTCATTTTATGAATATAATAATTAAAAGATGAAGATATTTGTTGGATTGTAACTAAATTGTCCACAAATATGTTTTATATATGATTAAATACATTGGATATTAATTGTTTTCATATTTTTTTAAACCGGCACAAACTGGTTATACCACCGGTTGTACCATTCCACTTACCAAACCGGCACAACGGTATAAACCGGTTTGACAACATTGACCTAGTTCTAATTAATATTCGTCTCATTAACCCTACAAGTCAACAAGGTAGAATTCTACAATGTCAAGTGGCTCAAAAATGAATCGATAGGAAAGGAGGAAAAGGAAAATAATACAGGTCTCCCTCCAAAATTTGGGCTACCGCTGAAAACGGTACAAATCAAATCAACGGATCTAATTTGCAATTTGGCATCAAATGAAATGGCCGTAATTTTCAGAACCAAAAATATGGAAAGGGAAATTTGTCTTCCAATTTAACTTTTTCCTGCCCCGAAGAAGAAAACAGAAAGGAAGAATCCATTTTTCTCTCCGCCTGTCTCCCTGGCAGTCTCCTGCTCTTCTTATAAATTAGCCAAACCTCCCTTCTGCCGGTCCCTACTTTTCTCTTCCACACTCTCTTCTTTCTCTGAATCCGCCGCTGTTTCATCGGTTTCAGTGATCACCCTCATCGCCGACTTTGTCCCCGCCACCTGCACTCTCTGTACGTGATTCACTCCCTTCCCCACTCTCTCTCTCTCTCTCTCTCTCTCTCTCTCTCTCTCTCTCTCTCTCTCTCTCTGTATCTCTCTGTTTTCACAGTAGCACACAGCAATGCCATTGATTGAGTCCTGTACTGAAATTGAGATAGGAAATCACATAGAATCTGGGATTTGGTTTTCTGGGTTCAGAAAAATCTCTCGCCTTTACAAAGCTTTCCAAATACAGAATTCTCTTTGACTTGCTTTAGATTTTTGGTTCAGTGTCCATACTTTCACAGAGCCCTCTATCAAACATTCCTTTTTTCTCCTGATGAACACGGATTCCCCTGTTTTGGGTTTCTGCCAAAATCAGTTATTGGTTTTTGTAACCCCTGAAGAAAAATCTCAACTTCTACTTAAACTGAAGCTCCTTTCTCCAGAAATAGTTTGGATCACTTCACCGGTTACAAGAATCAATAATTTTATTTTAACCGATTATTCGTGGCAAAAGCCCTGTTTTGAGAGCCAAAAAGCTGAGAGCAAAAAAGGGCAAGGTGGCAACTTTCCTCGACAAGACCAGTTGGGAATTTTTAGATGGGATCTCGACTGGAAGAACTACAAAACCCAAAAAGAAATGAAAAGGGAAAGACAGAATCAAACTTTTCCGCTTCGCCCCCATCTCATACACTCTGTTTTCCTCTCTGTAAAGTTGTTCCACTCGATGTAAAAGGATGAACCTGGCTTCTTCCTGCATATTAATTCCTTTTGTTGCTTCTTCTTCTTCTCTTCCCCATAGCAGGCTGTCGGCAGTTTAGGTGCCTACTGCCACTGTTCCTTCTTCCTATTCTCTGTTTTTTAATTGGAGCCCATTTCCTTCTTCCATCGGTTGCTCTGCCACTAATTTAATACCGACCCAACGCAACTGGTTCAATTTTCTTTTAATTTCTTCGATCCAGTGATGGGAATCGTTTGGCAAACCAATTTCTCCCTCTCAACACTGCAACTTGCCATTTGATTATTCCCATGGTTTTTTGTTTCCATGCGTAGACTTTCCAGTATCTTGGCCGACTAAGAAATATCTTCTCATATCTAAGCCTAATTAATCCCTTGCTCGAAAAGCAAAATGGTAGTTAGATTTATAATAATTACCAATGGGTTTTGCTTCTGTGTCCTTTGTCCCCCCAGGTTTCTCCGCCAGAAGAGAGCTTCATCCGCTTCCCCTTCTCTGATCCGCAGGTTTATTCGGTTTATCCCATCAGAACACGACGAAATGACGGCGGAGACTATGGCCAAACCAAAGGTCTTTAAACAAATCCCATATCAATTGCTTTAATAGAAAGTGGTGTTTAATCAATGGCGCTGAAAAAAGTTCTCTGCTTTGTCACACAGTCAGCTTGGGTCGGCGTCAGGAGATGGTTCAATTCACAGAGCAAAGCCGACGACGGGTTTCATCCCGATTACTCTTTTGTCGGAGGTAAAACGATGTCTCTTTCTCTCTACTTCCATATACTTAAATTCAGCTTTCCCAATTGGAATGACAACGCAATACAATTCCTAATAATGGTCTCTGTCCCCTGCGGCACGCAGAAGGGCAGGCTCCGGCGAGAAAGAGTAGCTCCGGCGACGACTACTATGGTTTCTCCGGTAAATATCTTTCTTTTCTCTCTTCCTAACTTCAACTCTGAGCCGTCAGATCAGCTTGCTGGTTTTGATTGCTCAACTGTGTGATTAGACATATACGATTCTATCACGGTGATTCAGAAAATGGGGCGACATGGGTTGGTGGGGGCCGTTGGAGAAAGGATTGCGATTTGCCACTTTCTCGTCGTAGCTCAATAGGCTTTTAGGTTGTACTTGCTCCTTCACCTTTTCCCCCACTTTCTAATCATCTCTCTCCCTTTTTCTTTCCCTCTTCAACTAAACAGAAGGACTGTTAACGGAAGCTGTCGACTGTCTCAAACCGGCGAAAATGGGGGCCCAGTCGCCGCCGCCGGTGGAAGACTCTGTAAAACTCAAGTAAGCACCTCAATTCAATTGTAAGATCATTTTACCCATTGCGTGAGATGGGAATTAGTCTTTACATCTTTTAACCCTCCTTTTGTTAAACAGGTTGTTTGTGGGGACATGGAACGTTGGTGGCAAATCGCCCCACGATGGATTGAACTTGAAAGATTGGTTGCGATCCCCTTCTCCTTCTGATATTTACGTTCTTGGGTAATTTAATTATTCTTTTCCACCCATTCAATTCGATTCGGCCGCCGGTGGAATCTTGCCCTGAAGTCAATTTTCCCCCCCCCCTGTGATCAGGTTCCAGGAAATTGTACCGTTAAACGCCGGCAACGTACTGGGCCCGGAAGACAGTGGGCCGGCGACGAAATGGCTGTCCCTAATCAGGCAGGCACTGAACGGGACCAAGTCGGATGAAGAGCTCTGTCAGTACTATGCCGCCGCCGTCGAGCACAAGTGCGGAGCTTCGCCTCGCCGCCCGAGGCCCGATCAGATGATGAAACAGAGGCTGAGCTTTTCCGACTTGATCTCCATAGAGGACGAGCTCGGAAGAGAGGATTTCCAACGATTTGTGGCCTTGAATTCAAACATGGGATCTGAAGCCACGCCTAGCCCGAGAACGAATCTAAGTGGCGCCGGCGACGATGGGAGTAAGAATCCGACGAAGCCACGGTACCGGCTGATGGTCAGCAAACAGATGGTCGGGATCTTTCTTTGTGTGTGGGTTCGTGCTGATCTGAACGAACACATAAGCAATTTGAAGGTCTCGTGTGTCGGTCGTGGCATTATGGGATACCTTGGAAATAAGGTTGGTCAAATTTTGATTAGACTTGGATTGTTATGATCTAATCACGACCACTCTTTCAATTATGCTCTTTTTCTTACATCGATCATACTTTTGTGCTTCCTTTTTTTATAAAATTGGACAGGGCTCGATATCGATAAGTATGACGATCTATCAAACAACGTTTTGTTTCGTGTGCACGCATTTAGCTTCCGGGGAAAAAGAAGGAGACGAAGTCAGAAGGAATTCCGATGTCTGTGAGATATTGAAGAAAACCAGATTCAACAATAACTCCTATGGAGATTCACTCTCTCCTGAAACCATACTAGATCACGAGTAATTCACCTAATTCAAATCTAGAATCAGATACGAGTGGGAAGCCACAGAAAAACTCATCCTTGAATTCCAAATTTTGCAGCAACATCGTTTGGCTTGGAGACTTGAACTACCGGCTTGCAACTACCCATGTAGAAACATGTGAATTGCTAGAGAGGAATGATTGGGAAGCACTCTTAGAGAAAGATCAGGTGAATTGGAATACTGTAAACTCTTTGCAATCTTTATCCAGTTCAGAAACTTTTTACTCAATTCTCATATAGGCTAATTTTTGTTGTTGTTGTTGGCAGCTGAAGTTAGAGCAGAAGGCAGGGAGAATATTCTCAGGATGGGAAGAAGGGAGCATACACTTTGCTCCGACGTACAAGTACCTAATAGATTCCGACTACTATGTCGCCCAGGCTTGTAAGTCGAAAGACAAGCTGCGGATTCCGGCATGGTGCGATCGGATATTGTGGAAAGGTGAAGCATTGAAACAGCAATGGTATGTTAGAGGCGAATCCAAGTTCTCTGACCACAGACCCGTCTCCTCATCGTTCGTGGTCAACGTGAGGGCAAAAGAAAGTAATATTGAAAAGAAACTTGTCAAATCGTCATCGTGTCGTAAACCTTCTTCCACCAGGTTTTGCCCGACAAAGTCGTCGCCGAGCACCATTCTTCCCGGCGTGGCAAAAATTCAGGCGGAAGAGCTGCTTGTGATTCCGGCGACCGCCGGCACTCGGCTGTCGTTTTGTCGCCCAGTTCATTAGCTCATTTAGCTGGCCTTTTTTTTTTCTTTGGAGAAAAAAGAAAAAGTTAATTATTATATGGGTTTAGGCGGTGGGTCCCTGGCTGAAATTTTAAACGGTATAGGGGGCGGCGTGATAGGCCTGGTGTGTTGGCTGTTCGACACGTGTGCAACGGTGATTGAGGGTACAGTGAAAGTTGCATGAGGTGCAAGACAGTAGAGTGAGTTTTATTTTTAGTGTTTTCTTGTGTTGATTATTTTATTCATGTAGGAGAAGGTTTGTAGAGTTTGTGATTTACCTTGTACATGAGAAAATTTCAAAATAGTCAAAGAAGATAAAGGCTATAATATAAATTATAGACTTGTTTTTTATTTTTATTAAGAGAATAACACAATGTCAAGATAACAGTTAGCTAGCCCAATAAATATTTTGTAACAATCATTTTTACTCTCTCTTCTCTCTCTTCTCGTTCTAGGGTTTCGTCTGAGATTTCACGAATGGCGGCCGTCACCGGCGAAGCCTCCTCAGGTGCCGTCGGTGACGGACGCACTTGGGCGTCGCTGTTTTCGTTCAATCCAGACCTCAAGCTGGATTACTACGAACCGGAATTCATCAATGGCTCACTGCGGATTCCAAAATCGGTACTCGAGGAGGGCTCTAAGCGGTGGGTTAACTGTCTAGTTGGTCAATTCCTGGATCGGCCAACCTCTCTTTCATCCATTCATTTCTGGGCGAATTGGATCTGGGGACGTGATGGAGCTATTCGGGTTTCGTGGCTGGGGGAGCGGCTGATCTTATTTCAATTTCCGACTGCAGAAGTCTGTCGATGGGTCTTCGAAGGAGGCCCTTGGCATCATCATGAAAACTTGCTATTCCTGCGCAAGTGGGAGCCAGGTATCCAGCCTCTAACTATTGATAACTCGGTAGTTCCAGTTTGGGTGAAGCTCTCGAATCTGCCGACTGAGATGACGACCAAGGAGGCTCTAGGGCGAATTGCCAGCTCGTTGGGTAGACCTTTGTGTATGGATTATCCTACGAAGCAAGGGACCAAGTTGGGGATGGCAAAACTGTGCGTTGAAATCTCAGTGAGTACTAATTTGGTGAATAAGCTCAGCGTTACTCCTAATGATTGCCCGGAGATGTTTGTGGATGTGGAGTACTGTCATGTTCCGAGCAAATGCGAGAAGTGTCAGTTATTTGGCCATGACTGCTCCAATCCTGGAGGGAAGACGAAGAAGGTTTGGGTTGTTAAACAGCCCAAGGTGAAGCAGCTTGAGTTGGTTCAGGACAAGGGGAAAGAAGTGATAGAGGAGTCCTCGAAGGAAATGGTTCAGGAAGTGGTAGTTGTTGAGGAAGGAAAGTCTGCTACTCCTGGTTTGGTTCAAGATGAAGAAGGGTTTCAGGTGGTTACTCATAGGAAGAATAGAGTGAGGGCTCCTGCCCCGGGTTCTGTCTCGCGAAGTCCTTGGAGTTTATCAGCTGGTTCGAGTAAAAGTCCATTGGATGATCAGGTATTCCCTTCTCTAAGTAGACCTGTTTTGAAGCGTCCTGTTGACCCTCCACCTATTGCTCCTGCCAGGGGTAAGGGTCGAGGGAAGAAGCGGGGTAAATGAAGGTTCTCTGCTGGAATGTCAGGGGTTTCAATTCCCCTTAAAAGCACACTGCTGTGCTTAAAAAAATTTGGAAGTTGAAGTTAGATATAGTAGCATTGATAGAAACTAGAATTCTGTTTTCTAATTGTTCTGATATCCTTCACAAGAAATTCAGTCAGTTTAAGCATCTAAATAACTACCCTAAGTCTGCAAATGGACGTATCTGGTTGCTCTGGAAAGAATGTATTGATGTAGTGAAGATTGCAGATGGTCAACATTTTATCAAAGTTAAAGTGGCAGGTCCTGTTCCTTTCATCCTCCTAGTGGTTTTCAGTCCTAACAAAGAAGCAGATAGGGCTGTGTTGTATGAAGAGCTTCTGCTTCAACAAGAAGTTACTGTTCCTATGGTTATTATGAGTGACTTTAATGCGGTGATTGACCCAGGGGAGACTTCTAATCTTGTGAGTATGAACTCGAGCATGTTATTTTTTAAGTCCTGGATTGATGATATGCAAGTGATTGATCATAAGGTTGTGGGGTCTTGGTTTACATGGTGGAACAAACAGGAAGAGAACCCCATTGCGAGGAGGCTGGATAGAATACTTATTAATGAAATCTGGCTATCTATCTTTAAAGCTAGTTCTGCTGCTACAACTCCACCAGGTATATCAGATCACAGTGGTTTGTTACTGACAGTTAATCCTGAGGTGCAAAGCTTTCCCAAGCCGTTTAAGTATTTTACTTTTTGGAATAGTCATCCTGGTTATAATGAGCTAGTATCAGAAGCTTGGGAGTATAAGGTGTCTGGTTGGCCATACTTTGTATTCTATGGGAAGATTCAGAGGGTTCGTCAGGCTCTTTCAAAGCTGAACAGGGATGTCTATGCTGATATTTCAAATAGAACGAGAGCTTGTGAAAGTAGACTTGAGGCAGTGCAATTGGCTATATTGGCTAGTCCGGATCCTTCACTAGTAGGGGAAGAGAAGAAATTAGCTATGGAGTGTCATGAATTGCAAAAGGCAGTGGAAGGTTTTTACAAGCAGAAGGCTCGAGTTAGGGGAGTTCAAGAGGGAGACATGAACACTAGATTCTTCCATAGTTCTGTAAAACTTAGATCTCATCGCCAGCAGATTACTCGTCTAGTGAATGCTCAAGGGCAGGAGGTGACTGATATAAAGCAGCTGGGGCAAGTAGCAGTTGAATTCTATAAGAAACTTATTGGAGAGGCTGATCCTGCAGTGTACCAGCATCCATCTAGCTTCTATGCAGGTTTGGCACTAAAAACTCTTACTCAGGAAGAGGCTGGGATGTTGATTGCTCCAATATCCAGAGAGGAAATATGTAAGGTGTTTAGAAATCTTGGACGGGACAAGGCACCAGGGCCAGATGGTTTCCCAGCAGAATTCTTTAAGTTGCACTGGGGTTTGATTGGTAAAGAGGTTGAGGAAGTTGCTCTGAGCTTCTTCTCTTCTGGTATTATGCCACAGGTGGTGAATTCTACACTATTTACCCTTGTGGCTAAGATTCCAAACGCTGAGAAAATGAAAGATTTCCGGCCCATTTCCTGCTGTAACACAATTTATAAGGGAATCTCGAAGATCTTGGCCAACAGGTTAGCATCTGTTCTGCCCTGCATTATATCCTCATCTCAATCTGCTTTCATCAGAGGTAGATCAATCGGTGATAATATATTATTAGCCTCAGAACTAGTAAAGGACTATCATAGGAGTAGAATAACCCCTAGATGTGCTGTCAAAATCGATATCATGAAAGCATTTGATTCTGTTGACTGGAATTTCTTATTTGCTGTGCTTAGTCAGATGGGTTTCCCTAATCTATTCATTAAATGGCTGAAAGCATGTGTTTGTACCCCTAAGATTAGTGTAGTGATGAATGGTGGAATTTGTGGATTTTTTGAGATGAAAAAGGGGTTGAGACAAGGTGACCCATTGTCTCCATATCTATTTACTGTGGCTATGGAGGTATTGGATGGTATGTTAAAATTGGCTGTACAGCAGAATCAAATCCCCCCTCATCCTAGATGTAAACCATTGGCAATAACACACTTGTGTTTTGCTGATGATTTGCTTGTGTTCACAAACGGTTCTATAAGGGGGGTAGCAGGAATTTGTAGAGTTCTTGATGCTTTCTACAGAGTCTCAGGTCTTAAGTGCAATCCAGACAAGTGTCAATTGTTTTGTGGGGGAATAACAGAATCTGAACAGCAGTATATCTCGGCATATTCAAAATTCCCTATTGGTACTTTGCCAGTTAGGTATCTGGGAGTCCCTCTTATCACGGGAAAGTTATCTAGGGCAGACAGTCGTGTGTTGATTGAGAAAATCACAGCAAAAATTACTAGCTGGAGGGCAAGAACTCTAAGTTTTGCTGGAAGACTACAACTTATATCGTCTGTTCTGACTAGCACATTACAGTATTGGATGGGAATATTTCTCCTTCCTCAGTTTGTTATAAGAGAAGTAGAATCCATATGTAGCAAGTATCTGTGGGATATATCAGAGAATTCAATGAGGACAAGGGCAGTGGTTTCTTGGGAATTCCTTGCTAGACCGAAGGAAGAAGGAGGCTTAGGGATTCGTGGATTTGCAATATGGAATAAAGCTTGTGTACTTCGTCATTTCTGGGCAGTTCTAGCTGAACAGGGGTCACTTTGGGTGGCCTGGATAAAGCGTTATAGGGTCAAACACATGTCAATCTGGGATCTTAAAGTGTCCTCCTCGGCCTCGTGGATATGGAAGAGAATCTTGAAGTGTAGGGAACTTGCTCGGCCTTATGTATCTGTGATGCAGGGAGACTTGGCATGGGATGGAGAGATTATGCAAACATACTCTATTAAAAGGGTATGGCAATCACTTCGACAGAAATGCAGTGAAGTGGCTTGGAAGAAGCTGGTTTGGGATAGTATAGTTATCCCTCGACACGGGTTTATTCTGTGGCTAATAATTCAGGATAGATTGAAAATGCAGGATCGACTTATCTCTTGGGGGAAACCTCTTACAGGACTATGTTTGCTGTGCCCTGGTGGAGTGGAAACTCGACACCATCTGTTTGTAGAGTGCTCTTATACAAGGTATGTGCTTGATCAAATTCTCAGGAGTGCTGCTCCGCATTCCCTAGTGGATTGGCCTCAAGTATTGCAATGGTGTATTACCAGATGGAAGGGGAAGTCTGCTTCTACGCGCCTGAATAGGCTGTCATGGAGTGTTGTATTGAGTCTGGTATGGAGGGAGAGGTGTTCTAGGATGTATGGTCTGCATGGTGCTTGTTCTCCAGGAAAGTTAATTTTGCAGGCTAAGTGGGCCATTGAGTATCGTTGTATGCTCGATCAGAGCTTGGTAGATTGTTTCATTGCTAGAGGCTTGGGGTAGATTTATTTGCTTTGCTGACTTGTACAGATTGTTTGTTCCGAGGAGCGCCATAGTTTTTTGCTATTGGTTGCCTGTTCTTAATGAAAATTTGATCTAAGTATAAAAAAAAAAAGAATAACACAATGTTGTTAAACCCGGATCAAACCATCAAATTGGCCTTGAAAAAATCATACCCGAACATAAATTAAGTCTTATCAGCCTCAAAATGACACAATTCTTTCCTCACGCGCGTCATGTTCGATTAGAGCAGTTACCTCATCAAATCGAATTTCATGTTTGAGAGTTGTTTTTAATTATGTATTTTACAATAAAAAAATATCTTTAGTGGGACCACATTTAATGAGACCACTAGGGGTCAAAATCGGTATAGTATCAGTATCCTAATAACAATATCGAAATCTTGAATATTGAATAAAAAGTGGCATGTTTTGGCAGATATATATTTCGCTAAGGTTGTTACTACTTCACATTCTGTTTTCTCGTTGAATACGTGTCAGGTGGCTTTGTGGAAGTCTCAGCAGAGTGCACACTCTTCTGATTGGTTGTGTGTTGTTCCTATTGCTGGGTTGGGCCAGACTATGAATGAGAGGACATATCGCAGTGTGCTTAGTTATCGACTGGGTGTCCCATTGTTTTCGGTATCTAAGCCATGTCTTGCTTGCTCCCGTGTCTTTCCTCGTTATATCTTTGGGGATCATGTCGTGTCCTGTGCTGGTTCTGTGGGAATTAAGCACTGACACAACCTCGTCTTTGACATCTTATTGGACATCTTTTACAGTTCCGGGATTTCTGCTGGTAGGGAGGTTGATATTGGTTTGGTTGATGGGCATGGCGGACCCCTTCGTCCTGCGGATTTGTTGCTTTATTCCTGGGACAGGGGGAAAGATGTGTGTGTAGATTTGACTGGATCTTCACCTTTGACTCAGACTTGGATCACTGGATTTGTGTCTGGCCGAGTTGTTGCTGATGCTGCTCAGCGAAAGTGTGCCAAGTACCAAGACTTGTGTATGGCAGCTGGTTATGGTTTCCTGCCCTTTTCTTTTTCTTCGTTGGGAGAGTTGGATACAGATGTCGTGGCTTTGCTCAAGAGGATCCATAAATTCTCCATGTCTCATGATGTACGGGCTCGGGCGGCCGCGTACATTTTTACTAGACTTAGTTTCGCTATAGCTAAGGGAGTGGGGGCCCAGATTGTATCTCGGCTACCCACTAATTTTTTTGTAGACCTTTGATTGTTCTAAAAATAAAATTTATAGGGGTAAATAAAAGATAGAAAGTTGTCACAACGTTGATCTGTATGCTCTAGAAAGGTGTTTCTTGGCATCCAAACTATTGAAACGCCTACTTGTTTGTTGACCTCTTTCACTACTACGATTGAAAAAATTGGATAGCAGGTGTAGCCGAGAAAGTTTGTCTGAATGTAGTTCATGATTGGTTGTGGTTTGGAAGAAAGGAAGTGTGTTTTCTGGCCAATGCTAGTGGCCATTGCTTGTATGGAAGGTTCTAGTCAAAATCATAGAATCTTTTGTTGGTTTTAGGTTGAAGATGTAGAACCTCATGCTATGTTATCCACCACCCAAAAAGTTTTTCTCCATGTCAAAGACCCTAGCCAGTCATCTGAACCGGTGTTTTAGGTTGATATACTGGATTCCTTGGCCATTTGGGCCATCTATCTAAGACGAGTTAGGGCAAACCTCAAACTTCGATTTAGCACTTTGGTTTGGGTTTTTTTTTTTGTCACCTGGATTAAGTTCTGAGGGAGTAGCGTTGGCAACCCTTGGTTGAGCAGCCAAGAGAGCTAGTTTGCTAGCTTCATTTATTGTGCCTTGACATATCACCCAAGAGAGTGAAGTTTCTTCACTTATTGTGCTCTCCTTGATTTAGCACCCTCATTGGTTGTTATTTTGCTTTCCAGATTAAGTTGTGAGGGATTAGTTTGGAAACCCTCAGTTAATTTTCCAATAGAGCTAGTTTTCTAACTTAATTCGTCATTCCTTGGCCTTCCAACTGAGAGAGTGAAGTTCATTCACTTGCTGCACCCTCCTAACGGTGTATGAACACACCTTCATACAATTGCGTTCTAATTCGTCATTCAATGTCAATTGCAGACGATGACCTTTTAATTTAGCAAATTCATCAATAATTGAGTCGTCATGCATACCAATAGCATACTCTTTCTCAAATAAAATTGTTAAGCAATCTGCAAGATATTCATCACCCATTTTGTTGCGATAATCGGTCGTCACATGTTTCATTGTTGAAAATGATCTCTTCATAGTAGTTGTTGAAACGAATAATGTCAACACAAGATGAGTCAACCGACATATCAATTTGTACTTTGTGTCCATCTCTATTTCCACCAACTTCTCTAGTAAGTTTGCAAGGGAATGAACTTCATATTCATGACTACGAACCACATGGTCGGCATAATATCCTAGCTCATTCTTCAAAATATGCATATCATTTCCTTCAAAGTCTCGAGGATAAAAATCTTCAACAAGTTTGTAAATCTTTTCTTCATCAAAAGACCAAAATAAATTTTTAGGATCTAGTGCACCATTCAACTGAAGCAATCCAACTGATGACACATTGAATCTTGCATCCAACTTTTCTAACTGAAAATCTATGCATTGATTAAATTATTCAAAATGGTAGCGGTACTCAAGAGTCGTTTGCTTCTCAGCACGTCCAAGTGTAGCATTCAGATTAGGTACCTCTATGGCATGTTCCGAGCAAAAAGATTTTACCTCTTGGATTAGCTTATCCCATATTTCATCTCGTCCTTAATCTGACCATGTAGACAAACTAACTCGTCCCGTCCCTCGTCCTTCAGGGACGGGACGACGGGTCAGTGGGTTTACCGGGTCAACCTTACACCCCCTAGCGGCAACCCATGAGTCGGGTATCTCTAAATCAAACCCAGTGAGCAATATAATGGGCTTAAACTTGAACCCGACCTAAAATCCGTCAAATTGGATTTACCCATCTTGACCGAATTGGTTCGGCTAGAGAAAAGTAGTTAGGCCCAATCCTTTGACGCGCTAGTCCACGGAACACGGGCCTCAAAAGCCCAAAATAAAACTTGTAGATCATAATCGTATTGGGCTGAGTTGACGCTCAATATGCCAACGGACGGAGTGCTCCCCACCACGTGTACGGCCTCGATAAACCTTCAGGCGGACGCGTCGTGCGAGGCACCATCTTATAGTACCATCTCCTCACCAAAGAAAACGACAGCCCAAAACCCAAAATTTCCACTTCGGCTTCCATTTCCCCTAACCCGCAACACCCCCCCCCCCCCCCCCCCCCCCTGGATCTCGCCGCAATCACTGTCCGTACGATCGCCGGTAAGCTTCCCCCGTCAGCTGTAGACAGGAGCTTTCTCCTTCCTTGATCATTGACAGTACTGTCATATGATGAGTTCCATAATTTGATTTCCTCTGGGTTTTTTTTTGTTTCTTTTCCTTCTCACCATTCCTCCGAATTGGAGATCTCTCTTCCTAGCTCTATTTGGTTAGGTAGGAGTTGATTGGATCACTAGGGTTAGGCTTGTTCTGGCCTGCATTTTTCTCATCACTTTCATTGACAAGGAAAGATGGGAACTTTTCTAACCTGCTTCTTTTGGCATTTCAATTAATGGTGCTTTGTGAGTTGGGTTAAATTGCTGAAAATATGAAGCGCGGTTCAGTAAATCGGTCATCCAATTTGTACCTTGTTTGAATCTACCCTATCTTTTCGTTTCTTATATGCAGGTCTTAAGTGAAAAATGGCTAATTGTTGCTGCTTTATTTACTGGGTTGGTTCTTTTAGGTACCCTGCCAGAGAAGGGTGGGCTGTCAGCTTGCATGTCGTGGAAAGATCTGCTAGCTGGAAGTAGCAATTAGGGAGAAATGGTATTGTACCCGAAACTCAGGCTAAATTGAATCTCTATTGACTAATCAGATACCCATTGCACTAAATGTTAAGCTAGAATTAGCTGCTACTTGTAAACTTGATGCCTTCTGCATGTACTTAGCGGGATAGATCTTTACAAGTTGTTTTTTCTTGAGCATGTTAATCTAGCTTGGGTTCTGATATATGTTGCTTATGTGCCGTCAAAATGGATAATCTAATTTCTTGTTAAGGTACATTTTCCTTTCTCCTCCGGCACTGCATAGAAATGACACTCAGTGATGTTTCTTCAACCAACCTTGAGGAATATCGCGATATGGTGACATGTATATATCAATTTATTAACAACAGGCGTGTCTCTCTCAGCGTCATAGATTGAGAGGTCTAGGGTACTGGGATGTCCTTTGTTGTGTCATTTCGTTGCCCTTCTTTTCATTGTGTTGTTTGATTCCATGCTGCATTAGTTGGGTTTCTGAGTGCTAATTGGTTTTACTTCAGAATACGTTCTGTCTTAACTCTCTGTATATATGTAATGACTTACCCTGACAGTCGTTTCAGAATCAAGGATTTTGGATGGGGAAAAGTGTTGGTTGTGTAAATAGTGGAGATGATAACGAGGATCCTTCTAGAAGTGATGCTAAGCGTTCTCATCAGTGGATCATGGATGCTGCTGAGGCAGAGCTGTTTCCCAACAAGAAGCAGGCAGTAGGAATTCCAACCCATAATTTGTTTACAGGACTGTTGACGTCAAATATTCCTCCCTGGGGCAATCCTTCTAGTTTCCAGTCAATCACTGGCCAGTTCACTGACCGGTTGTTTGATCCTGAGCCCCCTAGGACATCCAATTTCGATGAGAGAAACATTGCATCCGTTAGCTCAGAGAAATTTGACGGGGATAAGAGGAAGATAGAAGATGATCCCTTCGGAAACACTTCTTCATTTGGTTTGTCCATGTCTCATACACTAGAAGATCAGCGTTCTGGCATAAACTATAGTGGGATCAGAAAAGTGAAAGTCAGTCAGGTCAAAGAGTCTGAGGGTCTCATGCCTGTGTCCCTTGACAATGCTTATAGTAGGGTAGACTGTAGCAATTTAGGAACTGGTGATGCATATGAGAAAAGAGATGACGCTTCAATGTCCATGTGTCTTGCTTACCCAAAAGCAGATGGAAGCATAATGTCGGTTGGTGAATCCTTTGGCCAGGACCATAGTGGTGCCTTCATATCAATGGGACATGCCTACAGTAAAGGGGAAGACAACAACTTGTCAGTCAATCAATCATACAAAGAGACCAATGAATCTCTTGTAATGGGTCATGGGTTTCCCAAGGCTGAGAACAATAATCTTGTTACAATGCCACCACAAGCCTACACTAAGGTAGAGGAGAACAACATTGCGATTGCAGGGAACATGTACAGCGGTGGAGGAAACGAGAGTAATATCTCCTCAATGGGTCAGTGGTACAACAGCGGTGACATGAGCTGTTTGTCGATGGGTCAGTCTTATAGCAAGGGAGAGAGCACCATAATATCATTTGGTGGTTATGATGAGGATGATACAAACACTTCTGGACGTCTACTATCCAGTTATGAACTGTTGAGTCAAACTTCAATCCAAGGATTGGATGCAGCAAGTGGAAAAGAGTTGGGTAAATCAAGCTTTGGTGCCCTTGTGTCTTCAGCTCGGGGAGCAACTGCCTCTGGAACTGGAAGCGATTCTAAGAAGAAAGATGATGCAAAAGCATCAAAGAAAGCTCCTCCTAACAACTTTCCTTCGAATGTCAGAAGTTTGCTTTCTACTGGAATACTTGATGGATGTCCTGTGAAGTATGTTGCTTGGTCACGAGAGGTACTGTTACTTCATAATCTTTATTGTTGAAGTCTTGTCTTCCTAATGTGCACTAGGAGCTCATTCTTTCTCTCTTGTTATGCACTTCAGAAGGAGCTCCGTGGAATCATAAGTGGTACAGGCTACCTATGTAGTTGTCAGTCATGCAATCTTTCCAAGGTGAACATTTGAAATAATGATTTCATAATTGTATGTCCCAAGTTCATGATCAATACATGCGAGGTCATGAGGTAACTAATAACTCTACAGGTGATCAATGCATTTGAATTTGAGAGGCATGCTAATTGCAAAACAAAGCACCCAAATAATCACATCTATTTTGACAACGGTAAGACAATCTATGGGGTTGTCCAGGAGCTAAGGAGCACACCACAGCACATGCTGTTTGATGTTATCCAGACAATCACTGGTTGTGCTATCAATCAGAAGTCATTTCGTCTTTGGAAAGGTGATGATGCTTCTGGTCTAGTGTGCTATTGTTTTTTGGATGCAATGGGGGCATGTTTGAATTGGAGTTCTGACCCAGGCTGTTTTTCTTTGGTTTCAGAATCGTTTCTGGCTGCAACTCGTGAGCTTCAACGTATATATGGGAAGGATGAAATGAAACCCCATGTGATACAGCAATAGATGTGATTTAAAGTTGAATTAGCAGCTTGTTTTTTGTGCATAAAAGGTGGTCTCTCTTCTTATGGCAAATGTTTTCTCTCGCTTCCCACCTACTGAAGGCTGGCCGGCGGCCAGTGGATGTTTTGAAATATGTGGGATTAGTTATGGTGGTGGGACTAAGCTGGGTGAAGCTGGTGGTGGGTCACAGGACCTTTCCTAACCTGCGGGTTTTGATATGTATGACAGTGGGGGTATATGCCCCATTTTCTCTTAAAAGGGTAAAATGGAATTTGAACATGTGGTGGTATTTTGCTTTGGGGTGGAAGTTTGTGCAATATTTTTGTAGTTATATCGCCATTCTTCCCATGATGTTTGAGTCTGTATTATATCACTACTATTGCAGGATGCTTCTTTGTATTGTATCAGTTAATGGAAAATGATGTCCAGTATATATGTCTGGATTGATTCAGTCTGCCGGGCAAATGGGACTCCAATCTCGGTAGGTAAACTGGCCTACCAAAAGTATAGCGACACTTCTGGCTCAGAATATCACAAAAGAGGACCACCTTGTCTGGTGACCAAAGTGGTGGGGGCTTTGCTCTATTATACAAGGCATGGTGCTTTCTCCAGCATATTAAAACACATAAGGGCCATATGGAGGTGTATAGGTGTCAAAATAGAATCCGCTCCAAGTAGTCTGTCCATCCATTCGACTCGCAAATTGAGTTGGTTAAAAGTCAATGACTCGAAGGTTGTTTAATTTGCAATCCAATTGACTTGCAATTTGGTTTACCCACAACCGGATTAATCTGAACTTGATTGGCCCGTAACTTGATTCGGGATGTTCTCTTAGCCTATTTTACGCTAGGTTGCACTTGTTTGTGTATATTCCAGATTCTAGCAGGTAAATATGGGGAATGGGCGGGTGTTGGAGCGAAAACGGGACAAAAGAGCATAAGATATGGTGAATGTCTTGACCAGGAGTCCAGGTTCACGACCTAGTCGTGACATTCGCTGAAGTGAGTGTGACAATGTACAGATTGGCAGGGATCTCCAGATTGTGCACGATGCACGACCAATCTGACGATTTGGTCGTGAGACGCAATGAAGAGGTCGTGAGTCAAAGCAAAAACGGTGGCGTCTTGGTTAGAGTCACGACCAGGCGTTAATTCGGATGGTCGTGACTCTGGTCATGACTTTGTGATGCGAGCTATTTCATGGATTTTAAGCCATTTGAGCAAGGGGAGCTGGGTTTTAGAGAGAAGTTAGAGTTTTTCTTACATTCTAGAGAGAGTGACGAACATAAAGAGTTTCGAGGAGATTTGGAGCTTCCCATCAACATTGGAGGCTTGATTTCGCCACCAAAGAGTACCAAATACAATCAGCAAGATCTTCTTCCTATGATATTTGTCTTCTCCATTTTGGTTTTTTTTCTCACTCTAGCTATGGATTAGTTCTCCATTTCACTTGGGTGTTGTACCCTAGTTAGTATGTTGTAATTGATTATTTGTGAACTCTATCCTTCATTTGCATCTTGATCATATATTGAGTTGAGTATTATTCATGAAAATTGATGGTTCTTGATCACTTCCCTCAGTTTGGGGCTAATTAACCTAGGTGAGAGAATATCTACCTAGAATTGATTTAGAGCATTGACGATTCAACACGTGGGTCTATGAACGAGTGTGATTAGATTCTTTGTGTCATATCAGGTTTTACACAATTCTGAGAATTGTTGTGGTTGCCTCAATTACCTAGATTAGTTGTAGGTAAGCCTCTCTGGGTAGTGTAATTGAGCAGAATTGGATAACCCGAATAGCGAGTCATATCTATATTAGAGCTCCCCATGGTATATGCTAGTGTGAATCAATTAGGGTGTCACAACATCTATACAACGTAGACTAGGGGGAAGCACATCCCGGTGAAACTTTTCACTTTTGTACTTGCTTAGTTTTGGTAATTGAAACATCAATCGGGTCGCTAGATAACGTGTATTTCATTGAAGTAAAGGATAGATAAGCCACCCGTGTTTATATTTGAAATACTTGCTCTATACTACACCTAGTTAGAGGTTTTACTTAGCCTTTCATCGAGATAGCTGTAGTAAGCGACGAGCATCAAATTTTTCTTGCACTGTTGCCAGGGAGCATGACTTATTATTCAGAATAAGTGAACTTTTGTTAATCTATCTTTTATTTTCTTGCAATTGAGTAGGATCTTCCCCACGTTTGTGTATGTTTGAAGTGATTTTCAGGTGGTATATGACTCAGAGCAACCCAGATCACTTGGAGCCACTAGACGACAACATCAATCGCACTCTCCGACATCTTGGGTGAGCGAGGGAGTTAAGGGATCTGTACAAAATGATCTGTTAAATCACAAGCGCCAATTCCCCACAGAAACAGCAGCATCAACGATGATTTCGCAATGGTGCAAGAAGATGCTGGATTCCATTAAATCTTCTTCAGCGCATACTGAGGAAAATGGGGGTAATCAAATCTCATTACAGTGAAGTAGAGCGGTCAATGGAGAGGATATTCCATTTGAGAGAGATCCTACACTTTAGTCAATATCAACGCAGACATAATAATACAATTCCCCAAATGACAAACGATCTAAGCAATTCATACCCAAATTTTGGTGTCCTTGATTGTTTTGGTAGTGTTGTAAAATAATTGATTAGGAGAATAATACAAGCAGCATAGACCACAATAGTCAGATAAACAAAATCCAGTTCCCACCAACAAGCAAGAGACTAATCCGTACGATGAAGACAACGAGGGTCTCCCTGTAATCTGTGTTTAAAACCTCCTTGTTTATGAACCACAGCAAGCAGACTTTTGTGCAGCCTGGCTGGCACCTCCAGCCTGGTCCGGTTGATTAATCTTGATCGTCTGTGGCTGCAGAATCCAACAAATCGTAGGTCAGAAAAGGAAGAGCCACCAGTCACACCCCAAGGTTAACCCTCATCTCACTATGGAATGATTCCAAGTCCATTATCCAAATCCTCAAATCCGAAAACAACCTAAGGGAATAGTCTCAGTTAGCCTTTATCAGGTTTCCTGCAAATTTCAGCTACCTTTAGCAAGTCTCCAACGGGGAGCAAACATTGCAGAGGGATTAACTTTTAAAGGGAAAGCAGAACTGGCCATAGAGAAAGAAAAGGTTAAGACTAATGTGATTGAAGCACCTGCCACCAGGAATCAACTGTCTGGGCCTCAACTATGGCATATGGCATTAATATATATATTCAACATCCAAATCCCAATACATAAGAGAAGTTATTCTACTTGCTCCTTTCTTCAAATCCCCTATTTGTCTATTTCATCATTCATTAGATAAACCAGACATACAGAAACAGAAATGTTACCTCGGACTTTGAATCAGTATCTGCAAGTCGTTGCTTGATGTCCCTAGCTATTGAAAAGAAAACTTCTTCCACATTTAAGTTCGTCTTAGCACTCTGCATGACATAACAATCGTATGATATATAAGAGAATTTCATACCCTTTTCAACAAACAGGAGTAATAGTTACTACTTACAGTCTCAAAGAACTTGATGCCATATTCATCTGCAAGCGCCTGGCCTTTCGAGGTAGGAACAGCCTGAAGTTACATTTCAATTTTCTCATCCGCTTTGTACTAATATAAACCAGTTCCTGAGTCATAAACAGAAGTAAAATCCTAAACAGTTTAAAAGCATACCCTCTTGCTCTCATCCATGTCCGCCTTGTTTCCCACCAAGATCTTGTTGACATTGTCAGAAGCATGTTGTTCAATGTTGCGAATCCAATTCCTAATATCTAGGGACACAAGCATAAATCATTCCAACCACAAACTTAAAAAAGAGACAGGTTAAAGACACGAGACAACAAGGGAACCAAAAATTCAATGTAGTAAAAGAAAAGAATTTACTGTTGAAAGATGACTCGTCGGTGACATCATACACGAGTAAAATGCCCATTGCTCCCCGGTAATAAGCTGCAAAAGAATTTTACTTTAGCAAATCTTTTCAAGTATATTAAGAAGCAAATTATTTAAACAATAACGAAATGAGATGGAACAATGGAAAGCCAAATTCCGAAGCATGCAAATCATGAAGTGAGAATCCTAGCACAGAAGCACTAAAGCATAAAAAATCAATACAGGGAGACCAGACAGAGAGCATTTGTTCATAGGCATCAAGAAAAAAGGCAGGCAAAAACAACCCATACAAGGAAGCATACCAAAGACACCATCTAGCGACTAAATAAGAAAGAAAGAACCAAGCCGTCATTGAGTTATATAATAATGGAATAAAAACTACTGAGAGGAGAGCCTGTTCCATAATAATGGAATAAAAACTCATTTCCACAAGACACTGGATCCCTTAACAAAATTCAACACCAAAATGATCAAACCACAAGCCACAAAAATAAAAACAAAATGACTGCCTTAGTCATTACAATTAAGATCGCTACATAATTATTTCTACAAAAAAACTGCATTCACAATAAATATAAAACTGAAATCCAGTATATTATAAAACCAATATCAATGTCACACTTCCTACGAAAAGAAGATGCATGTAGCACTGTGGGGCAATACCCAGATGTAAGTCGCATCATACACATTAAGAAAAAGGATTATTATAGGTTAGCAATTATTCGAGAAGGATCAAGTGCTTGAACAGATCAGCAACAACACTAGTATACACCTATAAAATCAAGCCCTAAATTGAATGATTTCTTCCATCATGGAAAGCCACTGTTAGATATTATCATAGCCCATACTTATATTTGGTATCAATTGTTCTCTCCACATGGATACATTGAAATTAGAAAAGAGCCGTAATAATCTCCAATCAGACATGACACCAGAGGGTATGATCCTTTTATATGTATATACAAATTGTATGGACCTGGCAGAACTGTGGTTGTGATATAGAGGGAGGAACATGGAAGCAGACAATATGTGTTTCAACTCTTAACAGCAATCCAGATAGAATTGAGATGCGTCTTTCTTAGGAAATGTAAGAATGCGGCTCTGGGCACAGAACAAGAAAGCACCACTTTTTCCCGGTACCCAAAAACACATAATAGAGAAAAGCTAAAATCCCAATACCATTGAACATCAAGTTTGTGTTCCCTTCTAACGCCCTTAAGCCCCAAGACTAACCGGTTGTAATTGTGCGGAAACGCTCTTGACCAGCAGTATCCCATATCTGCAACTTAATACGCTTCTGATCAAGCTCAATTGTCCTTATCTTGAAGTCAATGCTGTTGGAAAGGAAGAAGACAAGATTTCAAATATCAGAAGCAATTCCATACTGAACAAAAAAGAAATCACGGCTTCAACCAACTTCAGAAGTTGTTTACCCAATGGTTGTTATGAAACTAGTGGTGAAGGAACCATCTGAAAAACGTAGAAGGAGGCAACTCTTACCCACACCTACAAATCACAGAACAAAAAACAAGTAGGTATGTGTACCGGAAACAACAACTGTACTAGCAGGAACACAATAATGATAACTGATCAGGGAAATCGCAGTAATGGAACGCTCCAGAAACAACGATAAAGCACTCCACTTGGCTCCACAACTTGTAGGCTTCGGTGAATATAAGCGAAAAACGCCACATCATTCCGTCAATCTATAGTCACATAAACACGGCTTGTGCTAAACTAAGTTGGCGTTCAAGTAATAATACCCACAACAAAGTAAAGCTTCAAATATGTTCTACTGAATGGTGTAACACTAAACATTCAACAACCTCCCACCTCCACAAAGCGCAACCAGAATCATGGTCCAATACAAGCTAAAAAAAAGTATCCACAACTCTAAATCACACTTCTCCAACCAGCAGGGCATATCCTAGGCTTCCGGTTCCACCCACAACCAATAACGGGGGTGAAATACCAACCTAAGAAAGAAACTGAACTGAAAACAACGTAGGTGCAGAGGATCAAATGTAAGCATCCACTGATTTCAAGAGCATACTGAAACTCTCCTCTCCGCTATCAAGATCCACGACAGTTCCTCCCAACTCTCCAACTACGAAGACTAACCTAGAAGCATTTTCTTAAGCACGCACCCAAAAAAAAAATTAACCGACAAATCATACAAATGCATTTTAATCTGAGAAATTCAAATAAAGGCCTCCCCCAACAAGAGCAGAGAAACCCGTACCGCTATCGCCGATCAAGAGGAGCTTTATGAGGTAATCGTAATCGGCGCGAGCTCTTGCCGGCGGAGCAGCCATTGATTCGAAGCGGAACAAATTGACTTCCTTTCAATCACAAATCCAGGGAAGGAAGAAAACCTACAACACGGAGGAACAAATGCTAAGGGGAAACCGGGAGAAAGAAGAATAAGAAGGGGAAACAAAAGAACCGAGCGCCGATGAATCGTTACCGGATCAGGAAGAAGAAGAGAGGGAGAGGAGATGAGATGAGATCTAATTAAAACCAAAGTGGGGAAAGAAAGGAAAATGCAGGATGAAGAGGGAAGTGCCTTCTTCAGATACGTCAGGCACCGGTCTGGCCGTTGAAAAAAATAAAATAAAAAAGAGAAATTAATCAGGAAAAAAAATATTTGGGAAGAGAGAGAAATTATGATGAAGCGATTCGACCTGTAAGATGTATGAATCACTTTTAAGCCGTCAGATCTTTAGATTGGTGGAGATCGGTGTCGATCCAATGGTCCCAATCCGACTATTAATACTTTTCTATGAATGGCCAATTATTGAACTCGTCAATAATGGTGGAGATTTCTTTTTCCTTGGAGCGAGATGGAGACTGACTACTGAGAGACCGAAACGGCATCGTATCCAGGGACAGGCTGAGGTTTTTTTTTCCTTCAAAATAACCTAATTGCATTTTTAATTTTTGTCTCTCTTTTTTACAAATTATAGGGAGGAGGATTATATCGTGGTTTAAAATTCAAAGCTCAAGTATCTTAGCAATGAAGGTAAATACTATTAAAAAAAATTCATTATAAAATTATTCGACTTATTAATGTCGAAGATAAACAAACCATTTGGTAGAATCCTTTGGAGGGGAATTTATCATAATATAATTGAGAGAGGCATTTGGGCCACTGTAAGAAGTTGAATGTGTGGTGTAGTGGGTATCTTTGGGGCCTAAGTGGGCCATTCCTTTCAGGCTTTTATGTTATGGGCTGTGGTACTAAAAAAAAATTGGCATTTGTACAATCGGCTCAAATAACACTAAAATTTTACTTAAATGGAGTTGAGTCATGACTCATGAGTCGTCTAACTTTTTGTGTAGGTTTGCAAATGATAATTACGCTTAGACTAACTCCAATCCTGCAAGTGAATAAGTGATAAATAGCTTCTGAAACTCTCAAATATGAAGTTTTAGCTTCTCAAATCGGGACGGGATACGGGGTTGTCACATTCACAACCAAGGGTATTTTGGGTATGAGAAAAATGAATATATTAATTACCTTTTTTATATTAATTATATTGAGAATTAAAAACCCATATTAAATACAATTTTTTCTTAAATTTAAATCCTATACATTAATATCTCTATCTATCTCTCTCTCTCTTCCTTTCTCCAGCAGCCACTCCGCATCGACCGACAAACTTTTTCTCCGACGAATTCTCTCCGGCAGACTCCCTCCGGCAACCTGAAAAAATGTACCAATGTGTTAAAAAGTGTACCAATCTATTAGTCTACTGGTAATTAATATACCAGTGCTAGTGGTACGCTACCAGTACATTAAAAAATGTACCAGTACTAGCGATACCAGTAAAAAATGTACCAGTACAACGCTACCAGTAGAGAATAACACAACGCTACTAGCACTAGTAGCGCTACCACTAGCATTGGCATCGGTACCAGTAGAGAATAACACAAACAAAAAAAACAGATGATAGTGGTACCAGATGATAGGGGAGCCACGGGTATTGGTACCAGTGAGTAGTGGTAGCGTACCAATAGCGCTACCAGTAGTATTGGTACCAATAGTGCTACCAGTGGTATTGGTACCAGTAGAGACTATCAGATCTGGAAAAAAATAGGGATGAGGAAAGAGGGAGGCAGGGAAGAGTCTTGACCTGCGGCGGCGGCGGCATAAAAATGGTGGCGGGTCAGCGTGGCAGGGCGGAGGGCAGCGGCGCGGCCGGGGGGGAGGAGGCGCGGCAGGAGCGGCGCGGCAGGGGACAGCGGCGCGGCGGGGAGTGTCGGGGACAGCAGGCGCGGTGGTGGGAGGGTTGTTGCGGCGGAGAGAGGGGGAGGAGAGACGGTGATGGAGAGAGGAGAGAGAGAGAGAGAGAGGATGGAGGAGTTAGGGTTTTTGTTCTTTTTATATGGTAGGGTGAATGATTGGGTGTGGTAAATTTTTACCCTTCCAAAAATATCATTCCTTTAATCTTAACCGTTAATTTAAAAAAAGAAGAAAGAGACAGGAGAGAGAGCGTATCCAATGGCTATGAAGTGGGTTGTGAATCTGACAACCTCCTTAGGGGTTGTCACCGTATCTCGTCCCTCTCAAATCTCATTTTTACTCCAACTCTCTAAAAAGTTAAATTTAGTTTTTCACCTTCTTTTTCAACTTATTTCAATAAACCATACTTATTTTGCCTCTAATTTTTATATTTCACTTTAAATTTTTTATATTTTGTCATTAATTTTGAAAAGAAAATTATTTATGTAATTTTTTCTAATTCAAAGACAAAAAAATTCAGAAAACTAGTCGTTGATTTGTTACCGTTAACTTCGGGAATACTCAAAATATAACCTTTTTGTGGCCGTTACTTTATAACATTTTTGTCATTTTTTGCATATCATATGTCTTTATAAATGACAGTTCTTCATTTTTCATCAACTCTGAAACTTCTTCTCATTCCCAAAATAAACACATGTATCATGAATATCTCAAATAGCTCATTGTCTGGGATTCTTCATTGATTGGGCTGAAATTTCTCCAGTGGACTGCTCTTGACCTTTTACCACGACTTCATGAAGGCTTCCCCTCTTTAATGTACGAATCACCTTGATCTTCTAATAATTGTCCCCCTTGATCATCCAAATTTATCCAATTGCTTATCCAAATCATCCTAGAGTGTGTTTGATCTTGAAAAGCACAAAAGAAAAAACAAAAAAAAAGTCATAAAACAATACTAAAAAAACATCCTACGTCTATTATTAACACATTGGTCACATAGTTATGGTTTCTATCTAAATTATAACAAAATATACTAAAGATGCATTGATAGGAGGTCAAAATGTATCAAATACAAAAGTGATAAATAATATAATTTGAGTGTTATCACCCTCACTATTTCGCTGCTCGATCGTTTCGGTAACCAGTAACCACTTTTGCTTTGCGAGGCAAACGCAGCAACTTTAGGAGTTGGATGTCTCTTTTGGGCGAGAAAACGTTGTTGTTTATCGTTTGAGGCGATGTTGAATACTTCAACAAGCATACGGGCTGACTTTGTAGAGAGAAATTTGTTGCATATTGTCCCGAATCTCTCATCAAGTCTGAAATCAAAGAGCGTTGCAATTTCTTCCTTAGTTTTAATTTGTTTCTCAAACCCACACTAACACAATCGGCAGGTACAGGACAAACGACTAGCTCAAAGAAATTGAAATAGGCAAAGTCGACCCAACCAGGGGTCGGATTTTTTTTATTCTACTATTGCGAAAATACGATAAAATTAAGGAAAAAATATTTGTAATATTATTATAACTAGCATTTTAGATGATTAGAGTTATTCAAAATAAGATCAATACTACAACTTATTTTGTGTAGACAAACTCAAAAAGGTGAATACGTCGTATCCATAAATTTTGTTTATGACTCCAATAATTTATGTGCTTCTAAAATTAGTATTGATTTACCAGTTGCAGTTGAAAGTGCATAAAACACATTTCATCTTTGAGTTAGAGACGAAGACATAATTTGACGTTCCGAAGGGGGATTTTATTTTGTTACTGCGAAAAGACAACAAAATTAAGCAAAAACAATAATCAAAATAAATTTTTAATATTATCAAAGCATCAATTTAAATCCATATAAAACTTAATATTGAAAATAAAAGGGTTAAGAAACCATATTGAAATTACAGAATTGAGAATCCATAAGATAAAAGTTAATGTGAGATTAAGACTAAAATTAAAATATGCTCCCTCTGAGTTTCGAACCCATAATAATCTGATGGATGGGATAAAAGGATTTCAGCCACTGGGCTAGTTTACTTTCGTGTTACAATAATGCACAGTAAACTATTTTATAACCCATCAGTTTATACGAAATTTTCAAATACCGATATAGTTTATACGTAAGTTCTTAAATTCTGGAAGGGGCCGGGCCCCTCAAGCCTATGTGTAGCTTCGCCCCTGGACCCAACTTACCTTTTTCTTTAACAAATGGAGGAGTGCCTATTCGTTGCCGTTTCTTTTTCCAATAGGGTATGTGATTTGTTGCTGTTTTGCTTCAACGCTACGCATCTGTATTTTTTTCTCCTTTTGATTCTCATAAGGTCAGGGCCGGGGTTCCACTTTCTTTCTTCAGGGAGAAGGATTCTTCTATGTAAGTTATCGTTTCATTTATTCTCCAATTGTCGCACTCCTAGCATTACTGTTTCAATTCAGATTTTCAAATTTAATAATGATTTTCTTCTTGGCTAGATATATACAAATAAATATCGGAAAACAGAGTTTATTCAACCTGGCTGGCTGTTATTAATTTAACTACTTAATGCCAAACGTTTACTTTTCGTCTTGTTCATAACCAGATATTTACTAAAATAAATTATGCTCTCCCCATAAACGTTGGCATGATCGGACCAAATCTCACCATGCAACATTGAAATATTCAAAAGAATAATGATTCAAGTACAAAAGATCATGACCACGACTCCAGTCCTGTTGGCTTGCCTGGCTGGTTCCAACTTCCAAGTGTGGGTGTTCCCCAACGGAAAGGAATCAATTAAATAATCAGCAAGGTTGTCAATTCGTGGGATCTGATTGGTGAGAAAAACGAGTATTATTATGGGTTGATCCGCATTTATGTTTCAAGTCTAGAGGTCATACAATAGTATTATTTTTCTTTTGGTTTGTGAAATATATCTTTTCCGCATTTTTCCTTATATCTCATCCTATCTTTGAATATGAATGTTATTTTCACTATATGTTGGGTTCATGTATGAACTGTTATTTTCCTGTAATGTGATATCTTATTACTTATATTTTAATTGATATTTGATATAATTTATAAATGAATAAACAATATACTGACTTTTTCATATATCCAGACTAAACCGGACTAAAACTATAGAATCAATAACGCTCAACCCTTACTCGATCAGACCAACAGGCTAAACCGAGTTGACAACCTTGATAATCATAAGTAATGAATACATGATCTTCCATCATTAAAATCTAGCATATTTTTATAAAAAAATGTATATTCTCAAATTTCCTTAAAAATATATCGATATCAAATATTATTATGTAGATCACCCTTTCTTCTGTTCAAAATTTGTCAAAGTCTAAGTTAAAATGAAGGAGGTCAAGGGTGATAGGGGTTTTGACATTTTTTTCTAGAATATATAAAAAAACTAATATCATTTTGTAGAAATCTGCATAGATATATTTTAAATCAAGTATAAAAAAGTCGAACAATAAAAAGTATGAGATAAAGAGCTATTTAATCTCACACATGATCCACTAAAAATTAAAACACGATATCTATCATGCTTAAATGCTTAACAAATGATAATCTGTTCTACCCAAATCAATCCAACACACAATCTTTAAAGAAAACCAAAAGTTAGGAGTTAATACATGTAACATTTCGAATTTTTTCTAAAGATATTTTTCGTTTTGGGATCCAAACTCACATGGTTTTTCTTCTTGGGTGCAAATTAAGGTGACTTTCCAGGAGATCACCCATCTTTACATTACTCCACAATGAGTATGTTTAACTTCATAATTTTTAAAATAACTCTTCCATTTCAGCCCAAAACGCGTCTTGTCAATTAAGGTCTTTTTTTACTTATGAATCATGAATCTCTCTCTTCCTTTGTCAATGTGAGATTCGCCTAATGTGTTACATACACGGTAGACCCCATTAGGCATCAACGTCCTAGTTGAGATTTGCCCCACCATCGTTCAAGACGAACGCGAAGAGGCTCTTATACTACTTGTAATATCTTGAACCTTTTTCCGATAAGATATTGTTCGATTTGGGCCCTAAATCTGCATGATTTTCCCCCTTGGAGTGCAAATCAAGGTGACTTCTCGGTAGATCACCCATTCTTTCATTGCTTTACAGTGAGCACATTTAACTTCAAAGTACCATTTCAACTAACAACACATCTAGTCCGTCAAAATCGATTTCTTATTTTTTTACTTATAAATCATGATGTTGAAGACTCAAATGTATTGTAAACCGACACTTTTATTAGGAAGAACGATATGAACCATAAACACACAGATTTAGCTTGCAATCTTGGCTTCCCACTGACCGTGATTGACTCCACGATCCTAAAACTAGCTAACAAACTCTACACAACTCGATGGACTCCAATGCAACTCTAAAGACATAAACATACTCTAATTGACACACTTAGATTTCGAGTGACTAGACTGTAAAATACCAAATCACAGAAATGACACCGCATTAACTCAATTTAAACCCCGCTTCCTTTGCGCCACTGCTACTCCTTCTGCTCTGCGGATTCTTTCATCAACTCGGATTCGAGGCTTCTTCCAATAGACATATCCCGTACTTTGTCCAAATTAAGATAAAGTGTTATAATACATGCAAAACAAAAAGGGGGAAAAGGGTCCATCCTCTATAAACTGCTGATGCGGGTAGGGATGACAACAAAACTCGAACCCACGGGGTACCCTAACCGACCCAACCCGGTCAACGCGGGTAAAATGGTATTGACCGGTTTTGGACTGGGTTCGGGTTTAAACCCGTTCACTATTTATTGGGTTGAGTTTGGGTTTAGGTATACCCGCCCCCATGGATGCCTGTTCACACCTATATAATTAATTTTTACCATATATTTAATATTCTAACTAACTAATCTTCTTTATGTTTGTGGAGACATGTTTGATTTTTCTTCTTCTAATTGTGTAGAATGAAGTTGATATTATGGAGTAGAGAGTGAAGATACTTAATTGATAAGGAGGAAGAAGTTTTCAATTAATCATGTTGTTTATGGATAATTTGTTATTTGCTTCAATTTGCTTGAATTTTTTGGAATGGTGTTTTATATATGGATAATTTGTATTGAGAGATCGAAATTTGACCATCATTTTGATAGAAATTTGTTATTGTAAATTTTTCACGACAAAAACTCATGTGCACCCATGAACCCGCGAATACCAAGCGGGTTGGATTGGGTTTGAGTTTTTCAAACCTAGTGGATTTTGCCCCGAATTTTTTTCACAGATAAATCCATAAGTTCGAGTTTGGATTTGACAAAACCCGACCCAACTCGACCCAATGCCATCTCTAGTTGCGGGGCACTCGATTTCAGATATCTTCCTCTCCAATCCTTTGCCACTCGCCCACTCACACGACAGTAGCAGCAGCAGGCCCTCAACCCAAAAACTGCAAATGCAATTTATTAATATATAAAAATAGATTAGAAATTTCCCCCCATCCTCTTGTTTTTTGTTCGGAGTCGGAATGGAACCATTTACCAAAACTCTCCAACCGTCCAAATTCACGATAACGCTATGAAATGAAACAACAAAAACTTCACCACCCCCCACCACAACCGTTAGGAATTCCGTCTCCTTCCTAGCGGGTCCCACTTCCGGAACCAATCAACCACCGACACGTTACCCGGGAGAAGGCTAGCTGGAAACCACGAGATCTGCGCTGTCGACGTTGGAGAAGAGAAGAAAGAATATACGAGGAAGGATGCCAATGAAAGTTGAAACGAGAAACGGAAGGATCCTTTCCTTTCTTCTCAGCTCTCCCTTCCTTTTCCTCCCATACCTTATTATTCTTTTTTTAATAGATAATAATAATTACCTATTATTATTTTCCCAGAGCTGAACTGGCTTTAAATGGCAAAAGTGGGAAACCGAGCGGGAACGCATCCATTTCTGTGTGTCTACTTTGTCTTTCTCCTCCTTCCCCTAAATCGCAGCGCTCCCAGAGAGAGAGAGAGGGAGAGCAGTATTTCTCTCTGATAGCTTTGCTCTTACTCCTCGCAAATTCTCCTTTTTCTCTCTCGCTTTGCTTCCATTTGAGATCTGAGCCGTTTTCTCTTCGCGCTTTGCTTGGCGCTTTGGGTGAACTGCGACCTGCCGCTCTCCTTTCACCGTTTTACAGGTACGCAGAGCTTGCGAATCGAACTTTCTGCTGCTGCGATCTATGTTTTCCGTGGATTCTCGCTTTGATTTGACTTGTTTGTTTACGATTTCGACGATTTCTGCTCTATTTACCGTTTCTGTAGTTCTTATGATGCGTTTGTCGGGTATGGAGTTCCAACTCTTCTTGTCTCTTCTTCATCTTCCCGTTTTCTTGAATCGCCGGCGGGCTCTATTTCCGTTTCGCCGTTTTTGGAAGCTCTTCCCGACCTAGAAAAAAAACGTTTCCTACTGTTCATCGTTTTTACGGCCTTGATACGTTACTCTCGTCAATCTAATTTCGCGTCATTAGTCAGTCCGTTTTCCCGTTGAATCCCTTCATTGTGGCCAAAGGCCAGTAGACATCTGTTTTACTAGCGGATGAACGAAAGATTTGGAGGTGGTGCTAGGTTGATGATCCAAGGCGGCGTTAGTGGACGGCGTAGATCTATCTGTATATGAAATGTCTGCTATTAATCTTTGACTTAGTCAAATACAATGATGATTCGTGCTAGAAAACTGAATTTTGACAACCTTGGGGCTAGGTTTTTACCTTATGGTAATAGTGATTTGGCTAAATTCATTCATGGGTTTTTGCATTTGGTTTTTCCAGCGCTGGCTGAAATGGCTCCTCCGATCGAGACTCCAACCAAGGCTCCTGTGGCCGCCGTGCCATACTCGCACCCTCCTCTCAATGAGCGGATACTGACCTCTATGACTAGGCGGTCTGTCGCTGCTCACCCGTGGCATGATCTTGAGATAGGTATGCTTAAGATGCCGCAGGCATGCAGATCAATGCTCGATTGCTTTTGTTTCTTTATCGATGTCTGAACTTGGTCGACCTTTTCTTTGCTATGATCCCCTCCAGGACCTGGAGCTCCCAAGATATTCAACTGTGTAAGTAGATGTTCATTTTCCATTCATACCTTGGTGTCTCAGTTTTTGTTCTCTCCTGTTGATACTGTTTCTCTGTGATTGTCTGGTATGTGTGAAAAACTTTTCACATACGCATGGAGTATCTGGCGATCTGATGGAGAACTCTTTGGATATCTGTGCAGGTGGTTGAGATTGGAAAAGGCAGCAAGGTGAAATATGAGCTTGACAAGAAGAGTGGGCTTATCAAGGTAATGCATTGTCTGTGCTTAAGCCTTCTTTACCTTCATGTAAGTATATTATTATGCATATCATAAGCTGAAATGTTACTTTTGGCAGGTTGATCGTGTGCTTTACTCTTCAGTTGTGTATCCCCACAACTATGGGTTTGTCCCACGTACTCTGTGTGAAGACAATGATCCTCTTGATGTGCTGGTTATCATGCAGGTATATGTCCTCGTCAATTGCTTTCTTTTATGAGTGACTTGACTTCAAACAGACGAGTGTTGATCTTGGCAATACTTGTATGTATCGTGTATGAATATGCAGGAACCAGTTCTTCCTGGGTGCTTTCTTCGTGCTAAGGCAATCGGGGTCATGCCTATGATTGATCAGGTACATACATTCCCTCCCTCCTTGGGACAGACGGCTTGCCTTTTGTAAACCTATCACCTCTCTTGATTTTCTACAATGCTATTATCCATTACTGAACCATGATATTTGGGCCGTCTGTTGACAAATCTTTTTTAGGGTGAGAAAGATGACAAGATCATAGCTGTTTGTGCTGACGATCCTGAGTACCGTCACTACAATGATATCAAGGAGCTCCCACCCCATCGCCTTGCTGAGATTCGCCGCTTCTTCGAAGACTGTAAGTCTCACTTCCTTAGTTGTTTACCAATTACCATGTTTCTGGTTCTTAGGAGGCACTTGAACAGTTGTTCTGGACTAATACGGAAGAGAATGTGTTTTGTGTTCCTTGGCAATTCTGTGATGATAGATAAGAAGAATGAAAACAAGGAAGTTGCTGTTAACGACTTCCTCCCAGCTACTGATGCATACCAGGCTGTCCAGCATTCAATGTAAAGCCACACGACATGATTCTCCCATTGTAGTAGTCTCTATGTGTTTATTATGTGTACTAATCTTGGACGATATTTTGTTTGCTGTAGGAATCTGTATGCTGACTACATCGTTGAGAGCTTGAGGAGGTAGTCTGTATCTCCACACCATGTCTGGCTGAAGTTCCATCCTATATAGCCTATGCAAAGATGCTGCTGCATATACATATAGATAATATATAATCTCCTTCTTCTTGCCAAAATTCAGACTCTGCCTGTTATGTGTTCGCTCTGAACCCGACGATATACCATCTGTTCCAAGTTAACTGACTGTTATAATTGCTTTTTGATATGCATTTGAACTTCAAGGTGAAACGACGAAGTTTTTTTTTTTCTTTTTATTTGTTCTGCTTCCTGTATTGCTGAATGTTGATTGTAGCAACGAAAAGTGGGAAAGTTGAAAGATTTTTGCTGCCTATTCCCGACTTGTGCTCCTGGACTGGTTTCCTCCATTAAGCCTTTAGATTTCTGTGTTGTTTCTCATTGTGGGAAGGAATACATCACTAAGCTCATAAATACCTTGATTTATATTTATGAAAACTAGTCGATTCATCGATGTCCAATTAGTGTCATATATGATATATTAGTCAAATACTTACATTCTTTTGCATGCATTGTTAGTGTCATATATTCCTTATGTCCTCTTCCTTACTAGCCTCCATTTCATTGAGTTGACAATAAATATGATAAAGCCCTCTAAAAAGTAGACGAGATGTCACATACTTTATACTACAAATAAGCAAGGTAAGTTCATGAAAATAACTCAAATGCTTGCACAAGTTTCTAGCACTCTCTCAATGTATTGCAGCTAGAGGATCAATGCAATAACCATTGTACTTCTTTACCCTAGGGAGATCAGCCCAAAATTCTATATCCTTTGTCTCAAGAACTTAAACTTTCTTCTCACACACCTCAGTTGCCTCCAATATCAAATATTTGGAATTCCACCTAGCGGGAACAACCAAAAACGCATATGCTTGCTATGAATGTGATGAAATTTAACACACTTCTTGAATTTATCCAACCTTGAAGATGAAGCACTTACCCGTTCATAACCTCCCTAATTCGTACCACAATCTCCCAAATTTCCTCTGATCCGCAAGTGACAATGAGAATAATGATATGAGCCACACAATGCATAAGAGCAAATAAATCACACCCTTAATACTCCTACCCCAAGCCATTAATTTTTCATTCAAGTAGCCAATTGTTATATAATTTGCACTTGCATTATCAACTGTGAATGTAAAGACATCCTTCAAACCCTAATCTTCCAAAATACTTGCAATTGCCTCAGGAATATCAAAACCTTTATGACTAGTGATGCGGCAAAACCCAATGATCGTCGTATGTGACTTCCAATCATTCTCAACATAGTGAGCAATCAAATACAAATAAATAAAGTTTTGAATAGAAGTGCAACAATCTGTTGTAAGATATACCCTACCATCACACTTGTCTTTAGAATAATCCTTCAGTTGGCTCCTCCCTTCAACAAACAATCTAAAGCAATCTTTTCTAATACTCTTTGTACATGAACATAGGACATGCAACAAGACATAACTACTTATACTTTCCCATTTTCAACAAATCTAAAGGGCAACTCATCCATGATAATTGCTTAAAATTTTCATCCTCTCATCAATCGATCGTAGGCTTAATTGCATTTGACCACCTTATTCTACACTTTTTCTCCTACAAACTATAATTTGTGTACGAAGAGCAGAAATACAATTTTGGCGTGAATCGACATCAAGATCAGTTTTGAAAAATAAACTTCCGACCTTCCTCAATCCATTCTTAATTTTTTTCCATCCTTCTCCTCTTGGCTAGCTTTGGGATTGGGTACTGAAAACAATTTGTACTCCTCATATGCATTCGACCTTGTCTTGCATTCCCTCTTATTACTCATTTTATTAGGTTTTTGACTCAGTTCTAACTACACTCTCAATCCAAAGTCAAGTGGAACCTTCAACCGTGGTAGTTTTTGGATTATCAAACTTGGGCGGTCTATATATACTTACTTCAACAAACTACAAATTATCGAGCAGTATAAATGTTGTTTTAAGCTAATGAACTAACAAACATGCGAGTAAAACAAGGTTGAATTCAGTGGAGAAATTTTTACTCGGATGATTATCCCCCTATTCCCATGTTAAGTTAATGACGTGATACTCAAATGTGATTCTAATCTAGTATATACCGCTAGGAGATCAAAACTAGTTAAGAGTCCCTATTTGAGTTGTCCTAACCCGCCTAATTTCTCTAACCAAAGAGACGTACCAAACTACCGGATTAAGTAATTAGGGAACCAAATCCACTTCCTCGGGAGATGACACGGAACGGTGTAGAGAAACCAATCACCCTCATTCATTGCCCCCTTATGATATTTGAATGATTGTCCTAAATTACCCTTAGAAGATCTTCTCTCACCTAGGTTAATTGGCCCCAAATTGAGAAAACTGATCAAGGACCTTCGATTATCATGATAAATACTCAATCAATATATAAACAATCATGATAATCACAACGTAGAGTTCACAATCACAAAACTACAACTTTCTAGACTAAGGTTCACATAATCCAAATGAATAGATAGTCTACTCCATGCATAGAGAAAGAATATACAACTATTTTTTTAGAGAAAAGAACTACAATTATATAGAAGGAAAGACCCATGAAAAGATGAAGCCCCTTCTCCCTAGTTGTTTGGGATGGTGTTGAAGATGGAATCAAGCCTCCTTTGACATTGGGTAGCTCAAATTCCCCTTCAATTCTCCTTGGTTCATCGTTTTGTCTCTCTATAATGAAGAAGAAGATCAAACTCTCGCTAACACTTTTCTGCTTTTGAAATATGCTTGACAATGCTGTCTTCAATGTCTCCCATCATGCCTGTGATGTGTGTAGTGAAATCGTGATGTCGACACAAAACTCACGGTTTCCTTCCATTTTTCACGCCCTGCGCCCATGATGTGTGCACTACGAGCAGATTTTCAAATGCTCTTGGGAACTTGAAATCTTCACGATTTTGTGTTAATCTTCACAGTCTGTGTCCGTGATAATATGCCTTGAACCATGATCCTTCACATTTCCAGTACTTGGTCCCGTTTTTCGCTCCATGTTGTCTGACTTTCGATCCTTTCGCCCATTTCACCTGATAGAGACTAAAAACATACAAAAACATAACATAACCTAGTGTAAAATGGTTCCAAGGATGATGCTACCCAAGTCAAACGACAAGAAGAATGGTATAAAAATGTATAAAATTACTCGAATCAGTTTTTCAGTTGATGGAGGTGTTGCCACACGACACACCTTGGTCAGTAGAAGTGCGAGGAGGCTCAATTTCAACAACATCGGGAGGAGGAGGCACGAAAGCGGGCAACATCTGGGACATCAATAACATGTCGAGATGGAGAAGCTACACTTCCACTAGATTCCTCATTTTGTCGTCTCTTCCTACTCTTGGCATTGTTGGCAGGAATAAGAGCTAAATGTAAATTTCCTTACATATAGTTGCTCACTCCTTCTCCTGGTGACAATAGAAATTCAGAAGGGACAACAAAATCGCAAAAGCTATTACAAACTGTCAAGCACTTTCAATAATTTACGAGAATGAAGATCGAGAAATAAGGACCCATCACAATCCCACAAGACTCATTTACTGGAATTGGGGAACTTACATCTCTTTTGTTGGCTCCTTGAACACTCAGACTGTTGAATGAAGGTGTTGGCCTGCTAGCACCTTGCGTTTTGCTGTCGTAGTGGTTGTTTGGTTGAAGCCTAGCAGAAGAATTGAAGAATGGAAGATGGGAAAGGAGGATCGAGAACGATAGCAGACATGGAAGCCGAGCGAGAAGAAGAGGACAAAATTTAAGGCGGGGAAGCTCAGGGACTCACCGAATCGGAGGATCCCCGGCGACAATGAACGACCTACGAGGAAGACACGAGACCTTTCTTCTCCAGTGTACGGCAACAGATGGATTCTTCTTCAGTTCTTTTAGAATTCATGAATCGGTGAACGGATGGTTGAATGGTTGGAGAACGGAGACGTGACTCCTCACCCCGAGATGGAGGAGACGACGTTGAGGATATAGTTTTTCGTTTTGTTTCCATATCTTTTTAGCCGTTGGCAAACCAATAAATTGGGCTGGGAAGACCGATGGCCCTCAATTGAGTGGGTTTCTTAATTCAGTTGGCTGGAGCTCTATGCCACCCGACCTACCTATCTCACTCTTTACATTCGGTTATGACTGTGGTTAAACCACTAGTCGCAAAACAAAATGATTTCGTTAACCGCAATCGCGTAAGCACCTATTGATTCAATTCATGATTAATTACAAAAAAACGCACAATTTCAATTCGATTAGCGATTTAACCGCAAAAACGCAACCGCTTTCCAATCCTATCAATAACCATAGTCTCATATATATCCGTCCGCCCCCATCCAGGCATCCACTACGTTTCCCTAACAAAATATCTCGCGGAGTCCCATCCAATATCCTCCAAAACCCGCACCTTCTCATAAACCCTTCCCCCACCGATTACCTCGATTCCTCCATTCCATCAAAACCCTCCCATCCTTCCCATACTTCTTCTACCTCTCGCTGAAGCAAAAACCCCAGTCCACACAGTTGCGCCTTTTTCTTTTCGACATTAACGCAAACACCATGAGCTCATTCAACAACACCCCTAACTTCGACAATCCGCTCCTCCAAACCCTAATGGGCCGTCTCCAAATCCGCCCACCCAACTCCTCCCAGCGCCCTTTCGTCGCCAAATCCCTCGAGGACCTACTTTTCGACGCTGTCAACAATCTCTCCGATGACTCCGACGACGACGACAACGACAACGCCATGGATCCAAGCGGCGGTATCGACTCTTCTGCCAAGACCCAGCTTCGCAAGGAGGAGGCCAAGCTCGAGAAGGACATCATCCGGGTGATTCTATCGGGCAAGACCGATTCTTTGAAGCCCAACTCCGGTCAGGCGGTTACCATCGGCGAGCACCATATTTGTGTCGGGTTCCACGAGGAGAAGGGGTCGGATTACAGAGTGTGGGAGTGGCATGGCCACATCATGCTGTTTGACGAAGAGAATGGGTACACCCCCGAGTATATCTATGGGAATCACTTCGAGAGGTTGCTTGGTGGTGGTGTCTCGCGTGGAGGTGTTTCGGTTAATCGGTCGCAGAAGGAAGAGGAGGAAGATGATGAGGAGGAGGAAGGAGGAGAGAAAGAAGAGGAGAGAACGTCGAATTTGGGGTTGAGGGAGTTGATTGACGGTGGTGATTCCAGTGGTGCTCGGATACTGCATAGGAATGTCGTCACTGGCGCAAAGGTATGCAGTTTGAACACTGGAACTACGCACTTACTCTTATCATACTGTTTTTGTAATTCTTGGTTATGAAACTTGCTCTGTGGGATTAGCTCTTCTGACACTAGTAAGGCAACGCAAATTCGGCTCCTAAACTTGAAGAACGGACGAGGAAGAATTAGATGATTAATTGATCAGACTGGCTTGCTTGGGAAATGGTTTAAAGGGTTGTAGTAATAATTTATTCGAGCTTGTCATGTTTGGTAGCTTGCAGATATAGTATTAGCTCAATATGTGGTTCAGGAATGATCTGTGTGGCGTGACATTAGGGTAATGCAGCATCAGCTTACCTTTTTGGTATGGATTATATGTTCCCTTCGCTTGATCCATTCGATTGTTTGAATCCATGGTGGTCGTGTATAAGTTAATTACCTTTGCATCAGTCTCCATGTCGAGATGTATGGGTTGCTCATTTATGTGTGTGATGTGTACCATGAGCACAAACTCTTAATTAAGTTAACATGATAGGGATATCATGTATCAAGTTCTGGTTTGAACTGTAATCTCCCAAGTCTTTCCTAACACGTCATCTTTTCTTGGCGCTGAACATAGCATAATAATGGTGGTATCAGCTAAACAACCGAGGCTATATGGGTTTTGTATCTGGGAAACTGTCGAAAATTTATCATAAGTCATGTGTCTGAAATTTGCTGTTTCTAGGATAGCATTACTTAGCATTCTTAGGCCAGTTTCAAGCAGGCTTCCTTGCATTCCTTCTTTTTAAAAGTTTCCTTATATTTCTGGCGTAACCTTGCCAGAGGTTTATACTTTATATGGATCTTGGAGACCTCAACTGTGAATATTGAATGTTCTGAACCATATCCTCTAGTTGATTTTTCTATCTACAACAATGATTCAGTCTGCTCTTGAGATCTAATACTCTCAAATGCTGATTTTAGGTTGCTGGTTACTCCGGTGCCTGCAGTGAAGTCTAGTTCCCTTGTTATCTTGCCTTTTTTTCTGGAACATAATTGCTAACGCTGTGCTGCTGTGCCTGCCTCCGGCAACTAACAGGTTTAAAAGGCTTGCTCTGTCGCTCTCCTTGTTCCATGGCGACTTGAGGAGCTGGGAGGCCAATGCATTGGACGAAGCATCTGCGGACATAATTCCCAATCCTCGGGAAGTGGGGAGTGTTTTGAGAATACATACTCTGTCGACCTCAAATACATGTTGCACTTTTTACACAAGTTGGGGTTTCAAATTTGTTGTGGTTTTGTTTCCCGATGGCCTTCGACCCTGTTTATCAGAACAAAATGTTTCTGCCGATCTGATATTTTGGTTGAACCAGTTTCAGCTTCTCCAAAGTTTGTCCATGTATATTTCAGCTTTGGCCTTGTTTATCTTGCTACTTCAGTTCATTCCGCATCGAATAAGGAATATATGAGTATTCATATTTCGATGCTACAGGTTTGCCTCCTTGCAGAGATTTGGGAGGTGCTGGAGTCATCCCCTACGTACCAGCTCAGTTTCGTATCGTAACAGGGCGATCCATATGGTGGTTTATTATGCCCTATTTTTGCGATCCATATGCTGGTTTATCCGGATTGACTTGGTTTAATGACCTCGTAGTTCTTTGAATTCATAGTCATTTGATGGATCTGGAATTCTGGATGCAAGTAATTTAAATGGTGAATGTAGCAAACAGAAGTGTTCAGTGCTACTATCTGTTGTTTTAGAAATTCATAACCCCAATCCCATAAGCTTTCTTCCTGATTCGCGGGCCCTAATCGGCCCATTAATCTTTCACTAAATTCCTGACGAAACCCAAATCCTGAGGACTATCATTCAACTTCACTAAATTCTAAAGAGATCGCATCAGAATTCTGATAGATCCAAGACAGAGAACGCGATCTCAGCCGTCCAGATCATCCCTCGCTTTAATCTAACCTGAGATCCAACGATTTTAGACGTTCGCCATGTCAGCGATCCGCGCATGTTCTTTCTAGCCATTCGGAGAGAACCTCATACCTCTATATAAACTGCATCCGAACTCCTTTCAATTCCCCGTTCCGAAAAAAAACGATAGCCAAGCGTGGAGAAAGGAAGAGTCAAATAAATCGCGTCCGTGCCCGTTCCGTTTCGACGATCAAAATGGCGCCGAAGCCGGCAGAGAAGAAGCCAGCGGAGAAGAAGCCCGCGGAGGACAAATCGCCGACGGCGTCGGCGGAGAAGAGACCGAAGGCGGAGAAGAGAGTGGCGGAGAAAGGCGGGGACAGCAGCAAGAAGAAGAAGAAGGTGAAGAAGAGCAGCGAGACGTACAAGATCTACATCTTCAAGGTCCTGAAGCAGGTGCACCCTGACATCGGGATCTCCAGCAAGGCGATGGGGATCATGAACAGCTTCATCAACGACATCTTCGAGAAGCTGGCGCAGGAAGCCTCCCGCCTGGCCCGGTACAACAAGAAGCCCACCATCACGTCGAGGGAGATCCAGACCGCCGTCCGATTGGTCCTCCCCGGCGAGCTCGCCAAGCACGCCGTTTCCGAGGGCACCAAGGCCGTCACCAAATTCACCAGCTCTTAAAAACAAGGAATTGTTACGTGATGATCATCCTTTTCCCGAATTGGGGGTTTCCTTCTTTTTGTTTTTTTCCATCTTTATTTTGGCTCTTGTTTCTGTTACGGTAGATTACACAGTGGAATGAACATAATCCATCCTGTTGCATCTGGCAGCGGATTTTTGACGAACAATCCAATTCTTTTTCCCGGTAATTAATCCAATTCTGTCTCGATTACATTTTGTTGCTCATTTTATAACCAGGCAACTACATTGAATCAAATTCCGATCCCCCGATGAGGTAGATTTAGCACAATCCATCCTGGATGTATGTGCATCAGTTTCGTGGTTGGTAAAGCCTTCATTAGTCTTTGTTACCATTTTCATGCATTTCCCCCTCTGGTAATTAGCATTATCATTGAAGCTCTCTTCCTGGACAAAATACACCCGAAATACAAAGCCGATAACACCACCAATTCTGTACAAGAGAAACTTAAATCACAGGTTTAACGTTGTACTGAAACAACACATAAGCCGGGATGCTATTGCAGTTCGGCTTTAAAAGTTCTCTTTATGATCCAATGTCGCGCAACTCTTAATATAGATGTTTGTTTGCCCAAACAATATCCAAAAAACTGCCCCCTTGCATTAACAACCATAGTGGCCCTGCCACACTATAGCCACATTTCAGATAGCTAAATGGTTGATCTTTATGTATGTTCGTTTTTAGATTGTGTTGAATTAGTATATATTGATCGGTGACAGAATTCTGGTGAAGTGACAAAATGCAGACATGCAGAGGCGAACACCCAACAGAAGGTCAAACCGAGAAAGACACAAACATAAATGGTTTGGGTAGGAATCTTCACTCAACTAACAAAAACCCGTGCAAAGTAATGAGATTGGACCAGTTTTCTTCAAGTACTTGGATTTGATGGCTCACCGTCAGATAAAAAGATGCAATTACAACAGGGAGATCAGTCAGGCCTGAAAATTAAAGGATCGACTCATAGTTGGGTACAGAGAGAGGGCCTTTCTAGCCACCATGTGGGCTACCCTATTGCTACTCCGACCTATAAATCGAACACTAAACCCAGGATTGCTGACAAAATAATGCGTCACTTCTTCTAGCACAGCTCCCACCCTGTTGTCCCTTGTATCAGCCCCCCTGATTTTATCGATAACCACCTTGGCATCCCCTTCAAACCTCACGCTAGTCAAGCCTTGGCCCAGACACCAAAGGATCACCTCCGGGAGGACAAGTAATTCCACCACGAGAGGGTCATCAATGACCGAAAATTAATCCCCTGTAGCCCAAAGGACGTCCCAATTCGAGGACATAAGCACCACTCCTCCCGCCGAATGAGATCCCCTCCGAGTAGCCCCATCCCACCCACAGATGACCACAGACGAATCCACCTGGACAGGCTGGTGATCCGCGGGGGTAGGGTTTTGGAGAGGCTTATCAACCGGGAGCCTCACCCATTCCACATAGTGCTGCATAAACGGGCGCATCAAAGCAGTGATCCCATACTGTTTGCCTTCAAAAATCACCCAATTACGAGATCGCCAGATTTGCCAGCGGATGGCCACTATTGCCAGAAACAGCATAGGCTGATCGATTAAAGCCATCAATTTTTTGAGAAAAAGAGAAAATGTGTGACGCGATAATCCCTCCCCTACATGTTCCAGCCCTGCCGACCCCTTGAGGGTTCGGGCCACCGGGCAATCAAGGAACAAATGTTCCATATTTAAGAACTATCCCAGCAGACCGGACATCGAGGATGAACCAGGACCTTTCTATTGATTAGGGCTTCCGTCGTAGGTAGGATCCGGTTGAAAACTTGCCAAACAAACACCTTTAATTTTGGCGGTATATTTGCATTCCACAGGCGAATCCAACTGGTCTGATCCTTCCATCCTACCGTAGCTTTCCATCGACCCTTTCTCATATCAAGAGAGACAACCAAATGGTAAGCCGATTTAACCGAGAAATCCCCATCAACCGTATCATGCCAAATGAGCATGTCCTCCACATTCTCCGGCGGGAGTGGAATGGCTTTTATAATGCGGCAAGTAACTGGGTCAATCCATTGCGTAGCTTCAGGTCACACCAGCGTCCATTCCCCGGACAAATCAACTCAGAACCGGAGGGTCACCCCCAGCCGGTAGAACCCTCGGATTATATCGAAGGGGCTCAAACTGGTGTTGAGGAACCCAAGTAGAGCGAAGGAGGGAGGAAGGTAGAAGAAAGGGAAAAGTTGCTTTAATTTTTTATTGACAAATCTAAACGTTTTCCACTATGAGGAAGATGTTAAATGTTTCAAAGGGTTGATTGATTGTTGTAAAAGACTAAATTGAGAAAAGGAGGCATAATTAGTTTATTATAAATGAGAGAAGTAAATCTCTATCCTCTTATAATTTTCTCTTTGTATTTTTTATATTTATTTTAAATAAAGTTTTTATTCAAATAATTTATATGAATGCATCTAATTAATGGTATTTTTGTTAAATTTTATAAATAATAATATAATATTAACGCTCTTTGCACTCTCTCAATATTGAGTTCTTTGAAAACACAAGCTCTCGCGTTCTCGATGTTGCTTCCACACAACGTCAATTACAAACATCCGTAACCAAGACAAATAGTCGAACCTCGACAGGACCCGAGGCGACAAACTCAGGGACTTTTTGGCCACTAAATGAGCCACTCTGTTTCTCTGACGACCTACAAATCACAGTTCACAATTTCCACCGAAACCAACCAGCAAGGATCTAATCTCTCGCAAAATAGAACCCACCTTTGAATCCTTGTCATCCCCAGCCAAGCACTTGTCCAAGATCACTTTAGCATCACCCGTAATTAGCAGAGGAGTCAAACGCCTAAGAGCACACTCCCGTAAGCAATCTCTTAGTGTCAAACTTTCCAAGACATGAGCATCCGCAATCCCTGGATAAATTGTGCTCGTCGCGGCTAATGGAGCTGCATTCACATCATCAAAAGAACCTTCACAAATTGCAAAAGAAGCAGCCCCGGAATCACCACGCCTAGTTGCACCATCAAAGCAAGCATGAAAACGGGACGATAAAAACTGTCGAGGAGCTGGGGCTGAAGCACAAACGTGCTGCTTATCCCATGATTGATACTCTGACCGTAAACCCACCAAGTTCTCGCTGTTGCTCTCACTCAACTAGTTACCTAAGGCCCAACCTGACTAACTTGGGCCTTTAGTTTTGATCCACTTAAGCCCAATCAGAACGCAAAAACATCTTTTAACAGGCCAGCGGACTGGAAAAGGAAAAAAAATGGAGAATGGGAAGAAAAAGAATAGACAAAAAAGGAGACGTGTTAGTCGGCGGATCGGGTCGGGAAAACCGCCATGTAGCTCGCCCATTGACTCGCCCTCGAGATCGTAGATCGATTTTTTCCTATAAATATGAAAAAAAGCAAAACCAGTTTTGATATTTCTATTACATTTATATAAAAATAAAATATATCTCCCCAATTCCAAGTTGACAGACTGATCCAAAACCTTCCCGTCTCCTTGTGTCCTTTCTTCTTCTAAATAGTTAATACTTTTATACTCCGCCTGCAAATTTTCTCCGTCTACGAAGCTGAGGCTCACGTGGTGGTGATGGGATCAATCTCCTCCGCCTTATCCAGATCTCCTTAATTGAAAACTAGGGTTTTGATCCTTCATCGCATCCTCCATCTTTGCTACAGAGTGAAGCGTTCAATCGGAGAAGAATTAAGAATCAGAAAGGGGGATTTGATTTTTCCTTCTTTCTTAGGGTTTGGGGAGGGAGCGGGTAGCTGAGAAATCGTCATCGGAAAAGTCGCAGGTGGTGTCGGGAAGAGATTGCAGCGGTGGCGGGGCGACGGGTTGGTGGGGGGTTTCGGAGAGCATAGGATTTAAAATGCCTTCGGTGCCCATTCTGCGTTCTCCGATTCTTCCTTCTCTAACACCCTACCATGGAGGGATGTGCTCGCATCGTTTGAAACGGCTCGAAAAGAGTAATCGGCGTGGTAATCTTAGTTAACATTAGGTTCCTTCTTCTTCTTCTTCTCCCCCTCTTTTTTACCTCCAGTTTGCTCCTCTCCCCTTTTATTGCCGCTTACCTGTACTTGAGATCTCTTCTTCCGGGAGCTCTATTGTTGTTGTTCCTCTCCATCTCTGGTGTGCGTGTGCTCGCTAAAAGTCTGTGAAAAGTTCGTCGATCTGGTCGTGTTTGGAGAGATCGGTGATTGGATTTGCTTCAACCTTCGTGATTAGGTAATTTTCTGTTTTGCGTTGAATTTGATTGTCGAATCTGCGTTTGTTTTGATGATCTGCGTTATTCATTCTAGCTGATGATTGGTTCAGGCGAGTTGAAAATATTGCTAGGGTTTTGTTTTGTGCAGTTGGATTATCAGATTGATTTCAATTCCACTAGCAAATGTTTGCTTAATGTGGACCAATATGTGGAAAATCGTTTAAGAGTTTTTAGATATACTGTTTGCTAATCTGCTATTACCCACTTGTTGCCTGCAGTTTTCTGTTCATTGTCTTTGTTACTGTCGATGGACGTTGGCCACCGTGGTGCTGGTTCTGTTGAGGATCTTCTGTTGGATGAAGAGGAAGTCGATCTTGGAAAATTGAGGTCCGAAAGTACTCGAGAAACAGATGCATTTGGTAGAGATCACCTCGATGATGGAGGTGGAGGTTGTGAATCAATCGGCTCATCTGGGCCTCAACCTGTCTCCGGTAATTGCTTGGACAAATCAGCAAAATTCCCCTGTCCTAGCGACAAGGCATCCGGTCTAGATTCATCAAATGATGATGCTCCAGAGGAAGCATTGCACTTGCTGTTCTCCGAAGAGCCCCTGCAGGCCGCTGAGTCTATAAAAGTAAGCCCTCCTCATCAAAGAAGTTCCTGCTTGTTTAGTTGTTTATCTGAACAATGTGCATTATATCGTAGTGTGTAACCCTTGGGTTAAGGGCGAAGCTTTTTGTCGTTCCTTACCTGTGTTGTAATCATGTTGACATGCTGTTTCATTTTGTCTGGCCTTTGAAGCTCATACCTGCCCTGAAAGGTAGCCGAGAGAAAATGGGTAAGGCGGCACCAAGGCAGCAACTGAGTGTGACTTGGGCTCCTGATGTGTATGACCCCGTTCCCAATTCTCTCTGCCACACGGTGAAGAGCAGTAAGAAGAAATCAAGAAGAGAGAAAGATAGAGATAACAACCACCACCACAACAAGAAGAATGGAAAGAAGGGACAGAAGGGCAGTGGTAGTACATCATCCTCGCGAGGAGGCAGCAGCAGCAGTAGTAGCAAGGACAAGAAGCAAATCCGGAGAAAGCCCGACAACAAGTCTTCTTATAAAACACTGGATATCTGTGATGACAGATTTGGCGATTCTTCAAGTGGGCTTAGCTTTGATGTGGCTAGTGCAGACTACTGCGGCAGCAGCTTCCTTAAGAAATCTGTAACAGAGTTCCATTACTCTGTTGCTGAGGCGTTGTGATCTTAGACCCTGGCTTCGTTTCATGCGATAACTAAGCCCGGCCTCCAGCTTTGTGTCTTTTCTTTTTCTTCTGTGAATAAATAAGTGCTCTTATGGGAGTGTAGAAGTTTTTAGAACTTCTAAATCTGTGCTGTGTACTGTACGATTGTTGTTTGGTAGTTAATTTGACAAGGAGACCAGCCTGGTTCTGTGTGATGTTTTCTTTGCTCTAATATCATGTACTTCTGACTTATTATTTCCAAGGTTTAGTTGCTTCCTCAGCTTACAAAGCCATTTTGTCTGTGCATGTAGTTAACCCCTTTTCAGAATGATTACAACATAGCAACCACTCCAACCATCTACAATGATTAACTAACGAAGTGACCTAGTTTTAGTTTTATATCTTACCAGTTATCAGTAGAGTTAAAATAGAGGTTACCCATTGGAAAGAAATGATTCTAAGTATCGGTGAATAGAGTTGAGAAGATGGCAAGCCTTCAAACTAAAATAGTAATCTAACAACAATGTTGCTATCTTGTGAAAACTCATCAGGCTTGCTGGATAATCCCGAGGCAACTTGAGACTCCTGCGTGCCTTGCAGAGATTTTAGTCTGCCGTTTTTTTTTTTGGTAGGAGTTCTGTCGGGAAGGCATACAATGAAGGAGTTTTGCCTAGGTTGTGTACTCGGCGTTTATCTTAACATAATCATAGCTCAAATCGCAGCCCCATGCCTGGCCCCCTCCTGTTCCATTGCCTAGTTGGGAAACAACAGTAAAAACAAATGGTGGAATGTGTTCAGAAAACTGTGGGGTGGAAATGAAATGCAAGTTAAGTGTTGTAAAGGGGTTCATCGACAACTTAAGAATGCTCGTCTCTGTACTGCCACTGGGAGAAAAGCTCAGTTGGAGTTGAGAGCCTTACCAACAGAAATCTGGATGGCAACAGTGCCATGGGTCTCACCTGCCTTCTTCAGATAATTACTTGCGCCAGCCCTGGCAAAGAAACAGGAATCAGGCTCACTGGTACAATATTTGAGAGACTAGAGAGAATCGAGACAAAAGACTAGCAGTAGTAGTAGTAGTAATAGTTGACCTGTCAAACGGCAATGGTTGGCCATTGTTCATCAGTAGAGTGTCCCCGAGCAGTATGCGGAGTTTGTTTTGGTCAAATGGGATTCCTGAATAGCCAGCAGCTGCAGCAATTCGTCCCCAGTTGGGGTCTCTCCCATATACTGCCGCCTGAACTTCATCATCAATGCAGAATTAAAGAACTGGGGAAAGAAGATCTGAGATTAAAATCATTGAATCAGTGATCAAGTATTGCTGCTTCTTACCTTGACAAGAGACGAAGATGCTACTGAACGTGCAACCTTTGCTGCATCCATCTCACTTTCTGCCCCTACTACTGTGACCTGCGGAAAATCAAGCAAGCTATTACCAGTCAGGATTCAGTGCCTGTCATTAACTATGGCTGCCTGCTTAGCGTACCTCAATCAAGCATGTAGCCCCTTCTCCATCCCAAGCTATTGATTTGGCCAAGCCTTGCATCACCTAGGAATGGTAGATTGAAAGCACATGTTTTATTCTTAGCCGAATAAAGCAACTGGTTCATAAATTGTGCACAGACAAGCACATAAATTTCAGGTGTGAAATTGGATATCAAGTTGAGTCTAGGGTTAACTAAGCTTACAGCATCAAGGCCTGCTTGAAGTTGTTCTGCCTCATGGCTATGTAGAGAAGATATCGGGGTTTTTCCAGATAACCCACTAGCCAACGCTATGACTGTGTCATTCGTACTGGTGTCTCCATCCACCTTTCAAGCAGCAATCATAGTAATACTAATTTTAAATACCAGGACCCGGCGAAAACTAAAACAGCGATTTACAGTTACTACAGAAGTAAGCAGACCGGTTAAACAAACAATGTAAACTACCGTTATTTGGTTGAAGCTACGATTGACAGCAATCTTCACCATCTTTCTCCAGACTTCACTTTCCACAAGGGCATCAGTTGTTATTACCTGAACAGTTGTAGAGTGAAATTAGAATAATCTATCTGTTGAAACTTTAAGAGAAAGAAGTGACTACAAACTTACACCGAGCATGGTAGCCATATTTGGATGTATCATACCAGAACCTTTTGCAATGCCCCCAATTCTTATATTTGCATCTCCCACCTGTAGCATTTTAACAAGTTTTATATATGCTTGTACCAGAAAAGCAACAAAAATATGAAATGGCAGATATATACTGGTAAAGTTGAACCGTGTTAAACTATTAGGTAGCATTTTTTAGATGCAGTAATCAATGTTCCTCAGGAGGAAATATAACTGTTCTCATCATGATCCTAGACGTCTACTGCACACCTGAGACTCAATGGCTACACTCTTGCTCACAAGGTCAGTCGTTGTGATTGCCACTGCTGCTGCACCTGCCCTGCACATTTGCCAACCATATAACTGGATGTTAAAGCAAAATGTAACACCAATGAGAAAGTGAATATGGCAATTTGAGAAGGAAGCAACATTTGGAATGTAATCGTACAAGACCAAATGAAGCTGCACATTTCATAAAACAATGATGCAATTTTAATAGCTAACTATTATGAACAGTTTAACAAGGATTACCCTTCAGTGGAGGTCGACAATGAGCTAACCAATTTGGGCAGTGAACTAAGAAGAGCTTCCTGCATGTTCCAGCTGTTGATTAGGATTTGTTTAAAAAGTAAAAGAAGAGCTGGGCATTGTATGTTTACCTTTTTAATTCTTTGACCGATTACACCGGTTGATTCAATCAAAACTTCATGTGGCTTTATCTTGAGCAGCTGCAGCAACGAAAAAGAAACGAATGAGGATTTATGAAATATGATACAAAGATACTTGGATATTATCTCCAGAGAGTCATACCTTAGCAATAGCATCAGCACATTCTATCACATCTTGGTAACCAGCATTTCCCTGAAAATGACCAAGAACAATCTCAGCCAGCCACTAAATCCTTGGAACATGCAAATGGTAATAGAGAGGGTAGCCATATACTGTAAGCAAAGTTAGTTTGACAATGCTTACTGTTGCTGCATTTGCTTGGCCAGCATTTATTAGCACTGCACGTGCCTGAAATAGAAACAAGCACACCAAGACAGAATCTGAATACTTGGGTCTAGAGAAAGCCAAACAACTGTGTCTATTCTCATTCTGCACCTCAAACGGAATGGAATTGCCGCTTAGGCAATCAAAACCAGCTTTCAGCAACAAGGTAAACACTAAATTAGCACAACTAATTCACAAACCACAAGCAAAACAATGCTCAAAGTAAGCATGACAGCTTACCGTTTGTGATAAATTTAATACGTTTTTACAGTACAATACAGGTGCTGCAGCGACCATGTTTTGAGTAAATGCCCCTGCCAAGTGAAAGAGTGTGAAATAATTAAGCTGTTACATATCTAATTATGATCACCACAAACCACATCCACACTACTACCATATATATAATGGGCTACAACCAAGGGAAAGAAACTGAACCTGCAGCTATGGCATCCACATCACAAACAACAAGTGCAAGATCAGGTTTCTCCCCTTTAGCTCTAAGCCCACCATAAATGCCAGCAGCTTTGAATCCATTGGCAGCGGTAACACCACCAGGAATCTACATCGATAAATCCCTCATACTAAGCATAATGGAATCAAATGAAATATCAAGTTCCCTGGCCAACATCATTAGTCGCTTGTCAAACAATTCCCAATAGTGAAGGGCAACAATTCCAGCTGGTTCGATGCATAGAATAAAGAACAATAACACTGGAGAAGAGTGGGATAACCGCATTTTACTCGCCTCCTTCCAGGGTCCTTGAGGAAGGATAATGGGAGCTGCTGGTATGAAATTAGCCGCCTCATTCATACTCGCCACCGCGAGCACCTTGAAATCCCTCTTATTCAAACGGAACGAGCTGAAGTTCTGCAATCCGAAAGAGAAGAGTTAGTGCAAGTTCTTCGTTTCTAAGGAACTAATTCACGCCATTGGATGGAAAGTTTTTTTTTTTACTTCACCTTTGAGGTCCGGATTCCCGGAGAGAGTTTTAGAGGAATGTAGCTGGAAGGGGGAGCACAAGCGTACATGGCTCTGCTATTGAGTTATGCCGAGCTCCGACGATGATCGCGATGGAGGGAGGAGTTGGAGTAGTTGGCGGCGGCGGCGGCGGCGGCGGCGGGGGAGGAAAAATGAGACCTTGAATGGGGATTTTGTGGGAAGTCAAGTAAAGAATTGCACCGTAAATAAATGGTCGGCTTCTCGCCGGGAAAATTGTTCGGAGTTGTCTCTGCTATGCTTTTCTCAAACGGGGAAATTGCAGCTCGTACTCGTACTTTCCCCGTATTTCGTTCCGTCTCTGAACAAAATCATTTCTTTCCCTCTTTTTAACTACCCCGCCCTTATGAACAAAATTTCTTTCTCCAGAAAGTGCCCAACACCATAAAGGAAGGTCGTGTATAAAATTATAATAAGTTCAAATTTATTCATAAATTTAACAAAAAAATTTGTTCTGCAGCAAAGCAAACTACGACTGTTTTTTATATTTTAAAAGATTTGTAAAGTTTTCACAAACATAAAAAAAAGATTTGTCAAATATATTCATCATTTATGTATCTGGTCAGATACGGTACAGTACAATACGAGACGATAGAATGCAATGGGATAAATCAAACAATTTTTTTTATGTACGCAACTAAAAATCATTCATAAATCGATCACTCAACTAATTTAGAAGATCGTTCTTAATTAACTTAAGTCGGATTACATTTGCAGTAGGTATAGTCAATACTAGTTTTAAAAGCATGTAAACAAATGACGAGACGAATAATGGCTAAAATCGTATTGTTTGCAACTTTGTTATACTTCTCCCAACTTAGCCAAAATCAAACCAGAAGTCTATTCAATTCACCCATCAATTAGTGTTCGGCAAGTTAAATTGAGGGGGAAAAAGGAAAAATAAAAGATTATGTATTTTAGGTTAAAGGATCATACCTCAAATATCATACTTCAAACTTGGTTTAATTCATAATTTAGATAGAAATATCTTACTGGAAGTACTTGGATTATAGTATATATATGGTGACTTCTATCGTACATAGGCATGACAACAAAATCTGAACCCACGGCAGGGGCGTAATCAGGATTTTGTCCAGGGGGTCCTTTTAGAAAAAAATACATCCGATAAAATAATTTTATTAGCTTTCTAAATCATTCATGATATAATTTTTATTTTAAAAAACTTGGTAAATTAAATATTTGTCGAAATTGTAAAAAATATCGCTCTAAATATATCAAGCAGTTATTCATGATTTACTTAGACATTTGTTTATGAATGATGTTCTTTGTCAATACCATTTAGTATCAATAAGTCGAGTGGTTGCGAAAGGTTTAATAATGGATCTTATACTATTTAGTATTTACTAACACTTCCCCACTCGAAAACCAACTTATACGTGCTTAAAGTTTTAGCCAATTCGAATATAATGTGCTTAACAAATGGAGTTCCCAAGATTCGAATACATGGTCTCTTGGTCAACTATTCTCAATTAGAAGTGCCCTAAATTCCATACTCAATTAACTATTGTACTAATTTACTCATTTTCATCACTAAAAGCCACCCGTTACTCTCCCTACCCCTGATTGACATAAAATTATGTTTACAAATTAAGCGGATCATATGCACCATTTCATTGTATATAGTTTGTTATAACAAAAAAATATGTCAATGCACAACTTTGAAACATACATAAAAATTTTCCTAAACGATTAACTATTATACCGAATTTACCATTATTCCTCCCGAGTCAGGGTGGGTCCCGGGACCCACCCTCTATCCCTCTCCCTCCGCCCCTGCCCACGGGAACCCTACCTGACCTAACCCGGTCAACGCCGCCGCCGGCAAAGCAGTAGATGGCGCCGGAGATGGATCAGGACGTTTGTTCGTCGCCGACGACGCCTCGGCAGGACGTCGCCCTCGCCGGCGGCGGTCAAATGGCAGTCAAACGACGAACAAACATTACCTTCTGTCGTCGTTGGCGGGAGGTGGCGGTCTCCGGCGGGAGGTAGCTGTCGCCGGCGGCGAGTATTGTAGGATTGTGTCTGGAGAAAGTGTTTGAATATTTTGGTCTTGGAATGTGTGAACTAAATGTATTTAAATGTGATGGGTATTATTGTACTTTTTATAATTTAGGACTACAAATAAAGACAATTTAGGGCTACAAATAGTACGCCCCTTAAAGAAAACAGAAAGAAAGAATCTATGCTCCACAAAGTTCTGGACTGTTTCTGGTATTCATATAGAAAAAGGGTACCGATAATAAAAAGAAGAGTGCCCTTTTCCCCTGTGCACGATATGTCAGTATGAGAACTACAGTACAGACGGCTTCACACGCATGCATTTTTTAATTTTTTTTATCAAAATAGAGAAAGACCGAAAACCCTGCCGACTGCCTACCTACGAAATTCCGCCCTAATTTTTTTACCCTCCCTAATACCCCTTTTGCAGCTATCAAATTCAGCTGCTACCAAGAAATATTTCAGCCAAAAAGAACACCTTAGTCTTACTGCTGCCGGAGCAGGAAGGAAACCATCTAACAATAAATGATGCAGCAGAAGCATATTTCCCCAAAACCCCGCATGGTTAAAGAGCCCTACTATCTAAATCTCTGAGACAACCTTTCTACTTCTTCCCTTTTTTCCCCCTCATCCTTGCCCAGTCTTGGAGTTATTGGAAAGTTTGAAGCGCACGCACCAGTCTTTGTTCAGTCGATTTCCACTGGCACCTTCTTCTCCAGCATCGATGTACCGCCGAACATCGTCAGCTGGAATTCCTTCGAGTACTTTGTCCACTACAACATCGAAACGGGAGGTGGAGTCAGTTATGGCTGCCCACAGAAGGTAGTGTGTAATCCAAATGCAGGTAGAACATAGCAGTAAGTAAATAAATGACATCATGTTATTACCGTCCCGGGACAGCAAGCAAAGGGGGTTTCTTTTGGCTAACAGATAGTTTGCTAGTTTTGCCTCCCGTTTGTACATTAATGAAAATGATGAAGGACATTAATCAGTTGCAACTTACATTTTCATCGCTCATCCTTTCGAAGCCAAATCTTTTAGTCCAGATCGATTCGGCTTCCACAGCAGCGGGAAGCACCAGGCTCTCCACTTTCAATGAGCTCAGAAATCTCTCCACGCATGAAAAGAGAGCTTGGAAGTAACCCTAGAGATAACAAAAGCATGTCGATTAATATCCAAAGAGGAGGACAAAACCAAGAGCAGAACAGTAGCCAACACCACCAGATACTTACTTTCCCCTGATGCTTTCGACTGGTCGCCACTAGGGGAAGTTCCGCAACCTCACTGCCGAAAAATCTAAGAAGCCCAGCAGATACCACAACATTCCTGCATACCATACATAAGTCGCTAATTAACAAAAGCAGCAGTAAGGGCAAATGATACAGTAAAAAATAGGATGCTTTTTAACATACTTCACAGTCAGAACCACGCAATACATCCCCTGGAACTCTTGTCCAGATATGTTCCTCCTGCATGCAGATAAAAAAGATGATCAGCACCTTCAATCAAGAACTTTGTGCAATAAACATGCTCACAACAAGGATATACAATCCACCAAGAAACAAAAATCAGAAGGGATTAAACTGATCACGAGAAGTTTCCAGTGGCAAACTTCCAGTTTGTAGGTAAAAAATATTCATTATCCTATGAAGTACAGTTTGGACCAAACAATCCAATAAACAAAATTCACGACTCGCGTTTCATTGATCGGGATCATAAAGCAACCAAATACAATTTTCATAAGCAGGGCACATTGCTTTAAGTGCTAGCTCTGTTTAATTAAGGATGTTTTTAGTGCTTGCTTTACTTGTCCAGATGGTGTTATTTATTTCTCATGGCATGAAGTTTAAGCAGAACAAAGGATCAGCTTAATAGCAACAAAAACAGCTCCAAGCAGAGGACAGATGAACAACTTACCCATACACCATAAGAGGAATCAGATCACGACCTTTTCTAGCTTTGATGGGATCAAAACACTCCTGGAACATGTTGGGATTGAGTAAGAATGGGAAGTTGGGAACTGAAGCTAAATTTGAAAGAAGGCGATTCCTAAGCTTCAATAAAGTGCAAAGCACTGAGACATGTGTGGAATCAAACAAAAAAACACCTCACCCGAAAAATTGATGTAGCTTTCGAAAGGAAGGGAAGATCTTCTTCACGGCGTTCTTTTCCCATCAGAATATGCCATTGGACATTAGCTCTATCAATGTTTAATCCTCTCTCTGAGTGCTTTCGACAGATGATGTCCAGCTGAGAATCAGATACTGTCTGCACCCCACTAGAAATAGACTTCTGCAGAGCGACATAGATCCGATAACATTCATTACAGCAAAACCATTTTCCTTCCGGTATTTCCTACAAGGAAATTTCATAAAATGATTTGTCAGTACCCCGTTGCTGTGGCGTAAAAAAAATGTTAAACTGCAAGATTACCAACTTACTTTTAAATCACACAGACCACGCTCCCTCAAGCAACCAACGTGGAATTCCCTCTCGCACTGGGAGACACGAAGATGAGATTAACAACCATAAAATACAAAATCAATGAGAGAGCTATGGAGGGGCAAAGACAATCAAGCATGCATACCTGATCACAGAAGATAACTGTGCGGTCATCAAAAGTACCAGAAATAAAATCACGAGCCCTGAAAAGATAACCAAACTAAAAGTTTGAGCTTGCTCTTGTTTAGGACAAGCCAAATGGAGTTAGAAGTTTCAGACCAACAAACCTGCAAACAACACAACCACCAACATCATATTCTGGTGTTTGAACAACTCGCTTCAACCGGATGACATTAGCTCTAGCAAAATTTTCTTCAGGACCAACTTCCTTGCAGTCTGGACAATGCCAAGGACCTTCTGGAATATACTGTTGCTCTATACATGCTGCAACAAAGGATATCCAATTAGATCAAACAAGAATGCAAAAGGCAATTAAAGCATTACATACTTCCATTCAAGTAGAGCACATAGTTCTTATTTAAGTACCCACAAAAGCAGATAAACAAATATATCTGTCAATTAACTAATACTTTTCTGAATGAACAGGACATGGACAGCTAAATCCTGTATTAGAATCACATCAATAATAATAAGATTAAAGAAGAAAAAGAGACATACCTCGATGGAAAGCCTGAGGGCAATTATCACAATAAACAAGATCCCCTCCATCTCCACATTTTGCACACATATCATCACTGACACCAGTAACAAGATTTTGCCCATTTGCCAATGAAATGGCTATATCATGGAGGCTCACTCCATTAGAAGTATAGATGTGACGATATCTGCACAACAACACAAATACCTGATTAACAATGAATCGCAATGGAAAAGGTTCCCACATGAGTTCAGAAGCTACTCACGGTTGACGCCTTGCAGCCATTCCAGCATGGGCTTCAAACTGTGAAGGACTGATCTGAGTTGGTGAATGAAAGATGCCAGAGAAAAGTTAGTTGAGAATCAGATGCAGAAATCCAATTCCACGTGATCACAATGATTTTGATCTGACCTCTTTCTTACAGCAGTTGCAAAATATACCGTTGCCCAACTTGTAGCCACTCAGCATTTCCTGGATAAAAATATAATAAGATTTACAAATGCTAAAATGATGCATTTGCAAGAGATGCCACTAACATGACAACCAACAAACTCACCTGTCCTTTAACAAAGTAAGCTAATTCAGCACCATCAGGGAGACCATTTGGCATGAAAAGTAACCGATGAAGATCATTGTCCCTTCTGAGATTGATAAGAGTGGAAAATTAAGGAGGGAACAGGACTCGAAAGAAAATACAGCTAGGGAGCTATAGAGGATGATGTTTAGTATGAAACACTATGAAAAGAACTGAAGAAGCAGTGCAAAGAAGGAGCTGACGGAATAATACCTTCTTTTTGAATTATTTTTCCGAACAGAGCCAGAAGCATGGTCACGAGCTCTGCAAGATGGGAGTTACCATGAATTCTATCAGTTATTGTACATAGATCCAGAAAAGAGTTGTGGGGATTGACAAATAGGAAGCTGCATAAGGGGGACAATAAAATGAAATTTTAACATAGACATGACGAAGATGGATCACCGCTTCATCGAACGTTTTTTCCCAGATGTAGTCTCCATGTACGGCTGCTGGCTGATTGACCTGTTATCTACATAAGAACCATACCCACTCCAGTAACTTTCTTCAAAAGCATGACTAGAGCAGCTGCAAAATCAAAACAAAATACCCTTAGCAAATCACAAACAGTCAAATGTACATGATGAACACATTTAGGAAAAACGAATCAAATGTACACCTAGCTTTCTCCAACAATCGCAATTCAACATCTGTTTTAGTGTGATGAAAAAAATGCATGCATCTATATACACTACACACAAATAGACGACGGATAATGCACTGTCACAAACCTTTGGACATGATCTGCTGTTTGTTCAATAAAAAACGTTGACCATCTATGGGCACAGAGATTTAGACCACCTATCTTATGATACCAATCAAGTTCTCTAGTTTCTCAATCATGAGATGAAAATATCTCAAATCTAGATAAAGAACCCCTAATAACCAAACAAATCAAAGAATTTCATTATCGGCCAAAATAAGTAAACATTTAAACCAAAGACAAAAGGTACTGTAATAATATAAAATAAAATAAAACGGATGCTTGTCTATGGTCAAAGAATAAGAAGATTCAAAAGTAAGCAAGAGCGTCACATATGTGCAGCTCATGACTAATAATATATCTAAATCAGAGAGAACTAAGTGAATCCTCATTGCAGCTCCATAACGCGAAGCATGATTACCCACAGAGCAGGATAAAATTTACCTTTCCAACATGTAGACCAAATACAACACATTAAGGGGCATTTCAAAATATGACACTTCTCCAGATTTGGAGACAAGTCACAGGATCAACCTTTCAAATCTTAAAGTTACTTTAAGACAAAGATACAGTTCCCATGATACCATTCAACACATCCAACAGACTGCAAGCTTCATCAAACCATCAAATTCAAAGACTTCCAAGATCAGACGAAGACATGCTCAAATATGAATTCACATAAGGAGAATGTGTTAACTTGGCCAAACCAACATATAGAAGAGACAAACACGGGAACAATTTGAATGTATATAAGGAAGGAAAAGAGTTTAAATTGCCGAACTAGCACAAAGGATATAGATGAAATTCAGAAGGTAGTAATTGTTACCTGACATCAGACTGAAGTAAATAACTAGGCTTTTTGACAAAGTAGGTATCTTCTTCAACCATGCCATAGCTCTGCTGAAACCCAGCTATACACAATTTTATTTGAGGGGGAGGTCAGTCAGGTTACTCACTTAGTTTGAGGTAGTTAATAGAGCAATTAGGACAAACGAGGGTCGGAGAATCAGATGTACCTATCCAGTTCTGGAAGAACTCTTCGTTGAGGGAGGAACCAACCGCATCCCTTATCACTTCCTCAACTTCATTCAATGGAGCAGTTTTTATCTCGTGAACGACACTACTGATTGGCTTGCCGTTGTCTAAATATATGTGGCTGTTTGGATGCCTGGTCTTAACACCAGCATGCTGCTCAAACTCGTATGCACTGAGAACCTGCTCATATATTATTTCGTTGCTAAATAATCCATTAACATCAATAAGGTAAACAGCCATATGCCAAGAAACCTACCTTGGAGAAACTGCAGACAGAACAGCCACATAGATATCCGCCACCTGCTATGACCCCCTCTAACTCTCGCTGGGAAATAAATAAATAAATAGAAATCAAAATTAAGCCTATGTTTAGATTCAACTTTAAGATTCCCAGAAGGAACAAGAAGGACAAGACACTCACCTCTGGAGCAAAAGATATATATCTGACCCGAGCACCATCAAGGATCCCAATGGCGAGCAATTTCTTCACATTCGTTGGATAGTTGGCTAAAAGCTTCTTAGACAGGGTAGTTTCCATAGTGGGCATAAACGAGTAAGCATCTTGCGTTTCAGTCATATAGACATCGGAATCAGTCCATCCAGAGTACCCCCTACCATATTTCTCGTAGCCATATGATGATTCGTGAACATTGTCGTCATTCATGTGCTCGACCGAGGTAGGAGCCGCGGGAGCAGTATCATAATCCTCTTTCCTTTTGCTGAACTTAAAAGTAATCTTCCTAATCCCCGAGGAACTGCTAGCATCCTTGGGAATCTCCAACACCACATGGGTCGTGGAGAATGGACTGAAGGAATCATTGGCCGAATTGTTGGTTTTGTTTCCGCTGCTGGGTTCCCCATCTTCGCTCAAGGTCTCGGCTGGGCTGGAAGAACCAGAAGAATGTGACGTCACTTCGCTCGAACCCACTTCATTATTAGTCCTCGCCACAACTTCAGTCCTCGGGCTGGCAGTGCCCAAGCAGCCACCAGAGGCGGCGGCATTATTCTCCCTCGGGGAAATTACTGGGTTGTAAACCTCAGACGTCATGTCCTCGTGGGAAGCTTCTTTCCCCTGCTGCTCCTTAACGGGAGGCAACCCCAGTTTCGAATCTTTAGGCTCCGGGGTATCCCCATCTCCATCGCGGCTCAATGGAATTGTTTCAGAACCATTCTTCTTATCGTCCGTAACCCCATCGACAGTGACCTCCTCCTGACAAGCTGCAATTTCCCCCATTGTGAACTGAACCACACTTGCCAGCACTCAAATCACAGAAGCAGGTGATTAAAGCAATGCATGTTGCTGCATCAAATTCACAGAATTAAGAATTAGCGCAATTCCCAGAAGACAAAAAAAAAATCATCAATACCGTTTTGAGACTGGTAAAAGGATGAGGGGGGAAACCGCTAAAACCGCTCCAACAAAAATTCAAAAAATAGTAACACGGAACTAAAACTGCCAAGAAAAGGTATTAATTAAAATAAAAAAACAAGAAAAGCTCTAAAGGCAACCAACCTACCTCGATACGAATTCCAATCAGGTAACTGGGAAGTGGGGGATTGAGTATCAGATTCAAGAACACAGAGAGTAACAGTGAGAGAGGAGGAAGGGTCGTTCACATAGTCGGAATCCAGATCTGGGTTGATCTGAGAGGTCCGTGAAATCTACAACAAATTCTCCGAATCAAGAAGAAGAAGAAGATAGAATCAATCAATTTTGTTAAAAAGAAATGAAAGGAAGTTGGATGGGATTAGGAAAGAAGGCGAAGGGGGGGTGAATTTAATTGGAGATAGGGTTAGGGTTTTTGTTTTTTCTTGGTTAAAAAGGGAGATTGTGATGGTGGTGGTGGTAGTAGGGGGTAAATTTCTTTTTTGCAGCGGGAACGTGGAGAGCGGCAAAGTAGCAGAGAGGGAGAAGAGGCTTGGTTCCCGGTCTAGATTTTTACTGTTTTAGAAAATCTTGAACAGAAGAAGAGAGAGAGAGAGAGAGGGAGCTGGAGGACAGAGACGGAAGAAAAGAAAGGAGGAACTAACTCGTATTAAAATAAAAATGGAAAATAGAATGACGGAGATATTGGAAGAAAGAGAAGGGACGAGAAATTGAGTGGATAAAACAGGGTGGGGCCCTCGCTGCGGGGTTGCTTCGCCGAGTTGTAAAAGGTTGTTTCTTCTTTGCTTTTGCGTTGGTGGGCGGAAGCGATTTGAACACGTGGAGAGCCGTGATGGAACAAAAAAGTGGGAACGGGGAAGTAGTTAAGGGGTCAGTTTGGAAGTTGCGATAGTTTTGTTGAGATTGTCATTAGGTATGTATTGTTTACAATGCATAATTTTTTTTAGCAGAAACAATACATTCTGTGATGTGACAGAAACTATCACTCATTTTGAGTACTTGTTATATCTCAACTTTTAGTTGTGATTGTTGAGATAGTTGAGTTGAGATTGTTTTGTCTCAGCTTTCAGCTGATGCGACATACACAATCACACATACCAAACGGTGTATTCTACAATGCATCAAATTCGACAATACATGTATAATATTATACATTTATTCTCAACAATACATCTATTTAACAATCGCAACTTCCAAACGACCCCTTAAGTTTTTTTATAGGAAACCTGGGTAGTATTATTTAAAAGACGGATCAAACCTGATCCAAAGAACCACAACCCGAGTCAGTCTCAATCATACATAGTAATGTGAGGGGAGGGGCATCAACCCAAACCACCCTGATGATTCCAACCTGAACCAGAGTGGGCTAACCAATGGGCCAGGGAATTAGTCTTTCTTGGCGAGAATTCCCATTTCACCTTTACACCAGACAGAGTCTCATTCTCACCCGCCATTCTCTTGAGTTCATCGCACAAGATCCCTAACTTTGTGAAATCAGCCTCCCCTCTATTCAGCAAGTTCACCAGCACTTGGCAGTCCGATTCAATGATCAACGGACTGATAGATCTCCGGTTAGCTTCACGCAGACCCATCATCATCGCCTTTGCTTCAGCTTCAATTGGACGACAAATCCCCTTCTCTCTCTTCACCGTTGCTCCAACAAAACCTCCCCTCCAATCTCGGATGATGGCGCCCAGTCTGATTCCCTGCTGTTGAAGCACCCCTGCATCAGAATTCAATTTGAAGATCCCCTTAGGAAGAGGATGCCATCGGCCACCCCGCGGGGCTCTGCTCTCAGGTAGACCAGTAGAAGGAGTCGAAACAGGGGTGGGTTGCGCTTTCAGGTAGGAGGACAACCATCCCAGAGCTAGAGGTATAAATTCTTCTTCTTCTAGCTTCCGATTGTTGTACTTGTGATTGCACCTCTCCTTCCATAGGAACCACATGATTGAGCAGAATCTTTGAATTTTTTCTATGGATGAACTTTTGAAAACCTCCTTAAACCAGTCGATGCATGTCCTTCCTTCTCCCATCTCATACAGGTCTTTTTCATCATAGCTTCTCCACTGCCTTCGAACCCAGTCACATTCACGAAGGGCATGCATTTGAGACTCTGGAAGATTACAAAAAGGACAGTCCGAAGCAGCATTTTCAATCCAATCCTCGATATTGTGCCAACAGGTAAGATGTTCTTACTTACTTTCCATAGAAAGATCCGAACCTTAGGTTGAATCTGAAGTTTCCACAAGGAGTTCCAAAAATCATAATCATCCATGTTTCTATTGTGAAGTCGAGTCATTGTGTGTTGTTGTTGACTTCGAACATAGTGGTATGCAGATTTGACTAAGTAAGCCCCGTTGTCAGTAGCTATCCAGACCCTTGAGTCTTCCACCGGGGGGGGGGGGGGGGGACGAATAGGAATTTTTTATATTAGATCCTGATCACTTCTGGAGAACATATTCCTCAGTTTTGATTCGTCCCATCCGCCATAAACTTCTTCGAACACAGCACTGACCTTTATCTCAGGAGTTTCCCCATCGGGGGGAGGGTCAGCCTGATCGAAAGCCTTCCCCGGGATCCAAGCATCCCTCCAAATGTCTATAGAGACCCCATTGCCCACTCTCCACCTGAACCCTTCTTCAATCTTGTCATTTGCGCCCATTAAACTCTTCCAGATGTAGCTTGGTTGATATCCAAGCTTAGCTTTTAGAATATCAGTTTTTGGATAATAACCGGCTTTTAGGACTCTAGCCATCAACGATTGTGGTCTGGTCATCAAGTTCCAAATTTGTTTCCCCAGCATTGCATAATTAAAGGCCCTAAGATCTCTGAATCCAATTCCTCCATCTTCCTTGTCATCGCATAGTTCGTCCCAGTCCAACCAGTGAATTTTTATTTCCTTTCCCTTCTGCCCCCACCAAAAATTAGAGATGAGCTTCGGAATCTCAATTAGGGTACCATCCGGAATTTGAAAGACTAACATAGGGTATAAGCACTGGGCTTGGGCCACTGCTTTTATCATAATCTCCTTTCCTGTTTGGGACATCGTCCTGCTTTTCCAATCCTTTAATTTCTTCCTGATGCGCTCTTTAATATCCTCAAAGAGAGCTTTCTTAGATCTGCCCACAACCGTCGGAAGTCCCAAGTACTTCGACAGTTTTTCAACCTCTTTGATGCCCAAGGTACCACAGGACTCAAGTCTTAGACTTACCCGGACATTCTTACTGAAAGACAGCTTGGACTTGCTGAAGTTAATGAGTTGTCCTGACTCTTTAGCATAAATTTCCAAGATCTCTTTAAGCTGGTCGCATCCTCTTAGATTTGCTTTACCAAAAATCACACAATCATCAGCAAACAATAAGTGGGAGACCACAAGAGCCTTCTTTCGAATCTGAATACCATGTAACTTTCCATCCTCTTCAGCCTTTTTTATTAGTGTAGACAGCCCTTGTGCACATAAAAGAAACAGATAGGAGGACAAAGGGTCCTCTTGTCGAAGACCTCGAGAAGGGGAGAAAGTTTTTGTCTTGTGGCCATTTACCAATACCGAATAGGTAACTGATGAGACACACTTCATAACCAGGCCAATCCATCTCTCATCGAAACCAAGCTTCCTCATGAATTTTTCCAAAAAACCCCACTCCACACTTTCATAAGCCTTGGCCATGTCAAGCTTGGCTGCAAAATAACCATCCTTCGCTTTTTCCTTTTGCTTCATAAACTGGAAACATTCAAAAGCAACAATAACATTGTCAGTGATACTTCTTCCTGGGACAAAAGCCCTTTGCCCCTCAGAGATAAGATCATCCAAGATAATTTTGAGCCTATTAGCCAGGACTTTTGAAATAATTTTGTACACCACCCGGCAAAGACTTAGGGGTCTAAAATCTTTTGTCGTGCTAGGAGACTTCACCTATGGAATAAGAGCAATAAGCGTATGGTTTAGATCTGGGGGCAGAACTCCATTATTGAAGAAATCATAAACCGTCTCCATCACTTTAGGGCCAATAGTACTCCAATTTTGCTGGAAAAAACTTGCAGAAAAACCATCAGATCCTGGTGCTTTGTTTGGGCTCATCTGGTCCAGAGCCTGCTTAATCTCCTCTCCATTAATAGGCCTTAGCTGCAACCCATTCATAGCTGGAGAAACCTTCTTTTGAAGCACATTAATAATAACATCGGTCTTAGGAATGTTACCTTTGGAAAACAGAGTTTGGTAGTAGTTATAGATGCATTGAGAGATCTCTTTTTGGCCCTTAAACAGTCTGCCGGCTTCATTTCTAAGCATGTGACCCACAAGTTGACCTCTTTTTGACCTCGTTTTCCCTATGAACTACAAATGGGATATCAAGACGAGTAACATTTAAGTATAAAATGTGAACCACAAGTTGACGAAAGCCTAAAGGATCCTCATCAAGTGCATAGGGAAAACGAGCAAGCTGGTGATTTTTCTCGATGGGGGCACAAAAGTTTGATTTCAATAGTTTTGCTTGATGGGGTCAACTAGAATGTCCAAGAACATATTTACGTTGGTTGAAAACAACAACCTTAGGGGAACGAGTCACCTCTATCCCAATGAAGTTCTTCAACGAACCCAAGTCATTGATGGTAAACTTGCCATGAAGAAAGTCTTCCACATCCTGAATAAACTGAGCATTAGTACCATCAAGGATAATATCATCCACATAGATGAATGAAATAACGAAGTTGAAGCCCGATAAATGGATAGGCATGAGTAATTTACTCGACTTTGGACAAGGTAGAAGCTGAGAAGAGGTTGAGAATTTATTTGATATGAATCGTGCGAGGCCTACCGCAAACCGTAGATTGACTTTTGAAGGGCCCGTTTAGTATTGTTGCTTGTTTTTGTTGTCTGATTTGTTTTATAAAATTTGGAAAACCAAGAAAAAAATCGTGTTTAGTTGGGTTTTTATTTTCTGTTGTGAATCAGAGTTGCACAACAAGGCCCAAATATGTGAAACAACAATTTATTGCTTTGGATCTGTTTCTTGAACATGTTGCACACGGGTTTCATACTGGTTGTGCACTTGATCTCATTAAACCAGACCAGTTTTCGAATCCCCACAGAAGCAAAAAAAAAAAAATGTTATTTTAAACACAGCCCCCCCCCCCCAAACCCTTCCATTTTCTTCTCAACAGAGGCATCACCTCTGCGTCGCCCCTCACCTCTGCCTCCCCGCCGCGTCGGCCGCCACCTACGGGTCGCCGCTCGCCCAGCCTCCCCGCTTCCGCGCCGCGCAGCCCACCCAGCCCGCCCGCGTGCCCTGCCGCCGCCGCCAGCCCGCCCTGCCGCCAACCACTTCCCCTCCATAAAAGCCTCACTCCATCTCCCCGCAGTAGATAATTTCAACTTCTTCAAAGTATTATGTTAATCTACACTTTCTGAATATGTTCATGAATTTGACATGTATGTAGTGATTGCTAGCTTATTTATTTGTGAATATGGATTGATTGCTATGTTCTTTGTTTTGTGGTTTACCTCAGTTATGGAGAAAATTGTTGAAAATGGTGATGTTGATTGTGTGGAGATTCAGAAAATTGATAATGGGGAGAGGGATGATAATGGAGAAAATTTTGGTTTTTAGTTCTCATAGTACTAACTAAACACGTTTTTGTTTCTTGTTGTCAGCTTTCTTGATTTTTCAGATTTACCAACTAAACAGGTTTGTGTTTTCTGTTTTTTTCATGTTGTGGTTGTACGTCTGTTTACACAACACCACTGCAACCACAACAGCAACAAAATGATACTAAACGGGGCCTCTTTTGAAGATGACAAACTCTAGTATCACAAGGATGGGAAAAACCTTGATGAATTTCCATATAAACTTCCTCATAGAGATCACCATGAAGAAAGTAGGGGGTATGAAATGGTTTGGTATGCACCAGACAAAATCAGGAAAGTGTAAGAAAATCTTTTTAACATTAATGATATAATCACTATCATTTTGAAAATTTCAACCCTCTGAGTTTTGTTTTCTTCAATCACACGTCACACTGAATTAATACAATCTAATCGATTCCTTAATCTAAACTCCCTAACTTAACCTGTTTCTTATACAAAATGGATATGGGTAAGGAGACATTCGCTCTGCCCATTTCCATTTGTGTTTCTTAAATTCGGTGAAAGCATGCCAAATGAACTTGTTGAAATAGGGTGAAATATATTGGACGATGTTAAATTTTTTAAGAAGCATATATGTGTCGCTTAACTTTACTTTGAACATCATCTACGATTTCTCTTATCAATTTGTGATAGCTCCGTCCATCTCCCTAATAAGAAAACTAAAAATCATTAATATCCCCACATAAGAGTTTCTGTGTGGATACTGATTCATCTTCCTTCATTCTCCACATTTACAAATTGGTGTTTATGTAGGGGGGACTCGAGTTATCCTTTATCCCTCATCATTGCCCTTACCTAAGTTTGATTGTGGTGGTACCTTTATCTTTTCCATTGGCACCTCTTGTATAGAGATCTTTTGGCTACTGACCAAAGAATCCGTTGGCCATGATGTCAAAGATATCGAGTTAGAAATTCATGTTCAGAACTAACTAGGCTTGATGAAGTTATTGGTGTTAATATTGATCTCCTTTAGTGAAGAAAGGAGATGATGATTTTGGAGCTCGATGTATAACTTATTGTTGATATATTCACAATCTTCATATCCTCAAACTTCCCAAACTCAATGGAAATTTGTGAGATATTTTATCGAGACATCAATCTCCATCACACTCAATGCATTCACATTCCTAGTGATTCCTCTAAACAACTGATTATAGGGATGTTTCATATTCCGGAGCAAGGCTATGCAATATAGAATTGCACCTTTCAAATTGTTCTTGACCACACTTTGTGCTTAAAATTTTGGAGATAGGTGAACTATTCAGGTGTGTTTTAGATTATATTACCTTTCGGATTCATAAAATATTGGGCTTGTTTAGTTTGCCAAACTCGGGAGAAATAAAAAGGGACAAACTCTTTATACGTCATCCCTAATTTATTGATCTTCCCTATTTAAATCTCCAACAGAGGAATTAATGTGGAATTGGTTTTGATAGAGGTGGAGGTTACAAAGAATGGTTAGGTTTTCAATGAAGGATGAGATGTCATCGAGAAAATAGTTGGTGCCGATGTCGATATAGCGGACGAAACGAGAGAGGTAGGAGATGTTGGCAGGAAGGGGCCCGACCAAATATTTTTTGTGACGAATCTAGGTTTTGTATGTCGAACCAGTTCCAGAGGATAGTGAAAAGCCATAACCCATAGTGATCGATGAGAGATCAAAGGAAGACACAATTGTTAAGGTAGAGAAAATTACACTTTCATACTCACTAATATATTTTGGTATAAAATAGATAATGATACGACCCAGATTACATTTAATGATTTGATTACAACAAATATTAGGTGACTCAAAAGCTAAAATTTAAATTGCAAATGATGCAACCCACTACTTTTGTATAAGTGATCCATGTCGATTGTCGACCTAGCATTGGACGCTTCAGGTCGACCTCACAGTACAGATGTAATCCCCAACACGCTATTATTCCCCGCGTCTAAGAGCCGCCTAACTTGCTTTAAGAAAGGAATTTTATTCGGCCATTTCTGTACGCAGACCACATTATCGGAGGAGACGCTGTTCATTGCTTCTGCTCTCTCTATAATTCTCTCATCTTTCGATATCTCTAGTTACAGCTTTCCTTCCCTGAGTAGGATCTAACGCAATGGTGAGTTGATTCTTTTTCTCGTCTTCATGTTTCTCTTCTATTATTTCAGCTCTGATAGCCTAGGGTTTCCATTATTTTTTTGTCTTCGATTTCTGCTGGATTATGAATCTCCGTGTGAGGGAGTGCTCCCGTTCGATCTGTGCTCGATCTCAGCTGTCCTGAACCTGAAATTCGCTCAGATTTCGTCATTTATGCCGCTGCGGGCTATTTCTCCCGTGATCTAATCTTACCTAGTGCGTAACTGTAGAGATCTGAGTTGCTCTTCTCCTTCGTCGCATTTTCTTGCGTAGATCTATCGGAAGTTGTGCTGAATTTTGAACCGAGCTCGGATTTTAGCTGTATTCCTTCTTTCGATTGTGACGATTGCTCTTGTGTTTAGCTAAGAGGATCAAGGGTTCATTTGTATGCAATTTAGGCGTTTGGTTTTGTGTTCTGTATCTGTTGTCGAGCTGGATCGATGATGATGATGTTTGGCGTTAGTTCTGCAATTACTCCATGGCAGCTCCTCTTTCATTGATTTGCTTGTATTGCAGCTTTTCTATGGGTTTACTTGGTAGTGTTTCTATTAGTCATGATCCAAGTTTTGAGGTTCGAGGGAAACTATGAGATTTATTGCGTTATCAATTTAGGCTTTTCAATATTGGATTTGTTTTCCTCTTGGGATTGGATTTGGCAGTTAATGAATGAATCTGATCGATAGCTCCAAAAATAACTTGCGTCGACTTAGTAGGCTCGTCTTTGAATTATGATTCTGGCGTCACAGGGGAGCTAGAGTTTGACTTAGTATTGACTACTATGGACTGTACGTTCATGTTACCTTTTAGGCAAATGCAGCATCCGGGATGGCAGTCCACGATGACTGCAAATTGAAGTTCTTGGAGCTGAAGGCAAAAAGAACCTACCGCTCCATAATTTTCAAGATCGAGGAGAAGCAAAAGCAAGTTGTTGTGGAGAAGCTTGGCGATCCAAGTCAAAGCTATGAGGATTTTGCTGCTAGCATCCCTGCTGATGAGTGCCGCTATGCTGTTTATGATTTTGACTTTGTCACAGTGGAGAACTGCCAGAAGAGCAGGATATTTTTCATTGCATGGTAATTTTTAGTGTCTATGTTCTTCTTAAGTTCACACATTTGCATCATCTGTCCTTTATCCTGTCCGATTTGTATTTTGTCGTGTGCTGATTACACATCTGTTATGGTGGTGCCCTTCAAGGTCTCCTGACACAGCGAGGGTGAGAAGCAAGATGATTTACGCGAGCTCAAAAGACAGGTTCAAGAGAGAGCTCGATGGGATTCAGGTAGAGTTGCAAGCAACTGATCCTACAGAGATGGGGCTCGACGTGTTCAAGAGCCGTGCCAACTGAATGGGGACAGACATATAAGGGGCCATCTGTCAATGGCTTGTGGCCTTTCAGGATTTGCATTTACTTGTGGTGTTATGTTTATAGTTTGGTGTTGAATGGAGAGAATTGTGATACTGGTTTTCTGAGTTCAACCTGCTGTTCTGAACATCCTTTTGTTCGTTTGAAGCATGAATACCTGGCTTTGTGATCCATAGAACCTTTTTGTGTTCTGACTGCGTTTCTCGTAGTTGTATGTCTACGAGCTAATTTGTAACTGTGTGTTTGTGGAGGGGTTTTAGGCAAGGCCTTGAGTTGAGTTGAAGGTGGAGAAGTGCTTGACCATTGTCATTCTACTTTAGGATTGCTAAGAAAGGTGCCTCATATCCTGCAGTTACGAAGTTTGTTCTTGCTATGTACTTCTATTACTAAAGGAACTAAACTCCCTTTATATCTCCTTCTATCACGTTTACATATGGAAAAACCCCCCAATATTTGAGTATTTCCCAAGCCTAACTTAATTTGGGTAATTTTACTTATGAGGCATATTCATATTCAATTTTTTAGTTGGTTGTAAATTGGATCCATATTATACAAAGTCAAAAATAATATGGGTACTCAATATAAAATAACTTGAAAGTTGGAAACACTTTAATGTAAGGTGTATAATTGGGTCAAACAAAAAAAAAGTGTATAATTGGGTTGTACGTAGTTATTGAAATGGCTGGTAATTTTTGTTATGTGTATGCAATCATCTGGTCCCAGTTAAACTTATTTGATTCTAACACAAATGAATGGACCCAAATACTATAATTCAAATACAACCCAAACCCAATATCATTAAAAGTGCAAATAGTTCTATTTGGGTCAGGCCAACCATACGAGTCATGATAATTGGACCAAATTACCCAAGAAATGTACCCATTGTCATCTCTAATCACGCCTCTCCCTCCCTTTTTGTTGAAAAAACGGGACGCTAAAAGGGCACACTTGCCTGACACTTATATTAAAACGAGATTTGGCAATGCCCATACTGTCATACACAGTCCAGTGGATCCGAAAGAGTAATATCTAGAGGCCTAATTCTAAAGAATGCCTTTTATTTGCTAAGTAGTTTGCAACCCGATTACACTCTCTACAGGTGTGGATGAGTCTAACCTCCCAATTGAGATTCAAGAGATGGTTGAATTGACAAGCCAGAATGAGGTATCTGTGATTCGAGGATGATCATTAGTTGCATAGGTTGATAGAGCAGCCTTGATTGAATGTGGTGAATTGACTACTTTGGTCGAGAAGTCAATTCACCGCTCTGTACTGGATTTGATCCAGTAGAGGAGGTTTTGCACGTTAGGACCTCAGTTCATTTGCTCCGGTGGAGGTTGGTCGCCCGCTGGGTATTCAAACTGGGAGGGTCTGAAGACCTTTAGTCGAGACTTCAGACTGTCTAAGAACCTTCCGCAGTATAACTACCATTATATATGGACTTGGTGAATTACAACTCGGCTTCACTGCAATCTAGGGGGAACCATATCCATGTGACCTCTCTCAAACTGGAATCACAAATTTAATGCTTTGTGTTTGCTTAGATTAGTTACAACTTCACTACGTTCAAACCGCTAGATAACGAGAACTTCAAGAAGTAGTCATCACATCTAGGACCCGGGTTGACAAATAAAGCTAAACCCACTATACTACGCATTAGTTTGTGGTTACACTAAGCCACTTTCTAGTGTGACGGTATCGGGGAGTCACTTAACGGGTTGGTTCTTCTCATTGTATGGTTCGAGTTGTTAGCTTAATAGGCGGGCCAACTTAGCACCCTCGTTTGTCACGTCAATGGCTAAATTGAAGGAAAAATAATTCGAGTGGCTAAAGTATTACAAACAGATAATATGAGTGGCCAAATTTGCAATTCAATTGCTCCGAGTGGCTAAAGTGTCACACACTCACACTAGAAATTATTTACCCAAACAATTATTAACCTTTTGAACAATAGAGAGCCCAGCAGTGACTGCTCCCAAGTCCCAAATGGAACTCAACAACCTAGAACCCAAACGTCTGAAGCCTTTGTGAGGTATCATCAACCTTCGGATATCGCATCCGACAGAAAGAAAGACCGCCAACGCCGGTAGAGATTCACACTGAGCTGATCCCGTCTTTGTGAGAGAGCTACGGTGAGAAGGAGCTTCAAATTTCAAGCTTCAATATTAGCAGACGCCACCCTTCGTTTTTTTGCAGGCTTCGTGCTCGGTGAATTGCTTGAATGGAGGTAGCTACCTCTCTAGGCCTGAAATGCCACTCCTGGTTCCATGTCCCCCCTCACCGTTTCCCCTCTTCTTCTTCTCACAAACCCACATCTGATTCCACCCTCTCATTCGCATCCACGAGACAGCATCATGCCTCACTTACTACTGCACAATCTCCACTCCCCACCTCGCTCTTGCTCTCTTCCGACTTCACCACTCCTCAGCTGCTCGAAACCCTCCGCCAACAGCCGAACGAGTCCGCAGCGCTTCGGGTGTTCGAATGGGCTTCAAAGCAGCCAAATTTCGAGCCGAAGGCGTCCCTGTACGAGGAGATTCTCCGCAAGCTCGGCAAAGTCGGGTCCTTCGATTCGATGAAGGACATCTTGGAAGAAATGAAGAACGCGGGGTGTCCGGCCAGCAAAGGTATATGCTTAATCTTTGTTCAGAGCTACGCCGATTTCGATTTGTATGATGAAATCCCTGAATTACTCGAGTCGATGGAGGTTGAGTTTGGGTTTCAACCCGACACCCATTTCTTCAATTTCGTACTGAATGTTATGGTGGATGGTAACAAGCTGAAATTGGTGGAAATGGTGCACTCTAATTTGATGAGGAGAGGAATCAAACCCGACGTTTCAACATTCAACATACTTATCAAAGCCTTGTGCAAAGCACATCAAATTCGGCCTGCTAGTTTGATGATGGAGGAGATGCCCAGCTACGGTCTGCTTCCAGATGAGAAAACTTTCACCACAATCATGCAAGGGTTCATCGAAGAAGGAAACTTGGATGGTGCACTGAGAATGCAGAAGCAAATGGTGGAAGCTGGATGCCCCATGACCAATGTAACCGTAAATGTGCTGGTTCATGGCTACTGCAAACAGGGTAGAATTGCAGAAGCTCTGGGCTATATAGAGGAGGTCTCTAACAATGGATTCTTCCCGGATAAGTACACTTTCAACACTCTGGTGAACGGACTGTGTAAAGTTGGTCAGGTTAAGCATGGTTTGGAAGTCATGGATATGATGCTTCAAGAAGGCTTCGATCCAGATATTTATACTTACAACTCTCTGATATCCGGGCTGTGTAAAGCCGGTGAAGTTGAGGAAGCAGTGGAGATTCTGGAAGAGATGATTTCAAGGGATTGCTCTCCCAACACTGTGACTTACAACACTTTGATAAGTACCTTGTGTAAGGACAACCAAGTGGAGGAAGCTACTAAACTTGCCCGTGTTCTCACTAGCAAGGGACTTGCTCCTGATGTCTGCACATTCAATTCCCTCATACAAGGTCTGTGCTTGACCAGAAATCATTCACTCACCATGGAATTGTATCACGAGATGAAGAACCAAGGGTGCCAGCCGGATGAGTTTACCTACAACATGTTGATAGATAGCCTTTGCTACAGAGGGAAGCTGGACGATGCTTTGAACCTGCTTAAAGAGATGGAATCGAGTGGCTGCTCGAGAAGCGTGATCACTTACAACACGTTAATTTCTGGGTTCTGCAAAAACAGGAAGATCGAAGAAGCAGAAGAGATCTTTGACCAAATGGAAATCCAAGGGGTATCGAGAAATTCTGTAACATTCAACGCACTCATTGATGGATTGTGCAAGAACAGGAGAGTGGAAGAGGCTGCTGAACTAATGGATCAAATGATAATGGAAGGGCTGAAGCCGGACAAGTTCACTTACAACTCAATGCTCACTTACTTCTGTAAGGGAGGGGATATTCAGAAGGCTGCTGACATAGTCCAAGCCATGGCCTCGAATGGTTGTGACCCGGATATCGTAACTTACGGGACATTGATTGGCGGGCTGTGCAAGGCGGGACGTGTGCAGGTGGCGAGCAAGCTTCTGAGGTCCATTCAATTGAAAGGCGTAGTCTTGTCGCCTCATGCCTACAACCCCATACTGCAAGCACTGTTTAAGAAGAAGAGAAACACAGAAGCTATGAGATTGTTCAGAGAAATGATGGAGAGTGCTGTTGTTGATCCTCCTGACCAAGTCACCTACAAGATCGTGTTCCGTGGGCTGTGCAGTAGTGGCGGGCCCATACAGGAAGCGGTGGACTTCGTGGTGGAGATGGCGGAGAGAGGATACTTGCCGGAATTTTCGTCTTTCTATATGCTGGCGGAGGGGCTCTGTGAACTGTCGATGGAGGATACGCTGATGAAGCTTGTTGATCTCATCATGGAGAAAGCGAATTTCTCTGCCAATGAAGTGAGCATGATCAGAGGTTTCCTTAAGATTCGGAAGTTTCAAGATGGGTTGGCGACTCTTGGAGGTATACTCGATATCAAGATGCCGAAGAAACCGGCTTATAGGTGATGATGAAACCAGGAGCCTGATGGTTTGTAAGTTAAGAAATCAGTTCTTTTACTGCATTTTCTCATCATATATCAGCTATCGGAGAGGTCCATGCTTTGTGTTGTTTGTTTCCCTCGTTATGTCAAAGTTTTAGGAAGATGATTGGCTCAATTTCTTACAAAGTTATTTAGCTAGGAAAAAGATTGATATAGAAAGATTCGAGTTTTTAGATGTTAGTTTTTGCATTTGAAAATTGATGTTATATAAGTGTGCGAATTTTCACGAGCATGTTTTTTTAATCATTATCAGCAGATTCCGCATACGGAGTGCTCCGTAGCATAGTCGCATCTCTTTTCTAATTTTTTATGAGCATATTTTTCTTAAATGTATAAGAAATATCTACAAAAACAATATATTTTAGTTAGCTGTATTTTACTTAGTGGTCAGATTGATATGGAAGGAACCATTAGAAGATATGTCTCAGTCAAAGAGTAAATATATGTTATAAAAGTCATAAAAATTGAGAGTTAATGTTAATATCACATTATTGAATTTTTTTTTTACTTGGTCTCTATCACTTCAAATAAAATTTCTCTTTATATTGTTTAATAGCAACTAGAGCTTAATCAATCTATTTACATATATTCTTCTTGTAAATAATTAGCGACGCTGTACACACAGTATACTAAAAAATTCAAATAAAATCATGTTATGAGCTAAATTCTATGATTATTTATGAGTCCTTATAAGAAAACTCGGAAGCTAATTGAGTTATGCTTGACGAACTACACTAATCAAGCCATCACGTGACCTCTGAAGGATTCAACTCTCGAACTGAGTTCAACGAGCCACATAATCGAACTAGCACGCTAGCCTACAAGCTGAGTAGAGTCGTGCTCAATCTTGACTCACTTACTAACAAGTCTAGTCCCGGATGATATTTTCTTGATTCGAATTATGAGTTGCTCCGCTCGCCATCGACTCTATTCATTTGCATCCCTAACTAAGAGGGGCTTAGTTATAAGTAAGAGATAGGGGACTACGTTGGTAATTTTGAAAGAAAGTAGGGCTCGGAAAAGGTGCGGTCTGGTCCCGACCAGACCATATATACGGTCTATAGTCCAGACCGAGACGCTGAAGTATAGACCACAGACCAGGCCACAAACTATACGGTCCGTTCCAGACCACGCATGTGCGGTCTGGTCTGGTCCATATAGACCACACTCAACGAAAAATGAATAATTTGTTTAGTCAACCACACAAAAAATTGAACCAATAAACAAGAAAATAATTGTTATTTTCCTTAACACATTAATCCTAACATGCATGAATAATTTTGATACCCTAAATCTTAGTACATAACAAATATACAAAATAAAAGCATCCCAACTTGCACTGTAACGTCATAAACATTAACATAATGTCATATGGAACACAATTATCTATACTCCCTGGTTAAATGTGGTTGTGAATGAAGGAGGGACGAGATTCAAAAAACTAGGGTTGAGACTTGGGTGTCGTTCTGGGAGTTGGGAGAGTGGTCGAATGGGCTTTTAACACGTATTGACAAGTCAGTTGGGTCCGGTATATCGCGGTCTAGACCAGACCAGACCCAAAAATAAAAACATAAAATAATACAGACCATAGACCAGACCAGACCATACTTAACAATCTACGGTCCGGACCAAACTGTGCGGTACGGTTTGGACCACGGTTTTTCTAACGGCCTGGTCTATTTTTTCCCGGCCCTAAAAGAAAGTAGCTAGGAACGAGGAAGTGTCATTTGGATGTAATTGGCGGGATAGGTAAAAGATGTCAATCAAAATCCCTAGCCTATCCCTATTCTTCTTGGTTCTCTGCCGCCTTCCTTTCCCTTCAATTCTCGTTCCCCTCTCTTGCTCTGGTCAGCCAGTGCCATTCCCACTGACTCGCCGGAGACTTAACGAGTGAAGTCCGGCCATCTGATTAGTCAATTAGATGCACAGAGATATTAATTATTCCGGCCACCGGTGGAGTTATGTCAACAACACACCAGCAATTGAGTTCCACGGGCAGCAAGATCATCCATTTCCTGAGCCGTTGCTCTTCCGCCAGTCACCTTCACCAAATAGAAGCGCAGTTCATCCTCCAGAGCCTCCACGCCGATACCAAAATCGCTTACCACTTCATCAACGCCGCGGAACGCCTCTCCGTCCTCCGTCCATCTCTGCCGCTCTTCTTAATCCATCTCCCCAAGCCCCATGTCTTCACTTACAACACTCTCGTCAAGGCCTTCTCGCACTCCAAGGACCCTGACCTCCCACTCTCCTTGTACACCCATATGCTGCAGCGTTCTCTACTCCCCAATAACTACACTTTCCCTTTCCTTCTCAAGTCCTTGTCCGACTTCCGACGCTTCAAGCAAGGTCAGTGTGTGCATTCTCACCTAGTGAAATTGGGCCATCTGAATGATATCTATGTCCTGAACTCGCTGCTTAATTTGTATGCCTCCTGCGGGAGCATGGACATGTGTCGCAAAGTGTTCGATAAAATGTCCGACAGAGATGTGGTGTCCTGGACTGTGTTGATTAAGGGTTACGGAAAATCTGGCAAGTTCCACGATGCATTGATTGCTTTTGAGATGATGCCATATGATGGCGTGGTGCCCAATCATGTCACCATGGTGAACGCGTTGGCTGCTTGTGCTGGTTCAGGGGCTATCGAAATGGGAATCCGGATACATGATTTTATCACCGCGAGTGGGTGGGAGTTGGATGTGATTTTGGGGACTTCTCTGGTCGACATGTATCTGAAATGCGGGAGAATTGAGGAGGGAACAAGGGTGTTCAGAAGCATGAAAGACAGGAACCTGTTTACTTGGAATGTGTTGATCAAAGGGTTGGGCTTAGCTAAATGTGGACAAGAAGCTATATGGTGGTTTAACAACATGGAGCAAGAAGGATTGGGGATTGATGAGATTACTTTGGTGAATGTGCTTACTGCCTGTAGCCATTCGGGTTTCGTTGACGTTGGAAAGCAGATTTTCAATTCCCTGCTTCATGGGAAGTATGGATTTCCCCCAGGGCTAAAGCATTATGCTTGCGTTGTCGACCTCCTAGCTCGTGCAGGGTGCTTGTATGAGGCTTTAGAATACATCAGAGAGATGCCCTTTGAGCCAACGAAGTCCATGTGGGGGTCTTTGCTGAATGCTTGTAAAGATCATGGGAATCTAGAACTTGCCAAGTTCATAGCTGAAAAGCTTGTGGAATTGGAGCCTGAAAACAGTGCTTACTATGTGGTTCTGGCTAACGCGTATGCAGAGATGGGAAGATGGAACGATGCTGCTGAAATCAGGAATATAATGAAAGAAAAGGGACTCAAGAAGGAGTCAGGCAGCAGCTTGGTCGAATCAAATGCTGGCGCACAGGTTGTGTGCTCTGCTGATGGAGGATACTTGGGGTGTTCATACGGATAGCAGTAGAAGACCAAAGTTGTTGAGAAGCACCTCGAGGAATCTTCCAGTACCAAACCCATAGGTTCTGAAAGGTGTGGGCTGGTTCCATTCCTTTCCCTGGGGCTTATGTTTTGTGAAATCTCCGATCTATGCTTGCTGCGGTCCCACGTTCACAGCCGCACTCAGGTTTTTGTTTGTTCTGCTGGGTTGGGGAAGATCAGTTAATATGGATACTTGGTTTATTTTGGCGAGTATCAAAAGGAAATTAGGTTTAGGTGGCCTGGTTATAAACTTTGATAACTGCTGCAGTGATCCATTATTTATACATACTAGTTTTTACCCGAAGCATTGGTGGGATGAATTCAATCTTATTTGTCTACCGCTTTATGATAATCAATTTATTTAGATTTTCAAATGATTTGGGGCATACTCAATAGTTTATAAAGAGTCGAAAGTAATCTTTGTACTACTTGATAATGGTGATATTAATAATAATTAGTTCATATGTATTTTTGTTGATCGGGTTATCCTAAGTTACTATTGTCTATTTATATTTCATATTAGAAAAATTTGCACCACTTATTGTATACATAAATTGCGTATAAGTATTTCTTCATATCTGTATTATTTACTTTGTTCTCTATTGAATCCAAATGGAACTAAAACAATTATGCATTGAAATAGTAATTTATGAACTTCAAGTGATTAGCCTATTGCTAATATAGAAGCATTAAATTCATCATCTAATGAGTTCAAACTTAATGATAAAAAATCATCTAAAACTATAATAGTTAAGAAGTAAGAACACATAAATTATTAATACTAATGAGCTAGTTGAGTTGAAAGGACTATTGACAAATCCAAAACTGTTGGGTATGGATTAATATGCCTACACGACTATAAACGGGCCCAAGCCCACCGCAAGGCGTCATGGGCCCAAGCCCACTCAAGGAAGCCCAAACCCTATATAAGGAGGCCTAACCCTCCAAACTAAAGGATCCTCTCTTCCCTTCCCACACTCTTACCCTAAGGTCTCTCTCTAAACTCTCTCTCTATATACCATAAACCGCTTCCTATATCGTACTAACTTGGGCGTCGGAGCGTAGATCCCGGGGGCCGCCCCCCGCCTCACAGGTTCTTCCACTCCCGAGGAGATCAGATGAGGGAGTCCAGATCGGAGCCCCATAACCGCCTAGTACATTCTAGGCTCAAGCAATTTGGCGCCCACCTTGGGGCACTGATTTGGATATCCTGATGTTTGATCTCCGAAGGGGGAAGAAATCGGTCCCTCCTCCACCAAATTACAATCGATGGCATCGTCTGCCAAAACCTTCCAAGAACCGCCAAGGAGCAAAAGAAAAACGATGAACATCAAGAAAGAGAAGAGAGCAGGAGATTTATACAAACCAAAAATCATTGAAGCATGGAGAAAAGAAAAGAGGAAGGAAATCAGCTCTTCCTCAACCATCTACAAGCAACAACAGCGACAAAATCCGACCAAAGCCGCTCGAGCAAAAGAAAAGCGCTCAGATCTACATTTTCTTGGAAATAGATTCTTTCCTCACCAACCACACAAGTATTAGCAGCAAGCATCAAGGGAGATCTTGACTTCGTTCCTGCTCCACACCACAAAGACAAATCTAGAAGAAGCCAAAAGCAAAAGAAGAGAAAGAATAGACATATTCAGCTTCGGTCAGTTGACCACCATCCCATCTCCGCCAACTCAACCCGCGCCTTCACAAGTTTCCGCCAAGACAAGTTTCCGCCAAGTCACTCACCTCCGCAAACAAAGCTTGTCCATGCCGACAGTAGTCATCATCAGTTCATTCTTCCCAAACCACCACCGATCCTTCCAGTCATTCGCCACTGCTAATCCCGGCTTGATCAACACCGCCAATCCCCACTGCCGGCTCATCGAAGAACAAAACTGGAAGCTTGGCCGAAAGGGAGAACTCAATCGCACATGAAGCCAATAAAGACGAAAGAGGAAAAAGAAGAGCTTAAGGAAGAAAAGCTTGATTTGTCTCCGCCGGCGCAGCGCGTCGTCTTCACTGGTCGTCGCCCAACCACTCACCTCTGCCGGCAAAACTCGCCGTAGCCACCAGTCGCCGCGTTATTGTTAATCCCCGCTATAATCACCAGTAGCCACCGAGCTGCTCGTCAACGCCAGTGTCGATGTTGCTTCCCTCCATGTTCATCACCGTCACCAACCAGCCGAAAGCAATAAAGTGGAAAACCTAGAGTTCGGTCACCAACAAGTAGCAGCCACAGAAATCTCCAAATTCTGACCGTCGGAGTTGAATTCGGCGCCGGAGCTCAGATGGAGCAGTCAACATCGTCCCGGTCTCTTCCTACTGCGCATCTACAGTAAACGGCACCACAAATAAGAAGGAAGGAACAGTCGTGTCAGTCACCTTTTTCTCCCCCCATGTCCGTCAGAAGGCAGAGTTCCCGAGATGGCAGTGTTATCGAGGCCAGGCTGGAGTCAAAAGACCTCCGAGCGGGGAACGCACAACGGAAACTGAAAATTAGAGATGCCTAACCTCCTGAGCTCAATCGCTCAACTTGCAAGATGTCCACCTCGCTCAATATGCAGCAAGAGGTCAAATCAAAATACCGCCGGCCGAATCAAAGGGAACCACTTCACGTTGACATCCGGACATAAAAGAAAAGGAAGCAGCTGATACCCAACCGAAATAGTAGATGAGGATGCCGGATGAAAGAATAATCAATCACGCCAAGCAAAATACAGAGACACGCCAATTAAGAGCCGCGACGCAAAGTCGGTGACTGAACGCCACTCTCAGATGCATAGACGACGACCGCCCAAAAGAAGAATAAACACACGCCCAACAATCAAGGGTGCTAGGAAGGAAAGCGGTTCTCGGAAAGCGGCCTTCTGGATTCTTCACGTCGCCTTGCTTAAAAGGGAACGCTCAAGAACCAAAGAAGCAGATGCACTTGAAGACAGTGGAAGAAGCATTCCCTAGATTCTATCATGAAGAAAAAGAAGATTAGAAGAGGCATCTAACACCTTAGAAGAACGGACCGCCTGCTCACACCATTAAAGCCCATCAGACGCATAGTGATTCCCAACCATCAGAGGCATCTCAACAGCCCACATCAGGCCCGCCTCGCTCATTACGCACGACGGCCCACTTTGATTCTACCACACAAACGCCCCCAACGCTTAAAGTCCGACACCTCCAATCAAGCCCATCTCCGCGACCTACATGGACCGCCTCCAGCCCATCTCCGCGTTCATCAAAGATTGCCAAATGGGCCGCCTTCATTCAGCCAAGCCCGTCCCAACACCAGCAGCTTCAGACAGCCCAACCAGGACTCCAATTAAAAAAATAAGAGAGCCGCCTCCGCCCACTTTGATTCTACCACACAAACGCCCCCAACGCTTAAAGTCCGACACCTCCAATCAAGCCCATCTCCGCGACCTACATGGACCGCCTCCAGCCCATCTCCGCGTTCATCAAAGATTGCCAAATGGGCCGCCTTCATTCAGCCAAGCCCGTCCCAACACCAGCAGCTTCAGACAGCCCAACCAGGACTCCAATTAAAAAAATAAGAGAGCCGCCTCCGCCCACCTCCCATTGACTTGGAAATACACCTACCAGTATGCTACAAGGATATATGTGTTAACATCTTGCGACGCCAGATATTTATCCATCTGGACCGCCCAAAGAAAGACGAGACACGTTCAGCAAAAAAGTAGAGAACCGCCTGCGCCATGCTTCGAACCAACAACCTCTCATTCACAAGTAGACAGCCCAACCAGTAGACTACAAGGATGTAGAGTTAATGAAGGACGCAGCAACCCACACTTAACCGCTCTCCACAGTAACCGCTTCCGCAAGCCAACAGTCACAATGTGGGCCGCCATAAGGCACATGGGCCCGCATCACAACCCGCCAACCGCAACTTGGCCCCCATCCCTCTGAGGAATCCACCATAAGACCGCCTCACCCCAAAAATATTGAAAGAAATGCGTTCTCCAAGTTTCGAACCGTGACCAATAAGCATTATACTTTTGAATCAAGGTCCACATACCAGCAGACTACAAGAGCATCTTCTATATCAAGACCGCTTCATTCTCTATTTTGTCGTGAGCCGCTTCCACCAAAGCAAACAACTATTAGGAACGGTTCAGTCTTCATCTTCACCACCCGCGTAGAATGGGCCGCCCCTCCAAATTCTCAACCCGCCCCGGATCGCTACATCCCCGGATCGCTACATCAAGAAACCGCAAAGCCCACCAAGTCTCCGACAGCTCTATAAAGGCCCTTTTTCGATGTTTGACCGCCAACAAAGCTTCAATGATAGGCCCGCTGAGGCCCGGCTCGCCTAGGCGGCCCACACACGCTTTATTGAAAAAAGATCAGCAGGCGCATCCACCAACCTTCGAACCGCAGACCATTCCTTCATGGGCAACAGCGCCAACCAGTATACTACATGGACACAGAGTTGATCAAACATGCAGCGGTCAATACTTAACCGCCCTCCAACTTCTCCAAAGCTAAGTTGCTTTTACAGAGATATATCTTATGCAAAGCAGTTAATTACTATTATGCTAGGCGCTCTCTATGCTATATTCAAACATTAAATATATGGCACCCTAGATACTTGCATCTTTCTCGGATACTCGAAGAATCACGCCTCATGCCTCCAGGCTAGGCTCGAAGATTCCCGCCTCCGAGCGATGCTCTCTCCGGAGAATGCTTACCGCCTCCGAGCGATGCTTCCTCCGGGGAATGCTTCCCGCCTCCGAGCAGTCCTCCCTCTGGGGAATGACTCACGCCTCTGACCTCCGGGTTAGGCTCGAAGACTCCGCCTCCGAGCGATGCTCCCTCCGGGGAATTCTTCCCGCCTCCGAGCGGTCCTCCCTCTGGGGAATGACTCACGCCTCCGACCTCCGGGTTAGGCTCGAAGACTCCGCCTCCGAGCGATGCTCCCTCCGGGGAATTCTTCCCACCTCCGAGCGGTCCTCCCTCTGGGGAATGATTCACGCCTTCCGCCTCTGGGCAAGGCTCGAGCATCGCTCGGCGGGCTAGAGACGGAGTGCCTCCCATCAGGCAAGAAGGCGGAGCGCCTCTCATAGGATGAAAGACTAAGGTGCAAAGCGCTTCCCAGGAAGCGAAGGAGCGATGCGCTTCCCAGGAAGCCGAAGAGCAATGCGCTTCCCAGGAAGCGAAGAAGCGATGCGCTTCCCAGGAAACGGAGGAGCAATGCGCTTCTCAGGAAGCGAAGGAGCGACGCGCTTCCCAGGAAGCCGAGGGAGCAATGCGCTTCTCAGGATGCGAAGGAGAAATGTGCTTCCCAGGAAACGAAGGAGCAATGCGCTTCTCAGGAAGCGAAGGAGCAATGCGCTTCCCATGAAGCCGAGGAGTGATGCGCTTCTCAGGAAGCGAAGGAGCATGCGCTTCCCAGAAAGCCAAAGGAGAGATTTGCTTCCCAGGAAGTCGGAGACTTCACTTCCCATAAAGCCAATGACTAATGCGCTTTCCAGGAAATCGAAGACTAAAGCGCTTCCCAGGAAGCCGAAGGACTAATGCGCCTCCTTGGAAGCGAAGGAGCGATGCGCTTCTCCAGAAGCAGAAGCACACCCCAGTGAGCCGAAGAAACACTAAACAAGAGCGTCTTGAGTTAAAACTCTCAAGCCGTGGGGGCCACCCTACCTAGGTCGCAATTATGGTCTACTAGCGCTAACAACAATGGACTAGCGAAGGAACTCTTAACGACTTGAGAGCTTTAGTTCAAGACATCGAAAGATAAGCAAGGGGCAGAGGAAATGATCACGCAACTCGCACTAGGGGCAAACCACATCATACGGATTCGCAAGTAAGGCAAATTAATACACGATTAACGCATTATATTACTCCTTTCATTCTTACAGAATACAAGAAGTAAAGGGGCAATTGTTGGGTATGGATTAATATGCCTACACGACTATAAACGGGCCCAAGCCCACCGCAAGGCGTCCTGGGCCCAAGCCCACTCAAGGAAGCCTAAACCCTATATAAGGAGGCCTAACCCTCCAAACTAAAGGATCCTCTCTTCCCTTCCCACACTCTTACCTTAAGGTCTCTCTCTAAACTCTCTCTCTATATACCATAAACCGCTTCCTATATCGTACTAACTTGGGCGTCGGAGCGTAGATCCCGGGGGCCGCCCCCCGCCTCACAGGTTCTTCCACTCCCGAGGAGATCAGATGAGGGAGTCCAGATCGGAGCCCCATAACCGCCTAGTACATTCTAGGCTAAAACAAAAACAATCATCCAAACACGCTGCTAATAGACATGGAATAATTTAATTTAAGTGAGGGTATGATTCTAATAGTATTTCTTCTTATTTGATGAATTTGATAAAGGCCATGAGATAAGAAATTGAAGCGTTCACCTCGTAATAATTTTGGCTCCTCGTCTTATTAAGCGGTCTGCCGCCGGCTGGCCGTTATGTAACGGTGGCAGCTATTTTTTATTTCTTGAAACAAGCTAGACGGCGCCGTCTCATTGTCAACCAATTGCCCAATAATTCTAATATTCTGAAGAAATTTCTTGGGAAAACGAAGAAAGAAACGATTCCTCTGAATCTTTCGTCTTATTCTCTCCGTCCGGCCGTCCCATCCTCGGATTCTTCCATTTCGATCCACTCCAAAGCTTCCTCCCTCCTCCTCCTTTTCTTATTACTCCAGGAATCCGGACTGTTCCGTTTGTCTAATAGCGCTCAATTGTCCAGCCGGCAAGGTGTTTCACCACCAGCAATCATATAAATGGATAAGCAACATCCGAATTCCAGGTGATTGATTGAGTTAGGGCGAGTGTGGACGCAGAAATGGACGCCGGTAATCCCAGAGACGAAGAGTCGCCATTAGTCGCTGCTGGTCAAAATTCGCAGGTTGGGAAACCGACGAACCACACCAGAGATGTCCATATTCTGAGCTCCGCGTTCTTGCTCATTTTTCTCGCTTATGGAGCTGCTCAGAATCTCGAGACTACAGTCAATTCGGTTAGTTACTTACTTACTTTCCACACTTCATTCGCTATCGTCTGCTAGAAGTTTTCAGCTTGATCTCTATGTTCCTTACTTTCCCCCACACCCAATTTTCGTATGTTGAATAGCTTGAATTCTGTGTGTAAGCAGCAGGGGGATTTGGGGACGATTTCGCTGGGGATACTGTATGTGTCCTTCACTATCTTCTCAGTGACGGCATCGTCGGTGGTTCGAGCTTTGGGTTCCAAGTATGCGATTGTTCTTGGGACTACAGGGTATTGGCTGTTTATTGCTGCCAACTTGAAGCCCTCATGGTATTGAAATGAATATACCAATTTCCATGTCAATTCCTTGTATTGAAATGAATATGTTTAGACATGTTTTGATGCAACTGGTTTTCAATTAGGTATACTATGGTACCAGCTTCTGTTTACCTGGGCTTTGCTGCTTCAATCATATGGGTTGGGCAGGTATGCTAGTTACTTCTTTCTTTGTTAAATTTTTCAGGTTGTAGGTAATGATAGTTTGGGATTCTCGTAGCTCTCTCTCTCTCTCTGATCTTTCAATTATCCATGTTTAGGGTACATATCTCACTTCAACAGCACGAAGTCATGCAAGTGATCACAATTTGCACGAACCAACGGTCATTGGCAGCTTCAATGGAGAATTTTGGGGCATGTTTGCTGCTCACCAGGTTATTTTCAAACTAATAGACAGTAATTCCAGTTTGCCGGACTGACATTTGGAATACAAATCTGATTACTGCTTTGTTCCCTTCGAGTCTGCAGTTTGTAGGAAACCTCGTCTCCCTTGCTCTCCTGACGGATGGATCGGTATGTGCTGTTTTCTTTTCCTAGTTGAGCTTGAGTCGGAGGGAGAGATCATTGACTTGTAGAGTTTGTAAGCATAATTGTCCGTCACATTGATGCAGGATGGAAGTACAAGCGGCACAACTTTGTTGTTCGTTGTGTTTCTATGCTTTATGACCTTAGGCACCATTCTAATGTGCTTCATTAGCAAAAGGGATGGCAAAAGAGGAGAAGCAGCAGCAGAATCCCCCAACGGGTTTTGTTCTTCTTTTGTATCGCTGACAAAGGGTATCATCACCCCTTTGCTTGATATACGGATGTGGTTAATCATCCCTTTGATAGCATATTCAGGATTACAGCAGGCATTCGTATGGTATGTAAGTCCAACATTTTCAGTTTAATGATGGAAACCGAGATCAGTTTCTCTTTTTGTTTCAACTCATATGTCTCAATTATGTTTGGCTCTCTATCTCAGGGCTGAATTTACAAAAGAAATTGTGAAACCAGCTATCGGTGTCTCTGGGGTTGGAGGTGCTATGGCAGTTTATGGAGCCTTTGATACCATTGTAAGTATAGTTGCAATGGGCGTCTAATAATGATCTCGCGGCAAATTCATTGAATTTTGAAAGTTCTCTTGGCAAGATCTGTTCCTTCTTATTTGAAGCTTTGATATTGACATCCTTTTGTCTTATGGCAGTGTGCACTGACTGCTGGTCGGCTTACATCGGGTCTTGCATCAATAACATGGATAGTATCCTTTGGATCTATTCTTCAAGCTCTTGTCTTCCTCTGGATTCTGCTGGGTTATAGGTTTGCCACTGTCCCCCCCTCGTAGTCCAATTGTGCAGGTTTTATAGAATCTACTAAAATTTTCCAACCTTGCAGTTTGACCAGTGGTGTACTCGGTGTGCTGTACCCGCTCCTGATGGCAGCTATGCTGGGAATTGGTGATGGAGTGCTGAACACTCAGCTGAATGCTTTGCTAGGCATAATTTTCAAGCAAGATATGGTATGAAGCCTTACTTCAAGAAATCCCTTCAAGTGCTTAATCTCCTCTTTTCATCTCTGATCATTTTGTGACCTGAAACTTGAAATCATTTCCCAGGAAGGAGCATTTTCTCAACTAAAGCTGTGGCAGAGCGCTTCGATTGCAGTCGTCTTCTTTCTCAGCCCGTACATCTCTCTGCAGGCCATGCTCCTGATCATGCTGGTCGCGTTACTCGTAGCAGTGGCTTGTTTCCTGTTTCTATCTCTCCAGGTAGAGAAAACTTTCTCCAATCCTCGCGCTTCTTGACCGAGAAGTTGGTCAGTTGTCACCGAAGAAAGATGGATTGTTGTTCATCTCAAAATCCTCATCTGTTGTTGTTACATGTAGCTTGCTGTAATATTTTATCATAACACTTGTTCCACGTCTACACCTCAGCCCTCAGGTGGTTTTGAGTATCTATTTGGTCCTCCAACTTGTAGATATGTATCGCATTTTAGCCATTTCAACTTTCATAGTCGATGGGTATGGTCACAAGTCACAACTCGAACCAATCTGTATTGCAGAGTGGTTCTCCTCTGCCGTTGAATATCTGCTCTGAACTCCCACCCCACTACAGAAAAATTCCAAATATGAGTTGGGAAGTAGTTGAGGTTAGGTGTCCCTCCTTCCTACCAATTATCACCATATATACAACTTTTTTGTCTATCACTCAGTCGTCTCTCTCCCAGAAGCCAGAACCATTATATCACAGAAGAAGCCGCTAGATTCTGAACATGATCCGCACGTCGCTCGCTCTGTTCGCCGCCCTTCGCCGGCGGCTGGTGCCAAAGCTACCAATGCTCATCTACGCCGCCAGGTGGACCGCCCTACTGACCGTGTTGGTAGCCGTGGCGTCTTTCTCGCCGGAGTTCGCCTTTGTGTCGACCATAACGGCCGTGCAATCCCCAGGCGGTGAGTGCAGAAGGGAAGGAATGGTTAGGGTTCCGTTGGACGTTCCCGGAGAGGTGTTCTGCTTGCCGGCTCAGATGTTTGCCAAGTCAAACATTGACTTCGTGGTCCCGCCGGTCTTCGCCGCCGTCGTGGTGGCTGGGGCGGCTTGGGTGGTTCGGTCCATTGCCTTGTGGGAAGACGACGAGCCAGTGTAGTCTCATCCTTTTGAAGATGCGTCCGGCTTAAGATTTGGCCGTCGCGTGGGGTTGACCGTTCATCGTCGCGTCGAACGAAGACGACTATATGAAACGTCGAGCTGACGTGATTTTTCGAGTTGCACAATTACATTTTACTATTTTAGTAATTTTTACTGTCTTGATTATTGTGTGTTGCGAACGAGTTACAACGTTGACTTAATACTAACACCATGCTAATTATTATAATCATCGTTCATTAATTTTACAAATATCGAAGCACCGAGCAAGTGCTAGGGCATAGTTGGACCTAGGGATGACAATATTATCCATACGTATTTTACTATCCAACCCAATTGGGCTGGGCATGGAATCCAAATATATGTTAGATGGATAGAGTTTGATGGGTTTGTACCCATATCCATTTAGTTGGGTTGAGTTGGATTTTTAATATATGGATTTGTACCCATACCCAAATGCAAATTACAGTTTGGTACCTAAACCTAATAGTTATGCACATTTAGTACCTAATTTTTTTTTTGCATATAAGTCCTGAAAATATCGATGAAAATTTACATTTTAGTACATAAAATTTTTTGGTCTCACATTTTGGTGCCTAAACTTTTCAAGTTTTACAAATAGGTCCAATTTTTGTATGTGTAGTTAAAATACCCTCAAGTAAATGGATATCCATATCCAACCCATACCCATTTAGATAATATCCATATCTAACCCAAACCCATATACAAACCCCAAACCTATACACATATCACCCAAACCCTACCCCATAATAAATGGGTCTACTTGGGTTTGGGCAAAATTATCCATGGGTGGGTAAATTGCCATCCCTAGTTGGACCCCTAATAAGAAACATTAGGCGTAACTGGGGAAAATTGTTGGGGATGTGATAAAGGCCAAAAGAAGAAAACCCAAAGAAATGGGCAAGAGCCAAAGTGATAGCCCAGGCAAGGTTAAAGTCCGATCCAATGGGGTACTTGACAGCCTGGACGTGTAGGGTCAAGGCCCTGACAAGGGACGCATGAAGACAAAAGACACACAACGGGTAGAAGCATAAGGTAAGCTGAACAAGTGAGGCCATGCGCCTAAAATCTCTGAGGATAGTGTCAGATGGTCTTGGCGCATGGTAAAGGGAATGTACGGTGCATTTATTGCGTTGTTGATGTATGACTGATTTAGGGGGCATTGGTCGGTGAGACAGCTCCTAGATAAATCGGGAAATAGATAACCCTCATTTAGTCGATGTGCAACTCTATCACTAAAACTTATCGTTACTTTTCTCTCTAAGTTTGGGCACTAACTTGACCATTGGAGACCTAACAGACTAGTTAGGTTTGATGTCCGCTTTGAGATTAGGCGCCTCATGAGCCGGGAGAGGCACGAGGAGGTGCACGAAGGAGTGAAGGAGGATATTGGCATAAACAAATGTCTATAAAATTATCTTGAAGGTTATACTTTTTCAGATTGATTTGTCATCAATTAAGTTATTGCACAAGTAAAACTTGCTCAAATTGTGAATGTAGTACAACTCTTGAACGCATTTGTCATGTACTAATCGCAATGTTTCTAGTTACTCTCTAAACAAACAAGTCTACTTCTCCTTCCCCTTTTCTTCAAACAACAACCCTAGCTAGGGTTCCAAGTATCCCCATACTCTAGAAAAACTTCACAATCAGTTTTTACAAGCTCAGCTTCACAGTAGAGTTATGGCTGTGCCAAGATTAGCTTGGGTACTGGCTGGGGCCTCTCCGAGGATTAGTTGAAACAGAGAAAAAAAAGAAGTGGTGCTTGCTGTGGTTGGTCTGAGATCCTTCCAAAAATGAAGGACTCTCTTTAAATGGCGCATTCAAAACAACGGTTGGGAAGGAATTATTATTGCAGAATGAAAGCAGAGGATAGCGACGTTGTGACATACAGGGAATTGAAGAAAGCTGTACGTATTTGTTCTGGAGGTTGCAATCGTCCCTTTGCATCTCAATGCCGTGTCACACGGGGATTGGCTGAGACGATGTACGTGTCACTGAGACATAATGGGAAGGAAAACTAGCAAACGAGCAACAACAGTGTTCCTGTCCACGGCGCACGCTAACTAACAATCAAACATCCATGAGATTTGATAAGTTGATAAGTTGATAACCATATATATTTCGTTCAATAAAGGGGAAGGGAAAAAAAAGAAGGGCAATGTAGAAATATGAATTTTGTGTTTGATTAAGCTTTGGAAGAGGCAGCAGAGTTGACGAGCTTGTTGCTGAAATCCCAGAGCTTCCTGGCCAGCATTTCGTCCCTGGCGTGGGAGCTTGGTTGAATCTCGTTGCAGTCGGCAAAGTATTTCCCCGTCACACCTTTCATCGCTGGGTGCAGCGCCACGTAGCACGTCGTCGCAGCTCCCTACAAAAAACAGGGGAAATTCAGAACAGATGAAAATGGTTGTTGCTATGTTCCATTTGAGTTGAGGAATGTGTAATTACCTGAGGCACGTTCTTCCATAGGAAGCTGGAAAAGAACTTCAAAATCCCTGCAGATTACAAGCCCCCAACCAACCAGGATTCAGCATTTTGTTTGTTTCTGTAAACATTCTTCTAGTGGGTTTATCATCATTATGTCTAGTTTGCTTACTCATGGAAATGGCAGAGTATCTGAAAAGAGGAGTCATGATTAACCCTGGATGCACTGCGTTTGCTGTAATGTTCACTCCTTCTTCCTGAATAGTTAAAGATTGAGATTACTGAGCATAATTCTGAGATCAAGAGAAGAAACCCAGTTAGTTCTGAATTTAACCAAACCTGGAAGCGTCGGGAGAGCTCTTTGGCATGCAGGATGTTGGCCAGCTTGGACTGCCCATACGCCCTTTTGTCCGAGTAACTGTTACCAACAACCCAAAAAAAAAAAGTTAATTTAACTGTTAGAGACAAAAATGTATGAACCGACCACCGATTGAGTTGTTGTTGGATGAACATTAATTGAAGCAGCACCGTTTCTTGTCGTTGATATCGTCAAAGAGGATGGCGTGTCGGTAAGTGTGGATGTGAGCAATGGAGGACAGGTTCACGATCCTGCCTTCCACACCTGTAGCTCGAGCTGTCTCCTTCATTTTGTCCAGCAGCAGGTTCGTCAGCAGGAAATGACCTTCATGAACCCCATTTTGTCAGTCAATCAATCAAAATTGAAAACACACAGATTACTAAATCGACGAACCAAACCAATAAGGAGAGTTAAAGTTAGAAGTACCCAGATGATTGGTAGCGAACTGCATCTCGATCCCGTCTTCAGACTGCTGGTAAGGGCAGAACATCACTCCTGCATTGTTTCTGTTCTCACACAGAATGGCAGAATTCGACAATTAGTAACCAAAACCCGGAAACGTGGTCAAAATTCGGGGTATTGACTATTGAGTGATTTTACTAACATTAAGACGTTGAGGGGCAGATTGAGAGCCTTGAAGCTGTCGGCAAAAGCTCTGACGGATCTGGTAGAAGCCAGGTCCAGCTGCAGCACGTCGACACGGGCGCTCGGAGTGTGCTTGAGGATGAGGTGTTTGGCCCTGCTTGCAGCTTCCATGTTCCTCGCGCCGATGATGACGTGGGCTTTGTGTTGTGCCATTACTCTTGCCGTCTCCAGTCCGATCCCGCTTGCACCTCCTGCAAAATGGGAATGGAAATGGAATTACAATCACCATCATATATAATTCGTGCACTTAACTGATTTTTTTTTCACGCACTTTTGTTAATATCGTTCGTCAATCAATAAATTCTTTTATTTATTTTTCCTACATTGCATGGAAAAAGGGGTGAACATTGGTCAATTCATTCGGGATCGAGATAGGACCAACCCAAAAGTAAAGGAAAAAATGCCGATTAGAACCAGACCAAAAAAGAATGTTTGGTTCCATTCATTACTGTCCAAATAAAATTTTAGTTCATTTTCTTTCTTTGTACTTAAAAATAATAATTTATAAATCAAAAGTTCAAAACCAAATCAAAATATTTTCCATTCAATCCAAGTAATTGATTGGAGTACGATTCGATACCATGTGGATGCATGACTATTGGTGGGTCGGTTAACCGAGATAACCGAGAAACCGAAACCTATTTCGGGCGGTTTTCGATAGGAGGAGTGGTTATTTCGGTTAACCGATAACCGACCGATCGGTTATCGGTTATAACCAAAAATAACCGATATGCCACCCCTAGAAAAAACCACTGGTGCCAAAAGAAAAGGGATGGGGTTGCAGAGAAACCAACTCCAAAAACATAGCAAAAATCGACCGACCTCCCTCAAATCCAATGTTCAGTTCACCAAGAAAACACACAAAACGCAGCAGCAGCGGCGGCGGGGGAGAAGAGAAACAACAGAGCTAGCACAAATGTGGGGGGCGGCTGCTAATTTTACATACCGGTGATGAGGACGGTGAGATGGGAGGCGTCGATTCCTTCGGTGACAAGCTCGGCGGTGGAAGCCGAACCGAACCCGCTCGGTCCGGCCCTTCCTGTCACCAGCGAAATTATGCTCACCATGACAGACGTACGTACGCTGCTTCTCGATTCCGGCCCGCAGAGGAGAACAGAGGAGGCGATGGACGGACGGACGGAAGGTATATAAATATTAGCAAGGAAGGCGAAAGTTAAGTGACCAATAACTAAGTAAGAATAACAAGGCAATGCTATGTTTGCGTTGCTGTGTATTATTTCTGTGTGTGTGTGTATATATACACGCAGAGGCAGAGAGAGACTGGGAGAGGGAGATGAATGAAGGAAGGAAGGAAGGGGCTTTATTTATGACAAGCCAAATTGTAGGTAGTGGGAGGGTTTAATTACTCGGACTCCATCAAAGAATAGGAAAAGGAATGGGGGTAGGAAGGAAGTAGAATGTACATATACAGGTATGGGTCGTATGTCAGTTAGGGATGGTCATTGCCTCATTGGAACTACTACCGTCCTGCATTACTCCATTGGACCTATGTTAGGGCGGATTCGGAACAGGTTAGAGTACTGGGTCGTATTTAAAAAATGATGAAGAGGGCTAGTTCGTAACTCTATAAACATTTGAAATATATACCCAAAATTCAAAATTTACAAGTGCGCCCGCCCCGTATGAGCTTTGAGTCCGGAGAGGGATGGGTCGTGGCCCGGGGACGGCCCCCTAGATCCGTCGCTTGGGGGCGGATATTAGCTGACCTATGTTAATTGTTAGGGTCAGAGTTGGATATGTGTACTGCTTCTTCTGCGGTTCTACTTGATTTATGTTATTTCGTTTCGTTTTTTCTGATTTCTTTTATTTTTAAACTTAGTTACTCATTTTATTGTATATAAATTTTAATGTACGAAACAAGGATTGAAATACCCTACCGGAAAAATCAACGTTACGGTATTTTATGTTAGAATCGTGGTTTAACCGCTTCATACTGCTAGGGATGACAAAAATATCCGTAACCGTGGATATCAACCCGAATCCAACCTAATCGGGTAGGATAAAACCCGAACCCGAAGAACTTTTAGTGGGTACGGGTAAAACCCGAACCCGAATATTGTGGGTCATGGGTAGGCATGGTTTTCTCACTATCCAACCCGAACCCGCCCGATTATACACATTCATATGTATTTTGTCTATATATAATTAATATTTTTTCTAACATATTTTATATTTAGCATATAAATATAACATTTTTATGAAATTGTGTTATTTTAATTAATTTTCTTCATTCTAGTGAATTTTTGTTGTACTTTTCGTCTTACGTAACGTGAGAATACGTGTGAATGTTAACGTATTGGTTGGAGTTATAAAGAGAAACTATTACCCATGGATAGCCATGGATACCCGAAACTCGAACGGGTATGGGCACGGTTTGAATTTTCTCCCCGTTTCTTATGTGGGTATGGGTAAAACCCGAACTGCTTTGGGTAGGGTAACGGATATGCACTATTTGTCCCGAACCCGACCCATTGCCAGCCCTACATACCGCTAAAATACGGCCTACCGATTTAGCCTTCAGTAAGAGGTTTTTCTGGTTGAACTGTCGGTACGGTATGTTATTTAAATTTTTGGTATGAAGTATTTTACTTTGTTGCTAAGTAGATATAAATGATAAGTTACCATCCATTACTGCCTATTGATAACATGACATTGTCTGTGTTAATTTTTTTTTTTTTTTTGCATTACAGGAGGCGGAAACCGCCAAAGAAGAGCAGAAAAGGGGGTTAAGAGGGCAGAGCAGGGGCAAGCGTTCCGGGAACAATCTGGCGCTCAAAACACACCCCCCTAGCATCATCCTGCGGAATGGGAATTAGCCCTGAGGGCGGGCTAGCAAGTTCATGCCTTCCGTAGGGATAGACGGGACTGTGCTTCGAGAGCCAGTCCGCGGCTCTATTCCCTTCCCGGTATGTATGAGAAATGCTCACCAACCAGTCAAGGCTTAATTTCCTCCGAATGGCCAAGAGAAGAGTAGAATAAGGGTGAACAGGATCATGTCTTTTCTCAATAAGCTGAATGGCCAGCTTAGAGTCAGACTGCACAATGACAGCACGGCATCCTTCCTTCCAAGCTAAGTCAAGACCATAGTAAAACGCCCATAACTCGGCCAGAGCCGCGGTCGCCGACCCAATGCTGGCAGTGAAGCCAGCGATCCACTTCCCTGAAGCATCTCTAAGGAGACCACCAGCTCCGGCTTGACCCGGGTTCCCACACGAGGCACCATCAATGTTCAGAGCTATCCATCCTTCTGGGGGTTGCTTCCAGCCAATGTTGGCTGTGACACGATCTGCTGGTTGGCGTCTGTTTCCCGGCATCGGAGAAGGGGCCACCCAAGCCTCATGCCAAAGCTTGACCTTGGCCATGATGGAATAAGCAAGCGAGGGAGGGTAAAGAGCCGCTTGCTCCCCCTTAAAAGAAGTGGTGCAACTGTTCTTCCACATCAACCAAACTGCAGTACAAAAGAAGGTCCCCCAGGAGGGTCCCATGTCAGTGGAAGCTTCCTTACCAATGTTCTCTCGCAACCAGGCATCCTGATCCAGGCTAAAAAAGCGTCCCTGATCTGCCCCCGGAATCTGGCGGTTCCAAAAATAGCGCGCTGGCGGGCAATCTCTGAGGATGTGCAAAATGGTTTCTAGGGTTCCCTGGCATCTGGAGCAGAAGGGGTTACTAGCGCACTTCCTCGCAAAACGAAGTGAGTTCGTGGCAATTTTCCCCAAAAGAATCGTCCACATGAACGTTCTGATCCTCTTAGGAGTCGGGAGTCTCCAGATAGTCTTCCAAAGCTTCTCGTCCGGGTCCTGAAATTCCTGGTTTTGCAGGCTGTAAGCCGACTTTGCCAAAAAGTGCCCGTCCGCCGAGGCTGCCCAAAACAACTCATCATTCCCGCTGGATAGGGTGTCAACCGCGATGGAAGTGATTCTGTGCTGGATCTCCATCGGCAGCAGCGTGTTGAAGAGCTCGGTCCTCATTATTATTATTATTCATCCGCTGTGTTAATTGCAATGCCATTTTTTCATCATTATTATTCGGTAATCCGTAATCATTAATCATATTTATTTTCTCATCTTTCACGAAATTTTAAATTAACCATATTGATCAAATATTATCAATTGCACCTGTGGCCTAATGGATAAGGTGTTTGACTTCTAATCAAACGATTGTGGGTTCGAGTCCCACCAGGTGTGATTTTTTCGAAACATACCTCAATCGTAAGTCGAATTTTACAAACCCTTCCAAAACGAATTTTTTCCCCTCTGAAACATACCTCAATTGTAAGTCGAATTATACAAACCCTTCCAAATCGCTACGTGCTTTACCTCCATTAAAGCAGCAGTACACAAATCGCAACTTTCTTTAACCCTTCCATAGGTGTACTTATATCACCATCCTCGAGAAGGGACCCAAAATCATGTTGGGAGGACTTCCTTCAATCAAATCCTGTTCCACAGCTAATTCCAGTGGCCAATTTTGACAACAACTGTCCCTAATTAAATTTGATGTTAATATGACACCAATACAATTTTACTTTTCTTGATGGCAGCCATTTCTGGCTAAGCTAGCTGTAGCCTCCCACCACTTCAACTTCAATGAACTAGTTGTCTTCATTAAAAGCTAGTTTTGCTTCTCTCCCATACCTTCTGGTCAGAGTACCAATTGCTAGAAATCAATCACCTCATGACCATTATTAATGTTCCCCGTTCCCCACTTGCCCCTCTTCGGTTCTCCCATTACTGGGTGTTCCTGTGCTGTGAGTTTCAGTCCACATCATGATTGCCTCGATAAAGCTAAACCAGTTTCGATTTGCTCAACGAGATTTTTTTCCCACCGCGAAAAGGACACTAACTTGTATAAAAGGTTCACACAAGACTCGGAAATATCTCGAGTCAGTGAAAATTACTAAGATGTCAACCAAAAAGGGACCAAGTGATTCTGGTAGTAAGATAATCGCGCTGTCTGTGCTAGTTGTAGATTGTGATTTGTTGATTAGATTGACCTCCTCATCATGCTAAGAATGAATCACCTGTAATCTAAGTGTGTTACCCAGCCGTGAAACCTGGTTTTTTGGGTCCAACTCTCACAAAAAAAAAGATCTGTTTCTTTGGATTGGTACACGCAAATATTTCGTGTATCAACGATGTTGTGATGTTTTGGACATATTGGAGTGTGGTCCAAGTAACATTTTGGCCCAAGTTTTGTGGTTCAGTATGTTTGGATCCGGTGGAGAAAAAACTTGTAGCTTTGTATTATGCTTTTGGATGCAGGAGACCATGAAGTGCTTTGACGTGGGGTTCTCACCATTTAATAGGTAGGTGCTATTTTTTTCGATGTTTTCCCAAAATATAAGCCCCTCTAAACAAAATTTCAGCATATGCATTAGAATTTCTCAAACTACTAGATTTTGGCGTGGCAGTGAACTAGTTGGTTGATTTTTTCGATCTCTATAATCAACCCCGATAATTTCATAAACCCTTTAAAAAAAATTAAAGTCGACACTTACTGCTAATGGAGAGATGAAAATAAATTTTGATGCATAACAAAATTCATCAAAACACAGTAAAATACCTACATATTCATTACAACATAAACACACATAAACATTAACAGTCATCTCCCATTCCGGGGTAGTTGCACTTCTTATGCCCTTCAACTCGACATGCAAAGCACTACTTCAAACTTGTTGTGGTCTCCCTGATCTACCCATATCAGTTTTATGCTCCAAGGTACTCATTGCAATAAACTTCATGAGCCAAAGACATGAATGTGTGATCCCTAACCTTGACGACTAAATGAGTCTTGTAGTATGGACTAACAAATCAAAATGGGTCCATTGCACTCTTCTGACAGCGACGTATGAATGAGAGGAAGGCAAGTGTCTTCCTTGAAACTTCACACAACTGCATTCCCTCTTCCACACGGAGTACAAATGTGACTTTTTGAGCATGACCCCGTTTCCTGGTGACAGAGGGCCTCCTCGTCCCTATTGAAAAAATGACATCTCGTCAGTTGAACAAAGTCACCTTATGCAAGTTAGAATTTTCTTCCATGGCTCCATGTCTTTGGTGATTTTTTTTTTTGGATGATGTATCCATTTGTCAAGCATTTTGATAGCCTTTTGGTGTCGTTTAACGAACCGTTCTACCAACCTGAAGAAGGTATGCAATATGAGAAACTGATATTGGCATTGCATGGATGTCAACATATAAACCATTAAGCATCTCATTCATGTTCATCATTGAAAAATCATGATGTAATGCCCGCTTCTCAAAATCATGACTTTCTAGCCAATATGCTCATTTAGAATAGACGTCCTTATATTCTTCATTGTTTCGTCATACTTTCGAGGTTGGTAAACAATAACTGAAAAAATAACGTAAGAGTTATTAAAAAAAACCACTACCAAATAAAAGAAAGAAGAAACCATAAATTATACTTACAGGCCTTCCAAACAAATCATTGTTGGGATACATGCCCAAAAATTTGACTATAATTGCTCTTCACGTGTCGTATGCACCATCGCCATTCCAACCAAATTCCTCAGGGAAATTATAGATTACATGTGCATTCCAATGTCCCTCCATTGAGTTAAATGCATGTAGAGTTTACGAAAAACCAAGTCCAATTTGAGTTGTTCTGAAATTCAAGTATAGCAAATGCAAGGGGGAAATTTTTCTTGTTGCCATCAACACTCGTGGCAATAAGCACTGTCTCCTTGTATTTTCCAGTGAGAAAGGCGTCATCCACTTTGATTATGTAAGACAATGGGTAAAATCATAAATGCATTGTTTGAATGCCCAAAACAGATAATGTTCAAAAGCTCGCTTACAAACCCCCAATATAATCGTTGTATGTAGGCACAAAAACTAACCAAGAATATGTGTCGTCCATTGCCAAAATCAACAGGAATATGTAGCCAAAGGATCCCAACCAACCACTATATACCTTTTAGTATGAGTTTCTACTTTCCATGTCATGCTTTCTGTTTTACCATTTCATCTCTCTAGATTATTTATTTATTATAAAAGGACTGATTTATATTAATCAAATGATCAAGGTGAGCTTACAACCATTTTAGAAATGGTTATTGTCTTATTCTAGTCTAAACTATACCCAAATAATCTACTTTGGCTTGCGGTTTAAGAAATTGCTATTCTGACTTCAACTATAAACCATATAGACTAGCTTGTCTGGATGCGTGTTTTGACCGTGAATTTGGGCGGTCAATACCGTTGACTAATGGTCAATGGTCCAGCTCACTACCATGTCAACGCCAAAATAAAAAAAATTCAAATTCCAAATTATTTTCATATTTACTTTATCTAATAAGAAAATACATATTGGTAAAGAAAATAATCCAACAAAACATGTAGATAAATGAAATTGTCTCTTTGTCCACTGAGAACAAGACACACTCTCTCCCTCTCTCTCTCTTTGTTGGTCGAAGCTCAAAAACCTTTTCCCATTCCTCTCCTCCCACCTCACCCTTTCTCTCGAGCTCCTTCTTCCATTGACGAAGACGACAAATTCAGAGATCTCTACATCGATGTCCTCCATCCCTTCTCCAACTCCTCAACCTTTAGTTTCCCGCGCTGCTTCAGCTCTAACCGAAACGGCCAATGCGAATGAATAGAGGTATGATGGGCGATGGAGAAGAGGACGATGACGACGACGACCCTTTGGTGATTGTGGCAGATGGAGACCCAAACCGAGGAATGGAGGAAATAAAGGAAACAATACTTTTTCTTATTTTCTTACCAATATTTATTTTCTTATTAGATAAAGGAGATATGAACATAATTTGGAATTATTTTTATAAAATTTGGCGCTGACATGGCAGTGAGTTTGACCGCTAGTCAATGATGTTAACCGTCCCCGTTGACGGTCAAAATACGCATCCGGCTAAGCTAGTCTAATATGACGTATAGTTGGAATCAGGATAACAATTTCTAAAACTACAAGTCAAAATAAATTATTTGGATAAAGTTGGGACTAGAATAAGATATTAATTCTAAAAAATGGATGAGAATATGAGATGTTTGTCCGACCATATGTGTTCAACCTCCCCAGTCCCAACTACATAATGTGTGGGCTGGGCAACTAAATGGTTGACTTTCTCGGCCCACAAGCATAAACTACACACCTCTCTCTTTTAACGGGCTCCAACCGTTTATTTTTTCACAAACCTCCTCAATTTCCAGAGCTGCCCGCATTCGCCACGAGTTTTTGCAACCGCAAAAACTCGTGACAATCCGATTCCATACGGGAAGGAGAATCTCTCCCCTAATGTCATCTCTCTAAATTGATCTGATTGCATCTCTCTGAATTATTCTGACCGAGAATATAAAACTACTTCTCAAGGATTCTCCTTAATGACCAAATTTCCTCTAGTAATGCACAAGATAAGCATAACAAAAGACGGGTTTTGCAGAGGAGATTGGGTTTTGTGTATTTGCGTCGAGTTCAAATCAATTAATTTTGCAACCAATATTTGTCAGTGCACATGGATGTGTAGTGTAGACAGGAGGTAGAGAAGTTGAATTTTATCACGCATGTGGAATTGTGGGTTGGCCATAATTGTAATTAAATGATGGCATGTGGAGTATTAATCACCTTGGAAAGAATGAATAGACAACAGAGCGGCATTCTTTCTGAGTAGTGCAGGCACTATGCAGCTAGCTTTGGGAATTATGGACGGTACGGTATGGTACCTCATTTACTCTTTATGGAACTAGCTTATACCCGTCCGTTGGTCGGAATATTTTGAGATATCTATTTCGATGATATATCTTGATTAGGGGTGTCCATTCGGGTTCGGCTTTTCGGGTTTACTCGAAACCGACCCGATTATATATATTTTTGGTTTTTCGGGTTCGGGTTCGTTTCGGGTTCGGTTTTGCTTATCGATTTTTCGGGTTCCGGCTAAAAACCTCCAATGAATAGAACTCAACACGTATTCTTAGGCGTTCGGGTTTTCGGGTTTCGGTTTTGCTTTAACCGAACCCGATAAGGAATTTTCGGGTTTCGGGTAACCGGAACCCTCAAGTCCTTATCGGTTTCGGATTCAGTTTTAGTGATTTTTGGTTTCAGGTTTTTGGTTTTTTCGGGTTTCGGTTCGGGTTACCGAACCCGACCCGAACTGACACCCCTAATCTTGATAAATAGTTAAATAGATTTTGTTTGGAACTAATAGTTGACTTTTTATAATCGAGATTGATATTATTAAAACATGATAAATAAAACTCAATTCTTAGTATTAAAGCAATCATATGAATTAATATATTGAGAGTTTAATTTGTATACCTTGAACCTTATTGATGAATGGTGTTCTCACTTATCACAATCACGATAAGCCCTGGTGATTTTCATGGAATCTAACACTCCTTCATCACAACACGAATCTCCATTGCTGGTCCAATGGGTTCATCACCCACCACTACTAACAGCTTCCTAAAAAGAGGCTAAATAATGTCATATGTGGAGGAAAATAGAGAGAACCCAAAGAAACTTAGCTAACAGCAGAGTAAACTGGCAAGAATAAAAGAATGGAAATCTACAAACTCAATCACAAAATAATTGGAGGGACCACTGCTTATAGGGCTTATGGTTCCTTTTCTATTTGTTTGATTTGGGTTCGTCGCCTCCACCATGAATCTCCAACGAGAATCTGTGTTGTTTGAACCTGAAGCACCCATTCTCCCCCTAAATGATATATGAGACAAAGAAGAGGAAGACCGTGAGATACTCTCTGTGAAGTAAACAAAAAAAAAATCGAGATGACATACTTAAGGAATTCCTCGGGCCTAATTCGGATCCACAACTTCATATTCTCTATTTCCTTGGAAAGATCCATCTTCTTCATCCACAATCAGCAAGCCTTACAGCCACAAAGAGAGTCCTTCCCCAGGAGAATACTTGGTATGCATCACCTGATCGCTACTGTCAGATCCCCGTGGAATCCAATGAATCAAAATGAAAACTTAAATCAAAACCTAAGTAATCAGAGAGATAAACACATGTGTTTCTAACTTTCTATAGTTCAAAACTTTTCTCACCATCGAAGAGAGGAATTTGACAATCCGCCAATCACCATGGGACGAACACCTTTATGGTGTCTCTTCTCTCCTCTTCTTCCTTATTACTTCCAATGCCACATTGCCCACTTCTTCTTCCCCTAAACCGCAGCGCCACCATTCTCAATCTTCCGCTTACCCCGATTCCACTGCCGCTGGACAAAAGTAACTTCAACTCCGTCCTTGTCTCCCTCCTCAACTCCCACTACACCTAGCTCGGTGACCTTGTCGAGAAAGCATTCCCCACGCTCTAGAGCAATCAGTCGGCAACCACACATAACCACCCCACACAATGGAGCCCTCGAGCGTCGCCTCAACTCCGAGTTCAAGCGCTTCCTCCTAAAGCCTCGCAACCTCCACTCCCTCCGCAGAACAACCTTCGTTGGCAGTGACGGAAGATGATTTCAGCCGCAAAAAAAGTAGTGGGAACCGACGGTTTCTTATCTCTCCTGTCACGCGGGGATTTCTAATTTAATCCTGTGTAACCACCCTGCCACGTCAGACTCCTAAAATCACTCTATGCGTAGGAAAATTTGAATGGGGGTTGCAGTTTTACTTTTCAGCTATAAATTATACTGTTGATTCTCCAATAACCTGATGCAATCTGAAATAGAGGTCGTGGTAAATGATGGACCCGTTCCAGTAAATTTTGCAGCTGCCATTCATATAAATTAATTAATTGTTACAACAGAAGTTGAACTCCTCACCAATTATAAGTTTGTGCGAGTTAATGACACATACAACACACCACTCAAACATAACAGTCGAAGAAAAATATAACTGATAACGATGTAAATGCACATGTTTGCGCCCCTAGTTCTTATCCGTTTGAGGGGCATAGTCGTGTACTTTTGGCCTATTTTACGCCGGGTTGTGCTATTTTGTCATGTTTCAGGTCCCAGGTGTCAAAGGGAAGGCTAAGCACGAGTTTCGGGGCATTCGGAAGTCATTTCGGTGAGCTGGAGCCAAAACACGGGCAGCCTAAGGCATTACACGGCCGTGTACTGCTGGCCGTGCTTTTTATGCCGAGAGCAAATTCAGTTTGGTCGATTCAGCTGCAAACACGGCCACCAAAGCACGGCCGTGTTCAGGCAAAGCACGGCCGTGTACATCGCGAAGCACGGCCGTGTTTCCTCCCACTGCTGGCCGTGTAATTAAACACTGGCCGAAACACGGGCAGGCTCAGGCAAAGCACGGCCGTGCCCTCGACCGTGCTTTGGCCACTGATGCTTTTAAGCAGAGTTTCAGCCACAATTCAAGAGGATTCGAGTTTTTAAGAGAGAGATCAGTTCCTAGAGAGAGAAAGTGACGAGCAAGAGTTCCCAAGTGCCCTAGATTGATCTTCAACACCATTGGAGGCCAGCTTGAGCTTGGAGAAGTGCCGATCAACGTCCAGAAGCAGGAATCCATCCTTCGCAGTATGAATTCCGTGTCTGATTCTTCTTTTGCTTTCTTCTCTATGGAGTAGTTCTCCCATTCATCTGGGTATGGAGAACCCTAGATTTGTATGTTAGGCTTTGATTGTATGAACCCAAGTACTGATTCTATGATTGATTATATTCGATTGAGGTTTTAATGATTGAATGACTTGAATCCTGATCAAATTCCTGTTGTTTCTGCTTTAACCTAGAATGAGAATATCTGCCTAGGTTAATAGAGTATCCTTGATTGAAGGTAGGGAGTTGGTGACTTTAGTCGAGGAGCCAACTCACTATTCTGTACCGGATTTACTCCGGTAGTGGAGGTTTTGTTCTTAGGGCCTCAATCTGTCGACTCCGGTGGAGGTTAGTCGCCCGCTAGAGAGTCAGATTGAGAGGGTCTGAAGACCTTTAGTCGAGACTTCAGGCTGTTTAAGAACCTTCCGCAGTATAATCTTCATAGAAACTGAACTTGGTAATTACAATCCGGCTTAACTGCAGTCTAGGGGGAACCATATCCGGGTGACCTCTTTAACCTGAATACAACAGTTTACTTGCTTTGTTAGTTTGTTAGTTAGACTTGCATTCCAGTTTCATTGCTAGATAACAAGAATTCACTGAGTAGTCATCACATCTAGGACCCGGGTTGATAATTAAACCCAAACCCGCTATACTACGCTTTAGGAAGTGGTTTCACTTGGCCAATTCCTGGAGTGACAGTAGAGTCGAGTCAAGTTTTTGGCGCCGTTGCCGGGGACGGCTAGGTTGTTGAAGAAAAGTGATTTCTGTTAATTTAGCCTTTCTTTTTGCTTTGTTTGCTTTGTTCCACTTGTGCCTTCACGGGTTTGCTTGCTTGAGTGTGTGCAGGTAGTGCATGACCCGTAGCCAGTCAGGAGGTTTACTGCCGTTGAATCCAGAGATTGACCGCACCTGTCGCCAGCTCAGGAGACAACAGCGAGCTAGACTGGCTACGAAAGAGCGCATAGACGGCCACGTGAGCAGTGATTCTGAGGAGGAGTACGAGATGGCAGACTACAATCAACACCAGGGGAATCCTCAGCAGGCTCCCCCGGTGAATCAGGTCCTGGGGAACAACCCCATACCCCAGGATCATGGAGTTCATCATCCACCGCAGCCGGGTCCCACCTTGGAGTACTACTACACTCCGCGGATTGCTGACATCCGCCCGGTCATCCTCTACCCGCCTATCCCAGCAAACAATTTCGAGATCAAGCCATGCTGGATTCAGCTCATCACATCCTCTATCCAGTTCCATGGCTTGAAGAATGAGGAGGCCAGGGTGCATCTTTCCCGTTTTCTGCAGCTGACGAACGGGTTCAAGCTGAATGGTGTCCCGGATGATGCAATCCGCCTTCATCTCTTCCCCCATTCTCTGGCGGGGAATGCTAAGAGGTGGTTGGAGACCCAGCCCCCATTGTCCATCACCTCTTGGGACGATCTAGCGGACAAGTTCGTGCACAGGTACTATCCGGCATCGAAGACTACAGAGATTCAGCGGGAGATCACTCACTTCCGCCAGGAGCCAGATGAGTCACTTCGTGATGCTTGGGAGCGGTACATGGGCTATTTCTGGCAGTGCCCCCATCATGGCTTCAGTGATGCATTCACAGTGGGGAACTTCTACAGTGCCCTTTCTCCAGATAGCCAGAGGGTGATTGAGTCTCTATGCCTAGGAGGGGATATTCTTACCAAGACTCCACCCGAGCTGAACCAGATGATCAGTACTTTGGCTGCCAGAGATCATTCTTGGGGACAGGGTAGCCGAGGCAGACATTCCCGGGACCGTGGTGTGCACGCCATGGAGACCAGATCCGGGCTCGAGCAGCAGGTAGCTGAGCTAGTGCAGACATTGAAGCATCCCAACAGTCTGATTCCGGGCAGAGGTTTGGCTACACCTCCAGTTGCTCAGTGTCAGTGGTGTGAGAGCTCCAGTCACCTAGTGGAGGACTGCCAGGCTATGAGGGAGTCTACCACACCCCAGGAGCAGTTGGCCTTCATCGCCAATGCGAGGCGCCTCGATCCATACAGTAGCACATATAATGAGGGGTGGCGCCAGCATCCCAACTTCGCCTGGAGCAGCAACACCACTAAACCACCTGGTTTCCCAGCACCAGCGGGTGGTTTTCAGCAGAGGCAGCCCTTCCAGGCTCGCCAGGGGCCAGACCCACAGCAGCAGCCCTACCAGCCTAGGCAGGGCCAGCCGTTCCAGCAGCCCCAGCGCCAGTTTGCCAAGCCAGCAGCAGCTCCGGCCCCAGATGACAGGATGACGAAGCTGGAAAACATTCTAGCTTCATTCATGACTAGCATCCAGGCTGCTATCACATCACTGGAGGCAGGTCAGCGGAACCAGGGTGCCATTTTGCAGGATCTGCAGACCCAGGTGGGCATCTTGGCCCGCCAGAGCACCACCAGGGCACCGGGGACTCTGCCTGCCACCACTGTTCTGAATCCTCGAGATCCTCACCAGCATCAGCAGCTGGATGCCATTTTTACCAGGAGCGGTAAGACCATATCTGATGATCCTGTCCCGGCCAGACAGGAGGAACCACTGCCTGCTCCAGCACTTCCAGCCGACAATGCAGAAGTGCGGGTGGAGAAGGAAGCCCCTGCTCCCAAGCCACAACCAGTGGTTAAGGAGCATGTACCCCAGCTTCCCTTCCCCACTCGCCTACACAAGGACAAGCTGGAGACTGAGTTTGCCAAGTTCATGGCAATGTTGAAGCAGCTCAACATCAGCATACCGTTCATGGAGGCACTGTCGAAGATGCCCAAGTATGCCAAGTTCATGAAAGATATCTGCACCAACAAGAAGAGACTTGGGGATCTCTCGACAGTGATGCTGAGCGAGGAGTGTTCTGCTATCCTGCAGAACAAGCTGCCCGAGAAGCGCAAGGATCCAGGGAGTTTTACTATCCCCCTTACTATTGGCAGCATGCATGTAGGAAAGTCCTTGGCGGACCTAGGCGCTAGCATTAACGTCATGCCATATAAGTTGTATAAAATGCTAGACCTAGGTGAACTTAGCCCTACTAGGATGAGCATTCAATTAGCTGATCGTTCTATTGTGCATCCTAGGGGAATCATAGAGAATCTGCTTGTTGGTGTTGGTGCATTCACATATCCTGTTGATTTTGTTATTCTTGATGTGCATGAGGATGTGGATGTGCCTTTGATTCTAGGTAGGCCATTTCTTGCCACCGCCAAGGCACTAATTGATGTGCATGATGGTAAGTTGATCTTGCGTGCTGGGGATGAACAGGCTACTTTTTCTGTGACTGAGTTTGATCACTGTGCTATGATTGCTGTCACGCCTGTGCATGCTATGTCTGATCAGGTACACGAGTCTGTCGTGTACCCTTCTGCACCTCCTATTTTGCAGGACCCTCCTATCATTCCTTCGCCGCCACTCCATCCAGCCTCGCCTCCGAACAAAAAGCTCAAGGAGGAGTGGCGGCCGAAGCCGCAGGTTGCTAAGCCTGCACGGAAGAAGAGTGGAGACCACTAAGAGCTGGTCCCACCTCCTGCACCACGACCACCCTGGCCGTCTGGGTACTCGCTCTCCTGCATCTTGCCAGATGGGCAGGTCGAGCTGACCGATGATGGTGGTCGCATCCGTCGGGTGCAAGGCCACAACCTGAAGCTGTACCTCAAGAGCGACGTGGATCGGCTCTTGGAGGCACCTGTTCCTGCACCGCCCTGAGTATCCACCATGGGCGTCCAGCTAATACGACGGTAAAGAAGCGCTTGTGGGGAGGCAACCCCACCACGGTTTGATTTTTTTTTTCTTGTGTTTTGAGTCGGATTGTAACCCGGTTTGGGTTTGGTTTGTTTTCTTTTGGTTTGGATGATATTTTATTGGGCTGACCATTGAACCTAACATATTGTGTTTGAGCTCTTCTGTTCCCCTTTGGCTGTGCTTGCCCCGACTGGCCCGTTTCCAGTCCCCTGCAGTCCGTGCATACCGGTAACATCTTTTCCTATCCCTTCCCTCTTCTCCATTGAGGGCAATGTCGATCTTAAGTGTGGGGGGGTGTTTATCTTTTGACTGCATTAGATCTGTTTGTGTGCTTGGAGCCTAGTCCACTGTCCAAATTTTTAAATTTGAGGGCTCCAAGTACGTGTCTCCTTGCAATTGCCTGCTCAGTATGCTTTGAATTGACAGTCTTTATAGTAACATGCAACCTAGGGAGGTAGTGTAGCACTATGGAGGATGTTGATGCATTTAAGGAGTCTCATTTCTTCTTCATATTGAGTTGGTTGATTGAGTGAATTAGTGATCTTAGGACCCTTGAATTGTGTGGTGTTGTGGATTCTCTACCTGTCATGGACTCTTGTATCATGTTTTGAGTTTAACAGGTGCTCGAAAATGTGCTTCAAAATAACGTCTCCCGTGCGAATAGGGCGAAAGTGTGTAGGGGGAGACGGGAATCCGTTCCCAACTTCCACCTACTACCTCCAGCCCCCTTACATGTCTTTCCCCCGCACGAGGCTCGAGACATCCGCTCCTGGCATGGCCGGTAAGAGCAGGTTGGGACCCTTGAAAAGAAAAGAAAAGAAAAACAACAGAAAACAAGCAAAACAGAAAAAAAGGGGTTCCAACCATCTTCAAAGAAAATCGAGCACCTTGAAAAATGTGAGTCCATGATCTGTTGTTTTTGAGAATCTCTTCATCCACAATTCATTTGTCCTCTGTTCACTATTTGCCATGATGCCGACTCGCCGAAGAAGTTATGAGATGACTTGTGCGTCGGTTGACCTCGTAAGTTGCTAAATGATCTAGGAAGTCCTCTACCTACGATCTGGGTTGTTTGTTGCTATAGAGGTCTGGAGAGTTGCATTGGTTTGAGTTAGGTTTGCTTGGGGACAAGCAAACGGTTAAGTGTGGGGGAATTTGATACCGATGTAAATGCACATGTTTGCGCCCCTAGTTCTTATCCGTTTGAGGGGCATAGTCGTGTACTTTTGGCCTATTTTGCGCCGGGTTGTGCTATTTTGTCATATTTCAGGTCCCAGGTGTCAAAGGGAAGGCTAAGCACGAGTTTCGGGGCATTCAGAAGTCATTTCGGTGAGCTGGAGCCAAAACACGGGCAGCCTAAGGCATTACACGGCCGTGTACTGCTGGCCGTGCTTTTTATGCCGAGAGCAAATTCAGTTTGGTCGATTCAGCTGCAAACACGGGCACCAAAGCACGGCCGTGTTCAGGCAAAGCACGGCCGTGTACATCGCGAAGCACGGCCGTGTTTCCTCCCACTGCTGGCCGTGTAATTAAACACTGGCCGAAACACGGGCAGGCTCAGGCAAAGCACGGCCGTGCCCTCGACCGTGCTTTGGCCACTGATGCTTTTAAGCAGAGTTTCAGCCACAATTCAAGAGGATTCGAGTTTTTAAGAGAGAGATCAGTTCCTAGAGAGAGAAAGTGACGAGCAAGAGTTCCCAAGTGCCCTAGATTGATCTTCAACACCATTGGAGGCCAGCTTGAGCTTGGAGAAGTGCCGATCAACGTCCAGAAGCAGGAATCCATCCTTCGCAGTATGAATTCCGTGTCTGATTCTTCTTTTGCTTTCTTCTCTATGGAGTAGTTCTCCCATTCATCTGGGTATGGAGAACCCTAGATTTGTATGTTAGGCTTTGATTGTATGAACCCAAGTACTGATTCTATGATTGATTATATTCGATTGAGGTTTTAATGATTGAATGACTTGAATCCTGATCAAATTCCTGTTGTTTCTGCTTTAACCTAGAATGAGAATATCTGCCTAGGTTAATAGAGTATCCTTGATTGAAGGTAGGGAGTTGGTGACTTTAGTCGAGGAGCCAACTCACTATTCTGTACCGGATTTACTCCGGTAGTGGAGGTTTTGTTCTTAGGGCCTCAATCTGTCGACTCCGGTGGAGGTTAGTCGCCCGCTAGAGAGTCAGATTGAGAGGGTCTGAAGACCTTTAGTCGAGACTTCAGGCTGTTTAAGAACCTTCCGCAGTATAATCTTCATAGAAACTGAACTTGGTAATTACAATCCGGCTTAACTGCAGTCTAGGGGGAACCATATCCGGGTGACCTCTTTAACCTGAATACAACAGTTTACTTGCTTTGTTAGTTTGTTAGTTAGACTTGCATTCCAGTTTCATTGCTAGATAACAAGAATTCACTGAGTAGTCATCACATCTAGGACCCGGGTTGATAATTAAACCCAAACCCGCTATACTACGCTTTAGGAAGTGGTTTCACTTGGCCAATTCCTGGAGTGACAGTAGAGTCGAGTCAAGTTTTTGGCGCCGTTGCCGGGGACGGCTAGGTTGTTGAAGAAAAGTGATTTCTGTTAATTTAGCCTTTCTTTTTGCTTTGTTTGCTTTGTTCCACTTGTGCCTTCACGGGTTTGCTTGCTTGAGTGTGTGCAGGTAGTGCATGACCCGTAGCCAGTCAGGAGGTTTTCTGCCGTTGAATCCAGAGATTGACCGCACCTGTCGCCAGCTCAGGAGACAACAGCGAGCTAGACTGGCTACGAAAGAGCGCATAGACGGCCACGTGAGCAGTGATTCTGAGGAGGAGTACGAGATGGCAGACTACAATCAACACCAGGGGAATCCTCAGCAGGCTCCCCCGGTGAATCAGGTCCTGGGGAACAACCCCATACCCCAGGATCATGGAGTTCATCATCCACCGCAGCCGGGTCCCACCTTGGAGTACTACTACACTCCGCGGATTGCTGACATCCGCCCGGTCATCCTCTACCCGCCTATCCCAGCAAACAATTTCGAGATCAAGCCATGCTGGATTCAGCTCATCACATCCTCTATCCAGTTCCATGGCTTGAAGAATGAGGAGGCCAGGGTGCATCTTTCCCGTTTTCTGCAGCTGACGAACGGGTTCAAGCTGAATGGTGTCCCGGATGATGCAATCCGCCTTCATCTCTTCCCCCATTCTCTGGCGGGGAATGCTAAGAGGTGGTTGGAGACCCAGCCCCCATTGTCCATCACCTCTTGGGACGATCTAGCGGACAAGTTCGTGCACAGGTACTATCCGGCATCGAAGACTACAGAGATTCAGCGGGAGATCACTCACTTCCGCCAGGAGCCAGATGAGTCACTTCGTGATGCTTGGGAGCGGTACATGGGCTATTTCTGGCAGTGCCCCCATCATGGCTTCAGTGATGCATTCACAGTGGGGAACTTCTACAGTGCCCTTTCTCCAGATAGCCAGAGGGTGATTGAGTCTCTATGCCTAGGAGGGGATATTCTTACCAAGACTCCACCCGAGCTGAACCAGATGATCAGTACTTTGGCTGCCAGAGATCATTCTTGGGGACAGGGTAGCCGAGGCAGACATTCCCGGGACCGTGGTGTGCACGCCATGGAGACCAGATCCGGGCTCGAGCAGCAGGTAGCTGAGCTAGTGCAGACATTGAAGCAGCCCAACAGTCTGATTCCGGGCAGAGGTTTGGCTACACCTCCAGTTGCTCAGTGTCAGTGGTGTGAGAGCTCCAGTCACCTAGTGGAGGACTGCCAGGCTATGAGGGAGTCTACCACACCCCAGGAGCAGTTGGCCTTCATCGCCAATGCGAGGCGCCTCGATCCATACAGTAGCACATATAATGAGGGGTGGCGCCAGCATCCCAACTTCGCCTGGAGCAGCAACACCACTAAACCACCTGGTTTCCCAGCACCAGCGGGTGGTTTTCAGCAGAGGCAGCCCTTCCAGGCTCGCCAGGGGCCAGACCCACAGCAGCAGCCCTACCAGCCTAGGCAGGGCCAGCCGTTCCAGCAGCCCCAGCGCCAGTTTGCCGAGCCAGCAGCAGCTCCGGCCCCAGATGACAGGATGACGAAGCTGGAAAACATTCTAGCTTCATTCATGACTAGCATCCAGGCTGCTATCACATCACTGGAGGCAGGTCAGCGGAACCAGGGTGCCATTTTGCAGGATCTGCAGACCCAGGTGGGCATCTTGGCCCGCCAGAGCACCACCAGGGCACCGGGGACTCTGCCTGCCACCACTGTTCTGAATCCTCGAGATCCTCACCAGCATCAGCAGCTGGATGCCATTTTTACCAGGAGCGGTAAGACCATATCTGCTGATCCTGTCCCGGCCAGACAGGAGGAACCACTGCCTGCTCCAGCACTTCCAGCCGACAATGCAGAAGTGCGGGTGGAGAAGGAAGCCCCTGCTCCCAAGCCACAACCAGTGGTTAAGGAGCATGTACCCCAGCTTCCCTTCCCCACTCGCCTACACAAGGACAAGCTGGAGACTGAGTTTGCCAAGTTCATGGCAATGTTGAAGCAGCTCAACATCAGCATACCGTTCATGGAGGCACTGTCGAAGATGCCCAAGTATGCCAAGTTCATGAAAGATATCTGCACCAACAAGAAGAGACTTGGGGATCTCTCGACAGTGATGCTGAGCGAGGAGTGTTCTGCTATCCTGCAGAACAAGCTGCCCGAGAAGCGCAAGGATCCAGGGAGTTTTACTATCCCCCTTACTATTGGCAGCATGCATGTAGGAAAGTCCTTGGCGGACCTAGGCGCTAGCATTAACGTCATGCCATATAAGTTGTATAAAATGCTAGACCTAGGTGAACTTAGCCCTACTAGGATGAGCATTCAATTAGCTGATCGTTCTATTGTGCATCCTAGGGGAATCATAGAGAATCTGCTTGTTGGTGTTGGTGCATTCACATATCCTGTTGATTTTGTTATTCTTGATGTGCATGAGGATGTGGATGTGCCTTTGATTCTAGGTAGGCCATTTCTTGCCACCGCCAAGGCACTAATTGATGTGCATGATGGTAAGTTGATCTTGCGTGCTGGGGATGAACAGGCTACTTTTTCTGTGACTGAGTTTGATCACTGTGCTATGATTGCTGTCACGCCTGTGCATGCTATGTCTGATCAGGTACACGAGTCTGTCGTGTACCCTTCTGCACCTCCTATTTTGCAGGACCCTCCTATCATTCCTTCGCCGCCACTCCATCCAGCCTCGCCTCCGAACAAAAAGCTCAAGGAGGAGTGGCGGCCGAAGCCGCAGGTTGCTAAGCCTGCACGGAAGAAGAGTGGAGACCACTAAGAGCTGGTCCCACCTCCTGCACCACGACCACCCTGGCCGTCTGGGTACTCGCTCTCCTGCATCTTGCCAGATGGGCAGGTCGAGCTGACCGATGATGGTGGTCGCATCCGTCGGGTGCAAGGCCACAACCTGAAGCTGTACCTCAAGAGCGACGCGGATCGGCTCTTGGAGGCACCTGTTCCTGCACCGCCCTGAGTATCCACCATGGGCGTCCAGCTAATACGACGGTAAAGAAGCGCTTGTGGGGAGGCAACCCCACCACGGTTTGATTTTTTTTTCCTTGTGTTTTGAGTCGGATTGTAACCCGGTTTGGGTTTGGTTTGTTTTCTTTTGGTTTGGATGATATTTTATTGGGCTGACCATTGAACCTAACATATTGTGTTTGAGCTCTTCTGTTCCCCTTTGGCTGTGCTTGCCCCGACTGGCCCGTTTCCAGTCCCCTGCAGTCCGTGCATACCGGTAACATCTTTTCCTATCCCTTCCCTCTTCTCCATTGAGGGCAATGTCGATCTTAAGTGTGGGGGGGTGTTTATCTTTTGACTGCATTAGATCTGTTTGTGTGCTTGGAGCCTAGTCCACTGTCCAAATTTTTAAATTTGAGGGCTCCAAGTACGTGTCTCCTTGCAATTGCCTGCTCAGTATGCTTTGAATTGACAGTCTTTATAGTAACATGCAACCTAGGGAGGTAGTGTAGCACTATGGAGGATGTTGATGCATTTAAGGAGTCTCATTTCTTCTTCATATTGAGTTGGTTGATTGAGTGAATTAGTGATCTTAGGACCCTTGAATTGTGTGGTGTTGTGGATTCTCTACCTGTCATGGACTCTTGTATCATGTTTTGAGTTTAACAGGTGCTCGAAAATGTGCTTCAAAATAACGTCTCCCGTGCGAATAGGGCGAAAGTGTGTAGGGGGAGACGGGAATCCGTTCCCAACTTCCACCTACTACCTCCAGCCCCCTTACATGTCTTTCCCCCGCACGAGGCTCGAGACATCCGCTCCTGGCATGGCCGGTAAGAGCAGGTTGGGACCCTTGAAAAGAAAAGAAAAGAAAAACAACAGAAAACAAGCAAAACAGAAAAAAAGGGGTTCCAACCATCTTCAAAGAAAATCGAGCACCTTGAAAAATGTGAGTCCATGATCTGTTGTTTTTGAGAATCTCTTCATCCACAATTCATTTGTCCTCTGTTCACTATTTGCCATGATGCCGACTCGTCGAAGAAGTTATGAGATGACTTGTGCGTCGGTTGACCTCGTAAGTTGCTAAATGATCTAGGAAGTCCTCTACCTACGATCTGGGTTGTTTGTTGCTATAGAGGTCTGGAGAGTTGCATTGGTTTGAGTTAGGTTTGCTTGGGGACAAGCAAACGGTTAAGTGTGGGGGAATTTGATAACGATGTAAATGCACATGTTTGCGCCCCTAGTTCTTATCCGTTTGAGGGGCATAGTCGTGTACTTTTGGCCTATTTTGCGCCGGGTTGTGCTATTTTGTCATATTTCAGGTCCCAGGTGTCAAAGGGAAGGCTAAGCACGAGTTTCGGGGCATTCAGAAGTCATTTCGGTGAGCTGGAGCCAAAACACGGGCAGCCTAAGGCATTACACGGCCGTGTACTGCTGGCCGTGCTTTTTATGCCGAGAGCAAATTCAGTTTGGTCGATTCAGCTGCAAACACGGGCACCAAAGCACGGCCGTGTTCAGGCAAAGCACGGCCGTGTACATCGCGAAGCACGGCCGTGTTTCCTCCCACTGCTGGCCGTGTAATTAAACACTGGCCGAAACACGGGCAGGCTCAGGCAAAGCACGGCCGTGCCCTCGACCGTGCTTTGGCCACTGATGCTTTTAAGCAGAGTTTCAGCCACAATTCAAGAGGATTCGAGTTTTTAAGAGAGAGATCAGTTCCTAGAGAGAGAAAGTGACGAGCAAGAGTTCCCAAGTGCCCTAGATTGATCTTCAACACCATTGGAGGCCAGCTTGAGCTTGGAGAAGTGCCGATCAACGTCCAGAAGCAGGAATCCATCCTTCGCAGTATGAATTCCGTGTCTGATTCTTCTTTTGCTTTCTTCTCTATGGAGTAGTTCTCCCATTCATCTGGGTATGGAGAACCCTAGATTTGTATGTTAGGCTTTGATTGTATGAACCCAAGTACTGATTCTATGATTGATTATATTCGATTGAGGTTTTAATGATTGAATGACTTGAATCCTGATCAAATTCCTGTTGTTTCTGCTTTAACCTAGAATGAGAATATCTGCCTAGGTTAATAGAGTATCCTTGATTGAAGGTAGGGAGTTGGTGACTTTAGTCGAGGAGCCAACTCACTATTCTGTACCGGATTTACTCCGGTAGTGGAGGTTTTGTTCTTAGGGCCTCAATCTGTCGACTCCGGTGGAGGTTAGTCGCCCGCTAGAGAGTCAGATTGAGAGGGTCTGAAGACCTTTAGTCGAGACTTCAGGCTGTTTAAGAACCTTCCGCAGTATAATCTTCATAGAAACTGAACTTGGTAATTACAATCCGGCTTAACTGCAGTCTAGGGGGAACCATATCCGGGTGACCTCTTTAACCTGAATACAACAGTTTACTTGCTTTGTTAGTTTGTTAGTTAGACTTGCATTCCAGTTTCATTGCTAGATAACAAGAATTCACTGAGTAGTCATCACATCTAGGACCCGGGTTGATAATTAAACCCAAACCCGCTATACTACGCTTTAGGAAGTGGTTTCACTTGGCCAATTCCTGGAGTGACAGTAGAGTCGAGTCAATAACTATATAAGGCATAATTTAAATTGATGAACAAAACACATATAACAGAATGGCTAATCAGCACTCTCTGAGGCGACAACAGAAAGATTATATATCAAGACCACGACAACAATGTAATGGCCAACACAAATATAATTCAAAGGCATCCATAAAAACCATATCCAAAGAGAAGTTTGAAAAAGAAGCAAGCTGGCAATAATAAAAGCACTATAAGTGCTTACCAATTCTAGTTCTTCTAACTATACCAAGCTTATCCCTTCTTTCAATTATGCAGTTTACGCTTTGTACTTTTAGCACAAATGGATTCCAACTCTAATGTCACAATACAAATACAATGCAAATGAAGTTGAAGAACAATAAAACAAACTAATGGAGTGAGATAAAACTGTCCAATGATCTTATGTAATAAGGGGGAAAAAGCCTGGTAGAACCAATACACTAACCAGTGGAGCATGCTTATCAATACCGCCTACTTTATACTTCTTTAGTGATTAGAGCTGAAAGTACATTATCAGATCATAGCCAGTCCCATTAGATTAATTAACCTAGAAACATATGAGAGAAAACCTTACTGATCAAGTTGGATTTCGACATTTACCTGCAACAGAGTTAACATCAGAAAGTAAATTGATTATGTCTCATACGTGGTAGCGGGTGGGGGACGGCGCGCCAAATTTTGTCGGCGATGGGCTGGTTCTGGACTCAAGTAGGCTGGGCCTCTGAAGTATGGGCTGGCGAGAGAAATGGATCCCCGAGGCCTTATGGTTTACGCTTTCCTTTTCCCCCGCCAGGCCAGCGGTAGTTTATAGCCGGCCCTTCGGTTTACTGACCCGGAAAACGCCCGGACGAAGTACCTGACTGCCGCCGCCGAACGTCTCTTTCTTTCCTCTTCTTTCTCTGCGGCCCGGAAAAACTCAGCTCAAAATCGCCAGTCGGCTGCTCTCTGGAAGACAGTCTAAGCGAAGTGGAATTTAAAGTAAGAAGCTTTGTTACTTTCAAGAGAAAGGAAAAATAAAAAATCCCCTTTTGATCTCTAGAGAATCCAATCAACAGAATGAAGCGAGGAAGGTAAGAGAGAATAAAGAAAACGAAATGAACCAAAGGTAAGGGAGATGAATCTTTGCAACCGAATCCCTGAAAAAGAACCCAGAACCCGAATCCCTAAAACTTAAAAGCAGCGACAACAACAAACAGAAATCTGAAAGAGGAAGAATAACTTACGGCAAAACCAATACCGATCTAACGCTTAGAGAACGGAAATCAAAGGTAGATGCAAGCACATAAAAGAACCAGATGATTGAGTCAAGGTTTGGTTTTCTGAAGGCCAAGAAACTTATTCGAATGAGGTGAAAGAGTGGAAGGAAGGGAAATCGGAAATAAAAAATACAAATTAATACAAATTAAATGAGAACGTGGGCCTGGAAGGAGAAAAAAGTGGGTAGTGGACAGTTTTGTGGTTCTGAAATCAGGCGGGACTCCTTTTTTTTTTCCTGCTTAACACTCTGCCACATCAGCTTCCTAAAATCACTCTATGGGCAGGAAATTTTGAATGGGGGTGCAGTTTTACTTTTCAGCTATAAATTATACTGTTGATACGAGCGATATTAAGTTATTAACCCAAACCAAATTAATCAATCATTATGTTTGCAAAAACCCTATTGTATGTACATATATGAGTTATTACTTATTAGACTTCATATTAGATAGTTAATTAGTTAGTTGCGCGAGAGTAAACAATCAATTGGATATATAAAGTTATTAAATTATGTAGATATATACTTATCAATAATAATATTCAGAATCATCAGTTGATTGACCAACTTAAAAATAATTGTTTACTCGTGTACTTGTGGTACACTAGTACATAATAAAAGTTTGATTTGCAACATGAACGAGAAATGCAATTAAGAAAATTATTAGAATATGAAAATTCTTCGTGGTTGTTGTAAATTTTTTTTTGAAATGGTACTTTATGAATACATTTTTATGTTAATTTAAATTTTAACATATTTTAATTTGGCAACACACCTATTCAACAATTATGGGTTTGCCGCTGAAACCGGTACAACCTTTATGTTTACACCAATAGATCAACATCCTAGTTCCAAATAAATGGTAACCATAGCAGCTAGCAAGGTTGCCAACCCGGTTTAGCCCGTTGTCCCGGTTGAGCAAGTGGGTTGAGAGTTATCCGACCCCTTTAGTCAGGTTTAGTATACATATATGAAAAAATTATTTTATTATTCATACATTTATAAATTATATCAAATCTCTTCTAACAAATGAGTAATAACTTATACCGCGTTACACCAAAATAACATGTCGTACATGAATCCAACATATACCACACACGTATATATAACATCAATATTAGAATGTTCAACTTAGAATTCTAAACATAGTATTAGGCGAAGAGAAAAAACCGAAAAAGAGGCACTTTTGGCAAACTAAAGAAAAAAAACGACGCCGTGTGACTTCCAACCCGATAATCTTGCAGCAGGTCGACGTGCTTGTGTATGGTCGTACGGGCACATTTTTCTCACCAAATCTGTGTCAAACACAGGTAAATTGCGAATCAATAACCTTGATAGTTAGTAATATTATAGAATCTGTTCATTCAATTGATCAATTATTTAAGTTAGTAGGTAGGTACATGCATTTTCTGTTGCATGCTAGTCGGTCGCTAGATCAGTATTAATACATCAGGACAGATTTCATGAGACTTGCATGATGTTGGACGCGGTGCATACCAGCGTACAATCAGTGTTGAAACAATATTGGAAATCAAGCATGAGAACCTAATGGTTGAAATATTAATTAATTGACCAAATCTTTTAAAAATATTAAATTAATAGACAATTTTTTTTATCACATCAAAATATTTGTCATAGCTCTGTTATCATTAATAATGTTGTAACCTTTTTTTAATTAAAATACTGAAATTTTAGAATGTAGACCGTTGTGTGTCTGATGTCGGTAAACGTGCATGCAAAGATAATCCAGAAAGTGAAACTGGCTGGAGTTGTATTCCCTATTACTACGAATTTATTGATTTACACACTGGTATGAAAAAGTTGTTTGGATTCGTTTCCCCCTCGATATTCGAATTATCCTGAATAAATTCATTCGAACTAAACAATTTTAAGAAGTTACATCCCATCGTAATTATCAAAATTGAATTCATGCATTTTTTGCACCATTGAATTCTATCAATTTTCAATTCACAATCTCAGTTTTCACGTCTTATTAAGTATTGAAAGTGATCAATTGATTTCTCAAATTAATCCACATTTCTCATGCCTGAATGGTTGCGTTTGGCGATCAAGGAGTCAGAGTGTTGTTTCTCGATGACTCTGTCTTCCAATGATTTTGTAAATGGAGGGTCTCTCCTCCCATTTAGAGACAAAATAAACAAACACAAGAGGTGTTAATCCGTAAAAAATTCGTTAGTTAAATTATTTTTAAAAGAGTTGGGATCTTTAATTTTATCGAGCGTTCCACTATACCAAACAACGAGGTTTTTAGTTCTTCATTAAAACGGACGAAGGACGGAAAGATATAGTTAACTCAAGTGAGCTAACTAATCGTATAAATCTAACCCCACTCCAAAAAACAAATAGAAGTACAGTGTAATTTGGACGAAAGGGCGGAAGGACTAAGCTAACTCAAGTGAGCTAGCTAATCATATAATCCAAACCCCACTCCAAAAATAAAATATGAGAATTAAGAAGGATTTAGATAACTCAAGTGAGCTAGCTAGTCGTATAAACCAAATCCCCACTTAAAAATGCGTGAAAATATATAGTAGACTATTTAACTCTAAAAGCTAGTGACGATTACCATGTATTGATGAAGAAATTCCCATGTTGAAATTTGGGCGATTATATTGAAACAACAAAATACAATTGACTCACTTCAACTACCACAATTAAAATCCCGACTAGAGCCCAATTATAAACTCTAAAAGGGTGCAGTATAAGGCAAGCATTTTAATTGTCAACCCGGGTTGGTCCATGTATCCCTACTTCAATTGCTTAAATTGTTATCTAGCCAACGGTTTAGAGTTTAATACTAAGAAAACTACAAAGTAAACAAGAAAGTAAAGAAAATTGAGGTTGACCCAATAAGAGAAATATTCACCCGGGTATTGCTCCTCCTAGCCACATATCAAAATCGCCTGATTAGAATGAAATGTGTCAAAGTGCGTTTATACACCGTAAGGAGGGTGCATCTAGTGAAGAAACTTCACTCTCTAGGATGATAGGCCAAGGAATGTCAAATTAAGCGAGGGAACTAGCTCTCTTGGTCGATTAATCGAGGGTTGTCAAACCACTCCCTCATAACTTAATCCGGACGGCAAAATAACAACCAATCAAGGTACAAGATCGAAGTTTGAGGCTTGCCTAAATTGCCCTAGGTGGGTGACCCAAATGGTCAAGAAATCCAGCTTCTCAAAGCATCTTACAAAAAGGGGGCTCTCTCCACCTAGGTCAATTTGACTTGGTTATGAGAAATGAAGAAAACAACTCAAGAATTCTATAAATACCTCAAATTTTGCATTCAAACACAAACCCACACCATAGCATTCAATCCATACAATCTATGACATGTATGAACCTAGGGTTCACAATACCCAAGTTAAAAGAGGCACTACTCCATAGCTAGGCTAGAGATTACAACAAAGAAAAGAGAAAGAACCATGGTGGATGCTTGTCTTCCCTCTTTATTGATGAGAACTTCCTTGAGAGGTGAAAATATTTGGTCCTCTAGCTTTGAGCAAGTCCAATCCTCTTCTTCTCTCTTTGTTCTTCACTTTCTCTCTCTAGTTTCAAAAGAAGAAGATATTTCTCTCACTAGGATTTCTCTCTTGGGGTTCTTTACTAGCATGTGAGTTTGAGAGCTTAGTTCTCCAACGAAATTGAGAGCTAAACCCGCACGACCGAGAGTAAGGCCGTGACAGCCAACAACCCACCGTTTCGTACGATGCCTTGCAAAGTTGCATTGTGGACGTGGAGTGATCTGGATCCGTACGTGTTGGTTTGCATGTCGGACGTCCATATACCGCTGGGGTTAGTTTAAGACTAGTCGCCACTGCCGCTCACCAACCAAAGTAGCGTGCTTATTCCCCAAACACATCTACCAGCTAACTCTGATAGCTTAGCCCAAGGCCATCGTGGTCAATGAATGAATGATACGGCCAGCCCAAATCATAAATTCACATCACAGTCCTTTCTGGGCCCAGTTGCCTTATATAATAATAATAATAATAATAATAATAATAATAATAATATACACTGCCCTAAAGTTCCCCATTCACAGGGATAATTAGTAGCATAAAGCCATAAACAAGTGGCTGGTGGTGGGTGGTGGATATCTTTAACCATCAGCAGCAGCAGCAGCCAGCCCATAATTACAAAAGTCGGACCGGATTGATAAAAACACTGATTCCAACCATAAATCGAGATTGAAGCACCAAATTAGCAAGGACATGGCGCAACAACGCAACAATATGTCGACCCGATCCTTTCAGGCAGCCCAAACTGGAGTAGCCGCCTCCGCCGCCGTTTCTAAGCAAAGGGTTCGTGTTTCTTGGGTAAGCAACAGCTCATTGAGGTTTAACCATCATCGTCCTCGTCGTCGGTGTAGCTTGTGGGATAACAAAGAGCAAGCAGCAGTACCACTACGAGCTGCGAATGCAAACAAGTTTAATGATCATCATCATCACTTGCTGCTGGCGGCAGCAGCAGCTGAGGACGACGACGATCTCGAAATCGCCGTAGCAAATCCTGACGAAGAAGAAGAGGAGCTCCATCAGCTGGCGGCCGAATCGGTTCATGGATCTCGGGTCCGACAGGGTCGGGTTCACAGGCAACGTGTGATGGTTAGATCGTTTGACATTGATAGGCACAAGAAAGCAACCATTGCTGCACTGATGAGACAGATACAGGTTAATTTGTGACTGATTCGTTATTGTTATAATACTAATTATTTTATAATCAGTAATAATTTTTTTTTATTGCCTCACTCACGTTAGCTAGGTTTATTTATCATAATTAATCTAGTTAAAATCACGTTTTTAACGTGTTACAAACTTAATTTTTTTTACCTTTCTAGTTTTACCAAAAACAATTTTTATCTGGAATCACGCTTTTCACGTACAAATGTAGGCAAAATCACGCTTTAAAATTTATAAGATTGTGATTTTTGTGCTGCATCATAGATTCACGCTTTTAACTGCATTGATTATCATAAAATAGTTTTAATTATTATTGATATATACCCATTTATTGGCCTTGTTGCCTTGACTCGATCTTGACTTATTTGCAGGATTCGGCATGTAACCATGCTACAAGGTGTTCGGGTGTAGAGCTGGGGAGATTCGCTTCGACGCCGTTTATGACAAAAAATAACCTCGGTTGGGTCATCACTTGTATCCAAATGGTGGTGGATCAATATCCTGCATGGTAATTCTAATATAATAATATAATAATATAAGTTTTTAAGTTTTAAAGCGGAGTTTTTAACTACGTAAGTTATAAAAATTGAGATTTTGTGTAGAAGCGTTTTAGTGACCTAGAAACGTAAAATCGTAAATTTTTAAGTTTTAAAACGCGATTTTGACTACATTGGTCGGGAGACTTGTCTTTGCAGGCGTGATGTGCTGCAAGTGGACACTTGGACATACACCGTCGGGAAGAATGGTTTGGCTAATGATTGGGTCATCCTCAACGAGAAGACCGGTCAAACTTTAGTCCGAGCTACCAAGTATGTATATACATAACGTATAACTTACTAATTGGTTGATTTATTACGTCAAAAATGAACTATATATAATAATATTCCTGGCTCGTAACGTAACGTTTTGCAGCACATGTGTTATGATGAACTATGAGACGAGGAGGTTGCACAAGTTCGTCCAGGAAGTGAGGGACGAGCTCGCGTGCTGTATCGTGCCGGTGGAAGAGTCTGTAATCCCCAAGAACGAACAACGATTGCCACGACTGGATTTCGAGACTGCTGAACATGTCACCAGTGGCCTGACGGTAAGCGACCCAACTCTCTCGTGTGGTTTAATGCGTTAGTTCAACCATTTCATGCCGCTAACGCTAAAAATCGTGTACGGGTTATTCTCCTTTTTGGGTGCATGGGGGATATGTACAGTCGAGGTGGTTCGATTTGGACGTGAATCATCATGTGAACAACGTCAAATACGTGGATTGGATCCTGGACAGTGTCCCACGCTCGCTTCCGGAGGGACATGAACTGCGCGAAATGACGATTCAGTTCAGAAAAGAGGTTGCTATAGATACCGTTGTGCACTCTCTTTCCAGACGAAATAACAGTGGTACTGCTGCTGCAGCCGCCGGGAGTGGGAACGGCAACGGCGGCCAAGGCCACGGCGCCGATGATGCTCCGGTGGAGGTGGATCATTTGCTGTGCCTTGAGGACGGGTCGGAGATATTGAGGGCAAGAACAACTTGGAAACCCAAAAAAAACCTTAATTAATTATATTAGATACTTCTTTGTATATGTTTGGTGCTTTCCCTTCCCTGCTGTATTTGTATTCTGCATGCGTTGGAAAAATTGTGCTTTATCAATTTTCAGGGATTCGTGTTGTATTTGATTTTGATTTTCAGGGATTTTTATAGCTGTTGCATGCCCTTTTAATTTATTGCTCCAACAAATGTATTCAAATAATCTAAGGTTAAACAAAGTACTAGGTGTGTAAGGTAGGTGTTGGGGTGTGTTTGGCTAATACCTAGGCATTAGAAGCGAAAATAGCTATGTTTAACCGAAATTATAGTTTTAATCTAGTTTCATATTTTCAAATGTTTAATAAATTAACCAACTCTCAACAACAAGCAAAAATTTGTCACAATCTCATAAAATCACAAATTTTATAGAAAGTGTTGAATCGAAATATGTCGATGGCAAAGCTTGTGGCTACTTGGTACTGATAGTTAGTGACAATAAAGAGCGGTATTGGCAGAGATCATGTCCAAGAGATGGAGTGACGATGAACTTAAAGGCTTATGTATGCATGGTTGCTAGGCGCGTGTTGACAGCCGGCGAGGAGGATGAAGAACAGTATGATAAATGGTTAAAGGAAAATGAGCGATGAGCAGAAGAAGCAAGTGTCTAGTCGAGATTCATGATTTGTAAATCCAAATCGAGGAAATGACCTAAAGAGGACGTGTGGAGAGTAGTTTGAAATGGGTTCATTTTGTGGAAAGTTAAACTACCTTCTTATTATTCCCTTTGACCCACTAGTCGCATTTTCTGTTGTATGCTGGTCGCTGGATCTGTATTGAACACTAAACACATATTTAGCTTAGGCTAAGGCCATCGTTGTCAATGAAATGAATGAATATGACAAAAACATCAATTCACATCACATTCCTCCATTCACAGGGATAATTAGTAGCATAACTAGTGGCTGCCAGTAGGGCTGGCTATTTTGTCCCCGACTGTTTGGTTTTACCCGAAATCGGACCATATAATCCGGACCGGGACAGGACTGGGATCGGATAACAAACAATGCAATCTCATATTCGGGCTTAGATTTGAGGTAAAAAACCGGATAAGAGACCCCCAACACAAAAAATCAAGATAAAATTGGGACTGAACCGGATCAAGACCGGACTATATCCAATCCAATCTTTGTTCCTTATATTTCCGAAAAACCTGGACTGGAACCGGATCAATTTAGTCCAATTTAACCAGACCAGACCGAACCGCACCGTATAGCTAGCTGCTAGAGTGCTAGTGGCTATCTTTAAACATCAGCCAGCCAGCCAGCTAATTAAATGGGGGGCCGCATTATTAAACCCGGCCGCCGCCTCCGATCACATGACTGTCAGTCTGTCACCTAGACTTTACTACAATTGGCATATCTCGTGGTCACTCCGATCCTTTCCCGAATCGGTAATTGTTCATGGTATAAAGTTTGGGAGACGATGATTTCTATAATGGGTCAAACCTATTTGAATATATAAAGGGTAATTTATATTATTTTCTCTTTCTCAAATGTGTCCGGTTATTTTGGGATGGCAATGAGTCGGGATGTTCCCCTACTCAAAATAGTTCGGGTTTTACCCATACTTATACCCACATAAGAAACGGGTAGAACATTAAAACCATGTCCATACTCGTTCGGGTTTCGGGTATTTATGGTTATCCATGGGTAATAGTTTCTCCTTATAACTCCAACCAATATGTTAATATTTACATGTATTCTCGCGCATTACGTAAGACGAAAAGTATGACAATAATTCTCACATTATGGAGTTGGCGTAGTGTTTATCACAGTAGTGCGAAGTTCTTCGAGAAGGCTACCATTGGCAGCTGGATCCCCTGTGGCCTAAATGGGTGAACTGTTGCAAGAGCGAGTGGTGCTCTGACTATTTGGTGGATTGTTTCCCGACAGAGATGGTGTGGGCTATCACGACAATTCCAGTTGTCAGGTCTGGTGGAGAATAGGTTGATTTTGTGTAAGGATGCCACCGTGGACTATTTAGTGGAATTAGGATTTAGGATACCATTAGTTAAGATCAAAATCCTGAAGAAAGCTAAAAACCATTATTTGATGTCCCAAATTGTGGTATTCTAGCACTCCCATTGGAGATGATCTCAATATATCTACATCTATTGTTGAATTTATGCATTGTAGAGTACAATAATCGGGTTTGTCATTGAGGTGACGTCTCACCCCTTCCCCAGATTAGAAGTGTTGGACTAGAAGTGAAGGAAACTCAGTAACGCTCAGCTCGGCATCAATGAGGTGGGATGGTGGACTCAGACTCCGACATGACTTGTTTATAGTATTTTGAGAGAAGATGGTCTTCTCTACTGTCATGTGTTTTGAAGTATTAAAAGTTTATGTAAATTATGGTCTAGTTTGTAAGCTAAACAAGAATGTGTACAATTTGACAAGGATGGTTTTGTAAAATGGTTTCAAATAGGTACGGGTGTTACAGAAGAAGTAGCCAGTTCGAAAGCCTAGGGAAGAAGAAGAGAAGCTCCTGTTTTATAGTGGATGAGGTCAGTGTTGGACAATTTGTTGGTGCATTTTGATTGGCTAGTAGATATATAGATTGTGTTGCATTTTTCTGATTGGTAGTTAAGTGGGTTGGGCTTGGTCTGGTTCGACTAGTCTGGTTATGTTGTTCGGCTAGTTTGGCTTGATCAGTCTGGTTCAACCAAAATTGGATTTGGCCCAAGTTTGGCTGGGTTTGTCTGTTTCCTTTGGGTCTGAGTTTTGACTTGTTGACTCGACTTCACTTGAGCTTGAGATTTGACTCGAGTTGACCAGAGTTTGAGTTTGGACTTGAGCCCACTTTCTTTTATTGTATAACAATACAATGTTAATTACTATTCTAATTAATTGTAACTCTTGAACAATATAATTAATTGAAATATTGTATATTATAATCATGATTATAGTTATTTGGCATTGTTTCATCTTCGTAAGATTGTTACTTTTCCTATTTAGAAATCGAGACCCATTCCCACAAGACTCAACGTCTTTAGAATTAATTAACTCCCATGACAACCAAATTCAAACTCAAGCCTATTTTTCACTACCATATTGCATCAATCAAAATTTGCTATTGTTTAATCTCATTGACTTATGGCCAACAAGACTCAACCCAAGCACTAGATATGCGGTTTAGCTAGAAAATCATTCAAAATTTGCTATTGCAACCATTAAATTGAAACTAAAGTTTGTTTAATTAAATATGTTTTAACACGGACAAAATGGGGTGTCTACAATTGTTATATCTTCATTTTCCAAATTCATACATAATTATGTTGAATAACCATAAATATTTATCATATCTTCCAAATATTCCAAGTTCATATGATAAATTTTTGGATTCTACTTATTCATTGTGCTAAAAATATAGATGATGACGAAGGAGATGATGATTCAACATCTACGAAACCGGTCACACAAAAGTAATCGCTTGAAGCCACAATGACTCTTCAAAACTATTTGTTGCAATTAGAGAAGACAACACGAGAAATTTTGAAGTTCAAGATGAACTTATACTATACTTGAACTTCATGAAGAAACAAACAACTATAGATTAATATTTTTCTAGATTATAGAATTGGAAGTACAAGTATTATGATATTATTTTATTAAAATTTCTCATTTTCCTAACTAGCCCAAGTCAGAGAGAGCGAATAGGATACTAACATAATTCATTAATTTTTTTTTGTACAAATAATTCATTAATTATACTATACTAACTGCTTAGGGTTGGCAAAAATATCCGTAACCGTGGATATCCGCCCGAACCCGGCCTAATCGGGTAGGGTAAAACCCGAACCCGAAGGACATTTAGTGGGTACGGGTAAAACCCGAACCCGAATATTGCGGGTAATGGGTGGGCATGGGTTTCTCAGTATCCAACCCGAACCCGCCCGATTATACACATACATATGTATTTTGTCTAGAAATAGTCATTATTTTTCTCTAACATATTTTATATTTAGCATATAAATATAATATTTTCATGAAATTGTGTTGTTTTAATTAATTTTCTTCATTCTAGTGAATTATTGTCATACTTTTCCTCTTGTGTAATGTGAGAATACGTGTGAATGTTAATATATTAGTTGGAGTTATAAAGAGAAATCATTACCCATGGATAACCGTGGATACCCGAAACCCGAACGGGTATGGGCATGGTTTTAATTTTCTACCCGTTTCATATGTGGGTATGGGTATGGGTAAAATCCGAACTACTTTGGGTAGGGTAACGGATATGCACTATCCGTCCCCGACCCGACCCATTGCCATCCCTATAACTGCTACTCACATAGTCACAGTAATTAAAAAAAAAATGTTACTCATAATAGGCTATTAGCTCCTTCCTCAACCCCCTTTCTTCCGTTGCTCTCTGCCTCCCGCTCTCCACCCTACTTTCACTTGGCTCTTTGTAAACAGAAAAAAAAAAAATAGCAGGTTACTTGTTAAAAAAATTATTACAAGTGAATCAGACTTGAAGATTCGACTCTTCTTTTTCCCGATAGTCTTAATATTTTGCCATTATAAAAATTATTATCTCGCCAATATAATTTTTATATTACCTTTACCTTGTCATCCTTATAACATTTTCGGTTTGCTTCGTGAAATTTTTGGTGTGCTTTTTTGTCTTTCTGGTTTGTTTGATGTGAGTTCTTGTGTGGTTGCACATATTTCTGGTCTGTTTGAGAAAACTTATGATCTGTTTTATGAGGTTTTTGGTATACTTTAGGAAAATTGTGGTCTAATTTATAAAATTTCTGGTATGGTTCAAGGAACTTATGGTATGATTTATAGAGTTTCTAATAGTAGTTAACATAGTGACCTGTAAACCCACCCACTCGTGTCACCGCTGCCCAAACCAACCCAAAACCCGAGCAAAACCAAGTTAATAGATACATAACTAGGTGGATGAGGGTGCTAGAATAAAGACTCGTTGGTTTTCTAGCTTGGTTCCGGGTTTGGGTTCTAAAAACAAATCAACCCAGTGTATAGCAAAAATATGTGTGTCTTCAGCTTTATCAAGCTAAGTAGGGATGGCAATGGGTCGGGTCGGGGGCGGATAGTGCATATCCGTTACCCTACCCAATGTAGTTTGGGTTTTACCCATACCCGTACCCATACGAGAAACGGGTAGAAAATCAAAACCATGCCCATACCCGTTCGGGTTTCGGGTATCCACGGTTATCCATGGGTAATAATTTCTCCTTATAATTCCAACCAATATGTTAATATTCACACGTATACTCACATGATGTAAGAGGAAAAGTACGACAATAATTCACTAGAATGACGAAAATTAATTAAAACAACATAATTTTCATGAAAAATATTATATTTATATGCTAAATATAAAATATTCTAGAGAAAATAATGATTATTTCTAGACAAATACATATGCATGTGTATAATCGGGCGGGTTCGGGTTGGATAGTGAGATAACCATGCCCACCCATTACCCGCAACATTCGGGTTCGGGTTTTACCCGTACTCACAAAAAATGCTTCGGGTTCGAGTTTTACCCTACCCGATTAGGTCGGATTCGGGTGGATATCCACGGTTACGGATATTTTTGCCATCCTAAAGCCAACGAACGCTGAAAGAAAATGGAAATGCAGAAATGGGTAACTGAATTGGGTGGGCTTTTGGGCCCAAATATATTATCTTTTCTTCTTTCCATTTTCCAAGACCCACACACATAGCCCAATATCAATAGCCCTTCTCAATTTGAACCAGCCTCATCGGGTAATACCCGACCTGACCCGCGATGGGGCGGGTATTACCCGACCCGCATTAGCGTGGGGCGAGGCATGGGCATCAACTTCCGATCCGTTCTGCCTTGTCTCGTCTCATTTTTAGCCCGTTCTATGTCAATTTTTTACCCCATTATTCATATATCTCCTATTTTGGCTTTTATTCAACTAGTTATACTTGATCTTTCAACTAAATAGACTCAATTACTTAAGATTTGTAGTATTTTTTTCAGGAAACTTGTATGTTTTATGAGGTTCAGGGGACTTGTGGTCTGCTTTGAGTTTTCTTGTATGCTTTATGAATTTTGTGATGTGGTGATATTCTAGTGTGCTTTATAAGTTTTCTGGTCTACTTTATGTTATTTGTAGTGTGGTATATTGTGTTTATGGTTTGTGTTTTGGGGTCGTCTTCATGATTGTGCCGAGGGTGGTACGCAGAATAAAATAGTAGCACCACACGCATGTGCCTCCTATAAATTTTAAAAGTCACCCCCTTTAAACTCGATATTAATTGTGGTCAATCCCTTAAAATAAAAATTTTATCAAAACGAAATGTTCTATTAGCTAGAGTTAGTGTTAGTATCATGCTAACAAATTGAGTGTTAGCACGGTAATCTTTGTTCAAATCAAGACCGCAAAAAAATAAAATAATTTATACTAGATTAATTTTTGGAATATTGATTTTATAAAATTTTAAGGTAGTACAACCGAGATTTTGAACTTTTAAGATAGAGGAGAATTAAAATAGAAGAAACATTAAATTCAATATCACATACCATATTTCGTTTTTGTTCATTTTTCCCCCTCTCACACAACAAATTAGCAAAAAAAAAAAAAAAAAGTTATAACGCGAAACTGCAGAAACACCACCATCCCTACCACCAACGTTTCCGCGGTGTCGGTAAGATCCTCCGTTTCTCTCTGCCTCTCTTTCTCCTCTCTCTCTCTCTCTGTTTCGTTAATCCTTCCGCAAAATTTTAATTCCTCTCGTCTGAATCTTTACTATTTATCCCTTTTGACTCGTCGAATCCAAGCTCAACATTTCCTCGAGCTCCTTTCCTTTCGTTCCTCATCCCCTCCGTTTTTCTTTTTCCCCCTTTATATTTTTTTTCTTTTGACAAATCGTCAATTGGATTTCAATAATTTCGATTCTGTTCCCAGATCGTAGAAGGACGTTCCGATCGGGATTCAATGGCGGCAGCTCGACGCCTCCGGGATCTCCAATCGCAACCCGCGAACAAGATCTGCGTAGACTGCTCCCAGAAGAATCCGCAATGGGCCTCCGTCTCCTACGGCGTTTTCATGTGCCTTGAGTGCTCCGGCAAGCACCGCGGCCTCGGCGTCCACATCTCCTTCGTCCGATCTGTCACCATGGACTCCTGGTCCGACATTCAGATCAAGAAGATGGAGGCCGGTGGCAACGAGAACCTCAACTCTTTCCTAGCCCTCCGAGGAATCCCTAAGGAGACCAATATCGTCTCCAAGTACAACAGCAAAGCCGCCGCCGTTTACCGCGACAGAATCCAGGCGTTGGCCGAGGGCAAGCCTTGGCGGGACCCGCCCGCCACCAAGGAAACCCTCGGCGGCAGCGGTGGAAGCGGCGGCGGCGGGATCGGCAGAAAGCCGCCGCTTTCTCAATCCTCGCCCAAGGATAATGGTGGCTGGGATAGTTGGGATAATGACGATGCGATTAGATCCTCCGACGACCTGAGGAGGAACCAATCCATCGGCGATTTCAGGGCTAATGGTAGCGGCGCCATGGCCGGTGGTCGCCCGAGGTCGAGATCGACCGAGGATATTTATACCAAATCGCAATTGGAGGCCTCTGCTGCTAATAAAGAAACCTTCTTTGCCAGAAGAATGGCAGAGAATGAGTCGAGGCCCGAAGGTCTGCCGCCTTCTCAAGGTGGCAAGTATGTAGGGTTTGGATCGGGCCCTCCGCCTTCTCAGATGAATAATTCACAACCAGACGTATTGTCTGTTGTCTCTCAGGTAGGCTGAAATGGGGATTTTTGCCCTCTTCATAAACTTGCTTGATCAGATCATTCCGTTTTATTGTTCATCTATTTGATTACCTACTCCTATTTGATTAGGGATTCGGCAAGTTGTCTCTGGTGGCAGCTTCAGCAGCCCAGTCAGCTGCTACTGTTGTCCAAGCAGGCACCAAAGAAATCAGCTCTAAGGTATTCTGGCCCCTGAATGAACTTCCTATTATACCGACCTCTTATGCCTGCCTATCTGCAATCTGCTTAGATTCGATTTATTGTCTGCAATGGTAATGTGCATTGAGTGCCTTGTCGAATTGATTTGAGTTTGTAAAATCATGGAGTATCCTTGGAATTATGTTGTTATATGTTCAACGAATAGAATTGGTGGTCTAGATGGTTTTGTTGTTCTGGGTACTCTTTCCATGCAAGTGCCATAACCCGTAAGTGATGGTTAATATGCGGAACCATGTGAACAGGTCATGGAAGGTGGTTATGATTACAAGGTGAATGAAACTGTCAATGTTGTGACTGCAAAAACAACAGAGATTGGACAAAGAACATGGGGGATTATGAAAGGTGTCATGGCACTGGCTACACAGAAGGTCGAGGAATATGCCAAAGATGGCGGGTGGAAGAATGAGAATGAGAGTAACGGTTATTATCAAGAGTTCAATAAGCAAGACAATAGAGGATGGAATTCTAACCCTGGTGCTGCAGCAGGACAGTCTTCATCAGGCGGAAATTATAACTCAAGTGGAAACTACAATTCGAGTGGCACCTACAATTCAAGTGGAGGCTACAATTCGAGTGGCAACTATAATTCAGGTGGGAACAATAGCACTTCTCATAGTTCATGGGATGATTGGGATCAGAAGGAGACCAAGAAGGTAGATAACAAGAAGCCCACTGGATCAAACAGTGATGGTGATGGATGGGCTGGATGGGATGATGGGAAAGATGACGGATTTGGTGATAACTTCTACCAGCCTCCTGCAAATAACAACAAAGCCACTGGGCACAATGGCAAAGCAGATTCTTCATGGACTGGCGGAGGTTTTGATTAAGGGTAAACTTCTTGCTTACCTTCTCTATCAGTTGTTTGAATGCTCTTCCTGATTTTGTCAGCCTCATTATTAATGGCGATTCTTTCTGCTTCTGGGTAGATTCCGTCGGCTTTCAATTTAGCCCAGATCCTGGGTTTTCCCTGTAATGATGGTGGGCTCGTAAATGGTGGCAAATTGGATGGTGAGGATGTAACATTTCAATTTCACCGGCAGGCAAATGTAGGGTGGCTGTGGATCAGATCCTCAACAATTGAGGGGATGCATCCATCGAGGTTGGTATATTTTTCTGAAGAAATGTCGGATCTTTTGCTGTCTTTTTTTATATTTTCTCTTCTTTCTTGGTGGAAAAAAAATTTGTTGGACCTTCATTCCTTCAAGGGAATATCTGGAGTGTTAAACAGGGAGAATTCTGGCCCCCCACCCCTTCCCCATCAGAAGGGGATTGGTTCTTATTTCTTCTTCTTTTCTTCCTTTGCTGATTTGGAATACTGCCTGGGAGCTTCGGAGGTCGAAAATTTGCTTTTCAATCTATATATGTGTAATGCTGCTGTAATCAAATTGTGTATCATTTTCGTTTTTTTTTCTTTTCACTGTATGGGTTCTCATTAGTTCCTCTGCTCATCCCCATTCTTGATCGTATTGTCTGCACTGTATACAAATCGATGACGACGAACTGTATGAGCACGCAACTCGAGTCTCGGACTTGCTTTATTTATGCAGCTTACAGTTTCTGGTGTCTATTTCACCATGGCTTAGCATTCACGCCTTGGCACTTGCACATAACGACCCCTAGTCTATCTTATAGACTTATACCCCTTAGGGTAAAACACACATTACACAGAGCATTCTCCAACAGTTTCCTTGCCTTTCATCTCTTTGCCATCGTGGTGCTGAATCACGAGCAGAGATGTCCCTGTCGCTGTTGAAGCTAAGAGTATATCTCCAACATTGCCCAGTTCTGGATTATCAGCCTGATGTTCTTCCATGTCTCCTATCTTAGCTCCATTTCTTCCCACAACCACAAGCTGAAAACCCTTTCCCCGTACTATGCTAACAAACTCCTCTACCACCTTCTTTGCCGCCACCTTCTTCTCTATGTACTCGTCCTCCGCCGCGAGGTTTACTTTCGCTTCGCTCAGCACTGCCTCGTCCGATTCGCCACACGAGTCGTCCAGGAACCTGATCACAGTCAAACTAACAGCTGGGTTTTCTGCCATCCCACACCCGATCTTCAGAGCCTCACGGTCATCGGCACCTCCGAAGAACAGAACGCAAACCTTCTTAGCAGCAGCCTCCGGGCTATCTAGACCGCCGCCACTAAACCCACGGTCCACAAACACGGCCACCGAGCACGTGGCGGTCTCCAAAACCCTCCTATTCACAACCCTCCAGCCATTCCCCACGTTCTCTACTCCCTCATCGTCGCCGTCGCCTTCTCCGCCTCCCCTGCCCGACGACATTGTCCATTGCTTGTGGAACGGCAGGATGATGACGGACGCCCTCTTGTCCTCCGCCACGTGGCAGATGTCCTCGTGCATCGAGTGCAGCGCGGATATCGCTGTGGAGTGGTGGACGGTGACCCTGCTGGCGTGGCAGTACGACTCGAACGACGCTGCGATCTGGTAGTTGTTGGAAGAGGAAGCAGCTCTCCTCGTCCCCGGTATGGTGAAGCAGTTGATGAAGGGGAGGCCGTTTCGGCGAGCTCGTTGGACCATCATTATGGAGGAGGATCGGTCCGTGAGCTCGACCAAGTGGATGGCGAAGAGGTGGAGCGTGGGTTTGGCGGCGGCGCTGGTGGTTGCGTCGATGAGGTTGATTAGGGATGGTACGTTTCTGGAGCTGTGGATGCAGGCGAGGATTCTGAGCTCCGGCTGGGAAGTGTCCTGGAGTTCGTGCGACCGGCGGCGGGTCTGGGAAGGCTTGTAGATGGCCATCACTGTTGGAGTCGTCATGAAGGTGGTGAAGAGTGCCATTAGGACCAGGATAGCAAACATCTCGTCGTTGAGAACCTGGGTTCAAAGTCCAAAGTTCAGAGTCAAGGTGATTGTTTGAATTTGGACCAGAAGGTGTACAATAAGTTGAATGAAGGTGTACAGACAACTATATAAAATTTGGAAGTTTGAATAACTAATATAGCTATCAAGAACTTTTTGCTCCAATTTTATTTCTTGAAAATCTCAATACCTACTATTGAGTATTAAACACTCAGTTCAGATGTAATATGCAGTGATCGTAAGAACCGAATCGGATCAACGGACAGGCCAGTAGAACCATCAAACCAGTTAGTCAGTTACGATCGATAGCAGTTTGGTTATTGATGGACCAAATGATTTTTCACGATTTAACACAAAATCAGATGAACCGCCATGGTTTAACTAGTTCACTATTTAAGCAAAAAAATTTAAAAATACTTTAACATAAACTAAGACCGTCAAACCATAATTATTAATTTTATATATGCTTCCTCTTCTCTTCCAACCTTATTTTCCACCTATTACTATTTATTTATTTTTCCATTTTGAATTAAAAAAAATTGAAACATGAATTCAGCTCCAGAAATTGATTTTTATTTTTTTTACAAAGTGTCATTAGTTCGTGTGTGTAATTAAGTACAATCTTATTCGTAAAAAATAGGTTACTTCTAATCATATCGCCAAAGAATAACACTTAACAAGAAATAGGAAGCTAGGAATCTTATTTAAACTTTTCCTGAACAAAATGATGGAATAATCCTGGATCCAAGAATCAGGCAACATCATTTGCAGTTCTCGCGCACGATATATTTAGCAAAAAGTTGAAAAAGAATATTAGAATAATAGGCAATGAGAGTGACATATATGTAATAGTACAATTAGAAATTAAATTATGAATGAAGTGGCGGTCGAATCCAAGCCATCCCACTTGTGCAAATACATGGGAAATTATAATATTGTCTCCACTATCTTCACGATAGAGAAATTCCCCATTCATAAATTATAGTGTCATTTCGTTGATTATAAATATGACAATTGAAATTTTTCCAAAATGATTGATTTAGAATTTAAACTATTTGATGAGATTTTTAAGATTGTGAGCTAATTTATTTTTCTCATGTGGTCTCCTCAGCATTTCATATACGGTTGACTTCAAGATTAGATTAGTGGTATTATCATTGGACCAAATTCTTATTCGTAAGTAGTTTTCCTACTTTATTTATAAGAATATAATCACAACTACCAAACGTCATAATCTTAAAATACAACCATTTAACTGATGTATCAATATAAAAAAATAACACAATTTTCCGTAGTCTAATCAGTAATCAGTCGTAAAATTTATCTTCACCTAAATTACATGAATTCAAGTCATAAAAAGATACTTATTTTTGTCTATAAAAAAAGATCACAAATATGCGATTTGAATGAGTTGGTTTGTTAGAGAATCATACAAGATCCATAATAATCTTTTTCCAAAAACTCGAGTTATTGTGATCAACTGGTTTATGACATGGTATCAGAGCTAGTTTGACTAAATAATCATGTGTTTGAATCTCCACGACCCCCAATATCTCCATGTCCGTGAGTTGACATTCATTTGAGGGGCCGTGTTACATAATGATATAAGATCCATAATAACGTTCTTTAAAAACTCGAGTTTTAGATCAAATTTTAATTCTAGAATGATAATAAGATATACTTACCGAAAGGAATTAATAGTCGGATCAAAACTAGAATCATTATTAATAACGCATTCAGAATCAATTTGAAATAGGACCGGCAACTAAAAGAGTGAAAATTAAGCTTTTATTTACCTTCTTCTCCCTGCCGATATTCAGCACAATAAGCTCCACCAATCCCTTGGTGTTCATCAAAACCCCAAGCGCCAACGACTCCCTCGCCGGCATCATACACATCATCGCCACCGCGAACGTCCCCAGAATCTTCCCCGCGCAAGCCGTCGATATCACCACCGCCAGCAACCCCCAAGCCTCCGCCCCCTGAATCTTCGCCACGTCGGTCTTCAGCCCGCTCGACGCGAAGTACAACGGCAGCAGCAGCCCCGACACGAAATCCTCAATCCTCTTCATCACCCTGCCGGCGAATTCTCCGCCCTTCGGAATCGTCAACCCGAACACGAACGCGCCGAAGATCGCGTGGATCCCGATGAGATCCGTCATGAACCCGGAAGCCATCACTCCGGCCAGCGTCAGGCAGATGTAGGCCTCGTCGGCGAAAGCCTGCTCCGGCGCCGGGGAGCACTTCTTCGCGATCCACTCCATGACCCGGCGGACGACAACCAGCATGAAGGCGACGAAGCCCAGCCCAGAAACGAGAATCCAGACGGACACAAGTGGGCCTGAGCTGGGCCCACTGGGCCCAGCGAGGGCCACAGCTAGTGCGAGTAGAATCCACGCCACGACGTCGTTGAATGCGGCCGCGGCCATCGCGGTCTGGCCCACTTGGGTCGTGAGGAGCTTGAGCTCTGCTAGGATGCGGGCGAGAACAGGGAACGCGGTGATGGAGAGGGAGACTCCGAGGAAGAGGAGGAGCTGGCCGTAGGGGACTTGGTGGCCGAGTCCTGATCGGCGGAGGACGAAGGAGACGGCGGCGGCGAAGAGGAAAGGCAGGGAGATCCCGGCGAGTGCGATGCAGAAGGCCCTCCTGCTGGACTGGCGGATGGAGGCCAGGTCCAGCTCCAGGCCCACTAAGAAGAGGAAGAACAGAAGCCCAATGCTGGCTACGGACTCCAGGATTGGAGTGCTCCATGACGGGAATACCAGGTGGAAGATCTGCTTGTTTCGGCCCAACGCTGACGGCCCAAGCAGAATCCCTCCCTACAAAAAAAAAATGAACAAAACAATTTGTTATTAGTTTTTCTTGGAGAGAAGAAAAATGACTAGTTTTATGTGAAATAAAGAAAAAAATATTTGGGGGGGCGTACCAGAATTTCGGCGATGACACGTGGCTGGCGGAGGGGGCAGAGGAGGAAGGCGAGGGAGCGGGTGATGAAGAGGACGAGGATGGTCTGAAGGATGAGCAAAGGGAAAGCAGAGTTGAGAGGGTTGTCGCCCTGCCAAGCTCCATCGGACGATGTTTTTATGTTTGTTATGTTTAGCGACATGATAGTAACTAGCTCTCGATCGCTATACGATTGGGAGAGAACCGTTCTCTGTTTCAACTCCCGCTTTTCTTTGTGGAGAGAGCCTGCAGCTATTAGCTAACAAGGTGAAGGTGGATTTGATGAGTAAGTAGTATTGAAGGGAATAAAATGTGTGAGGTTTTATAAAGGTGATGAAGAAGAAAGAAAGTGGAGGTGGTGGCTGGTGCTTGGCCCTGGGTTGTCCATGTCAATGTATGATTAATGCAGGGGATGGAGCAGCCTCATTCCCACCCAAAAAAGATAGAAAGAAGCACAAAAAACAAAACAAGATATGCCACTCTTGTTGTGATTTGATCTGCTTATAGTTCAGCTGGCTTAGCTAGTGAAATATTCCAAGTTAGTGAGCTTAGTTACTAGGAGTTAGTTGGGAAATAGGAAAAGTAATTATTCCCGCGTAGTAAGTGGAGTGAAACATTTCATCATTAGGAGTGTCATTAGCCATTAATTTTAGGAGTCAACACTTGATAAAGCTAGCTCGCTATCTAATTAATAGGAAAATGATTGTTCGAGTTAGTGACTACAATGGGAGGGACGGTGTGGGTAGCTCAATACTCATATTTACTCCACACCAAGCATGGTTCATAGCAGATAATACTCGCACGAGTATAGATAAGTCGACCTATTCTTATATATTATTTGAAGAAATATTTATTACTTAGTGATAAAACAAAAAGAAATTAGTTTATAAATGAAAAAATAGAGAACTCTTGCAATCCCACAAGGTGAGGGAGAAGCGTTCCATTTCGCAGACGATAAGCATGATTGAGAAAAAAAGAAGGAACAAGGCGAGGATTTGTTTTCTGGGGCTGGGGTTACGAGAAACTACAACCCCAGAAAATAGGTCAGGATAGATTTCTCCTCGGAGTAAAAACGAAAAAAAAAAAAAAATTTGGATTGATGGAGCCAAAATGCTAGATTTACCCTAGAGCTAAAACGGAAAATATATGAATTGATGGAGTCAAAAGAGAAATTCTTATCGTTGAATACATGGTCTTTCACTCTGTGCAAAATAAAGTTTCATTTGTCATGGGAAGTTCACAATCGAGCATCACGGGATGATATTTCATTGTTAATTAAAATTGTCTGGCACAATTAGGCACATGAATTATTTCTCGTGATAGTAGGTAAACATTTAGTCATGAAAAAAAATCAGGTGATTAAAATTCCATGATAAAAATGAATTTTCTTGTAGTGGGCAGAAATGATACTCATATTCCGTTTCATGCTACTAAAGGTCAGGTACTACACACCCAACGCAGAATTTTCTTGTAGTGGGCAGAATTGCTCCTTTTATTAACAATTTCCTTGAAATTTGGTGATGCAACTATACGATTTTCTATTGGTCAAAAACTTAATATATAGTAGTTTTTTTCCCCTCCAAATATAGAGATAGTTACATAAGAGGTTCTTCCTTTATTCTTTTGTGATTTGTCTTGCTCTGCAAATCATCGAATAAAAGAATTGGTTCATTCAAACTCCTATTTCAAGCATTCACAACGGAAAGCAAGTAAAGCAACAAGAAATTCAGGAAGTGCATATCTAAAGGAGGCAGCATTCTGTATGGCCATGCACATTTACGAATATTCCATAATATATTGAATAATATTTATAAAATTATTCCAATTAAGAATCGTGCATTAGTGGCTGGTCGACTCCTTATCTCCCGCATTTTAGGATATTATTAACAAATGTTAGTCTCACATGTGGAAAACTTAAGTGCTCCTTTTTCTTCGATGCAAATTCAGTAATTAATATTTGCATGGATGAAAAAGAGAAGTGCTCGATGTTTTGTCAGAACAGAAAAGAAAAGAGGTGTGGTCAAGCATATCTGTGGTACAACAAATGAATTATAATAAATATGGATTGTTTAAGTCAGATTGTAATAATGTTAGTAGTGTTAAAACTAGTGATGAAAATTAGGAATGATGATAATAGATTACTAAATCCACGAGCCCTGTTCTGTTCTCTAACCAGTGACCTGCTTCGTATCATGCTCCCAGCCCAGCCCATGATTTCTTACCCATGAGTGCATACTAGTATTTTTCTCAAATGATACCATCAATGCATTAATGAATATCACTATCAATCATTATTATCTCAATACAAACCACCATCACTACAAGAAAAATAGTATTATTCGTGGATTGTGTTGTCTAGGTTCATTGAAGTGACACGTATACTTGAATTTTGATGACATTCAATTATAATGTTCATCACTCTCATATTTGATATATTTTTTTTCGTCTATCAATGCAGTTTTAGAAGTTTTTACTTGATTTCATATGAATATTGTAACTATTTGATCAATTAGTTATTGTTAGACCTATTAGTTTGTGTTTTCTATCTTTTTATGCTTTTTTAGTTGTTGTGAGAATTCCTAAGAGAGTCAGACTTATGTTTGTAATACTAACAGGTTCTATATTTTAAATACTCGTACTCCTGTGGGTTAATTCCTTAAATATTGTTTTTTTTAATTTACCACGAATATAGTGTTTTTAAAAGTATTTACAAGAATATTGTGTTTTGATGGAGGGAAGTTGGCGACGGCGCCCGAGACTCAGCAAATACAGTTTTTAAGGGTAAAGCCAACGCCTGAGACTGGGGCGCCGTCGCTATGCCCCCTTTTTTTTTTAATTCCCCTCCTCGCCCTCTCGCACATACCAGACCAATCCTCCCTCCATCCCCGACCTCCTTCATCCTCCTCCATCCCGACCCCTCCTTCACCCTACCAGCGTCGACGCCAAGAACAGAGCGGCGACGCCCAGATTAAGGCGGCAGCCCCAGGCGGCGGCGCGAGGAAGAGAGCGAAGGCGCCCCATCAACAGCGGCGACGCGGAAGAATGTCCGACGACGAGCAGCAGGCCCCCGGCGGCAGAGGAAGAGGCCGAGGGCGGCGAGGGCGGCGGCGAACGCTACAGGAGTGAGTGTCGGATTCTCGCCGGCGGCGGCTTTTTTTTTTCGGCGACATTTTTTTTTAATGTTCTAATTTTTTTTTCTAGTTCCTAGGCTTATCGATCCCTGTTCGATGAGACCACCACCTGCGACAATCGATACTGCTCCGATGGATCCGGAACTTCTTTGGGGGCATGGTCACCATCGGATTGACGCAGTTTGGGCAAATGAGGTAAGTTTTTTTTAAACTATTTCTATAGTTTTATTAGCTGAATAATATGATAGAATAGAATAGAATTAAATTAAATTAAATTATGATTGGAATTAAATTAAATTACGATTGGAATTAAATTAAATTAGGAATAGAATTAGATTAAGTTACGAGTATATTATATTAGAATAAGTTTAGTTTAGATATATAAATATAAATATTAGATGAATTGAAGGAATTGAATTAATATAGTTTTGTGCATTAATTATAGGCTGGTGATCGACCATTCCACATTCGTCATACTAGAAATTTAGTTCGATACAATCCACTGTACCTGACGTATCTCGTTGATGCTGGCATGTCTAGTGTTCTGCCACTAGCCCCTCTTACCGGTGATCCGGGTTTGATTACTGCGCTCGTAGAGCGTTAGCGACCCGAGACATCGACATTTCACATGTCGTTCGGTGAGGTGACGATCACCCTAGAGGACGTTGCGACACTCACCGGATTAGCGATCGACGGTGATGCCGTCGTAGTATACATACCCGACGAGGACTGGTCGGGTATGTGTCTTCGACTGTTAGGACAGGCTCCTACTGATCTTGGTGGCGGCGTCATCCGGATTTCTTGGCTCAGGGAGACTTTCGATGAGCTGCCGCTTTCTGCATCACCCCAGACGATAGAGCAGTTTGCAAGAGCGTATGCGCTGTCTCTGATGGGAGGTGTCTTGTTCTCCGATCGGTCTGGAGGTTCAGTCCACCTGCAGTACCTACTTTTGGTCGAGGATTGGCACAGAGCGGGGAGGTTTGCTTGGGGAACAGCTGTGTTATCCTACTTGTACCGTGAGATGGGTAGATCGGCGCTGCAGATTACGGCATCTTCTTCACTGGGTGGTGACTTTGGTGGATGGTCCGCCTTGCTGATGATCTGGACGTGGGAGCGGTTTCCTCATACATCACCACTACATGCGGTGACGGGTGAGCGGTTTCCTCATACAAAATTATGTGAAGAAAGCTTACCGACTCGAAATAGTTGATTATACATAATTCTGCTTTTAGTCTTCCTTTGCAAATTGCTTGCATAGTGTCGCATGCACCACCTCCACTCCCAACCTCTTCCGATGTTATTCATGGCTTCATAGAGTCCTGCATGTCTATCTGAGATGATGCATACATCATTTCGATCAGTCAAACCCTGAACGTGACTTATGAACCATGGCCAACTATCAGTATTCTCACTCTCCACTATGGCAATGCAATTGGAAAAATCTTCTTCCGTCCATCAAATGAGCTCGCCATGAGTAGCACTCCTTTATACTTCCCAGTAAGAAATGTTCCATCAACAACCATAACGCCTGGACAATTCTTGAATCCATCCATACAAGGTCCATAAGCCCAGAATACTCGCTGAAATATTGAATGACCTGGTTGAGTCGAAGGAACTCTTACCCAATGAATCACCGATGTTGGCATTTTTCTCTTGACCACCCGCAAGAATGTTTGCAAAAAATCATAGGATTCTTCCCAATTTCCATGCAACTTCTCCAATGCTCTTTGTTTCCCATACCAAGCCTTCTTGTAAGTAACTTGCATATTAAACTTATCTTTCAACTCGGCCTGAACAGTTAGAACACTCAGATTTGGTTGGGCACGTACCAAGTGTTTGACGGCCTCAGATATCACGTCGACATCAAGATGGCGATGATCCGTCGGTTGTGTCGTACTGCTACAAGTATGAACCAACTCAACCTTTCTCACGCTCCAATCGCCTCCCATTTCTCGACATCCAAACTGCACCATCCAAGGACATTTGTCCTCCTTGTGCATCAAACATCTGATCTTCCAGATTGAAGGTAACGACTCCACCACGTTATACTGAAAGTTGCGTTGTAGTGCATAGTGTTTCATCGCCACCTGTGCAGCTTGTTTCGAGTGAAATATTTGCCCCTTGTAGAATTCTCCATCAAAACCACCAACAGTAGACCCTGGAATTACGCCATATGAATCATCATATGATAATTCCTCGTCCTCTTCATTACCCTGCAAGTAAAAATATGGAGGAAAATTAGGTTGTTCTCCTCTCTCCCCGTCATCGTCCTCCTCCTCCTCCTCCTCCTCATCATCTTCTTCCTCATCTCCGTCATCACCGTCATCATAATCATGATCGGATGGCATGCTCCATGTGTCATCACTGTCATCATCGTCTTCCTCTCCACCCCGATCCTCACTGAGCTCAGCATGTATCTCAGCACCCAAACAATAAGGATTTGTGCCATAAAAATCCAAAGCACATTTAAGCTATCATCATCGACAATAGGCATTGCATAATGAAATAAAACACCATTCTGCCATTCTGGAAGACAGTAGGTGAAACCTGTAATCACAACACTATGTTGTACTGTTTGGTCTCTAATCCGTATTCTCCGAATTAGATGATCACAAAGTTTCTGATAGTTCACCCTGGATGGAATAGTCATCTGGAAACTTAGACCACCAACAAAATGGACACCCAAATTGTCTTCTACTTTCTCTGATCGCCACCGAACAGCTAGTTCAAATCTTCTAAAATCACTACATAAAAAACAAACTCACTAATTACTAACTAGACAAAATCATTATGATGAATACATGAAAAAAAAAAATACGACTCTTACCTGTTATTAGCCATCTTCCCATCAACCAGACAGCAACACCAGAGCTTCTTTCAGAACTTCTTTCAGTTTTTTGGTGATGAAGAACCGAAGGAAAGGTGCAGTATATATGGTGAGTGGTGGTGCTGGAGTGGAACAAAATGGCAGCGACAAAGCCCCAGTCTGGGGCGGCGCCGCTGTGTTTTGTTTGTTAAAAAAGCATCCAGCGACAGCGCCTGAGTCTAAGGCTTCGGCGCTTTAAACATATCAAAAAACACAATATTCTTGTAAATACTTTTAAAAACACTATATTCGTGGTAAATTAAAAAAAACAATATTTAGGGAATTAACCCAACTCCTGTGGAATGTAATGATGATGATTTTATGAAAATATATATCTTTTCAAATTGAGAAATATTGGAGTACTAAAGTCCTTGCTATTAAGAATAATGGAATTAGTGGAGTTTTGAATATGATATGAATCTAGAAGTAGTAAACGTTCTAAAATCTCTAAATATCTCGTTCTTATTGTACTATCTATATCGTATAAGAAGATCTCTCAAGTATGCAAGAATCTCTAACATCCTAAATGCAAATTTGTGGCAAGAAGCTAAGGCATCAATGACAATTGGAATCTTTGGAGTTTAATTTACCTTCTATTGTACAACTATAGCATAATATTGATATATTCTTTCTCGATGTATGTGTCACAAGATCTATTTCCCAAGGTAAAGGGTAGGCTTCTCACCCACAATCTATGAGACTACAAAATTCAAGGGATTTTATGGGCATCCTTATCATATTTTCATCAATTTCGTGCCTATCCCTTTTATCGGTGTCAAATTATCTTTTATTTTCATTTAGTCTATCTAAATCATCACGTGATCCTTCTTTGAGAAATAATAATTTAACATCGACGTGGGCCACCAGCTCTGTCATTGGTACCAACCCCTATTTTCAGGTTTGAACCCCAAAATCTCATTGAAGTTTTTCTCTTTTCACTATTTTGACGTACAATTTTGCCTCCAAGATGAACCAGCGATGGATCCAGAATGAGATAGAGCACTGGCCCACATTTCAAATTAAAAGAGGTGGTGATGGGCTGGGCCATAGCCCGTCGAACACTTAAACGAACACCTAAACTCGAAAATTTACAAATGCGATACTAGCTCTGTATTCAGGGAGGACTGAGCCGTGCCCCTAGATCCGCCACTGAGATGAACCAATCATGGTTGATGCAAAAGGATGATTCCATTTCCACCACTAAAGGAGGAGGCAAATAGACACTTCCACAGAAGAAGAGGGGAAAACAAAGCTCTTGGAAAACGACGACTCCGCACTCCTTTTATAATTTGAAGCAATATCATTATCATACACACCTGCGGAGGAGGTAAGGAGAAGAGGGGTCCTAGGTCCTCACTTGGCAAATAATTGGGCAACAAAATCTTTTAAATACATAGGTTTTAGTAGGATAATTCAAGTTTAGGACCCCATATTCTCAACGATGTTAGCTCACCAAGGACTCCGGTTAACTCAAAATTCATTAGATTCATAAGCATTAGTGTTAGTAAATTTTAGAGGACCCCAGTACACTCAATATCTGACTACGCCACTGAATTCATACACACATTATTATATATAATTAGTTAATTACAACATGTTTTATTTATAAATTTACACTTGAAAACCCTGAATATATCTGATTGCCACTAGCTAGGTAATATTGATTCATAATCAGTAGTTCATCACACAACACTATCGCCCATCTCTCCCATCGCCGCCGCCGCCGACGACGACCCACCACCACCACCACCACCATTGTCCACAACTTTCACCACCGGCACCTCCTCCGCATGTGCCACGTCATGCTGCTGAATCACAAGCACCGACGAAACGACGCCGTTCCCGGCCGACGCCAACACATCGCCTATCGGCCCCAGCTCGGCATGCTCTGCCTGCCGGTCGGCTATTTCCGCCACCATCGCCGACGGGAACCTACCTTTCCCCACCACCATCAGATCGTAATCTCCGCTCCTCCCCATCGCCACCACCCCTTCCGTCACGTTGCTACTCGCCACCTTCTCCTTGTACTCCACTGCCTCCTCCCATTTGCTTCGCAGCTCCCCCAACGCCGTCTCGTCTAGTTCCTGCTCCACGTTCAATACGGTGTCGTTTTTTTTCAAGTTAGCTGACCCTTCAAAAAATTATTATCCCAATGTTGCTGAAAATGCTTGGTTGAGATTTGAGAATCTTACCTCTTCTTTCTGACGGTTCATGACGGCGGTGGAGAAGCTATAGTTCTGCTCGGGTGACTTCGACGGCGAGGGTCGCAGCGTGACGGCCTTGCTGCCGCCGTCCGCCTCTTCTCTCTCAACGAACCTAACGACCGTCACTTTAACGGCCGGATGCTCGGCCATCCTCCCGCCCAGCTCCAGGGCCTCACGGTCATCAGGCCCACCGAAAAACAAAATGCAAACCCGCTGGCTCGGATTGGGCCGGGAAGCCTGGCCCAGCCCACGATCCACGAGCAGCCCAACCGAGCACGGCGCGTGCTTTAGGACCCGCTGGTTGACCCCACGCCAGCCGTGGCCCACGTTCTCGACCGAGTCGTCGTCGCTCCAGTACTGCTTGTGGAAGGGGAGGATGATGACGGCCACGCGCTTGGTCTCCGCCACGTGGCAGATGTCCTCGTGCATGGTGGCCAGGGCCGAGATGGCGGTGGTGGGCCGGACCTTGACACGGCCCAGCTGGCTGTAGGCCTGGAAGGCCCCCGAGAGCCTGTCGTGCCAGCGGCCGCGGCGGCGGTTGAAGAAGGGGAAGCCGTTCTTGCGGGCCCGCTGGACCATGATGATGGAGGAGGAGCGCTCGGTGAGCTCGACGAGGTGCATGACGAAGAGCTTGAGCTGGGAGATTTTGGTGCTGCGGATGGACTCGACGAGGGTGATCAGAGATGGCACGTTCCCCGGCCCGTGGAGGCAGGCCAGCATCCGGAGCTCGTCTTTGGATTCCTTGGTGGCGGTCAGGTCGCCGAGCTTCCGGCGTGGGGTGCCGGAGTGGGAGGAGGAGGAGGCGTCGGCGCCGTGGCGGGCGGGTTTGTAGATGAGCATGACGGTTGGGGTGGTGATGAAGGTGGTGAAGAGTGCCATGAGGACTAGAATGGCAAACGTCTCGTCATTAAGCACCTGTGTCCAACCCAGAGAAAGAAAACGAATAAAACAGGTCAACTTTCTTGATTAGCACTAATTGATTAAAGTGAGTCGGTCTAAATATGTAAATAAAATAAGGTAGTGTGAGTTGGGATTGCTAGTTTAGTAAGATGGATACGCAAAGTGAGACAAGGGAATGTGGTGGGAGATGGTACGTCGAAATGAAGGGAGAGTGGGATGGTGCTGATCCAGCGGGGGTTACCTCCAAACTGGATTGGATTATGGGGAGGGAGATTAACGTACGTAGTTTATTAATTACTCAAGTATTCTAGGGCTGATTTTCCAAGGAAGGCTTAATCTGAAGGAAAGGTAAGATGTCTTTTGATGATTTTCTAAAAGGTACCCATGTTCACATCATCACTACTTTGATTCAAGGAAAGGTTCATATGTCACGTATGGTTGTCACGTCGGTCGGCGTGCCACCGGTTGTACCTGGCTCAACCGATACCAGTCATAAAACCGGCGTGACACCACCGGTATGACCGGTATGATCGATATACGAATCTCTAAGTAAAATGACCTTATTTTAGTGAATTTAATTGATAAAAAATTATTTTATTATTTATTTTATGAGTATAAAAGTTAAATATTGATTTTATTTGTTGGATTCAAGTATAAATGTTTAGGTATTGATGTTAAATATCATGTTTAAATATGAGTATTTATAATTTTATTTGTAATATTGACCGGCATGAACCGGCACAAACCGGTATGTGTCACCGGTCGAACCATTCCACTTGCTAAACCGGCACACTGACATAAACCGGTTTGACAACCTTGCCGGTATAAATCATAATATGGAGATGATAGCCGACGATTAAAGAACTAAACTGGTGGCAGCTAATATAACTGCGCATTTGGGCTTGTGAGAGATTTTGTGAACTTTAAGTGAATTTGTATAACGAATTTATGAAATTACATATGTATTGTAGATTTATAGTCTACAAGATGGTTAGTTACTAAACATTAAGTTAGGAAGTAAGAACTAAGAAGTGTTGGATATAGAAAAGACAACAAGAAGCATGCAGATAGGAAAGAATCTACTAAAAATAAGTTGGTGACAATGCGTGTTGTTGATGGGTATTGACTAGTTAGATTGCTATAATTTTTTTTATTGATCTTTCGGTTTTAACTGGATAAAAAAAAATTAAAATTTGAAACGATATAACATCGAAAAACCAAAACTAAATTGACACCCGTAAGGCCGTAACTGATAATGGCCACCGGGTCGAACAAAAGAAAAGTTAAATGAAAAATAGAGTATCATAGGCATATTTTTTATTTATATAAAGGTGATATAAGTTTTTACTTTTTGCAATTAAGGTACTATTTAAGAGATACGAATCTAGAACCTTTTGTGTTCACGTGTATGGACGGATGTAGACTGAAGCCATTTCCATTTTCCACGGGATGAGGCACGTTATTCTTGCGGACAGATCACCCGCCTCAATTTCTAGCTTTCAAACCCTTACATTATTGCACTTTCCACCCGACTACCTCGGAGTTGCACCTCGCTCATTCATGCACCGCCCTTACTTTTATCAGGGTGGAAAAAGCAGTGTTATTAAAGCCGAGCCGCTCGGCCCGACCGGTAAAACCGCCACCCGGTCACAAAATCGGGTCGAAACAGTCTAAAAGCCGCTCCGGTTTTATGTAGCGGTTGACGAGCGGTCGAGGCGGTTAACCGCTCGAGCCGCTCGTCCGGTTTTTGCCATTCAGTTGTTAAAGTTAATTAAAAAAATTGTAGAAAATTGAAATAAACAAAAAATGTCGGGCTCTCAAACTGAATCCTTATTTCCATTTCACAATTTCGAAGGAAAGAGACGAGCTTTGATTAATAAATGTCCACTATTTATACTGATAACGTTTATTAGGTACCGGTTCTCTAACGGTTTTTAAACGATCTAATGCCAGTTGGACCACTAAAATGCGAGCCGTTCTCATTACCGGGTCATTCTCCGGTTCGATTCTGATTGGGAAAAAGTCATATTTTTATAATATAAAACCAACCAATGGTTAACAATTTAACAAAAAAGAAAATTACACGTCGTAAAAGTAATTCGTGTCCGTTTCAAAATTAGGTAATATATTGCACGTGTATTATTTCATATCTTGTAAGTTTTATAATTTTTGAACTTATATAATCAAAGGATCATATATATATTCTGACCCTACTAGATATGAAACTCCAATTCTATCGCACGTCTAATTTGAGTGACGTGTAATTAGTTGGTAGCATCGGGGTCGGCAAATCAAACACCACCTGCTCTAAGCTTAAAAATCAAATACACAACTACTAGCTGCTTAGCTTGCTAGGTTTCTTTTTAATAATAATCATTTTGACTTCTGAGAAGTTGGGCCATGGGGTGACGAAGTAATGATTTGATTCCTCAGGTTGTGGGGCGTCGAATTTAGTGATTATAATTATTAATTATTATTATGGGGGGACAATTGGTAAGGAGCAAGGGGAGCATATTTAAGATTTTGCCGGAAAAGAATAGCCGTCGACACGGGAAATAGAGAGTTGATTTTTCCTTGTGTACAAAAATGACACATTTTAATTATTTTTAAAATTAGCATAAAACCTGTGAAGGGTGAAGTGGGAAATAATTTTTTTCCTTGTATATGGTTGCATTATATTGGCGCTGCTGTGAAAGTGGAAATTCAACATGATAGGGTAGTACAATAATATTATAAAAGTATTATTATGGTGTTGTGTTAATAAAAAATAAGATCCTTTATGATTTCAATACGGATTATGTATCTTTCGTTTTAACCTAAATTCAAATTTTGTTTGCACAGAAAATCAGATACATTATGATCTGTAATAAGATATATTTATTTGATATATACTTTCTAGTTAGCTACCCTGTGATTTCTTATGTAATACTTACTCCATCTGGTTAAACCTTTACTATGCGATCCTTCCACATAATTATTGTTTAAGAAACTTCAACCTGTAACTTTCATATTAAAAACCTATTAGTAGAACTAGATTTGCCTAAAAATATTGATATTGTGAAACAAAACAAAAAAAAACTTTCCCCTCACCCTTTATAGAAAGAAAGGTGAACTAATGCATATTGTTTAATTCCCATGTGAATTATGCACCTAACTCTGAGATCAAAACCCGAGTACGGTGAAGTGGGAAACAGAGAGTTCCATTTTCAACGAAAACAAATTAGAGAGTTGATTTTTCCATGTATAAGAAAATGACACATGTTGTTTTAAAAATTAGCAGTGTAAAATTTATATTTTTTACACGCAATTCGCAGCCTATAATGGTTTTTTTCTGTGATGGCGCTGCTGTTAATTGGGATAGGATATAATAGAATAATACTATAGGAGTTAATATCAATAGGATCCTTTATATTATTCTAAAGTAGATATTTATCTCCTTTTCCCTATTATATGTATTACTTTGAATTTTTGTTTTATATACACTTTTTATTTTAATTTAGAGGAAGTCAAATATATTAAATTAATTTTATAAGAACATAATCAAAATAATTTATGAATAATAGTAATATCGCAGCTGCTAAATCAATATAAATCAAACAAACTTGATTATTTTGTTATTTTACTACTATAATTGAGTTGTGCACAATAAGCATGAGTGCATGACAAACGAGCGCGGTGTTAAACTTTGTTGATAAGATAGTAGTGACTAAACTAATCACTTCATTTAATAGTCAATCAAAAATTGTTTTATCATGATAGATAAATACTTATTTTAATCTAATTTTTTTATTACTTATTTAGTGTTTCTAATAAAATGAAAAATATGAATTAGTTTTGCCTTTACTATGCGTTGTTCCTTCCACATTAATTATTGGTCTAACCCGGTCAAAGTAGTGAATTACGTTATAATAGTTTCTTGCTTCACTATTAAATCGGTCATTCTATATTACCAAAAAAAAAAAGAGAGAGAGTGGAAAAAAGCTGACCTTTTTCTCCTTGCCAATGTTGAGCACGATGAGTTCCACCAATCCTTTGGTGTTCATCAACAAGCCCAAAACCAGCGCTTCCCTCGCCGGAATCATGTACATCATCGCCACCGCGAACGTCCCCAGTATCTTCCCGGCGCAGGCGGTGGTGATCACCAGCGCGAGCAGGCCCCACGACTTCCCGCCACGTATTGACGCCACGTCGGTCTTGAGCCCACTGGACGCGAAGTAAAGCGGCAGCAGCAGGCCCGAGACGAAATCCTCGATCCGCTCCATCAACCGCTCCGCAAACGCGCCGCCTTTCGGAATAGTCAACCCGAACACAAACGCCCCGAATATGGAGTGGATCCCGATGAGATCCGTCGCGAAACCCGACGCCATCACCCCGGCCAGCGTCAGGCAGATGTAGGCCTCGTCCACGGCGTCGTGCTCCGACGAGCACCGGCCCGCGACCCACTTCATCGCGGGCCGGACCGCGAGCATCATGAACCCGACGAAGCCCAGGCCCGACAGCATGACCCACACGGATATCACGGGGCTCTTGTGGGGACCACCGGGGACTCCGTCCCCCGCGAGGGCCACGGCGAGGGCGAGTAGGATCCACGCGGCGACGTCGTTGAACGCGGCGGCCGCCATGGCCGTCTCCCCGACGCGCGTGGTGAGGAGCTTGAGCTCGGCGAGGATGCGGGCGAGGACGGGGAATGCGGTGATGGAGAGGGCGACCCCCATGAAGACGACGAACTGGCCGTACCCGACCTGGTCCTCGCCGGCGATGGTGCTGCGGAGGACGAAGGCGACCCCGATCCCGCAGACGAAGGGGAGGGTGATCCCGGCGGCGGCGATTCCGAAGGCGCGGCTGCCGCTGCGGCGGATGGAGGAGAGGTCGAGCTCGAGGCCGACGAGGAAGAGGAAGAAGAGGAGGCCGATGCTGGCGACAGACTCGAGGATCGGGGCGCTCCACTTGGGGAAGACCCGGTGCATGTAGTGGTGGTTCCGGCCGAACGCCGACGGTCCGAGGATGATCCCGCCGACGATCTCGGCGATGACTTTGGGCTGGCGGAGGGGCTTGAGGAGGAAGGCGAGGGAGCGGCTGACGGCGAGGATCAAGATGGTCTGGAGGATGAGGAGCGGGAAGGCGAAATCAAGGGGATTGTCGCCTTGCCATGCTCCGTTGGAGGAGGTTTTGATGGAGGTTATGTTCACCGCCATGGTTATTTCTCTTCAAGGGAGAGTTGGCAATGAAGCGGGTTCACGGGAAGGTGCAATTTATAGAGGTTTTTCTGGGGAAGGGAAAAGTCGCACTTATTGTAAACTGATCAGGTCATAGGAGTAATGCCATTTTGCTGCGTTGACTTTTATGTGGTTACTATTACTTACATTACAACTTACAAGGTAGATGCCATAGAGAAATTTTACAATGCTATATAGTATTGGTGCTATAGGTTTTTGCCTTTATGGTACAACTTAAAATTGTACATGTACGTTATGGTACAACTTCAGATTGTACCTATACTTTTTATACAAATTCTTTTATGGTACAACTTAAACTTGTATCTTTATGTGATGGTACAACTTCAAGTTGTAAAGTTGTACCATAACATAAATGTACAAATTTCTTTATGGTACAACCTAAACTTATACATTTAATGTTATGGTACAACTTCAAGTTGTACATTAAAGCACCAATACTATATAGCATAGTAGAAGTGCTCAGATGTCATAAGTTCTTTTATGGTATCAATAATTGATGCAGTGGTTAGAGTGGCTATACGGTCAGGTCCGGTTAAATTGGCCCGAATTGATCCAGTCCCAGTCCCGTCGTTTTGGGAATATAAGGACCAAAGATTGGATTGGATACAGTCCGGTCCCAATTCGATCTTGATTTTAGATTGAACTTGTAGGGGGATTTGAGTGGCCCGAGGACTCAAAGAGTGAGGAGTTGGTTAAGTTTTGGGTGTTGGGCTCTCTTATTCGGTCTTTATCCGGTTTTTAATCCGGTCCCAAACGATTTTTTTTTATCTCAAATCTAAACCCAAAAATTGGATTGAATTGTTTGCTATCCAGTTTCGGTCCGGGTTATCGGTCCGGTTTCAGGTAAAATCAAATAGTCCGGACCAAATAGCCAGCCCTAATGATGATCATAGTGATAATTGATAAATACAGGTAGAGTGTAACGCGATGTGAAGTAGATATATGGGAATGGGATGGAATAGTAGAGTTCACTACTACTATTAGTTGGCTAATTAGTGGTGTACGCGCGCCCAGATGGAGAGGGTTAACAGACACGGGACGGGGGGGGATTCACTTTTCCAGCAAATTAGAAAGGTGGACGGATTGATTAGGTGATGTGTGTTAGTGCGGAGAGCCGATGTCGATCGATCTAGTACAAAACACACATTTGTAAAATCTTATAAAACAACAGGTTACCCATAAAAAAAAAGGTGGTAAAATCTTATAAAACCAACTCTCAAGGTATTCCTTTGTTTGTAATCTGAAAGGCAGAAAAAAAAGAGGCAGAAAAATTATGCAGAGACAACGAGGGCGGGTTGATATTTTTCATCACCAGTCTGTCGTTTTGTTGTTGTATTAGCCGGATTTCAGAGGAGAGATATATGGATCCCTTTTTGATGGATATCTGTTGCGTTTTAACTTTGAATTAAAATAATTCATGTAGAAGAATACAATATTAGTTATTATTCACGTAATCGGATTATCAACTGTTACGATTGGCATAGTCGGGGTCTTGGTGCACAAGCTCAATGTTATTTGGGTTCGGATTGTGGGTTTGGTTGTAACCGCTTTTCCTTTATCATATTCTATTAGGGTTAGACCTACGAGAAGTATTATAAATACTTCTCATCTCCTCTATAATCTATAATCTCCTCAATATAGTGAAACTGACTATCTCTCTCTCTCGCCCGTGGACTAGTTAACACACATCGTGTTAGTGAACTACGTAAATCGTGTGTCGTGTTTCGATTCTCGCTTTCGTATTCTTGCTTTCTCGATTCCGGCAATTTCTCGATCCGTAGTTTGTAGAAGCGTTGGTAGTGCATCAAGAAAATTGATCAATATGTGTAGTTTTAATATTTGAATTGTATAATTAAAAAAATAGAACAATAGTATTCAAGTAATAGATTTGTTAAAGAAGATATATAAATTGATACAACTTTTGTTTTTGTAAACAGTCTTTTGGATTACAAATTTTCTAAAATACATTTTTATCTAATTTCTTGAACTATGAAAGTCTAGTTTAATGTCTTTCACTAAACAATTATTCACAAATTGGTAGAATATTCTTTTCTTGGAGTTTGTTCTTGATGAAAGGTGCTCTTTATGCACTTGTAATTGCAAATTATAAGATCAATGCTATCTTGATAAGAAAATAAACTAATTGATACAACCATATTCACTTTTGTTACCTTTATCCCATAACTCATCCATTCCTTTGAATTCAAGGAAGCTATCGTAACCCATTAGATAAATAGCATTTATGGTATAAGTTTTACAATAAACGATTTGTAGTGTACTGTATTAAACTTCTCCTATATATTAGCGTTGATGTCCAATGTTCAAATAATGAATACAACTACTAGTCGGAGTAAAAAGGAAAAGTTTCAAATTTAGGTATGGTATCTTGACACCATAGTGTTTTCCGGCGAGAAAACTTACGCTGAATGAATTTGATTGCATCTTTGACTACTTATTAATACGATTTCTAAACATGGTTCACACATCTTTGAACACGATTCAAACAAGGGTGTTATATTAATGGTTTTTGGGAACATAACTACATTAAATTACTTCTACTCAAATGGAGGTTCAGTGAGAGCTCCGAACTACAATTATGGCTACTTGCAGAGAAAAAATGATAAAACTTGATGTAGGCGTCAATTGTCTGATTGTGGAACCTTCTCTTTGTCAACCCTTCCTCCTATTTATAGATAATGGATAGATAACTGCCATAGAAACAACCTCTTGGACAACTGTAAAAAAGAACTACTCGCTGCTTCATCGAAAACGTGGTGTCCCTTGAACATGAGATGAGTAGCAGTTCATCACTCAATTGCCAAGGCACCTCTCTTGAAATTGTCGTTGGTCTTGGAGTGTAGCTTGCCTTGCCTGGTATTGTTCTGATCTCGTATCATGCTAGTCATTTTGATGACTCTGTGGTGTTAGGGGATCGTGGTTGTCTTGCCTCGCGGCCATGGACTTCTTAATCATATCCATAGCCCTCTTATCTTAGGGAAGACCAGTCCCAAACTTACCATATTGTTTGGGCATTCGGTCTTGGTCATGAGGCTTGATTTCATGGCATGACCGTGGCACAACATGACCTTTTCATACTTAGTATTTTTTTCAAAATTGTGCCCAGAGCCTCTTGTCTCGCTTCCACGACCCTTTTTTCGTTAGATGGCATGGACCTCTCGGACTCAGTAATTTGGACCCATTTCGTTACGTGGTATGATTCTCTACATATGGATCCATTTATCTGGAGGTTTTTTCATAGCAAGTTACTTCATCAAATCATCACCAATTCATTGCTTTTATGATTCAGTCGTAACTATAAAAAAAAAAAAAAAAAAGGGCTCGTCACTCTCCCTTATCCACTTTCGAATTACCAAAAACAAATCCAAGTATTCCGTTTCTACATCTGGAACGTAGGGATAATGCCTGCCAGTCTCCGGCCTAATCGCCGGCCGCCGCGCTCACGGGCCAGGCAGCACGGGCCACCCATGATGCCAGCCCGCTGCTTTCGGTTAAGTCACACACCAATTCAGACCGCCAGCATCTAATCTAATCATCCTAAGCTTAAATTAAGCTATCATCACCCATTAAAGTTGCGCCACTTCTTTCAAGTTTCATGTCCTTTTCCTTATATCCCTTCATTTTTAATCAAGATTATAATACATTTTCTGATTTCAATATTCTATTATTTTCCTAATTTTAATTTGATAGCCTTCTCTTACAGAGGCATCACGTGTGCATGCAAAGCTGAAAGGCAACTCATCCTAAATCCCAATTCATTCATTATTCTCCTAATCTCCTTCCTTCCGTAGATGGCATAGTCAACGCTAATTTTCATATCCATCCAGCTCAAGTAATTGAAATTCGAAACTGTTCAAAGATGGCTTCTCAAGTTCTCTAGCAGTATCTGACCACGTTTTCCCCCTTCCCCTTTCTTCTTCTTCTTGAATTTTGAACTTTTGGGTTGCAACTGTCAGGAGAATCTGCCACGATTCTCTGTCCAAATTGGCCAATATCAGTTCTACTCGAACTCGATAATCTTATGGTCAATAATCATGTATAACTTGTGGCATCTCATTTATGAAAAACTCATAATCATTTTCTCTATATATTTGAACGAGTTATATCTCTTTCGTTTTAAATCGTAATTTGAATTTTTTCCACAGTTATCTGCTTATAAATTTGTACATTTCAAAATGATTTATACTTTGATATATTTTTGGAAATATTTTTTTGTTGAGACCGTTAGTACCAATCTATACCATGGTGGTAATGCTTGGTGCCACATTAAATCATATCACGTGGTACTAAAGTGTACCATGGTGGTATAAACATACCATAATACCATATTGTAATAGTTGAATGTACATAGATGTGGCAATTAGGATCCAAATCCATGAATCCAATTCAATCCATCCACCAAATTATCCACTTAATCCAATCAATTTGATCCAAATCCAATTGGATTGGTGGATTCATGGATCAATCCATAGATCCAAATGGCAAATTACAATTTGGTACCTATATTTTTTATATTTTATATTTTAGTACCTAAAATTTATATTTTTCTACGAAAAAATCATTGGAAAATTACATTTTGGAACCTAAATTTTTTCATTATGACATTTTAGTACCTAAACTTTTCAAAATTTACACTTTGGTTCAAGCCTTGGATGTCATTTGGATTCATGGGTCAATCCACCAATCCATTTGATCCAATCCATGAATCCACCAATCCGTTGGATCCAATCCATTTGATCCATGGATCCACCAATCCAATTCACGAATCCACGAATCCGATCCAATTGCCACCTCTAAATGTACATGACAACAAGAATATATTATTTACCACATTCATCATTGTGTACCACCAGTTACCATCCCCATACCACCTTGGTATGGAGTGGTATGTTTTGGTCCTCTTGTGTATTTTTCCCCAGAAATTTGTAGATCGATAAATCACGATAAACTCGTTCTATCAGGGCGAAAAAGTTCAAAATTTAAGTTAAAAACGAGGGTGGTGCCAGGTGGAATGAGTGATATGAATTTTTTTTGTGGAAATATATTGAAAATGGATCTTATTTTGTAGATCACTCAGTGAAAAAAAATTTGAAATGCAAGAGAAAATGAAGAATATAAGAGCCGATTAAAAAAACTAGGGAAAATTAGTAGCCATTAATTCTCACCTCTTATGTCTGGACTTTTCTGGCCCCACTAAAATCTAAGGGTCCAAATCTAGTTATGGAATGATGCATAATCCTATATTATACCCAAATCCCTATCCCATTGTTCTGCATCGATAGTTCGATACATAACCAATCTCTTAATTCACGTAAAAAAACTAGACTTCTTGATTTTCACTCGAAAAGTTTTAATGATCAAGATTGAATAATTTTTTTTAAAATGTTTGTATTTCCTTCATTTTAATTCAAAATTTAAAATAAATATTTATTTTTTTTATATTCTGGAGAAAAATTTTATTCTATAAAATAATATTTATTTTTTCCAGTAATTGTTGTTTCATTTTATAGCTCAATCTTGACTAACAATTTTAGTCTAAGTCCTAAAAAAACAGATTGCCACTACCGTTAAAATACATCCAAACTTTAAAGTCTTTCACTCCTATCTTCTAAATAAATAAACTATCTACTAGCAATAGAAACTATAATGACTATCAATTAACAATCAACTACTCTTTTTTACTCTATAAAGCATAAACTATGCAACCTAGAGTAGTCCAAAGGTTAGCTAAAGTCTGATCTTCCTATTGCATAGAGCATCACTGCTGCTTAATTAATCTGTGTAAAGATTTCTTCAGTTGATCACATCTCTCTTTAGTCTACAAAGGGCAATGATCATAGTCTCTCAGTTGTTTGGTCATTGTACATATGGAAACAATTAAACTCCCTGGTTTTTGGAGCCTAGTGACACAACAAACACATACTAGATTCAATGTATCTCCCACTCCTACAGTTGGACACAGGTTTTTATTCTATTTAGTATCACCAGCCATGATAACCATTAAACTCTAGCTTGCCTAAGTCAGATAGATTCTCATATTGTTTTGATAGTGAATTTCTGCATCTACTTTCCTTTAGATGAAACTACCTAAACAATAATTGCTTTAATCACCTACTTTCTTATTTGTTTAGAATAGACTCTTAAACCAAACCATAGGAACCTCAACCCCATATTAATTTCTTTTTTGTCATTTTATTACTCGAATATGTAACTCTAAATATGTAACCTTTTCAGTGATATTACAACAAAAAATTAACTCCTTACTCATGTCAAACAACCCACCCTAAGATGATTCCTTTTCCTATAATCTGATACAACGGGTCCGGAATTAGACAGCTAACGAAATTTGCTGGAAGTATCTATCAATCCAATCCCCCTTTCCTTCTTCCGAAAGGCCACAATTTATTTCCGTGCGCAACAATCATGATTCACGAGACTTCTCTAGAGGGGGAAAAAAGTTTGATAAGTACTCCACCATTTTATTTTTTTTGTGTGAACCAGAACACCAGATATATATTGCCCAATGTATATGTGGTTATGAATGGTTGAGCTGCGATTCGAGAGGCTTTGGTGGTTTGTATAATTTGTTCGGAATTCAGACATAAAGAAGAAGGGGGAAATTCAGTGTCCTAAATGATTTTTTCCCAAATAGTAGTATCACGATTGGAGAAAGAGAGATTGTCATTAGTTACTACCAAGCAAAGTGCACTTCTCCTCCTTGTTGTATTTCAACCAGGAAATGTGATCAGGTGCTCTTTCTGATTGTGAAACATCGATGGTTTCAAACTTTCAGTGTTGAGCTCTTGGAAAGGGACGGAACAAGGGTGAAGCGAGCTTGCCAAAGGGGCGTCCGTGATCCAACCCAATTAACTTTTTGAGAGAAGTCTCTTGTCACGTCAGGTTAGGTGATAAAACACTTAATTTTGGGTTATTCATGCGTCATGTTTACGTTATTTACGCCATATTTGTTTCATTCACGTCATATTTGCGTTATTCACGAAAGAGTGCTGATCATTCACGTAACCAATACTGTTGAGTCACGCCATCTGATGTTTATTCACGCCGTTGTAAAAATAAAATTTTTAAACTTTGAAATATATCAAAATGGATGTCATTGTGTAGATTATGATCAATACAACATATTTATACAAATTAAATGATAATCCAAATTTAATTCCATAAAATATAGCCAATACAAATTATTAGGGGGAAAAAGTATGAATTTCCATTTACGTGAAAAACTTACACTCTTACGTAAATCACCATATTATTACGTGAATAAGTACAAAATGGCGTGAATGGTTACAAGATGGCGTGAATGAACTGGTCTTAGGCGTTCTGTCACCTAACGTGACAAGAGATGTTTTCCTTTAACTTTTAGTAGGATATGTGACATGACATGCTTTGTTACTTATGAGGGTCCATTTTTGCTCTAATTAGGGTAAATTACATTGGTACCACTAAAATATGAGAATTGGTGGAGCTATACCACATAAATAAGAATAGGGTGTCGGGTACCACTAACATCATTGAATTGTGTATCAGTTACAAATTTCGTCTATCCAATTCAATTCATCTACTAAAACATTCAATCAATCCAATCCATTTAAATCCAATCCATTTTATCCAAATCCAATTGGATTGGAGTCATCGATATTTGGTAAATTGCAGTTTAGTACCTACACTTTATATTGTTAACATTCTGATACCTAAATTTTAACATTATAACAAAAAATATATCAGTGAAAAATTACATTTTGGTACCTAAAATTTGATATCATGACGTTTTAGCACCTAATTTTTTTTAATTTACATATTAGTTTCACTTGATCTTCTTGTATCAAGATATCTGCCAATTATTTTTCTCATGATTTCTTATCTACTATCACTGCTTTGTCCCCACCCACCCCACCCCCCCACCCCCCCAAAAAAAAATCAAATGCAGCTTTTAAATTATTCATCCTCACTTCAACTGTAGCTCAACTCCACTTTATGACTTTAGGATCCCATTTTCACACAGAATTTGTTGATTCATGACTAAAGCATCTAGCAGAATTTGTAAATAATGCATGGAAGGATCGACCTCTTTGATTGGTTGCTCCTCTAGCGTAAATTCCATCTTGATGGGTAGGGTGTTCAAATGATTATCATGGTAATTATCAAATCAAATAATGTTAAATTCTATTAATCAGGTAATACAATATCACAACCAGACCGTCCAAACTAATACAAAAACTAAATTAACCAAACTAAAATTTAATCGGTTTGGTTAATTGGTTAACCAAAATAACCAATATAACATCACATTATCATTAAGTGTGATATAGGGAACTATATTTGTCTATAATTGTAAGTTCGTCTCCTTCTCCCATCCCAGTTATCACATGACCGCTTCTCATTCACTCTTCAGTAACTTCGTCTCAATCGGAAAAAATGTTCTCGGGGTTTTTTTTTTATTCCAAAGAAGAAACTCTAGCTATCGCACACTACCACGATTTCCCAACCCTTAGTAGGTCCAACTTCTAAGATCCATTGCATTTTGTGGCTTTGCTTAGCTTCAAGCTTTACCTTTTCATTGTCTAAATTGTATGTGTTTATTGATGTCTTCCTATGTTTGCTTCAAAAGATTTGGAGATTCGCAGTTGATAAGGAGACTTGGTGGCGTTCCCTTGTTGCAATTAAGTTTCCCAACACCAATTCTGACTGGACAAGTGATTGTACTAGCGGTATTGGGTGGAGCCTTTGGAAGGAGATCAGCAAGCTGAAAAAGATTCTTTGGAATCATGCCAATTCCTACGAAATTCCATAAACAAAGTACCAATAAATAATCAAATACCAAATTATTCATCTCCAAAACACCTATTAAACAATAAAAATCCACACATGAAAGTCAAGTTATCCTACAAAGTAAGGTTAGAAACGTGTTAGCCTATTAAGAAATTAGAGTTGGTTTAACTATGGGAAATTAATCTTTTAGTCCTTGGTTTGTTTTACGATAATCCTTAATCCTTTTGGTAGATTACATTACCTTAGTTATATTTTAAAATTATAAGACATAAGCAATGACGAGACGGATATGGGTATGGGTACGGGGCGAGGGCACTCAAATCCATCCCGCCCCATCCCCACAAGTTTCTTTGCGGGTATTATCCGTATCCGCCCCATACCCAGTCACTGCGGGGATTCCCGTCGTTGACCGGGTTGGGTAGGGTCGGATACCCACGGTTACGGCTGTAATTGTCATCCCTAGTCATAGATAATCAATCTCCTCAAGAATAGTACCACCTTTGCCATCCCAGGTTTCATTACCTCTTATCTTATCGAGAACCGCCTTTGCATCTTCTTGAAATACTACGTTGCTGATACCCTTCAAAGAGTACCAATGAATAGCATCTCGTAAAGCCAAGAGTTCCGCGATATAAGGATCATCCACACATGCATAAAGGAACCCCATGCACAACACAACACTCCCTACCCATCCCGTACAACCAGAGCCCCCCCCCCCCCCCCCCCCCCCCTCCCTGCCGAATGAGAACCCTTCTCAACTGCCCCATCCACTGAACAAAGTCGCAACTGATCTCCCCGACCCTCCCTGACTCACAGCAGCCAGAGCTAAAACCGGCCGTGGAGGAATTGCCTGTTGAGGGAGTGCAAGCCATTCACAAACCTGCTCATGATATTGCCCGAATAAGACTGGAATTTGATACTATATATAATCATGATAAGCTCAATTCATGCCTTTCCAGATTCGCCATAAAAGAGCGACCAACCGTATTACCCTCTTCGCGGACAAATCTCGCTCGAGAACATGTCGAAAGAACAATGCAATGTTCAAATGCTCCAACCCCGTCTAACCTCTCCTAGGCCACTCCCATCTTACAACTCGACTGCCATCCTATAAGAGAGAAACATATGCTCAATGGATTCTAAAGGATCACAACAAACCGGACAGATCTTGGGGCATTCAGCACTCTTCTACTTACTACTTAATACATAAGGGACAGAGTTTATTGATCACATAAGAAAGAATAAAAAAAATATAATTCATAAAATTAATTGCATAAATGATTTGTATTTTGTAGAAAAAGGAAAATTGAATTTTGGACTAACAAGGCTTATTTTGTATTGATTCATTCTGTTTTGCAGGTCGGCCCAATCCTTTGAAGTAGGATATCCAGGAAAAATAAAACAATTAGGCTTCCTCGGCTCGGCCCAATCATTGGAATTAGGATATCCAGAAAAAACAAATAAAATTATTTGGCTTCGCCCGGGTTCGAACCGGAGACCTTCAGTGTGTTAGACTGACGTGATAACCAACTACACCACGAAACCAATTTGTTTAGCTATTATATTCATGTTTATTAAACCGTTGTCTAAATCGTAATGCTGCCATGGCCGCCCTAAGTCAAGGTCTATTCTTGTTTCAAGCTCAAGGCCTAAACCCACCGCCCTAAAAATCTTCTGAGTCTCCCTGCTGCTGCTCCGATCTACAATCAGATTCCGAAGATGGCCACCGCTCTGGACATGTCTCTCGACGACATCATAAAGGCCAACAAGAAGTCCAACAAGGGCTCTTCTCGAGGAGGAGGCGGCGGCGGAGCCGGAGATAAACCACCTCGCTCCGCCGGTCCTGGTCCTAGCCGTCGCGCCTCCAATCGCGCCGCCAACAGATCCGGCCCCTATTCCAAGGTAAATTCTTCAAAAAGATTCTCCATTTTGCCACTGCAAGCTACCCCTCTCTCCTCCTCTTTCAGTTCAATAACCTAATCTTCCGAGTCCACCGCACAGCCGGGCTCGCAGCCAGCTCCCGAATCGGCATGGCAGCACGACATGTATACCGAGGCTTCCGGCAGCGGTGCCGCTTCTTTTCCCGGCGGCCGTGGTGGTCGAGCCGCCTCCCTTGAGACAGGAACCAAGATCTATATCTCAAACTTGGATTATGGAGTTTCTGATGAAGATATCAAGGTTAGATGCAATTCCTGTGCTTGCTTTGAATACGTGGAATCTGGAGATTTTAGAGCTAGTGAAAGGTGATGAATTGCTGATCCAGAGTGTTGATCTCTGATGATTCAGGAGCTGTTCTCGGAAGTTGGTGATATGAAACGGTACACAGTGCATTACGATAGGAGTGGGAGATCAGAGGTATTAATATTACTATACTGATCCAATTTCAAGCTTTTTGGTGTAGTCTGGCTATTCTGTATAGAGGGTTTGGTTTGATTACCTCTCACGGTTGATGCTCGTGTCTCTCAGGGAACTGCTGAAATTGTATTTGCACGCCGGGAAGATGCTATTGCCGCTGTCAAAAGATATAATGATGTGCAACTAGATGGGAAGCCAATGAAGATAGAGATCGTTGCCAAGAATATTCCTCCTGCTGCTGCTGCTGCTGCTCATTCACCTGCAGAAGGCTTCAACCGGAATCAAACTGGTGGTGGCAGAAGGTTAGCTCATGGCCCTTTTACTTTCCATTGCAAAGTTTGTAACACTGAATTCCGTGGTTGGATTTTCTTTTTAGAGGTTAGTGATAAGAGAATGGATTCATTGCACAGTAGATTAACTTAGCAACCCTTCTCTTCTAACCGAAATTCAGCAGCTTTTGCATAATAATGAGATTCAGTCTTTGCTATGTGAGATGCTCTGCTTAGATGCCTTTGCTTATTTGAGGGGCTGATTTGGTGACAATGGCAGGCAAGGAAGGGGGAGATCTGCAGGAGGGCCTCGTGGTGGCAGTGGTGGTGGTGGTGGTGGAGGCGGCGGTGGTGGTGGTGGCGGTAGCCGTGGAGCCAGGGCTGGGAAGGGAAGAGGCAAAGGTCGCGGTGAGAAGGTATCAGTGTCAGCGGAGGATCTTGATGCTGATCTGGAGAAGTATCACTCAGGAGGAGCAATGCAAGAAGACTAGAATGTCTCTTCATCAAAACTGGAGTCTGGGACTGCTAATGGAAGCACATTTCTGAGTTATTGTACCTGCAATTAAGTCTACATACAAAATGGGCATTTGGCAAAATGTTACTGAATCCTTTTTTGCTTTTAAAAAATTGTACTATGGAGGAAGGAGACAGTATCGTTTTCTGGTATCCTGTAAGATATTCCCCTGCTTGTTGGAATGTTGATTTGCCCTTATTGTTCACTGCCAACATGACAATTTGATGCCTTGTACTCTTGTAAGCTGGAGATTTAAGCCACTGCTGAACAGCCATTTCTTCGTCGAAGATGGCAAATTTGAATTTGCCTGTGCTTTTGGCAAAACTGTTTCGTTTGCTTTAGTAAGTTTTGGATTCCATTAAGTTTCTAATTGCTGTAGTTTGTCCCGAGTAGTGTGTTATGTTAGTTGAGAGCTTTCAGAGTTTAACTGGAGAGTCAAGTTTGCTTGTGGAGAGTCAAGTCGGTTTAACTGTTTAGTTTATAATGATTGCTGAAAAGTGAAAACTGTTTCGTAAACTGTGATTTGGGCCTGGGATGGAAACGAAATAGAAATATTTTGGGCCTCTGAAACAGAATCCGGGCAAAATAGCGGTAAACAAAAGAACCGCGAAAGGCGAAGCTCTTCCCGCCGGTTCCCCCTCTTTCCTTTCTATACTCATTCTGAAGCGACGGCAAACAACTCCCGAATCCCGAACTTTCCCGTTGCCCTCTGTCGCCCAGCCATGGAGATGAACGATGGTGAAGAAGAGGAGGAGTTCGAATTCTCTCGGAATTACTTTTTGGCGAAAGAGTTGGGCGGCTCCAGTAAGAAATCCGGCCGCAAGATCTCCGATATTGATCCCGTCGACGAGCAGGTAAAGGGTTTTTCTAATCCGGCCTAAATAACCCGGTTGCCGGAGGTCGGGCCTCGCTGATCTATATTTTCTTGCTGAATCCAGGAGCTAAGAACGGCCGCCAACAACCTTGAGCCGAAACATGAGAGAGAGGTTGCTTCACTTATGGAGAGCTACAAGGCGTCGTATCCTGAGTGGGTTTTCATGCTCAGGTAATAAGGCTTGCTTCCCTTTTACACCATGGTTATAAAAACACCCAGTCAAAATGAAGCTCAATTCGAACTTTCGAGCAAGTTTTTCCATCCCCATTTCCTCGAGTTGTAGCGGCTTTGCCTATTCTTACTTGACCTCAAGAGAAAATGGGGTTTTGCTTGTGCGTTGACTGTTAGTAAATTTGATCCGGTTTGCTTAGTATTCATGCTGGTTATTTTGTGGGTAAGGTTGGTCTGGTAGTGTTCTGATCGAAGCTTATGTTCTTTGTTATGGGCGACTAGGACCGGTTTTGGACTTCTTATGTATGGGTTTGGTTCCAAGAAGGCCTTGATTGAAGATTTTGCCTCTACCTCATTAACCGAGTATTCTGTGGTTGTAATCAATGGGTATGTTCAGTCTATCAATCTGAAGCAGGTAAGATGACAAACAAGCTTCATTTGCACAGCTGATTTTTTCTATGCTAGTTCTTATGCTGCATAATGTTGTCTCTTGAGTGAAAAGGTTATGGTTGCCATAGCTGAAGTATGGTGGGATCAACTCAAGGCTAAGAGAAGAAACTCTCCTTCTCAAGCTCAACAACCATTTAACTCTCGATCTATTGACGATCTTCTTGCATTTATGGATGGGCAAGAGGCGGATGATGATAAGTCCTTTGTCTGCATCATTGTGAACAATATTGATGGGCCTGGCTTAAGAGAACCCGAAAGTCAGCACCTTCTTGCTCGAATCGCTTCTTGTACACATATCCGTATCATTGCCTCTATTGACCATGTCAATGCTCCACTGTGTAAGTTCCCCCCAGCTTCCTCTTTGGCCGCTGCAGAGAATCAAAAGACTTGAGAGCATAATTCAGTTCCTATTAATACAATTGAAATCTGGTGTCTTGTTTACTCTTGCTTTTTGGCATGTTAGTGTGGGATAAGAAGATGGTTCACACCCAGTTCAACTGGTACTGGTATCATGTCCCTACCTTTGCACCTTACATGTTTGAAGGAGTGTTCTTCCCTTTGATACTCGCGCATAGCAGCACAGCGCAGAGTGCGAAAACAGCTGCAATAGTTTTGCAGAGTTTGACTCCCAATGCCCAGAGTGTGTTCAGAGTACTTGCGGAGTATCAGCTTTCTCATCCTGACGTAGAAGGCAAGTAATTATGATCCCACTCGTGGTGACTTTCTCGACCACTACCCTGCTCCACATCCCCAATCTCACCATTTTTTAAACTGTATCCCATTCTTTTCTTTCTCCTTTTTTTCAGGCATGCCGATTGAAAGCTTGTATGCAGCCTCGCGAGAGCGGTTCCTCGTGTCAAGCCAGGTTACACTGAACTCTCATTTGACGGAGTTCAAAGATCACGAGTTGGTCAAGACTAGAAGGAATGCTGATGGTCAAGACTGCGTCTATATTCCTCTTGCTAATGATGGGTTGCAGAAGCTGCTGCCGGAGATCAATCCTTAGCGTTGTTTGTCCTTCTGTAACAGCCAGAAGCTGCTGCCGGAGGTCCAATTTTGCACTATATAACTGCAACAACCTCATGGACGCTGCAATTTTTGTTTTTGTTTTTTAAGACATGAGTAAGGAGATTTCAGTTCCAGTTGAAGAAGATTTCCCCGCTTAAAAGTTTAAATGAGTCTATTTAAACTTTATTTTTTTATAAATGATTTAAGGTCGAAGATGTAGTGGAAATTTCAATGAGTTGTCATCATGGTTTGAGATTGATGGAAGTCCAGTAAATGTGGAAGAGAGTCTGATACGCCACCGTAGAAAGAAGGTTTGTAAGAACCTTTTGGAAGCTAATTCAGGTCCCATGTTATAGTCTCTTGCAATGAATTTTGTGTCTACGATAAGACATCAATGATAATCTATTGTGAGATATAAGGTGAAGATATTACATAGTATAAGGAAACCATTAAGCTCAACTATGTTTAGGAAGGAGGGAAAAAAATGTTTATCTAACGAAAGGTGAAAATGAAGTTAGAGATACGAAAAAAAAATGTCTATCTAACTATGTTCAGCAATCCACGTTCTTCATTGTTTTTAAGGCCGATTCTCCACAACATAATAAATTTCTTGAGTTATTTCCTACAATCCTCCCCACTAGAAACCTCTCCAACCTCTGTCGGGCTTCCGCTAAAAAATAGACGAAGAGGCTTTTAGGTTACCCACTCGCTTTTCCTTTTGTGATTTATTGTTTTGTAATCGAATTAATCTGATTTCATTCAATTTTTTTATAGATGAGTGTTTATATATACGATCCTCGATTGTATATCAATCCCGTGTCAAGGGATGCACAATATTTAACCGAGCATTTAACACATTGTTCCCGTGCCATTTAGCACAATAATCCGGTAGGCACGCCATACCGTCTAAAACTTTAATTTTCAGTATTTTGTTTTCCTTTTACTAATAGTTTGCTAATTTTGCAATTTTTTTCGTAGGAATCACTCATTCTCATCACCCATAGAGGGACTTCATGCTTGCCTGAATGACATGACCGACTAAAGTCGTATCTAGAGAGGACGGGTTTGGAAATGATGAGACACTTCATGCGGATTGAGATCGACAACAATCTCTTGACGACAATGTCAGAAAGGTGGGGCCGAATTACACACCTTCCCCTTTCATGAGTGGGAAATGACGATCACTCTCAGAGACATTGTCATCCTCACCGAGATGTTGATCACTGGAGAGGGCATTATCGGCACCTCGAGAGTTCCCGAGAAGGCTTGGGCCCTAGATTAGGGAACGTTTGGACTTTGACATGCCGACGACGGCGACAATCCAAGGACGGGGGCATCCACCGGTGAATGCAGGACAAATATTAATCATATGGCTTGTTGATCACATCCAAGAGGAGGTTGAGATTGATGCATACACCTCCGAAAAATAAGTGGAGCAGTATGCACGTGTCTACCTCATTGTCGTGGTTGGTGGATTCATGTTTCCAAACAAGGAGAATAGGTGGGTACATGGCATGTGGTTACCGTTGCTGCTCGGTGACCGAGACGAGATCCGGAGAAAGAGCTGGAAGTCAGCCGTGTTAGCGACGATCTATCGAGAGCTGTGTATATGCTCGAAGATGGGTGCGAAACAAGCTGGCGATGCTATGTTCATCCTCCAGCTCTAGGCATGGGAGCATCTTTCGATGTTCGTACCTCGAGACCTACGAAAATTCTGGGCGGAAAATTAGCTGCTACGAGTTGTGGCAAATGCACCCTATGGTGCCAAGTAAGTTTATTTTTTACATTTATCAGTTTAGTATTTTATAATTTGTGGACAATTACCAATACCAATATTGTAAAATAAATTATACACCCAATTTATGGATTAAGCTATATTCAGTTTTAAAAATTTCTTTCATTTAAGTTTAAACTATTGAATTTTAAAAAAACCAACGCTCTTGTTCCCGCTCCGGTTACCTAAGTTTCTCTCCAAATTCATAATGGTTTGGATTCTGACTACCAAATCTAGAGCACTTCTACTATGCTATATAGCATTGGTGCTTTAACGCACAACTTAAAGTTGTACCATAACATTAAATGTATAGGTTTAGGTTGTACCATAAAACAATTTGTACCAAAAGTATAGGTACAATATGAAGTTGTACTATAACATAAATGTACAATTTTAAGTTGTACCATAAAGGCAAAAACCTATAGCACCAATACTATATAGCATTGTAAAATTTCTCCCAAATCTATCACTACCATCAAGCAAACAACCTAGTTGATCTAAACAACACATAGTAGACTGAATACTATGGCGCCAAAATTATTTTCAAATTCCCAAGCATGAGTAGCATATGAAGAAGAAAGAGTTGGGAGCGATTCAAGTTTCAAAGAGATTTGCGCATACAATATCAAAGAAACAGCTAAGGGGAGCCCCATCCACCACCACCAGGTGTAAGTATCTGAAGAATCTCACCAGCCTGAACCTCGACCGTGTTCTTACCACCCAGGTAAATCCTCCTTTTATCCCTCTTGATCAAATAGTTCTCGCCGCGAGCTCCATCGTCCCCGCCAGCCAACCCTCTCGGCGCATGAACCCGCCTCTCCGACAGAATGCTCACCACAACCGGCCTCCTGAACTCAATCTCCCTCACAATCCCGTCTCCTCCCTTGTTCACTCCCAACCCGCCGCTCTTCTCCCTCATCCCAAACCGGTGCAGCAAAACTGGATACCTCTGCTCGAATATCTCCGGATCAGTCATCCGAGTATTCGTCATATGACACTGCACCCCACTCGTCCCTTCCCACGTCGGCCCAGCCCCACTCCCACCTCCGATCGTCTCGTAGTAACCAAACGAGTCGTCCCCAAACGTGAGGTTGTTCATGCACCCCTGAGAGCAAGCACACGCCTGGAATGCTGTGAGTACAACGTCGGTTATTCTCTGCGACGTTAGCACGTTGCCTCCCACGACGGCAGCTTTGTCGCTTGGGGAGAGAAATGAGCCTTGAGGTATGTGGATCTCGACAGGGGCTAGGCAGCCTTGGTTCAGAGGGATGTCGACGTTGACTAAGCAGCGAAGGCAGTATATGACTGCAGCAGCAGTCACTGCTTCAGGTGCATTCCAGTTGCCGTACACCTCTGGACTTGTCCCGTCGAAATTGAAAGATGCTTCCCCTTTCTCACCGTTGATGGTCAGCTTCAGATGAATGGTGGAACCGTCGTCCATTAGATCCTCCTCTTCTATGGTAACGATGGAGCTGCGAGAATCATTTGGAGACTGAGATGATGAGACTCTCGAAGCTACGGACTTCAGCATTTCCCTCACTGCTTCTTCCGCGTTTAGTTGGACATAGGTCATGTAAGCTTGAACAGTTTCCAGACCATACTGCTCGATCAACTCTTTTATAAGGGAAATTCCCCTCCGGTTTGCAGCTATCTGTGCATGGAGATCGGATAGATTATCCTGAAGCCGGCGTGTTCCGGGGATTTTGAAGTGACCTCCTGCGCCTGAATCGTCAAGAGAAGAGCCGGGGAACTGCAGAAGCCTGATGATTCCTTCTTCTTGAAAAACGCCTCCTTCCACCAACTTGAATGCTTTGATTGCTGCCCCTTCTTCAAATATGGACTTCGAAAATGGTGGCATGCTTCCAGGAGTTATGCCTCCAATTTCTGCATGGTGGCCTCTGCTAGCGACAAAGAAGACCAGTTTGCCTTTCTCGAAAACAGGAGTAATGACTGTTATGTCTGGAAGGTGACTGCCTCCAGCAGAAGGATGATTAGTGACTAATACATCGCCTTCATTTAGATTATCACCCCAGTGATTAAGCTGCCATCGAACAGTGCTGGACATAGCTCCGAGGTGGACAGGGACATGGGGCGCATTAGCAACGAGGCCTCCATCAGGGCCAAAGAGAGCACAAGAGAAATCTAACCGTTCTTTGATGTTTGTTGATATTGATGTTCTTTGCAGTGTCCTTCCCATCTGCTCGGCTATTCCCATGAACCTGTGATTGAAAATTGAGAGCTGGACAACATCAGCGACTTTCTCAGATACTTTGACAGCCGAGCCCGAATCAGAGTCGAGTTTGATTTTGATGTTCCCATACTTGGTTATATTTGCCTTACAATTGGGTTCCACTATCACAGTACTGTTTCCATTCATGATGATTGCAGGGCCAGGGATCACATGTCCAAACCCTAGATTCTCAAGCCGGAAAAGTGGTACCTGGTGCCATCCCTCTCCGAAGTAAAACCGGTATTGATTACCCTCTGATTTTGGTATACCAGTAGCAGGTTCCAACACCTGTGGCTTCAATATGTTTGTAACTCCAATACCACGAACTCTGACATCACAAATTAGAATATTCCTGTTCTGTAGCTTGAATCCATACTCTTGCTGGAACATCTTCACAAATTCCACATCATAATCAGATACTGATCCACCTTCATTCACATTCCCCTTCACCATTATTGCGGTATCTGTACCTTCATACCTTAAATTCAGATAGGTTTCAGTTGTTATGTTTCCCTCTCTGAAACCTTGCTCCTGTAATGTCTGTTTTACCTGGTTTAGTAACACGCTTTCTCTGTGGGAAGCCTCTAGGATGGACTCAGGACCATAAACAGCTGAGTATGGCTCTTGAGCCTCTTCCACTACATCTGCCAACCCCATGCCATAAGCACTCAGTATCCCACAAAACCTGTGAATCATTACTTCTGTCATACCCAACGACCTAGCAATAGCACAAGCATGCTGAGGGCCAGCACCTCCAAAGCATGCCAGAGCATGATTCCTTGTCTCGTGCCCTTTCATCTCAGTCAACTGCCTTATTGGGCGACACATGGTCTCATTTGCAACATTGATAAAACCAAGTGCAATTTCTTCCACTGACATATCTTTGGCACTCGAATCCTGGCTTTTCCTATACGAGTTTATTTGTGCAGCAAGTTTCCCGAATTCTTTTCTCGTAGCTTCAATATCCAAGGGTTGATCCTCATTGGGCCCAAAGATGGAAGGAAAGTAATCAGGAATGACATATCCTAGAATGAGGTTAGCATCCGTAACAGCCAATTCTCCTCCTTTCCTGTAACAAACAGGACCTGGGTGCGCACCAACTGATTCGGGACCTACCCTAAATGCTCCAAATTGGAACTTCAATTTCGATCCTCCACCAGCAGCAACTGTGTTAATATCTAGCTGAGGTGCCTGTATAATAGCACCAGCAATCTGAGTTTCAAGAACTTGTTCATAACTCCCAGCATAACGGCTCACGTCAGTGGAGGTTCCTCCCATGTCAAACCCAATGAGGGGCTTCTCCGTTTCAAGCCCAAAAAGAGTTTGCGAGTAACCAACCACCCCACCAGCTGGACCAGACAAAACAGCTTTGTGACCTGAGAACCTACTTTCAGGTGCAAGCCCTCCATCGGATTGCATAAACAGAACATTCAGCTTTCCTAATCCTTGGTCAAATTTAGATATAAACCCTGACAAGTATTCTTTGATGACTGGGGTTAGGTATGCATCAACACTAGCTGTTAGACCACGAGGAACAGCTCGAACCATCGGGGTCAAAGCCGAAGACAAGGAGACGTGCTTGAAACCCAAACTCGAAGCCACTTTCGCTACAGCTACTTCATGGTCAGGAAAAGTATAAGAATGCAGCAAAACTACAGCCAGACAGCTGACCCCTTTCTCCAGCAAACATTTCAATTGAGGCTTCAAAGCGGCATCATCAAGTGGTTTCACAACCCTGACAAGCTCACCTGAAATTCCTTTAACTACGGCTGATGACGACCCATCTTCCTCCTTATCAACAACAAGCTGAACTCTCTCATCAACCTCAATAACCTCCTCGTAGAGGTTTGAAGGTTTTGACACTGTGAGGTCGAAGATATTGGGACGAGCCTGGTTGCCAATCTGTAGCAGATCCTTGAATCCTTTAGTCACACAGAGAGCAATCCTTTCACCTTTTCTCTCCAACAACGCATTTGTTGCCACTGTTGTACCCATCCTAATCCACTCTATCTTGTCCGTAGGGATTTTGGAGTGGCGAGGGATCTTTGACCCCGTGTACTCTTCAAGGATCCTGCGAATCCCTTCAACCGGAGCATCGTCGTAGTTTGCTGGATCAACTGAAAGAAGTTTCAGAACTCGACCGTCAGTTCTGCCGGGAAGTTCGGCGTAGACGTCAGTGAATGTGCCGCCTCTGTCGATGCAAAATCGTAGTTTCTCTTCCCCCATGGCTGACCTCCAAGGTTTGGAATTGGAATCTTAGAACCGTTGGTGGGTCACAGAATAAAGTAGATAATCAGAATTGGGGATTGATTTGGGGGAAACAGAATTGGAAGTTGGGAAGAATTAAAAAAGCATAGGGTGGGGAAGATAATTGAGCCGTAGCTCTAGGGAGTGAAGGAGAGACTAGAGAGTCGGGCGTGGGGAAGGGAGAGAGGAAAAAGAGAGATAGGTTTAGGGTTTTCCAAGGTCGTCAAACTCGATTAAGTAATTGAGCCGGTTAAGCAAGTGGTTCGAGATTTTATTAGTTTGATTAGAGTCCGACCGATTTGAGTCATTTTATACGTTTTCTAAATATATGTAGAATCTCCCAAGAAGCCCCAAGTTCGTCACTCTCCCTCTACATCTTCCCAAACTATGTTTTTATCTCTCTAGGATGACTCCCTTTGCTCAAATGTAGGGAAAGGGGTTATGTAGTGAAATATGAGGCACGTCACGACCTCCGTGCATAACTAGAGGGGTTGTCACGGCTTCCAGGTCGCTGCCCTTAATGAAACGAGAAGTAGAAGGCTTGTCGCAATCGTGACTTGATAAACGTCGTAGAATGGTTGTTCTCCTCTGTGCCTTTCACGAGCACCGATATCGCAGCCTTGATCCTGAGATCACGGGCGTGATCTGGAAATTGCGGCCATGATCTTTCACACAATACGAATCCTTCTTGGCCACGAGTCGGGCCGTCAAACTTTTCTGTGCATTTCTGCGTGGGAGGGTACATCTCGACCTGGAGTTCCCGGCCGACCATGACTTGCATAAATTCATCTTTTCACCTTTCTTTTCACCCTTGTAATGACCTCTGATTGGCACGTAAACTTAGCGTGCCTTTCCTCATCATGCTAGGACCCGAGATTAAGCTAGAAAATACAACCTAACCTAGAATAGAATGTGAATGGACAAACTTCAAGCCAAATGGCCAAGTGATAACAATAGTGCCTAAATCTTCGAGTATGAAGATAATAAGCAATTATAGCACAAAATCCATCTCAAATAGCTAAAGATGATTATGGCATGCAAACACCTAAGAAATGGAAGATCAAATAACACCAATTTAGGTGTTATCAAAACATTGTTGTGGATGATGGGTGGGAGGTAGGTTGGTTCGCTTATTTGTGGTGCACCGACTAAGTACCGATTATTATCAACAACCAACAGGTTAGCTGAGAAGGCAAATACACACAAGTCACAACCATGACCGCCAACCAAATGATTTGAGCCGTTTTCAATTAGCCAAATAACCAACTTTTCTGTTTGGTTTTGCGGTTAGACCATACAACCGACAAAGGTAAATTATCCCTACACACTACACTAGTAGCCAGAAGGTTTACAAAGATACAGTGAGCAACTCACTCCTAATGGCAGATGACAAGCATGAAAGCACCTATTTGTCAGCAGCAACCCATCAATCTAAGCGTCATCGATCATACTATGAGACGATTATGGTATGTTTAGGTTCCAGAACTGGGAAAGAGGTTGGCTAAAAAATCATTGCACATAAAAGTTTTACAGATATCAAACAGAGCTGGTCATTCTGCTCGAATTATACATGGGCTGATTGATAACTACCATACAAACTGAACAGCATGTTGATCATACTTGCTGACCTGACCTATCAGTAATTTTTATGCTTCAGTCGTCAAGAAGAGAATATCACGAATCTAGTAACAGTAATGCCTTAGATGACAGTCATTAGATGCTTTTTAGCATATGTCTGGAGGGAAGTGTCCTGGAAACGAGCTAGGTTGTTGTTGTGCTCTTTGTAAATGAAGCTTTAGAGCGTAGTTGTTTAGCTGCACAGCAGAAAGAAAAAAAGCCAAGTTCACCATCATGGAATAATAATACCACCAAACAGCAAAATATCTAACTGTTGCTCACTACCTTGTACTTCTTTACCTTATTGGTAAGCCAATTTTGTATTACTATCATCATCAACTTGAACCAAATTAGAATCCAGATATACACAGTTCCAAGTTAGAGATTTGGTAGGAACAAGAGGACTCAAAACAATACGTAATGGACATTACCTCCAAACTACGAACTTGCTCTTGATACTGGTTCAACACAAGCTTCAAGTTGTGCACTTCCTTTGCCTTTTCTTCTTGCTCCAAGTTTCGTTCATGCTGGATGGCAACAGCTCTCTTTAAGATTTGGTTGTCATTTACCAAACCTTGAAGATGATCCCTAAGTGATGCATTCTCCATCTGTTTTATGTTTTCACCAAGAGACCAACCAAATAACAACTACTAAGAGTCAAGACAGCGCTAAGGTCAGGCTATCAAACACAGAGTCAGAAGTGAAGTACGAGTCGGACCAATTTACAGCTAGAGAGTTGTGAAGGATCTAAACTACCATCTTCAGAAACAATGAACAATACCTCTTTCTCTTTGGATACGTCCCTGGACTGAGAAGCAATGGTTTTTTCAAAAGCTTCTAAAATGCTAGCTGCTCGCCTCCTCGCATCATCTAGATCGGCTGCAGTCATCATCTCGTGTACAAAAAGGTCCACCCATTTGGAACCATCAATGGGATTATCGAAGTGACTTGATGGTTTCACTTCTTGTGCCTCTTCTTTTCCTATTTGTTGAGTGCCTGAACAAGCTTACAAAGTTCAGGTAACCGAGACTGGTGGGAAATCAGAAGCTAACCACAAACTGAGACTTCAAATTACGAAAAGCCAGAGCAGAAAGCCATACAAGTAGATGCGCTTGAAGAAGGAACATCATTTCTATCCACAGCATGATGAAATGGACTTCCCTGAAGACTCTCGATAGCAGCATCGATCCTGTTATTGTTCTCCCTAAGAGCTGTTTTCACCAACTAAACAAACCAAAAGAAGCTACTTTAACCAGAATTGCAACTCAGTACAACAGAAAGTCAAACGGCGGAAATGTGAAGGGAAATATTCAACGAAAACAGCATTCATCATTCATCTGCACATCAATGGAACTGGTGGAAGCATTTCAAACCAAGGCGCACAAATTTTCACCTCAGGATCCAGAGCAGGGAACATCTGAAGCAAGGTGAGAACTTTATCATCAGATCCGGACCCAAGTTCAGGGGATCGTGTGGGAGATCCATAAGCGGAGCACCTGGATCTCTTCACCGAATAAGAGGATGGAGATCCAAAAATCTCCTCGAAACCCAGCCGCTTCCCACAAATTCCAGCCGACATCGTTAAACCCTAGAGATTTCCTGCAACCCTCCTTTTTTTTGTGTCTTCCTTTTTAATTCTTTCACCGCAAAAAAACCCAGAAAGCAAAAACCACAGCGAGAGAATATCCACACACACAACAAAACAAAAACAAAAAAAGAGAGGATATTTTAGTTTGCATCCATATCTTCCATATCCGTCGCTCGAAGTTTTCTTGTTGTGTGGTTTTTTTACTGCTGTTGTTGCGTTCCAGAGGTTTTTGACGAGAGAGAATGGTGGAGATGGGGAGAGGTTTGGTGGGGCGGAGAGATTATTGGACTGTGGGGTTTGAAATCAATTATTAAATCTGTATGTTATGTGATGTAATAAAAAGAGGTGGGGGATAGGTTTGCTGCTTTTATGATGAGAGGAATCGTTTCCAGATTTTCCTTTTGGAGAGACTCTCCATTAGTACAACAATAATAGCAAGTATATAATGGTGTTTACTTTCTGGGGTTTTCTTTTAATACAGTTTTCTTTTTGCCCTTTTGTTTTGGGCTTCGGGTGGTAGATGCAAGAAAAGGACGCGCGCCACTGCGTTCTGGGGAAGAAGCAGCGGTAGAGTTGAGGTCGAGGACGTAATTAACAAAGAAAAAAAAAACGTGAAGGAAGGAATTAATTGCCAAATTTATTTAATTCGACCCATTATTTGTTTGTATCTTTCCTTTCGCTTTGACTTCTTGGTGCTTAGGATCCAACTCCGGCCATGTAATGGGCTCACATATTCGAACCTTTCATTCTAACTTGGGCCATGTAATGGGCTCATGTATTCTAACCATTCATTCTAACTCAGGGACATGTAATGGGCAATGGAAAACGGGTATTTGGATATATACTCATGCCCGTCCGTTTTTTTAGGGTTACGGGTACCTATAATATATATTAGCGAACGGGAATTGGAATTGTAAAATGCTACATTGGGTACCCACGGGTTACTCGCTAGTCGCTACTACCTGTTTGGGTAGTATGAGTACCATTGACTCTAACATACACAAAATGAAAAATCTAAGATACGAGAAGGAAAAGAGACTCGACACAATCGATTTACGTTATATCCCCGTTTAATATATTTTGAGTGTATAAGGAGCATGCGATGGGCTGGCTTGAGCATGTGAACAGTGAACTTCGAGGATTGTGTTTCATGTATCACTCCAATGGAGAAAAATTAGAAAATCCGAGAATCGAATGGAGGACTTTTCCACGATGGGTCACAATATTGAAGTCTGGCGGGTAGTCTCATATATCTCACTCACACTAAACCTGGTATTTCTTATGTGGTACAGGTGGTTAGTCAATTTATTAATGCACCACTAACTCATCATTTGACTGCAGTTCACATGATTTTATGTTACCTGAATTGCACACATGATGTGGGCTTGTTGTTTCATCAAGTGGGCAGCTAGTTATTGAAGCTTATGTTGATGCTAACTATAATGGTTGTTTGGATACTAGCCGCTCTACCTTTGGGTGGTGTGTGAAGGTTGGGAATTTTTTTTGTATCTCCTAGTGATACAAGAGGCCACAAACATGTATTGAAGTCATAGTCACAAGCCGAGTTACGCTCTATGTTAGACGTCACTTTTGACATGCCTGGTTACAATGCTTGTTGGTAGAGTTTGGTATGGACTGTCAATTAACGGTACGATTATGTAACGATAACACAACGACAATTTGGATAGTGACAAGTCCTATTTTGCATGGCGTGAAAAACACATAAGACACAAGAATCGATGGCATTCATATTTTATGAAGATCACTGATTTTACTATAAACGTCATACACATTGACTTGTGTTGTTGTTGGGTTCTCCCATGCAATCAGTTCTTGTACTTCATTCTCGATCTCTTTTATTTCTCTAATCAAACTACCGATGCAGAACCCTAGCCCACTTAAGCAAAGAATCATCTGGCTCTTTACCTTCTGTTCTGCTTCTTTTTTATCAATGACATCACCTAATTCCCTCAAGTGTTGGAGGAAACCATTCACTAGGTTCGAAACTGTTACCTCATCAGGTCCTAACATCTTCAACTTATCTCCTTCTGGTGGTTTCCCCAATTCAATGTCATAAGATGGTTTCTCCTTGTGCAGCCCATCTTCAAGGTCTGTGAGGAACTCAATGGAGATAACTTTCTGTAAGCATTTCAATGTTGAGCCAACCTTGTCTCTGAAAAGTTCTAGATCAGCATTGATGTCTTCTACCCTTTTCTGATCCAGTTGCAGTCTGTCTGCTCCATATGAGAACACTTCAGACTGATTGAAAACAAAGAGCAAGAGGTCGCTTGCTTTTCTTAGAGATCCTAGCAATTTCTTGTAGCAAGTGCCATGGAAGGGCATAAACCAGAAATTAGGCTCCACCTCTGCTTCCATGATGAATTGGTTCAGCTTACCAACATGGCATTCCAAAATTTTCTGCTTATCTCTCTGTGTCGTATTTGAAAAGAACCAGCTTTTTCTGTCGGTGCACAGAATATAACCTTCTACACAGTCTCTGAATGCTTCTAATCCCCAAGCCATCTCTATTCTAGCCAGAGTTGCAGCTCTTGCTGGTTGCAGTACAATCTCAACTGCAACAAGGCAGAGCAACCCTATCCATGCTTCCGTTATCCTTGCAATTGCAAATTCACTTGGATTCCCATAATTCTTCCTCCCCAAGATTAACAATGCACCAATAACAGCTGAAATCCCACCTGCCTGGCCATACATCTTGCTCTGCCTAAGAAAGCTAGCAAAGACGATCCATGGCAGGACGAGAAGGAATCTCAATTCCACAAGGTCGTGGAACAAGAAGGAGCATAGGATTCCATAAACCGATCCCATCGCCGTCCCTTGGGCACGTGCATTGGCCATAGTGAATGTAGCTTGCCTCTCTGTGACAAAGCTGATTGCAATGGTGAGTCCTGACCAGTACCCATTTCTCTTGTTGAATATCAATCCAAATAGCACTGCTAAACCAAGAGAGAGTGAACATTTGAATGCAAAGTTCCATCTTTTTGTTCTCACAGCCGTCCAGATCTTCTGTAGCCTCCTGGTCTCCTTTGTTATGTCAATGTCAGGTTTGGTTAATTCTCCTTCTTCTCCTTCTTCTTCCTCTTCCATCTTTAATCCTCCTTGGAGGAGTTCCATGCAATAGAGAAAGAAGAGAGTTGGGAGATCATCGTGGGTGGCGATACTAAGTTGCCGCCACCAGTTGTTGGATGACTCTATTGTTGTTTCAGGAGCTGTGATGGCATCAGAAGTTGTCAGGCACTTGGCCTGCTCTAGCTTTACATCTATCCTAGATTTCAACCTGGCTGATTCTGCTTTAAGATCATGATCGTCCATCAAGGCGATAGGAAATGAACGGCAAGAAGAGAGTGCTAGTTCCATTCCTCTGATTGGTGTTTCTACTTCATCGTTCAAGCTTCCTCCCGGGTCTATGCTGCAGATATTAGCGCTTAGAAATTTCAGGTGCGGCCTCTCCCATTTCATACCACCCTGCGAAGAAAATGAAAGTTGAACGATTATGGATCGTAGCCAAACCGAGCTCGGAACTTTCGAATGTGAAAACAAACTTACTTGGACCTCTCTGATGGACTGAAGATGCTTGGCTCTCTCGGCAGCCGGGAATTTCGCCTTTGAAATCAAGTCGGAAGCAGCTTGGTTGTCTTGGGCATTGAGTGCAAGTAGAAGGAAACTTAGTCTCTCTGAAGCATTCTGGATGTACAATCTGCATCTTCTCTTTACCTGCAAAATTTCCAAGAGTCACACTCCTTAGAGAGCGTTACAATGCTAATAAGATTCTCTCGGATTCAGCTATTTCAAAGAAAGCTAACAAAGTAAAGATTATTTTAACCTTAAGTTGTGATATAATAAAGTAAGATTATGTTGTTGCACCGAGACATGAAGACACAATTTTATGTGATCTCTCAAGTTAAAACAAACATATAAGGTAAAAAAAATGTAAACTAAATCAAATTATTATATATGTAATTTAATCTAAATTTTTTTTTTGTGTGATAAGAATGATATAGGTTTCATTTTGTTGTCATAAAGGTACTACTTAAGAAGGTACTACTTAAGAGATTCGAACCTGGAACTTCCAAGTTCTAGGCTAGTGGTATTACCACTAGGCTAAACTCTTGTTCGTGTAATTTAATCTAACATCAATTTAATCCGATTTGATCTGATGTATCCGAGTCACTGCCCACTCCGGTAGAACAGCACTGATTGTGGGCAGATATGAAGACGCAAAATTGAGCAGAGAGCTCCTGCTTCCGGCCCCTTTGCTAGCAGGAGTGGGGAGAGATCCGGTCTACATTGGGTAAAATTGTACCGAATCGATATTTGGATCGAACAGAATCAAATCTAATCTATGCCGATTCGATTTTAATCTTACAAATTATGTTAAATATATATAAAAAATGGATCAAAATTAAATTTGAACCAGATCGAATCAAACCAAACGGCCAAACATATTTTTTTATCCAATTATGGCCCGTAAATTTCCTTGGATTTTGGTTTCATCTTATCTCACTTCGATTCGACGGTTCTGCAAAGAATCGACCTATGCCCACTCTTATTTCTTAGCATCAATTCCTCAAACATATTACTATTAGCCGACGGGACAATAGTAATACATGTTATGAACCATATTTGTGTGCAGCTTAAAGCAGATTAGAAAAGGCTAAAAAAACTAGTGACTTTTTCCCAAAAAATCATAAAAAATAAAACCTAAAATTTTCTTTTCCATATAAGCTGGAACATTATATACGTAATAATTCAATGAAAAAAAAAAACACTAGCTAGTAAAGAAAACCATGCTCTCTAATCCATGATAAAGAAATGGATTTGGTAATTTATTAAATTAAACAATTTCAATCTCCTTATAGTTATATATATAGTAGTAGTAGTTTTTTATTTTTTTTGTTTTTTTTTTTTGAAAGAGATAGCTAAGTAAATAGCACGATGGCTTTGCTTTACCTCGTAGTAGCCAAGTCGAGGAAAAGGAAGCAAAACAGCCAAAAGCGAAGCCACCACTCCCAAACCCGTACTGGCCGCGACCCGAACCGGTTCGACCACCACTCCACTACTCTCTTCTTCTTCCCCGTTCTTCACAACCATACTAACGTACACGATCACCACCTGCCCGAACGCGATCCGCTTCGCCAGCAGCGGGGTCGACCTCGGCAGCGCCACCACGAAGGCGGTCAACGCCACCGCCGCCGCAGTGGCGGCCCCTTCGCTTCGGGCGAACGTTCCCGGTCCGACCAGCCACAGGGCGAGAACCGAGGCGGCCGTCACCTGGACGGTGGCGTAGAGGGCGCAGAAGCAGCCCTTGATGACCTGTCCCAGTGAGGCCTCCGACACGATCAGGATGGTGGTGACGTAAGAGAAGGCCGGGAAGTGGAGGAGGTTGTGGACCGCGGCGGGAGGGCAGAGGGTGACGGCGCCGACGATGGCGCAGGCTAGCACGGTTCTTAGTGATGAGTAGAACCGGTTCAACCAGAGGGTTTTGGTCGGGTTATTAACCGACGACGAGGACATGATTTTTTGTTGTTGTTGTGTTTGGTATTATGTGTACGTACGGTTTAATTAGCTAGCTTGGGTTTTTAGGCTTCTGAGGATGAGAATATATATAGGGGAAATGACGTTGTTGTCCAGGCGGCAAGAATTTGGATGAGGGAGAAAGAAAAAAATGTTAAATTGACGAGAAATAGCAAGAAAGTGTTAGGGACTGCTACAGGCGATGATTTTAGTTTGGCCAAATGGTATGTGGCTATTAATTAAAGTGCTATGAATTGTTTGCGAGGGAATCGAGAGGTGAATTTAATATAACTCGTGATAAGTAGTCATAGCCAAAATTAGGGATGACAATTTCGACCTGACCCGATTTACTCGACTTGTTTGACCTGTTTTGGGTGGGTCTGGCCCGCCCCGTAGGCGGGGCGGGGCGGGAATGGATACCTCTCATCGACCCGACCTGCCTTGATCCGCCCCATTCTCGACCCGTTCTGACCTAAGTTACATGTAATTTAGTCAAATTACTTAGGATTTTCCTCTTATTACATCATATTTTAGGCATAATAAAGTTGTAAATAAGTGAAAAACTCAATTTCTCCAATAATTTACCTACATTTTATCAAATTATGGTTTTTTCTTGGTTTTTTATTAAAAAAATGAATAATTCTAATGTTTTTTTTGCATAAATTATATACCCAATGGGTCGACCTGTCTCGACCCGCGCCCTATGATAAATTACCTGACCCAGAACAGACCTGCCATGGAACGAGTATGGGTATCGAGATACCCGCCCCAGACCTACCCATTGCCATTCCTAGCCAAAATTTGTAGGATTGAAGACAATTTATGACGATCGAGTATAGGTTCTAGTGTAAAATCTACAATTTTGGAGAACTTCATAATTTAGGATCTAACTAATAAGAAGGGATATATATGATGGTCCATTACAAGGGAAAATGACGAAAATTAGATTTTTTTTTTAAACTAGTGGCAATTTTCATAAAGTAGTTAGGACAAATTTCTAAATTTCATACAAATTTTTACAGGATCATATCTCATTAATTTTACTTCCAATTTTTCAAAAATATTTGCGGAAATAGGACGACCTGATGACACACTTACCTTCAAATGATCGACTTCTTCCACTAAGTGCTCTACAACTTGAGACAAATCTGTCTACCACTTCCAACCATGGGTCAACCTATGACACACTTGCCTTCAACTTACACCCGCTTGTTGGAGGAGGTAGACCGCTTCTGGCAAAACAACCTACCGATTTTGTAAAGTGCTTAAGTACCTCTTTCAACAAATGATCTCCGCTTTCGGCGAATGATTGACTAGATGACACAGTTACCTTATACTTACATTAGGGAAATAATGAACAATAGGAGACCAACAATACAAAATTGTTTTGTAGTGACGCAACATCCTATCACCTGTGGGTAACCAAATCCCTACACAGATTATAGGCCAAGACAAAAAAACCAACACTCTCTTTTAACACTTCCCGGAATAAAAATCCATAAAAGCGAGACGATGTGAGATATATGGACGATGACACACTTGTATAACAATTGTACTATACTTTTTGAGTATTTTCATAACAACAAAGTTGTTCCATTATAGGACAATTATAGGATAAAATCAAGCAAACTTAGAATCCGAAGGAAATATGAAAGTACTATAGAGTAAGTCAAATATAAGAAATAAATATGCAGAACATCTTTCAAATCTACGGGATAACAATCATTCGAGCAACTTGTCATCTATGCTTGGAGCCTTTGTACTAATTTTAAATATCTTACTAGCAAGCATATATATTGTTATTGGACTCTAATTATTTATGATTATATCACTAGAATTAGCTCATTAGGTCGACCGGTTTGACGGCCGTGGTGAAGCCCAAATATGAGTAAATTGGGAATATTTCATAAAACGTGTGTATTTTGTGATTTAAAAAAAAAGTGTGTACTTTAGGAAAAAACCCAGAATCTTATGTACTACTACCACCAAACATTACCACCATGGTATGCGCCAGTAATATGTCTCTTTTTTGTTTCAAAATATAATATGAAGAGTATGGTTAACATAATTTTTTATGGAAAAGAAATTTGTATACTCACTTTAAAATGAAAGAAATATCAATTATATTAAGTCTCAAGTGATTGTTACTGTTCCTTACGATTTTTTAGCAATTACCTTTAAATACGGGTTACTGTTCACGGGGTTATATTCCAGTGTGACAGCACCCATGACACAAATTTTACAGATGCATGCCCAAGTCTAGTAAATATTAAAATTGATCTTGAGGTATAAAATTTAGAGAATTAAGAACTGGATTTTTTGCCAATACTTGAGATGCTTTGCAAGAAGTACCGAAAGAGAATCATTTGGGAAATAATGGTGGATAGATTGATGTTAAGAATGTCAGCAGTGGGGAATTGTCTAGGTTTGGCAGATCTGTCGTGCCAATACCAAATCATATATAGTTGTTTGAGAGCTGGATGAATTCATCCATAAACCACACTTGTCTATGGAATAATTAGTTCTCTTTTTACTATATATCAATGGTTGGGCCATTTGCACGCACAGTTATTTCCCCCCCTCCCTTTCCCTCTTTCTTTCTACTCCCTTCCAGCAATTGCGGGTAAGAGAAAGAGAAACTGAGCCGATTGCAAAATCTGAAAGATTCCAAACTCGCCACCATATATGTGTGCTGTAGAAGATGGAGATCGAGCTTGGTCGGCACTCAAATCGCAGTGAGTCCCATCAGAAGGACGACTCAGGGGGAATTCTTTTTTCAATTGTCAGGATTGAGGGATTCTTAGAATCATTGACTTGTTTAATTACATTTAGCCCTTCTAGCTGTGTCAAGTCTTGGCTCATCACTGAACAGTACTCTTCTTAAGAACATTTTCTATTTGTTGGGTTGGAAACAAACACAACCCAATAACTCATCACTAATCAGAGGGGTTGAGTTACTGTGGCCATAATCACGTCATATATGATAGATGAGAAAATGAGAATTGATGAGACACCAATTGAAGTGATACTTAGTGCGGTTTGGTTCAAGCGATACTTGAATTGATGCATTGTTATCAATGCATGCATAATAACATACATGTGAATAAGAAAATCGGTGTATTGTAATTTACATCGCTTGGTTTATGATTTAAATAAGTTATATTACTTTAGGTGAAATGTCAATTTTACCCTTTGTTTTTTATATAAGAAAGCAGCACACATAAAAAGGTAGGGACATACTTGGGAGAAAAAAAAATACTCAACAATCTCAATCAAACAATCTCAACAATCTCACAAAAAGTTGAGATTTAACTATCACTCATTTTGAATGATAGTTTGTGTCACATTAAGCAAACAATGCATGTATTGTTTTTGCAGAAAGTTCAATAAAACAATGCATCGTGGACAGTGTTGTAACTATCCCAACCAAACAATCATAAAAAAAACGACCCCTAAATTCAAATATTCACAAACGTTGGAAGATATAGACACAACGTAAAAGAAATATTGATAAAATATATGCGTCTCTTACACCCTGTTTCACCACTCATACATAGGGGTGTTCAAACGGTGTGGTTACCATGGTAACCGTTTTAACCGGTAATATTTGGCTAATTGGTTTGGTTTGGTTAAAAAAATTAGCTTGTTGATTTTGGTGGTTTGGTTTGGTTTCAGACACTGGTAACCAATCAAACCAAATTAACCAGTTAAGTAACTATCCATATATCTAATATATATTACATACACATACTTAATACTTGACATAACCACTCAAGAGCCAAACTTTCATTCCTTTTAGTCTCATCAACAATAAAGTTTAAAATTGTTTCTATACTGTATATTTGTATTTGTAGAGTGTAGACCATGATATATGAACACCCAATTCGGATAAAACTCATACAATATATTAAATGAAAACTTGAAAAGAATGTCTTTTTAACCCTATGATAATTGCTAAACGACTAATTCAATTCACACAATTAAAATAATTAATTAACTCCATACTATAGACATATATTTTTGTTAGGTGAATACTTCTATTGATCGTAAGATAATTGTATTAGTTGCATGTATTTTTGTATGGGTTAACTATAATTATGTGTTCATTGTAATATTTTATTCATCATATAAATTGTCAACTAATGCATTAACCACAAAGTTTCTCACTTAATGATAATGTGATGTTATATGGGTTAATTTGGATAACCAATTAACCAAACTGATTAAACTTTAGTTTAGTTAATTTGGTTGCTGTATTAGTTTGGACCTAACAACTACTAATTTTCTTTAGAACCTAACAACTACTAATCATGATTGTCATGCCTGTGGTATGTCGATCGACAGAACTGGATTCAACGGGTATCAGTCACAAAATCGATAAAAGACCATATAAACTGATTATACCTAATCAGACCATCACATTTGTGTGGGATGTAATACACTTCTTACATCTCACGTAACAATTTATGACGCCCAAAGATTTGACTATTACTTTATATTTTTAAGGGTTTGACTAATATTATGTCAACAAATTTGTTAAACTTTAGTATTATATCCAAATGCATCATAATAAGGTTAAATAAATGGGATTACAAAGATGGAAGCATTAAAAAGGGAACTTAAAATTAAAAATAATAAAAACGATAAAGAAAATATATGTTTAACAATTAACTGAGAAGGTGGGATAATATGTGAATGAATTAGTACTTTGTTAAGGTGACTTGTACAAAACGGTCGACCTGTTCGTTGATATGGTCGACCTATTTGAACAAAACGGTCGACCTCTTTACTTATATGATCGACCTATTTGGAGAAAATGGTCAACCTCACTGTTGGAATGGTCAACTAGATATACTATTTCCATTTTGCTATGTTCAACGAACGGTCAACCTCTTCAACTAAAATGTCGTCCACTATAAAAAAAGGTCTACCACTTCCATCAAGTGGTCTACCTCTTTCCCAAACGGTCTACTTTTTTCAATAATTGGTCCACCTGATGAACCAATGCTAGTGATATCATCATATAAAATTAGAGTCCAATAATAATAGATATGCTTGCTAGTAAGATATTTAAAATTAGTACAAAAGCTGCAAACAAAGCATAGATGACAAGTTCCTCGAATGATTATTCTCCCGTAGATTTGAAAAATGTTCCGCATATTTATTTCTTACATTTGACTTACTTTATAGGGACTTTCATCTTTTTTTTTAAATTCTTAAGTTTTTATTTTTATTTTTTATCTTATAGTTGTCTTGTGATAGACCAACTTTGTTGTTATTGTTGTTATGAAGATGCTCAAAAAGTAGTGTATATTTGTTATACAATTGTGTCATCTTCAACGTCCATAAATCTCATATCATTGACTAAAGATGTTTTGATAGAAGGGAAAAATGTATCAAGAATGTGAGTGATAGAGATGTGAGAGCGACAATCGGGCTATTATATATAGAGAGAAGTCGAAATGCAGAGCTGACGTTGGTTACAACCTTGAGGTCAATGTTGTTTTCAAGCGGTGGGGAATGTTAGAAATATTTATATTAGGGTTTTAAGAGTTGGGTGGTCGATTGTGGTTGAAGGGAATTTGGGTATTTATTATTCGTTTTTTTTTTCAGTCTATATCCTTTATATATGTACATTGAATCTTACGTTACAAAAACAAGAAGATTATTCAAAGTATCTCTCTCCAAAACCTATTTTATTTTGTAGAGCACAACGAACTCGTTCCCGCTATGCAAAAAACAAAAAAAAATTTGAAATTCGAGTTAAACCGAACAAGATATGAACCAATTAAGAAAACAAAAAAAAATATTTTTAATTTTCCCTCCGGTTAGATTTGAATTTTCTGGACCCAATTAATTAAAAGGAAGAGTCCATGGCCCTAATATGAGGTAGTAACATTCCAATAATAATCCACAAGTTGCCATAGTTTTGTGCTCGGGCCCTCGCATCGCATGCACCCTAACTCGACTCCGACAACAGTTGAACTCATTTTAGCCCTAAGAAATGTTTGGATTATGAGTCAGATCCAATCTCATGTTATGTCCCTAATTCTGGTCCTTGGATTTTTGAAATCTAATAGAAAATTTCGTTGTTTAGGCTGTGATGAGATAGAGAGAGATTGATTAGACAAGTGGATGTATTATCGTACTAAGATAATGTGGTAGCTAGTGCAGAGGAAGAGAAGAGCATATATATCATACTAATCAACAAATTAAACCAAAATATTTTCCCCCCTTAATTGCTATGTAAGTTGCAGTTTTAGGTAGTGTCTGTTTGTCCAGCCTTCTTTATAGCTCATACTCACTTTTTTTGTGGCTGATTTTTGCTAACAAAATCACAACTTCCCCTTCCTGTAGGACAGTGTCCTAACTATGTCATGTCATAGAAAATATAATAATCCATCTGAAGAGACACTAATGGATTCTCAAATACCTATCTCACATCATAAAGGGGATTACTATTTCTATAATTGGCATACGACCCCTCTCCTCATCTAGATCCAAGAGCATTATTAAACCCCTCCAAAGAGAGAAAAATAAGGGTAATCCAATTTTTTTTTCAGATTGTTTTATATTAATCAAATCTATTAAAATGTTATTAATTAGCTAAATCTTTGGTAATACATCAAAATATTAGTCATTTTTATGCTATCGTTAATAATTATGTAACTCTTTTCTTAGTTAAAATACTAAAATTTTGGAAGGTTGACCTCTATGTGTCTCTTCCGATTTAGTATCATGTTGCCAAGTCAATATTACTAACAAAATTGCTAACTGAAAAAGAATCCTACGTTTGTCTTAGTATTTTAGAGGTACGAAATGATTGAACCACACTTCAATTAATATCTTATCACTATTTTTTTATATATAACCTTCGGTACGGTTCCACACTTGAATTCGTGTTAGTTAAAGACCTAACTTAACTTGCATATTTATAGCTTTATCATTCCAATCCGACTAATGAAAAAACTGTGAAGCGTAATCTTTCATTAGGCCCAAAATAGCGGGCTCATATCAATAAAGGCTTCCGATACTGGCCCAAATGAAACTGGGCTGTTGCTGTTACAAGGCGTGTCCATCAACAGGAGCATTCTTGTTCCGTTGGCCGATCCAATCGACGGCTCAAGAAATTGGCACAAATAAAACACGTAACAGCAGATTCAAGCCTACCGTTTGAAGTAAATTTTCCGCCTCCTAATAGACAGTCAGCACCACCACCACCAACCTCAACCGCCGCCGACACGATCCCGCCGCGCCAGGACGGGATCCAACCACGCCGAGAAACCAGCCGGGCATCCCGGAAAGCACCAAATCATCTTCAATGAAGAGAAACCACCACGCCTCCTACAACTCGACGGATCGGAAATGGGTAATGCCACTGACCGTGCTCGGAGTTCTCTGCTGCCTTTTTCTGATAACTGTCCGCCGCGCCAAGTACCCGGCCGCGGGGAAGGCAGGTTTCACGTCCTCCACCTCCTCCGGTAAGTGGGAATCCAGATTCTCCGGCGGCGGTTTCGAGGACCCATTGAAGCTGCCGAAGCTGCCCAGATTCGCCTACTTGATATCCGGGACGAAAGGGGAAGTTCCGCAGGTGAAACGTCTTCTTCAGGCGCTGTATCACCCGAGGAATTACTACTTGCTTCATCTCGATCTGGAAGCTTCCGACGCCGAGAGGCTTGAGCTGGCTAAGTATGTGAAATCGGAGAATTCGGTGCTTAGAACGATTGGGAATGTGATGGTGATTGGGAAGGCGGATTTGGTTACTTACAGAGGGCCAACGATGATCGCCAGTACGCTCCATGGGATTGCCGTTTTGTTGAAGCTGGCTGGGGATTGGGATTGGTTTGTCAATCTCAGCTCCTCCGATTATCCTTTAATGCCTCAAGATGGTAACTTCACATTTTCGTCGTCTCCCTTTTGTCTTTTGGTCTTTAAGTTCCTTCCATAAAAAGTGGCGCATCTCTAATTATGTGCCAATTAGGGGGCTATGCTAGGGTTTCACTATTTTTGGCAACTTGTTTTCATGTGCTTGAAGAAATAGTGTCCTACTCTGTACAAGAGACTATAAGTCTAGACTGTAGAATTAGAGATGCTAGATAGAGTAAAAGGGTTCGAAAGATGAGGACTTTTCTGTGCTTGCTGAAATTGGGAACGTAGTTGGGAGTTCATTAGTATTGGCCTGCAGTTTTAGATTTTGACATACGGGTTTAAGAGGAAGCAAGGTTTGGATGATATCGATGGATGGATAGTTGGTCAATATGATATCTGCAAAATGAAGCTGAGATGATATCGATGTAAGTAGTCATTAAAGAGAAATTGTGCAGCAATAATAGGAGGGAGGTACATGAAACTATTGTTCTGAAAGATGATCTATTTATCCCAGATCTTCTATATCATCTCTGACTTCAAATGAATGGAATGAAGGGGTTTATGTTGTCTTCAATCACTAATTGTGCATGTTCCAGACATAATTGTTGACTTGGCATCTGAAGATGATAAAACTGTACATAGACAATGTGCTGATTCATCTTTGGTAATTTTTTTTTATGTTTTAGATATCTTGCACATCTTCTCTTATTTGCCGAGAGACTTGAATTTTATGGAGCACACAAGCAGCATCGGCTGGAAAGAGTAAAGTCACAGTACACAGAAACACATCTCTTGTGATTTGTCATACCAGGTGGGATAACTGCCTTTTTCTGATTCTCGCTGCCTTTTTAACCATGCAGGTTCCAGCGAGCACGGCCTATAATCATAGATCCAGGCTTGTATCATTCGAAGAAATCGGGTGTATTTTCTGCCAAAGAGAAGAGATCAATGCCTGCTTCGTTCAAATTATTTACAGGTACCTACCTCTTTCTGAACAATTTTCTTATTATGGATTAGCTGTGGATCTCTCAGCCTGGTACCGAAATCAACAAGGTAATGTTTTGTTCGTCTTTCTTTTCAACATTAACAATAGCTCAGAGGTAGTTTGTTACCGTAGTTAAAGGGGATCCGTGGAACTTACGAAACTACAAGAACCATACTTTTTTCTTCATTTCTTTTGTTCACAATGAATGCTTCTGGTTTGGATAGCAGATCAACGAGTGGTCCATTTCGAATCAAACCTATGATGTATTTTTTTCGGCTCATTCCTCCTTTTGACTGGTGGACATAGTCAATCTCTTCCACTATCAAGATCCATTCTGTCCAAATAGCTCTAGTTGTCTGAGATGCCCAAATATAAGATATCTTGTTATTCCACTACACGATCCCCTACGTGAAGCTAATATTTAGAACCAGAAAAACGAAGCTTATATTTGAACTGCTCTGCAGTCTGCAGCTAATATTTGATTATCGATTGAATTCCAGGTTCAGAATGGGTGGTGCTAACGAGGGCGTTTCTAGAATTCTGTGTTTGGGGATGGGACAATCTCCCCCGTACAGTCTTGATGTACTACACGAACTTCCTGGCATCCCAAGAGGGTTACTTCCATACCGTGGTCTGTAACCACAAGGACTACCAGAACACCACAGTCAACCACGACCTGCATTACCTAACATGGGACAACCCTCCTAAGCAAAACCCGGTATCTCTAACCACGGAGCACTTCCAGGACATGGTGGCAAGTGGTGCACCTTTTGCCCGTCGGTTTGAGAAGGGCGATCATGTCTTGGACAGAATCGATGCTGAACTTTTGAAGAGATCTGCAAATGGTTTCACTCCTGGGAGTTGGTGTTTGGGGAATCCGGGCCCTGTTAAAGATCCTTGTGTTGTACATGGGAGTTCGGATGTTGTTAAACCGAGCATAAGTTCTAAGCGGCTGGAGAAATTAGTACTAAAACTTCTTGATTCTGAAAGTTTCAGATCCAAACAGTGTATATAAGTGTTGTAATGTGGGTTATTTCTTTTGTTCCAGCTTGAGTGAAATCTATATATGGCTATTTCTTTGTTCATTGGTAGCTAACGACTGTTTGACTTGGTGCTGAGGACAGCTAACAGATAAAAGGAAATTACTTGAGAGAAACTAGTCATTCTATTTTGTAGCGTTTATCCACAGGAGGGAATGTTTCTTTGTTCTCTATCCTTTTTCCTCCTTAAGGATGTACAGCAAGAGGACTTCAATGTCTGAAACCTAAGGTGTATTTATTTGTCACGATTAATGTCAAGAAACTTTGTATATATCCCCCATGCTAGTCCCGTTGCAGACACTGAAGTCCTGATCTATTGTGAGAGAAACAAACAAAATGCAGAATACGTTGCAAATGTAAGAAGTGTGAGAGAAGCAAAACCTATTGGATTTGATTCTTGTTCAGTTGGGGTTGTTTGCTTGTTGGATTTGAAAAATGAGGGTTTTGGCCAATAAAAACCTTGGGATTTATGTTGGATTTATTGAATTATGGATTTGAAGAGTCTAATGTTTGCATGATAGATTTGATGATGGATTTGTGATGGATTTGTTAAATAAATAACTAACCATCAAGGATTTGCAAATACCAAATCAATATGTGGGATTTACAAGTCCGTGGGGTCCACGGATTTGGTTCCAAAATAAAGACCAAATTCGTGGACCCCACGGATTTAGCACCCTTCAACAAACAATGGACTTATGTTAAATCCATCAAGCTTGGGATTTGGGTACCAAATCCATGACCCAAATCCAACAAGCAAACGAACGCTTACGGGGTTTTCTGAAGGCGTCTGGGTTGTCCAGAAGAGTTCGATTGTAACTCAAGGATCTCACACCCCCAACATGAAAATTATCCATCTTCAATCCCTCACTCCATACTAAGGGAACAAAAGATAAAGAATGGAGATGGCAATTTGAATCTCCAATATGATAAATTCATTAAGGAGTTGTTGGAAAACAAAAAACATGGTGTGATGATGTTTCCTTGACCTTCAACGAGAAGTGTTTAGTCGTACTAAGCAAGAAATCATTACCAGAGAAGCTTTGAGACCTAGGGAGTTTCACTTTATCTTGCACTCTGAGCTCTCTAAAAATGGATAAATGTTTAGTTGACCTAGGTGGCAACATAAATGTTATGTCATCTTACATGGTTAAAAAACTAAACCTAGGAAAGCTTACCCACTAGGATGACCATCCAGTTAACAAAAAAAACCACCAAACGCCTTCGAGGGATTCTTAAAGATGTTTTACCTATTCTATGACTCAGGTTTGGCATATTGGGGTGTTGTGGAAGAAGAAATTGAAATTCACAGTACTAGAGTCTAGAGACAAGTGACTAGTTTGTTCATGGGAGTTTGCTAGGTGTGGAACCAATGTATCTTAAGATTTGTGGATGCTTCGAGTGATGCACATAGAAGGTGTTTGGTGTATGAAGAAATTAAATAAAAGCTGCAGTGTTCTGTTCCATGGTTGATTGCAGGTGATTTTAATGCTACAATAAATGGAAGTGAGGCCTCAAATATAGTTGAGTTAGGAGGCAACTTAAGAAGCTTTCAAAAGTGGATTGATGATCTCTAGCTTACTGATCATAAGGCTTTTTGTTCTTGGTTTATGATGTCGATCGTTTGTACCACGTACCAAATTCATCAGGCCCTAAGGCCATGATCGTATTTCCCTAGGGCCTCTCCCATACCCTTACTTCGAAAGCGAGATATGGTTCTATTGAAGAAGAGAGCAGGTTGTGGAGGTTGAGTTGCCTGTGCTTTTGCATAACGCAAGAGTTCGGAACTTAAAGCAATGCAGAAAAGTAAAACTAAGCTAAGTAACAAGTGAGATATTAGATAAGAAAGGCGTTGTGTAGGCAAGCTCTCTCTAGGTCTCCTTACCATGCCCCCTCGATGATCGGTAGCATACAAGCTTCCAAATTCTTATTCCATTAGATCCCACCTTGTGTCAAAGCATTTACTGAACAAACGGGTAACAAGGACCCTTCAAATTTCTCCCTTGAGGGGTCACGCCATTCGATCAAATGAAGGTCCATCGAGTAGGACTGCTATAATTAGTCCCATTCTAAACGAGTGGGGTTCTCGATCTTCGCACATTGAAGGAGTACTGATCTAGCTGTAAGGTCTGATTCAAATCGACAAATAATGAAATAGAGGAAATCAAGCATCACACATATGGAAAATAAACAATCGTATTAAACAAAATCATTGACTTTACATGGCTAAAGGGTTCATATACCTTTTTATACTAAGGAACTAAGCTAGTCATGAGGAGGGGTTTCTGGTGTTCCTTGATGGAAGCAAAGACACTAGGACACCTAATGGAATAGGTGTCTGGAACAAAGAAAACAGGCCAAGGGGCGCCATTTTGGGCGCCGATTCTATCTCGTAGGTTGGTCTCGTTCTAAATTAGGAAGGTTGCTCTATCACCAGAGTAACAACCCTTCTTTGACCTCTTGTCTCTTTCCCCTTCTCTCCTTTATCTAGGGCTCTATTTATAGAATCTTCGATTAGGATTTCACACGATTAATGTCTCCTTCTTGAATCCACTTTGTTCGAGATTTTTGCTTATAGGATTTCATGCTCTCCTAGTCCCACCTGCCCCATCTGTGACAATCAGGAAGAATCTATTTCTCATTGTCTTTTTTTTTTTGTCCTCATGCTAGAGCCACTTGGATAGAAACTGGTTTACATCATTTTATTCCAACATCTGACTTCCATTTTCCTCTGTGGTTTTTCCACTTGCAGGATTTTGTCCCCGAGGGTACTATTAGGAAGATGGCTTTTTTCCTATGGAATATCTGGATATCTAGGAATGGATTTGTGTTTGAAGACAAGGTTATTTCCCCAACTGCTACTGCAACGATGGTTGAACGTGACCTGACGAAATGGGAAGAATCCCGAAATCATACCAACAATTCAGCAAATGGTCACTTCACTTCCTTGCAAACTCAGCCTAGGGGATCCCGTTCAGACCCCTCACCACCGCCAGGGCCTTTCCAAAAGATTGTGCATTGTGATGGATCCTTCGTATCGGAATCACAGTTGGCGGCTTATGGGATTGCTATTGCAAATTCTCATGGTCAGGTGTTTGATGGCAAGGCTGAGACCTTCTATTGTTCTGTTCCAATTCAAGCGGAAGCTTTGTCCCTTCTCAATGCGGTTAGGATGGCAGCTCTTGACCCCGTTCGTACTAGCATTCGCTCTGACTGCCAAATCCTTACGTTGGCACTCAAACAACACCCGTCCTTGTGGCCTTGCAAAATGTCAGGCGACGATGGCACTGATTATTCCAATCCTCCTTGCTGCTTCGTGGATTGACGTTTCCTTTTCTTCTCGTCGACATAATGCTCTGGCTGATTGGGTTGCTAACAATGCCCACTTGGGTTTGTTACCAATGGATTGGATTGGAATCGCTAACCTGCTGTATCCATTGTTGTAACCTCTTTGCCTTCAATTGGGTTGGTAATGGAATAAGAGAGTCCCACTTTGTTTAAAAAAAAAAAGAAGGAGACATTAATACTTCCTTATTTCGTAAGTCAGTCAAGATTAAAAATAAAAAACAACAGATCACTCGTTTATTGATTCCCGGGGAAAGATTATTAAAGATATTAAAGGTATTTTTGAGGCAGGTAATACTGAAATTCTTTGCTACATGTTTTATGCCTTAGATTGTAAACTGAACTATCTTTACATTGGTTGCTAAGTTGCATAGCTCAGAAAGCATGAAACATTATCGTCATATATCATGTTGCAATGTTCTCTATAAAGGAATCTCTAAAATTGTAGCTAATAGGATTGCAATGGTGCTACCTAAAGTCACTAGTAGATCTCAAACAGCTTTCAGTAAGGGTCGAGTCATAAGTGATACTATCCTCTTAGTATCAGAGCTTGTTATGGATTGTCATAAAGCCAATATCTCCGCTCGGTGTGTGGTTAAAATTGATATCATGAAGCCTTTTGACTCGGGCAACTGGAATTATCTGCCTTTGTTTTGCTGATGAGCTAATGGTCTTTACAAACGGGTCAGTTCGAGGGGTAGGGGGATCAACAAATTATTGGGTGAATTTTGTCATATCTCAGTGCTAAAAACGTAACCTTGCCAAGAGTCTGTTATTTTGTGCAGGGATACGAAGAGGAGAAATGAAAGCAATTTCTGCATATACTTGTTTCGCGTTGGGCATTGATAACAGGTAAGTTTACCAGAAGGATTGTCAGGTGTTGATTGATAAGATCACTAAAAGTTTGAGAAGTTGGAGAACTAATCTTCTTAGTTATGCAGGGAAAATTCAATTAGTCAATACCGTGATTTATGGTACTCTTTAGCACTGGATGAACCTCTTTCTTTTGCCCAAGTAGGCGATAAAAGAAGTGGAGAGATTATGTAGTGTGTTCTTGTGGAATATTGATGAGTCAGGGGGGAGAACAAGATCAGTTATGGCCTGGGAAAAATTGTCAAAACCAAAAAATGAAGGTGCCTGGGGGTGAGAAACTTCAAGAGTTGGAATATGGCATGTGTTACTCGTCATTTATGGGAAATACTGGCTGAAGGTGTTTCAATATGTATTGATTGGAAAAATATATCATTATATCCTGGAAATAAGCCAAGTTACAAAATCAAACGAGTGACATGTAGTCGGGTACAAAGAAAGGGCCTTGCGAGACACCAAATGGACTACCCTATTACTACGACGACCTACGAATCCCACCTTAAACCCTATATGCTCAACCAGATAGTTCAATACTTCACGAAAGATGGCCCCAACGCGACTATCACTACCCTAACGACCATAATTAGCATCACCCTCGAACCTTACCACCGAGGGAAGCAGACTGCGCACCACCATCCCTAGCTACTGGAGCGCGCACAATCCTCTCCTTAGGTACAATAATCCACTCATGCAACTTTTGATGGTATTGCCTCATCACAGCTAGGATTTCAAATTGTTTGCCATCAAAATAAACCTAGTTACGAGATTTCCATACCGTCAAAGCACGGCCACAAACACCAATACTTGGTGCAGGGTCTAGATGAGAGCCAACATTTTTTTAAAGAACCGCGGGAAAGTATGACGAGGGAGGCCCTGACCTAGATGCTCCAGACTCGCATGATCCCACAAAGCTCTGGCTACAGGGCACTCCAAAAAGAGATGCTCCATAGTTTCGGATTCCGCCCAACAAATCGGACATCGAGGAAGCACCGGAACATCCTTCTCAATAAAGGCTTTCGTTGTTGGGAGAAATCGGTACTTCTATAAAATGTTGCTTTCTACTGTTTCAACTTTTTATATCACGGTTGTTTAAGAGGCTGTTGTGGCGATTATTTTTGCCCAAAATGCAATTCTTATATATTTTTTTTTTATTGGACCATAATAAAAAATTTAACCATTGGAACTACATATTAGTTATTTTGCACCGAAACCTAAACCCAATTTTACACATAGCAAGATGAAATCAATATAAATTTGAATCTGAAGAAATTGAGAATATAATTTTGATTAAAAATTCAATACAAATATATTTCAAGAGTTGTTTCGGAATGCAATTCAATAAAGATTACAAAGTATATGACATTTCAAAATGGTCGTTAACCTTGACGTATCATCTTTCCAAAAGTTGATGTTCGATTATAGTTCGAGGAAGAATCTTTCTTTATTGGAGTTAGAGGAAGAATCAAAATACTTACTTAAATGAAAATTTTATATATAATTAACTAGCATCCTTGTCGACGATTATTTTAGGTTAAAAAGGAATATACAAATATTATGTGCCCACTACCTTTGAAATGGACTGTTACACTGATTTAGGGTTTTGTGAAGAATTATTGTATTCATGTTTTGTTTAGTTAGTGGTATGATATTTTGTACTAAACCATAATTTAATCATTTTTTACGACTAAAAATCGTCTACCAGTTTAAACTCGGGTATGAGGTTTTTTCCAGTCTGACCACCATTATGGTTTCACAAACACTGATGTTGGCATGGTCAAGAACTTATAAGAAAAATGATATGCCAGGATTGCAAAATCGTACCAGCAGAAAGGTCAATGATAGTGTATTTTGTGTTTAAGGATCAACTGTTTACACCGGGAAAAAGCCTGTGGGCATTGATATACGATTTTCGGGTCGGATTGTCCATATAAATATGATATTACAAACACGGGTGATAAATAAGGGAGTGGTTACGGTGATTACTAGGGGTGGGCAATGGGCGGGCTGGGTGGGTTTTCGTCTTAAATTGACCCATCCGCTTACTAGCGGGTTGGAATAATTGTAACCCGCAATCCACCCACATTCTTATACGGGTCGGATTGGATAGGTGGTGGATGAGTGCGGTTGGGTCGTGGGTTAACCCGCAAAAACAATTCTCCAACTAACTATTAAGAAAGTTGACTAACATTTATAATAAGTTCATAGCAAAGTAGTAAGATTGTATCAATTTAGACACTTATTACTTTCTCTCTAGTGAATCCATGTAGTATTTGCATAAAAAAATTTAATACTCTATCCATCATTTGTGTAGAGAAAACTTACATTGTTGTGATTTTGATACAATTAATAATTTATAGTTTTCATCCCAATATGTAATGGATATCAACAATAATTTGTATTCTAATATCCAATAAATGGATATTACACAACACAATAACCACTAACAGTAGTCAAAAGTATTATTTACTCTCCACATTAAGAAGTATATGGTCAAACCGTAGTGCGGTTTGAAAATATGATGAATATTCGATACTATAAGAAACAACATTTTTTCATGTGAAAATAGGAAGCGGGTCATTCGGATGACCCGCAATCCACCCACCACCCACCCACACAAGTGCGGGTGGGAGATTTATCAATCCGCAATCCACCCACATTAATCACTCACAGCTTGCGGGTCGGGTTATTTGCGGGTGGATCGATATCAATCCGCGGATTACCCACCCACATGCCCACCCCTAGTGATTACTACAAAATAGTAATCGTCGTGGTTACTAAGGGTAAATTGGGTATGAAAAAATAAATTATATTAATTATTTTTTTAATAAATTACATTAGGTAGTTACAAAAATCTATTAATTATAATTATCTCTCTTTCTCTCACTTCCGTAATCTCCAGTCAGATTTCCTTTCCATATTTTTCTCAATCTTTCTGCAAAAGAAAAAACACGAAATCACTACCAATCTATTAGACAACCACTACCACTTTGAAAAAAAGTAATCACCTTAACCCATTCCTGATAAATAAATATCTTTTAGTAAAGCTAAATTTGTATTGTGGATAACTGCATCTAATTGATGGCTCAATTATCATATATCAAAAAGTTAGGTATATTGTGGAGAGGCGACCAACAACAGTTTCGGTTAATTAGTATTGTGTTTGAACTACTTTAATCATGAAGAGCAATATAATAGTCCGAATTAGCGGAACCTTAACCAAGTAGTCCAAATTTACTTAACAAGGTGGTGTCTCACTTCACACTCTCCACTCTCTGCTCACACAAAACAATTTTAAGTAGACTAAGCAAACCCTCCAACCCTAACTTTCCTCTCTTTGTCCTCCCATGCAGACAACCAAACCAACCTGGGTCACTAATTAACCAAGTAGTAACCATCATTTTCTCTTTATTTATTTTTTCCCATTTTTCTATTCAACAGTACACAGGCATAGGTAGGTAGCAAGGAGCACCAGGGAGTATGGTTGTCACGCCGGCCGCGTGTCACTGGTTGAACCTGGTTCAACCTGTACCCATTATAAAATCGGTATGACCGGCATGATCGATATACGAATCTCTAAGTAAAATGATCTTATATTAGTGAATTTATTTGATAAAAAGTAATTTATTGTTTATTTTATGTGTTAAAAAGTTAAATGTTGATGTTATTTGTTGGATTCAAGTACAAATATTTAGATATTGACGTTAAATGTCGTGCTTAAATATGAGTATTTGTAAATTATTTATAATATTAACCGGCATGAACCGGTACAAACCGATATATACCACCGGTCGAACCATTCCACTTGCTAAACCGACACACTGGCACAAACCGGTTTCACAACCTTACCAGGGAGGGAAGAAGAATCACAAAGAAGCTTATGAGTTAAGAAATTAGTGTCTATTTCTCTCTCTCCCTCTCTACATCACATTTTTCCATTCCACAGTCTTCAGCTAGGTGAGCTCTAAACCCTAAAAAGCAAATCTGCATTCTTATATAAAAATAAACAATACAAAAAGAATCCCAAGTTAAGCAATGCAGCAGCTATAGCACTAGTTGGATTTCTTTTCCATTTTTTTATAACAACAATATAGAAACACCAACAACAAAGTTAGGAAATCAATAATACTATAATAATGATATATTATGTTCATCACTAGCAATATATAAAATAATAAAAGATTTGTATATATAAAGGCCACTCCTTTTGTTGTTTTTGGACCTCCTGCCCTCTTCCTCTCATTCTCATATCATTCATTTCCTTTCCTTTGCTTTTTTCCCCCTCTCCCTTCTCTCTGTCTCTCTTTTCATTCCTTTGCGCTTTGGGCTTTCCCTAATCCATCCTTCTTGCTTTTCTTTCTTTCTCTCAATCTTCCTTTCTTTCTGCAAAAACAAACACACCACAACTTGCTCTGCTAATTCTTGCTGATGATCTGTGATTCCCATCCCACTAGCTACCAAAATACTCTTATTCCCTAATCCAAACCCTACTTTCTATAGAGGCAAACCAAATCAAGGAAGAACAACTAATTGGGCAAAAAGAAAGAAGAAGAAGAAGAAGAAGAAGAAGAAGAAGAAGAAGGTAGCCAACCCAACAATGGTGTTTTCATCCATTCCAGCTTATCTTGATCCAGCCAACTGGCAGCAACAAGTAAGTATTCAAGTTCAACCCTTACTTTTTTGATTTGTTATTCCTTTGAGGGATATTTCCTTTGTCCCCTCATCAACATAAAAAAAGCAAGCTACAATAAGTATACCTGAATATACTCATAAACTAAAAAGAAATATTTTAATTGATGAAAGAAATTACTTTTTTTTTTTTCTTCTTTGTTAAGCAGCCGCAGATTAATCCACAAACTGGGGCGCTTAACATGATGATCATGACGAGCGGAAGCGGCGGCCTCCTCCCTTCCGCCGCAACGACTCGCCCTCCGCCTCCCCCGCTGCCCGCTGCTTCGGGCAGCAGCAGCGGCGGAGGTGGAGGAGGAGGGGGAGTGCCGGGCTCGATCCGGCCCGGTTCGATGGCGGACCGGGCCCGGATGGCGAACATCCCGATGCCGGAGGCGGCGCTGAAGTGCCCCCGCTGCGACTCCGGCAACACCAAGTTCTGCTACTTCAACAACTACAGCCTGTCGCAGCCCCGACACTTCTGCAAGACCTGCCGCCGCTACTGGACCCGCGGCGGCGCCCTCCGCAACGTCCCCGTCGGGGGAGGCTGCCGCCGCAACAAGCGCTCCAGCAGCAAGAGCGGCGGGTCCTCCTCCAAGTCCCCCGTCAGCGGCGGAGACAACAACAACAACAGGCCGACGGCATCCGGAAACTCGTCCAGCAGCTGCGGCGGCGGCGGAGGAGGAGGTGGAGGTGACATGTTCGGGTCAGGCCTCGTTGGCGGCGGCGGCGGGGGCCCACCTCTCCGTTTCATGGCGCCCCTCCACCACCACCATGGCGGCCTCTCATCCGAATTCCTCGGAGGAGGGGAACATCACCTCGGGATGAACTACGGCGGCGGCGGCGGAGGAGGGATGATGAACAACGTCGGGGACCTGACCTTCCAAATGGGAGCGGCGGGGTCGCTGCTGTCTGGGATGGACACGTGGCGGCAGCAGCAGCAGCAGCAAATGCCGTTTTTCGGGGGAGGGTTGATGGATTCATCGGCGGCGTCGGCTTCTTCTGCGGGGCTGATGTATCCGTTCGAGAGCGGGGAGGCGGCGGCAGGGTGGAGGGCGGCGGGGGGGAAGTCATCGGTGGGCAATGCGCTGACGAGCTCGATGATAACGACGCAGCTGGCGGCTGTGAAGATGGAGGAGAGCCACCAAAATCACCAGAGGAATCTGGCCAGGCAGCTCTTGCTCGGGATAAATAACAATCATCATCATATGAATAGTCAGCAGCAGCAGCAGCAGCAAGGGTATAATAATAATATTATTATTAGCTATAATAATAATAACAGTAATGGCGGCGGCTGGGGTGGTTCTGGTGCTAATAATGCTGCTGCTGCTGGGTGGACAAGTACTGCGGATCTTTCCAGCTTCACCTCTTCTTCCACTTCCAACAATCAGCTCTAGTTTGGTTAGATTAACTTTTTAAACATACGATGAAGTGAACTTTGACTGTGTTGGTTAGTTAGTTAGTTAGTTAGTTTAGTTAGTTAACTGTGTGTGTGTGTGATGTGGAGATCCTGAAGCTAGGTGTGTTGGGGATTCTTCTTCTTCTTCTTTGATTTCTTGTACGTTTTCTGTTTTTGGTGGGTAATGTGGTAGTAGCTGCTTCAGTGAATCTTGTAGAGAGATAGGGTTGGAGTTTTGGGTTTGAGGCCGGGGATACTTTGAAACAATGGTGATGAATTTGGTTGGAGGAAAGAACCCTATGGGTTAGTTTTTTTTTTACCTTGTTAATTACTTTTTTACCACTTCCTTCTTCTTACTTGTTTTTGTTTTTTGTTTTTATGGGAGGGCTTCCATGGTTATGGGATGTGTTTAATTTGGTAAGCCGTAAGCTGCTGCTGTTGATGTAGCTCTAGATAGATATTGCAGTAGATTGTAATGTCTGTATTACTGTGTTAAGATATGCAGAACATCCCATTAGTAATGTTGTAAGAAAGCCTCATGAGATTGAGTTTTATCGATCATATAATTAATGGAAAAGCCTAAGCCTCTTTTTGTGTTATGTCATGACAGTTGAATCGTTTTAGACAACACTGAAAAAGATCAGCGTGCATATGTTTACTGTATTAATTCGTTACCCAGCACATTACTCGAACATCATTTACACCGGATCGTTTTCCTAATCATAGTTAATAAATACTCCGTTTAATATGTACATGTACCCGTACGTACTTTATCCGTTTAAAACTTCCATATCCATATTATTGTCAAGTCGTTTCATTTTTTTTTTCCGTTCATTGGATTGCTCCCATACTAAAAACGTATAAAACCCGTATAACACGTTTAATATCCGTATTTAATGAATTAAATTGTGAACTTTACTATTATTTATATATTTATTTATTTTTAAAATAATTTATTTTTATATATTTATTACTAATAACGTACTATTAAACATACCTTTAGCTTAGAGACGACGTAAAATACCCGTACGTATTTTTTACGTAACTTTCCCGTACCGTATTTTACTAACTATGGTGCTAATTCGTTAGTTTGCATATGCTAGAACATAGTTTTCACAAAATTAATTAACATCAAAACCTCATAATGGTGGTGTGAGTGGCTCAATTAGGAAACTTGGACTTTTTTTGTGTGTCTACTCTGTAAACAAAGAATACCACGTTTATGCTATATATTATTAATACAGTGAAGAATCCAAAACATTGAAATTGAAGTTTGCACTTTAAAATAAATGTCTGCTTTAAGTAAGTAAGATATATACATTCACATTAGCAAATTAATAATGGCAATGGATGGCTGGCTGGCTGGCTGACTTTGGTTGCTGATTCGCGAAGTTGCTACTAATCGAATATGGCAAAGTGCAATTTCGTTGCTGTGTCGTCCGCTCACTTTTGATATTAATTAGACTCTCTTGCTGCACTTTTTATAATTATTACTTTCTGAAAGCTAAAGGTTTTAAAAATGCCTGATCAGCACTCAATTCTTTGATATATATAATATAATTAGGGTTGAGTTGACCTCTGAAAAAATAAGCCTCCCAGGGTGGAAATCGAATGTTTTCACTTCCTCAAAAGTTTGATGATCGATCAGTGGCAAATAATCTTGTTGGTGAAGGAACATGTTCAATTTGGTACTGTTGTAGGCATGTATTACGTACATGACCAAAATTCAAAATGAATTTCATGGCAATTAATATCGAGTAAGGAAATTGAGAGTCACTTACTTGATTGTATTTCTAAAATGAGTCATTTGGTTAAACGTATGCATTGCTAAATATAGAGAAGGTTAGTATTGGGATTCTGAAAAAGGACGGAGTTATGATAGGAAAGTCGTGGAGAAAACATGAATCATTTGCAAATGACTCGTGGAGAGCGATCATGTGAAAGTGACTCGATAGTTTAGTTGGAATAAAATGACTATTTTTTTTATGCTGTCAAACATATTCTAAGTGCAGCTAAGGACAAGATCAGTGCAGCTATCGAAACCCTTGTATAGTTGTGTGATAGGAGTTGCTTATGTAACATAATTATATATATGGAGAGTTCTACAGTACCTAAGGTAAATATGAGAGTATCACATACACTAAGTAAGAAAATGTTATCTAAATCTTGAGGTAACTGGAGTTCAAGGTATGGTACCCACTGTAAACCCCGATGAGCAAAACATAGGTCATCATTCAAAAAGTCATGTAACCTAAGATTAATTTTATCAGAAAGAGTAATCTACAATTTTGTTTCGTCGAAACATTCAACATACTAAATGCACCATCTTATGGCTTTCGGGTTAGAGAATTGGAAGTTAGAGTTTGCTCATTAAGGGTTATGACATGCATACTATCATACCCAAAACTCCAGTTAATTTAACAGCTACATAAAAAAAAAGATATATAATATACAATATTTATTTTTGAGTACCATATATAGAATGCTGTAAAATTATCCTAGGTATTCTAAAGAAAGGAAGAGAGAAAGAATGTATGGAATATGTTAGAGAGTGCGATCCACTAGTGTTTAGTGACTTCCAACCGACCGACTCCCAGGAGATCCACCAAAATATTGCATGGTTATTAATTATTATTATACTAATCAAATTGAGTGCATCTATATATCTATATATCGATATGCATGAAGAAAGATTTGGTAGATGAGGATGAGGACAATCATTATTATATATGGATCGACACTAATCGAGTTTCGAGTAGTAGTAGTAGTAATGATTTAATTAATAGGCGACAGAGACAGACAGATCTGTACTAATGATTAATGCAACGCAATTAAACTAACATGAGTACGTACCTAAAAATAGTGATCAGTGTCATGAAAAGACTAAAAAAAATCCCAACCCTCCGAGAACCAGATCAAAGAACAGAATCGAATAGTTGTCGCGAACAAACCGATCTTTGGCATGCCTCTTTTTTCTTTTGTGCAGTTGATAATTAATAAATTAATTAATTAAGGTCTGTGTGATTAGTTGAGACGGACAGACATAGAGACAGGCTAAACTGAATTCATGGAATTCGATAAATGCTGACCGGCGACTGGGGAGACTGGAGAGTGTTTGCTTTTGCTAGGGCGCGATTCACTAGGAGACAAAGTTGTGTTTTGTCAGCATTCCTGGGCCCCACTTGTCACCAACGAAAAATAAAGGCTTATTACGTACGTACGTAGACGCAGAGGCGCGCTCCTTATCATTAATTCATCCTCCTGCTGAATTGAACCACCACTGAACACGCGCTCCAATGACGCGTGCATACATCAAAGCTGGTGCAGTGGTGCTCTTCTTCATTCCCCAAATTCCGTTTCTCTTCCTTCCTTGTGCAGGCAGGCAGGCAAGGCCTTGCTTTGCTTTCACAGCTTGGACTCTGACTCACTATATAACGGAAACGACTTGACCTCAACCCTATTCCCCAACCCAACTCCATATTATTCGGATGGATGTGTTGATAATTTATTTACGATATCGTCATCATTAGCATCCATCTTTTTTTGAAAAAGGGTTCACTTATATTGCTCAACCAATAAAATCGGTTACAAAGAGGGGATACAACATGAGAAATCAAACCAAGAAAGAACAGCCTCAAACATCCAGAGGATCACACAAACCAACGAGGAAAAGATCAGAACAAGAGAAAGCCAAGCATGATCCAACTAGACAAGGGCATTCCATCCTCGAGCCGCAAACCAAAGCATATGAATCACTCTTTGTAACCTCATCTATCAGATAAACTCAAATTAAAGCTTCAGCTCATCCAATACAGAATTGACCATGATGATTGAACATTGCAACACCATATGCCGCCTCCTGAGAGTTGTTCGAAGACGACCCATCACAGTGAATCACCGAAGAGATTACATGGCGGTAGACAGGACTATACAGGATTGTTCATAGCTGAAACAAAGAGAGGAAGCCGACAACGGATGCAACCATGACAAACCAGAGGACGACAACGGATTCATCCAATGATTGCAGATTGCTTGTGCCCGATCCAATGACATCAGGCTCATATAAGATCCTTATTTCGGTTAGCGCGTGTGAGCATCATATTCGGATTGCTTTCTTTCTATCAAAATCATGTAATATAAAAGGGAAAGCTCACATTAATACAATTAATGACGGTGAGAAAAACTATATTTCCGTGTCCATGTATCTGGACATAGACTATAATGGAAAATAATTAATTTTTACCCACAAAAAATTCAAAGATTATTTGTATCTACTTACATAGTAATTTTACAATGTTATATAGCATTGGTGATATAGGTTTTTGCTTTTATGCTACAACCTGAAATTGTACCTTTAACGTTATGGTACAATTTCATATTGTAGCTATACTATTGTGTACAAGTTCTTTTACGATACAACTGGAACTTGTACCTTTATAATGCGATTGACAACTATAAGTTGTATCATACCATAAATGTATAAATTCCTGTATGGTACAACCTCAACTTATACATTTAACATTATGGTACAATTTTAACCTGTACATTAAAGCACCAATTCTTTATAGCATAGCAAGAAAGACTCCTATTTACATGCGTATGGTACAACCTCAACTTATACTCTAGACTAGTTGTATCTTAACAGCATATATTTGTTGATCAGCGATATCAAATCATCATCAATATTCCAGATGATCTAATTAAACTTCTAACAAGTATTTTAATTACCAAAGTGTCTTACTATTCTCTCTTTTTGTAGTTGTTGAAATTCCCTCCATAGGGACTAATGGATACATAAAATAAAATAAAATCAGTTGTTGTTAACTGTAATGTGGTGGTGGGGAATAGGCATAGGAATGGAGTGGGGACTGAGATTGGTCACGTTGAAAGAAAGGAATCTTAATTTGAGAAGGATGGGATTTGGCTTTTTGATACTACCAATGCAACGCAGCAGCAGCTGTTTACCAAGAAGGAATAAAGGAGGCACCCGGCCTCTTCCCTTTCCTTCCATCCCCGGCCTTGTTATTTCAAACAATCTTCTTCCCCTTGCCAACACCATAAAAAAAAAAAAAGCTCTGCCACTCTCACAACCAAAAAACGAATCCTAGTCTGTTAAAATGTTCATGTCAGCTGTTGCGCCTCGTGCTTCAACTTGACAGAGGTACGTAGTAGCCCATTTTTTTCACTTTTCCATCCACCTCAATTCTCCCTTTTAATTAGACCAATGTTTTAGAAACGGTATATCGAAAAATATCAGATACGGGATCTCAAATTGATAGGCGGTTTTAGCACTGAGAAATTAATTAATGAACCACGTCTAAACTACGGAGTTAGTAAAAAAAAAATACCATACTACAGACTTTCCTCGCTAGACCTGGAAGGGAAGGTGGCTTGCCTCTTTTGGGTGGCATATAGATAAAGAATATACAAAATCAAAAGCCTCGTTAGCAGATTATGCACAATCCAGTTTCTAGTTAGCAGATTAAATAATAACCGAACGTACCATAATCGGTTTAGCGATAACATCCATAATTTCGGATGTCGCGACAAGCATTTTTATGGATAATGACTAATCGATTACCGGTTAACTATAACCGAATCGGGTAAAAGGCTTACTGCATGTGTTACCACTAGCTGCCCAAGCCTTCATAATGATTTTGGGGTTTATCCCAAAATTGGGGGATTATGGTGAGTATTACATGGTATGGGAATCCCCGCTAATTGCCATAGTCTTCATAATGATTTTAGGGTTTCAGACAATGTCTGTGTAATGATGTTGCAAATTATCTCTTGTGCTTCCCTCCCACTCTCTCCCACGGCAATGATTTGTTTTCCATATTCCAATAAAGACAGACATAACATACCTAAGAGAGAGAAAGGAACAAAGAAATTACAAGCCCCCATATCTCCATTTCCGCAATCTCATGCAAAAGACAGCATGAATATATAATATATGAAAAGAGAGGGAGAATGAAAAGAGGAAAGGAGGAGGAGTAAGCTAGGGTAAGAATAGCAGTCTGTCTTTGGGCGGGGACTCGGAAATCCAAGCCAAAATCTGTCTCTGTCCTCAATCTCCATGTCCGTCCGTCCATATGTCTTTCTCTTTCTGACAGTTTTGTGGTATAATGTTCGGAAAACCATGACCGACGACGGACTGACTGACTGACTGACTGACTGACACCCGCAGCTGCTAGATGGTTTGTGGCAACCTACTGTTCCCCCACATACATTTCTGTTTCGGAAAACTCCTCTGTGAAATAAAGTTGATTCTGTTGGGTATGATTTGAATTCGTTTTTGGGGCCTCATTTTGTCCCATCTTACCTAAATAATTTTTTTTTTAAAATGGTTAAATAATAAATATTATTAAAGGTTGATGTGACTTGAATAAGACTATCTGGATCATTAGTGGATTATATGATTTGATATATTTTCTCATATTTGATTATATTTTCCTCTTCTATCAGTGCATTTTTAGTGGATTTGATTATATTTCATATGGAATTCATAACTATTTGATTATAATGAGCTTATGATAAACCTTGAGTGTGTTTTATATGATTTGATGTCAATATGGGGCACCAAGGGACCCAATGGATCAGAAGGAGGTTGAGAAGACAAGCTCATTGGCTCAAATGAAGATAGATTCTGACACCAGAAGCTCATGTTATGGACCAGATGATAGTAGTTAGAAGAGCATACGGGTTGAATGATGTCCAAACGAGGTGAAACTTGAGGAGCAGCCCAATGAGCCAAAGAGGAAGTTTCCCACCAAAAATAATCCAATTTGGAGGGGAAAAAAAACCTTACAACGGGGTACTACCGCCGCACTATCTCCGCTTGGCCCAAGCCCTAAATGAAACTTCCTCAACAAATTACTTGATCCTCAAGTCAAAGGAATCCGACTTTAAATCGTAAAAGGAAGGTTTTGGCCTACTTTACGAGGAAAATACTAGAAACCCTCATAAATAAGAGGCCTAGAGCTATTAGATGCACCCCTTTACATGCTCAGCCCATGCGGCACGGGTTAGCTCTCCAAGTAAGCATTGAAGCTCTTAAGGAGGATACCGTTACTAGTGATACCTTCTCTCTCCTTATTGGTGTGCTAACTCGAGATTGTTGAGAGATGTGAATTATATGATGCTCATGTATCTTTGAATGATTGAATAAGATGCTAGTTTCACTAGATGTTGTTTGTATCATTGATGCTTATATCATCTTATGTTTTTTTCGATGCTTATGAATCTATTGTATGCTATTATGGCTATCGTTGATAATATCATTGAGATTGTTAAGAAACTACCTTTTTTATATCACATGCATGTATGGATTGATTGACAAGCATTTCATGTATGCATGCTTGATTACTAGATCATTGGTGCTATAGAATATGAGCTATGGCTCAAGAAGGCCCACACTTAACTATATGATACCCTTAGGGTTAATACCTTATTTTGGGCTGAACTATGACTATATAATCAACTTTGGCACGTGGTTTCAGAAATTAACATCCTGCCCTCAACTATGTAACATATACACTCAATTGGCCCGACACCTAGTTTGACCGTCACTTCTAAAATCTAATGATTATTTTACCGAATTTTTTAATAAGTAGACCAGTTGAGTTGGTTGAGTTGGTTTTGAGTTTAAAAAACCCTCATCCAACTCGAGCATTGTCATCCCTACTCCAGCCTAGCACCTCTACATTTGGCTTGATATCGTATCATTTATCAGGAAAATTTTGGTGGTACATATCTCTCCATCCATACTATGTCACACTTTTTTTAATTATCAGGGCCATATATGCTTTATTTACGACATTCCATCACTATATGTCTTTCTATCTCTATATATCTGTCCCTATGCCATGCACCAATCAATTTAATTAGTTGACATATACATATATAGAGACAGCAAAAGGGAATTTGTCTGCTGACGTATCTTTCTGCTTATCTTAAGTTTTTGCATTATCTTTTCTTGGAATTTTTTCTGGTCGAGAGTTGTCTAGGGAGTGTGGTTATTAGCATCCTATATAAGATATCAGATGTGGGCTACTTTTCTGAATGAATTGTCCAACTATAGAGCATTACGTGGCTAATCTTGCTATATTAGGGCTGTTAGATTGGAATGGCAATGTGGCATGGTCGGTCGGGCCGGGTATCTCGATATCCATACCCGTCTCGTGTTAGGTCGGGTAATTCATTACAGGCGCTGGTCGGGGCAGATCGACCCAATGAGTATATAATTTATATGGAAATGATTAGTAATATTCGTTATTTTCATTATAAGACCAAGAAACAAATCATCATATGATAAATTGTGATTAAGTTATCAGAGAAATTGAGGTTTTCACTAATTTACAATTTTATAACAGCTGAAGTATGAAGTAATAAAAGGAAAATCCTAAGTAATTTGACTAAAATTACATGTAATTTAGGCAAGAACGGGTCGAGAATGAGCCGGGTCGGGGCAGGTCGGATTGATGAGAATACACATGGCCTCCCCGCCCCACCTATGGGACTGGTCGTATCCGCCCAAAACAGATCAAACAAATCGGATAAAACGGTTCAGATCATCCCTACCGTTTGGATCTAGAATTTGTATTTAATTTCCTTCGATCAGCTCTCTGGAATAGATCACACAACTTACCTCCCACCCAAAATAATAAGAAGAAATACTACACAGCCAACCCACCTTGACTTTTGGTTGAATTGACCAGCGATGTTAATCAATCTAGTAGTTTGTGTATTTAAATGGATGATTTGGTTACAAATAACTTAATTAAGACACATTTGAACTTGTATTTGTGTATTTGACTGGTTGTTCATAGTTGTACGACATGACAGAAATACAAGAGCGAAATTTATGGGTCGGGCCGACACGAGCATGAATACTTCAAGGCTATGTCGCGTCTAATATTTTTGGAACCCCATTGAGTATAGGCACGACAAGGCACAAAAAAGATACTTCTTTTATAGGAAATACATCAAGTAGAGTCATGAGATAAAAATACAAATATAACAACACAAATGATGAATTGTTGTTTTTAGAGGTGGACATAAAAATATTAAATGTAATTACTATCATAAACAAAAACAATAAATTGAAAATACTTAAAGGTCAAATCACTATATATAGGCGGCCTTACCAAACTATTGTGTTATGTTACATATGATAAATTGTATCTATCGCTTTCTTGACTCTTGTGTCGACATTTTATATATGTCATTGTTTCTCATCCCGTATCCATCTCTGTTTTGTTTTCTTTCTCCTACCACGTCTGCCATAATCGTTGGTTGCTGCATGTAACTTGTCAATGGATGCTTACTTGAGGAACCACTTCTATTCAATATGTGATCTTCTTCTCTCTTCAACCATGGATACGCATCCCAATCTCCTCTTTCCATCCTTAATTAGTGCATGCATCTGTGTATGCAAATTCACTATTTGACGAGACTGCAACTTATTACAGATTACAGAGGACAACCACCGTGCCGTACCATGAATCGTAGCAGTAGATCACAGCTTCATGAAGCTGCAACGTACACTTTTTGGACAATGGTTCAATCCAGTTCCGAATCACGTTGAAAATAAACGAGCAAAGCGAAAACGAACCAGTTTTGCACAAACCCAGATTATCACACAGGCCCAATAGGCCCTAACGTCATTCCTCAAAGCAGTCAAAAAGGGGGGCATAATTAACTAATTTCTCATTCAAGCAAACACGATACTGAGTGTGAAGACCTCCATCTTGCACGCACCAAGAAAAAGTTTTAAGGAAAAACGATTTCAACCCACGCAGAACGAAGAAGAAGAAGACGACGAAGAAGAAGAAGTACACGGGATTTGAGAAGCGGATTTCAAAGCAGTTTGTGTTGCGAGGGTTCCTAACTGCCTTCCGAAGGGAGAGTTGTCTGTATGTTGGAAGGCATCAAGATGTTGAAACCATCTGCAGCAGTTGACACGATCATCCCAGGAATCTGAGAATGCCAATGCAGTTCCTTCAAATCTTTCTGACCCTGTTTGGAAAACCCGCACCAGAGTCAAAATTTGGCCCTTTCAAACTGAATAAGATGGGGAAAAAAGATGCTCTCTTCTTCTCCACTAGCCCTAGTAGCTTTACTACATTGCTACTCTTAACAGATCAAAATAATATGACAACATGTACCTGATGAACAAAGAGAAGCTGTGGAGGAAGATCTGCCGGGGCATTTACTTGCTCTTTTGTTTTAGCTTTAAACTCTGCTTCTTCTTCCTCGTCCTTCTCCAGTGACAGATCCCATATCCTAATAATGGTGAAGGGTCAAATTTGTGAGTCCCCAAAGGAAAAACAGCAAGTATCATTATCATAGTATTGCTGTCTGTAGTTCAGACTTACGTCAACTGATTATCTGCTGATGAAACAGCTAATGTGGAAGCCTCGTGGTGACTCCATTCAATGGAGGTTATTGGGAATTTATGGTAATCAAAGTGTGATACAACTGATGTATCATCGTCCTGCAAAAATATGAGGAAAATAAAATGAAGCATCTCGTTAGAAGCTGTACTCTAGTTTTAAAAACCAAATAAAAAAAACACGGGCAAAGAAATCTCCGAGACATTGAAAGTTTTCTTTATTCGATAGAAGGAGAAACTATATCTATGGTTGTTTGAGCTTTTGCTTCAGAATAAGCAGTCCATCAGTTTTGGTAGAACATAGAAAAGGGTTTCTTTTATTGGGCTTTAGAGTAAAATATTTTATAGTAATGAAAAGAGTAATTCATTGTATGATAGGTTGTTTGTCTAATAATAAAAAAATGAGTGAACTTTGGAAACAATATAACGGGTATAACTTTGACAATAACTTATTGCATTATTGTTCCAAATCGAAAAAAGTGAATATTGGAATTTTTCTAAAAAGTTCTGAAGAATTGTCATCGTTTTTGGTTGCAAGCCAAGTTTTTTTTTTTTTTTTTAAAGTTCCATGGGTTTTAGCCCCCGAAGCTATCTCCAACATCTAAACCGTTTTCTTGGTGAAACCTTACCAGAAAGACTAGTGTAACTTGAGAACAACACAAAGAGGTCACATTCAGAGCAAGAAAAAACATACCATATTCTGTGACAGCAACCTAAGATCACGAATAGAAAATGTCCCGTCATCACATCCAGAGGCCAACATCATACTAGCAAGCCTATCAGAATTCACAACATTAGATGTGAGCGTACACCGCAAGGCGACAAAGACCATCACAAATTGAATTTAGTAGCTATTGGGCGTCAAGTAAGAACCTGTTCCATGAAATGACATTAACATCAGCATTGTGCGCCTTGAAGCGAATTGCTGGTACCTTTCCTCGACGAGTATCCCATATTGCAATAGTCCCATCAACAGAGCAAGAGGCAAAGATGTCATCTTCTGTGGGACTCCACTGCACATGTAAACATGTTCCAAATAAGATCCTTAAGAGATGCAGAAAAATATCATATGGCTAACTAACCATATAGCAAATCAATCAAGTACCTGTAGATCTTCAACACTTGAAACATGTCCAAGAAATGGTGCAGGATCAACATTCCATGAAGACCCAGATGTGGGCTCCCACAAATGAATAGAATTCCTACAATCCCCTACATATGCATAAAACCACAAGAGTAGCACATTTAAAGCACATCAAATGTGAAAAGAGTTTTAAGGTGGAGGCAGACAGCCGGAAAAAGGACATTCTAAGTACCTGACACCATCCTTCCAGCAACACGAGGACTCCAATCTATGGCATACCCTTCTTCATTGTGGCCTTTGAAATTAACTAATGGGGCCTGATTTACAACTGGAGGAGGATCCTTCATTGCTGCTTCTGTTTTGGACTCTGCTAAACCATTCAGATGACTGCTGAAATCCCATATCTGTAAAGAAAGGAATCAGGATTCAAAATTTGAATGCAGGCATAATACACCCAACCCTTTTGGCAAAGTAGATATGGAGCTGCCATCATATCTAAAATTTCAGCATCATATGCCATTCCATCCACTCCTTGATCATTTAGAGCTCAAAACTGACCTGTACATGACCAGAATCTGACCAAGTTGCACATATATGAGGACTCTGAGCCATAGCACGAATGCGATTAACACAACCTCCATGGGCCACTCTCCTCATCTACAGGAGTGGCAAAATTTTAAACATCAGAGCAAATCCAAAACAGTTGAGTATGGGATAAGGAAAAACCAGTTTGCCGAGAGATAAAAGACTAAACAAAGTGTAGTTGTCACCTGCAAAGAAGGTGCCTTTGATCCACCAGCCTCCTCATCATCAGTATCTTCATCACTATCACTACTATCGTCATCCGCGTCCGATTCCCCATCAGCATTCTCGCTAGGCACGAGTTTGCGTCTTTTACCAGAGACATTAGAGACTTTGAATATTCCAATAGAGTTCCAAGCAGGGTTCTCTGCCTATAAGAATAAAAACATCGAAATCTCCTATAAGTAAAAGCATTCAAAACTCCGGCCTACTTTGATCATAATCGAAATCGCAAGAACAGCAGCCGCAACCAATATCAGAAAATGTAATTCTTGCAATTCAAACCCAGAGGATGGAAAATCTCACCTGAGTTCCCGAAACTAAATAAACTGTGTGGGGGAAATCAGTCCGAACTAAACCGAGGGAATCATGGACGACATCCAAGCTGTACAAAAGAAGGAAACTTTGAGGAGCTAGTGAATTGAAAGCCAGTGGTGGGAACTGAGTGAGAGCAAGACAATAGTAAGTAACCTCAAGCAGGGCCAGCCAACGTGAAAGGCGTGAAGAGAGTTGTAGGCAGAAGGGTCACACTCGAGCTCTTCTCCTTCCTCGAGCTTGTCGACTCCAGGTTGCCAGACCGTCATAGGCTTGGAAGGCATAGTTGAAGACGACGGTCCGTCGTACGACCCCTGTGTAATAATTTGCACAACACCACGAAAAGAGAACAAAAAACTTGAGAAGAGCTGGAACCGAAGGATTGAGATAGTATGCGCAATAGAAGGAGGTGAAGAAGAGACCTTGTTCTTTTTGTTCTTTCGCTTGGCCTTCTTAGGGTTAGCGCTGCGAGCCATTTTTTCTCGTTGCGGTGAGGTTTTTGGCCTAGGGTTTTGGAGGAAGAACGCCGTGAAATGCAGATTTTAGCTGATTTGTATTACAGCAAACCAGGCACTGGTAGGATTTCAATGGGAACTGGCCTTCTATGATCTTCCGGTTTTTTCTCCCTCCGTAAAAATGAAACACCACGACCAAAGCCCAAAGGCTGACCCAAGTCCAACTGTGAGATGCGGAACAGTGAAAGGGCCTTGGATATTAATTTTGATCGGGCCCAACGTCATTTGGGTCTGGACTTTGCTAAAGAAGAAAACCGATCTTCCACAAATCTGGCCTCTTCATAAACATAGATATGTTCTTCCACCTTAAGAATCCTCCAATTCAGCTATATACATGGAATCTTCGTAATTATCTCATGATTTGAGTCAAACGACAGAGCAACAATCGATGTTGAGGAAATGCCCGTCCCCAACTCTGGTGATCTTTATCGAATCGGACATTATTTGTCGTATTTTCATAGGCGAATGAAATATGTTAACCAAGTTGTTTGGCATACGCGTGGTACCACGTAAAATTGTACAACGGTTTCATTCTTACCCTAAACCAAGTGGTGATTTATTCCAATTTTTCACCCTAGCTAGTTCATCCCTCCCTATTATTGTATTTTATTATGTGATATCATTAACATAAAAGGTATATGGCTTTTCTGGACACCAATCATCGATGTCAACAAACACCAGCTTTGAGCATGTGAATCTGCACAGGAGAGAGAGAGAGAGAGAGAGAGATGTCAAAACGTTTTCATTTGTTTCCAAGCAAAGAAACAATAATTCGAACTTCTTTAATTTCTTTATATCAAAACGGATGACGACGACGAGGGAAAATTGAGCTGTCTAACAACTTAAAAAAATGCCAGAGCCTCCACTCCATTGTTGTTTATAAATAGGGAAAACAAGAGTTGCCAGCCACATCATTTCCATCACAGCATCCCTTGGTATTGGCGTGTGAATTGAATTGATTGCTCTCTTCTTTGTCCCATTTTCCGGATCCGCTTTCTGGTTCTCATTTATTCCTCTCTCGTAACGTCAATACCAAAAAAGTGAAAAACCCACATGGCTGTTCCACATGATCGCCGCCGCAGCCGGTCGTCGTCCGGCCAAGTGATGGTGGCGGCGGTGTTGGTTGATATCTTCATGGTTGTCGTCCTAAATGCCGGCGGTATCAGCGCCGGCGGGCGAGCCACGGCGTTGGATTGGCGGAAGGAGACGAGAAGGAGCCTTATTGCCAATGGATTGGGTCTTACACCGCCTATGGGGTAAGTAAGTTAAAAGTAGTTATGGTTTTCCTTTAACCTCTCTCTATGCCATTTTTTTTTTCCTTCTCTATTTCTGGTCATTAGTAACCACGACAATAATAATACAATAATAGGGTCGTGAAGAGAGAAAGAAAGAAATAGTAGAGCATAATAGGATAAATCGTATGTCGGTCTAAACTGATATATATATAAAATCGGCCGAACCTTCGATACGGTTTTACAAATATGGAAACTTTGTAGAGAGATGTTATTTGATTTGCATTCTGAGTATTATATAGTTTAAGCATTATGACCCAATAACTCTTGATGTGGCACGGTAGTATACTGATCGCTAATTTATTGGCTCTACGACCCAATAGTTTTTTTTTATGGCAGTGGTATACTATATTTGTTATGAGTACTAGTGGCGATACCGCACCTTGTCGCGGGTAGAGATGGAGTATGGACATGTATTATGTGGCCCGTTATATGGTGTTTTGTTAGTATTATTAGCTTAAAATAATTTTTTGTTAGCAGTTTTGTTAATAATATTGACTGAAAATAAATATATGGAGGTCATCCAATTTTATTTTTTTTTAAATTTGGCTAGTAAATGATATTTACTAAAATCCAAGTAGACTCATTGATTATGGGTATGGCATGGGTAAGTATATACGGGTTGAAAGTTTGTAGATGAGTTTGGGTAAGGTATGAATATTTACATCCATAATCTAAATGTGTATGAGTTGGGGATGGATACCCATTTATTCGAGGGTGTTTTAATTACACATACAAAAATTAGACATATTTGTAGAACTTCAAAAGTTTAGGTACCAAAATGTAATACACAAAAAATTTAGGTACTAAAATATAATGTTCCATCAATATTTTGAGGAATTATATGCCAAAAAAATTAGGTTATAAAATCTAAAGATCTATTAAGTTAAGGTATCGAACTGTATTTTTTAGGCTTAATTCCTTTTATGATGATGTATTTAAGATGATAATTATTTATCTTTTTATAAAAAAATGGAAACTATTTATTTGATATGTGTAGATACCTAGCGAAACATTCCATGTATATATAATTGTTGAAAATTCTAGGCCAGGTGAAAAAGAAAAACTATAGAGAGAAGCAAAAGAAATACAGACAGGAACTCGCTTAAAATTTCACGCTTTCAAATCGAATAGTGGAAAATGACGACTTTATAATAATTAATAACCATATATATTATTTTTAATTGGACTCGACACTGAGTTGTAAAAGTTAGTGGTTCATGGTTCAATTATTAATTCTTTAAATTGTTGGTGAGTCGTGTATGGACTCGTTCATATTTGTGATTAAAATATATAAAAATAGTATACTAATTAGGGTTAGACGAAGAAGGAAAAGAAAGAAATAAAGAAATGATTATGGAAGGCGAGTGAAAAATGACACGAAAAGAAAGCAGATGATGGAAATGTTTTGACCAATTCTTTTAGTAGGCTATCGATAAAACAGTCAACCCATTTCAACGTAGCGATTTATTGACACTTGCTTATAGATGTCGCATATTTTATTACATGCAGTTAGTAGAAGTTTATTTAGTACCCCGTAAATGTAATAAATGAGTTTATAAATTCGCTCTTGCGATATTTTAGAGTCGTCTCTCTTTTATAATTTATTTAGTATTTCACGTGATGAGCAAGTATAAAATGGTCGAATCTTCTCCTACACTTGAGTGATACAAAATCTTGTATTGTACAAACTAAATATGTTATGGTGGATTGATTCAAAAGGACAACATCTTGTATTGTATAAACTAAATATGTTATGGTGGATTGATTCAAAAGGATTGGTGGATCGGATTCAAGTGTAATCTAAACATTGGACCAATATGTAAATTTAAAAAAATTGTAGGTACAAAAATCTCATATAATTTAGATACCAAAACATAATTGTTGAATGATTTTACATTAAATTAAATTCGGGTTATCAAAATTTAAAATGTACATTTTAGTGACTAAGTTGTGATTTAATTAAATTTGGGGTATCAAAATGTAATTTATTGTGCAACAGTAACTGAACTTTACGTTTATATAATATAATAATAATTTGAATACTGAGATTTCTTGATCGAATGTAATAATAGAGAATCTTAATGGCCAGACCATTTAATTCAATAGCTTGAACTATTAATCAAAGATTTCAATATGATTTTTTTTTTTTTTTTTTTGGTTTACACTTCCGATTGACTTTATAGTAGATGATATGATCCCGTGTGAATAATTTGACCTAACCGTGTGAAATTTGGGTGGCGGATCAGATGGAATAGCTGGAACCATTTCCAGTGTAATATTTCAGAGGAGATGATAAGAGAAACAGGTAATTAATTATTTATTCTCATTGAATTAATTTTTACCAACTAAATTGGTTCATCAAAATTCAAAAAAAAAAAAAAATTGTGTGTGTGGGTTGATTATATATGTTGTTGTGGTACAGCGGATGCCATGGTTTCATCTGGGCTTGTTGCTTTAGGGTATCACTACATCAACATAGGTATATATGGATTGATTGCTCCTCCCCTTGTTCCTTCTTATTTATCATTTTAATTATTCTGTATTAAACAAATTTTAACCATGTCATTAATTATTTTCTTTCATCCTATCAGATGATTGTTGGGCCGAGCTTAACAGGGATTCTGAGGTACTCTCCATAGAGGATAAATTAAATTAATATAATACATTATGACGATCCGAACTTTGACACCATGGACAAAACTATGCCGAATTTTAGAGAGAGAGAGAAAATGGATATATAAATTCAAATTCTTAGGATAAAAAGAGTACGCATACATACGTAATTTTGTAGTTTAATAATCTTAAGAAAATGATATCAAAGTCATGCGATAATTCCATGAATGTCACGACGATTTTTTATGTCAATTAATTTTTTTAAAAATAATCCGTAAGTGAAAATATATGTTCGACTCCTTTCCTCGGTCTTTTAACCATCCTTACTCTTCTGTCTAAAATCCATAATATTTGTGAAGTATTGATTTGAAAATAAAGAGGGTGATGATGTGGTGAATCATATGTCATATATGCCATTAATTGATCTCATGTGCCTACCATGCTATCTATTGATTCAACGAAGGCATGCCAAGTTAATTGTTAATACTAAAGATGATCAACTTTAAATTATAGTTGTTTAATTGTTTTCTATCTCAAGTTTTTGAAATTAAAGTGGGACCATCATAATGTATTATTAGCTTGATAATTAACGGATAATCGATCTTCAAACTAATTGAATAAGCATTACTGAATCAATACTATTATACTTTGGGTGTGATGGTAGGGAAATTTCGTGGCTAAAAATTCAACCTTTCCATCCGGAATCAAGGCGCTGGCAGATTATGTCCATGCTAAAGGCCTCAAACTTGGAATTTATTCAGATGCCGGGTATCTCCCATTAAAATTCCTAACCTTATTTATCTAATTAATAACTAGCTTAACAATTGATTCATTTTCCCTTGATCTCACGGCCGGCCGGCCGGCCGGGTTCTGCAATCTGGCATGGATCCAGTTCTCAGACTTGCAGCAACCTAATGCCAGGATCATTGGGCCACGAAGAACAAGACGCCAAAACCTTTGCTTCCTGGGTATAATACACATCTATATATCTTTTTGTTTTTTGCCGATCCATCCTTCGCTCTCCCACGGCTGAGTTACCTTTTGTTGGTTGGCTGTATATGAATAATTACAGGGAATCGACTACTTGAAATATGATAACTGCAACGACGACGGGACAAGCCCCAAACTGAGGTTAGGAAAAACACTTAAACTTGGGTTTTATTATCAAAAGCTCTGCAGAGATGAAATGGTGGTAGGTATAGCTTACGGAAATTCATGTATGTGTTTATGTGTACTGTGTCATAAATCGCGGGCCGCTTCATTAGTACGATATTGTTCGATGTGGTACTTGAATTGTCTCACAACATGTACAACAGGTATCCTGTAATGAGCAGAGCACTGTTAGATAGCGGAAGACCAATCTTCTTCTCTCTATGTGAATGGTAAGAAACTTTCACTAGCAAGCTAATCATTATGTGTTCTGGACTTTGTGTGCACTGACTCTGTTTTTTTTTTTTTTTGGGTGCAGGGGCAGGGAAGATCCTGCGACTTGGGCCAGTGGGATCGGAAATAGTTGGAGAACAACAGGGGACATTAGTGACAATTGGGACAGGTTGGTACCCTTCAAAATTCAATTACATATAAATTATTGTGTGAAATTAATCAAATTCATTTGCACACTGCAGCACGACATCTTGTGCAGATCAAAATGATCAGTGGGCGCTTAACGCTGGTCCAGGAGGCTGGAATGGTAATGATCCAAATCAAAATGAGCTAAAGGGGACGAACTTAATTAATTGAATAGTTATGGATGGATTCATATAATTAATTTTATGATGGCACTACAGATCCTGACATGCTTGAAGTTGGGAATGGGGGCATGACCACCCAAGAATACCGAGCACATTTCAGCATATGGGCATTAGCCAAGGCAAATCATTGAGTCCGTAGCTCTGTCGCATACTTGTTGAAATGGGTTTTGCTAACTCATTGAGTTTTGCCCGGAAATTGTTACAGGCGCCGCTCCTCATTGGGTGCGATATTCGGTCCATGACCAAAGAAACGCACGAAATTCTGAGCAACGACGAAGTGATTGCTGTGAATCAAGGTAACGTGACCCTCGTCTCGATCGCGTTTTGAGCTCGTCTTAGGGGTCGTTAGACGGTGGGTGCGATTAATTGACTTGTTATTGTAAAAAAATCAGATAAGTTAGGAGTGCAAGGGAAGAAGGTGAAGAAGGAGGGGGATTTGGAAGTTTGGGCTGGACCACTCAGTCACAACAGAGTGGCAGTGGTGCTGTGGAATAGAAGCTCTTCCAACGCCACGGTCACCGCGGAATGGCCAGACCTAGGGCTCGACCCATCCGCCATTGTTGAGGTCAGAGATCTGTGGGAGGTGAGCAATCCACCAACTGTATGTATTTTCCATTAGCTAGACATATCACATAAATGGGCATTTGATATAATCTCTTTTTTTTTTGGGGGAATGGAATGGATGCAGCACTTGACATACCAGCGAGTGGGAGTTGAACTCTCTGCTGACTTGGAGCCTCATGCTTGTAAGATGTATGTCCTCACTCCAACACAATCGGGAAAACTACTTGGGCACGAGTTGTGAATTAAACTAGATTGATCTTCAACAAAAATGTGTTGTATCCTATACTTATGTCATTGTGTGTGTTATTTCCCCCCGGTCTTACCTTCCAATTTTTGTATTTTGTTCCATGGACATTCATGGGAAAAATGGATGATATTGGTCAAAATTCAACGATTGGGAAACACAGAATTCAAAAGAAGAATGTTATGTTACAAATAGTGTATATGCATTTCCTGTTTTCAAATTCTATGTCGCTGTGACAATTGAATGGGTGTATTTATGAGCTTTGTCTAGGTGATCCAAGTAGCCTTTATCTACTTAGTAAATTTACCGATATCTTACGGCGGATCAAATTTTTGTGCCTGTTGGCGGGGTTACATAACCTTCAGTTGCACCTTTATTATTATTTTCTTTTTTTGTTTATTTTGTTGTTTCTGGAACTATAGATCAGCTGTTACTTTGCACAGGGTATTCTACTTGTGTACGTGCCAGACTTTGAAAAGGTAGAAGCATAGTACTTGAAGATTGACTTTGTAGTTTCCAACAATTGTCGATGTAATGAGTTGTGACGACCATGAATCATTTCTTCTAAGAAGTTGCCACACATTAGTAGCTAAGGCCACACGACCTTCATTTTTTTCTAGAAGTTGCATATTGGCCTCTCTTTCAAGGTCATAGATGGTGAGACAGTCCTTGATGGTGTTTCTAAAGACCATCTTGAATAGTGGGTTCAAGCATGCAACAAAACTACTGAAACCTTCATGATCAACAATGAAAAGATAGAGTACTCACACTTTATAATCGCCTTTTACAAGCTCTGTCCGAGAATTTGTTGATCAAAGTTGAATAGAGAAAGCTGAAATTTCTCCTTGTTTCAATTGGCTTGTAAGACCTGTTGCCTTATATCCAAGGGAACTTAAGCGTTTGGGCATCTTTTATGATACTTCTTCAGATGACTTGTTCCCTACTTCGGATCTCCAACCATTAAATGCTTGCAATGTTTGCATTTTTCCATCTTAACCTTGTTTACTTCTAATTTATCGTAATGCGCCCACCATTCAAAATATACGTTCCATTCATTCCCTTCTTTGGCACCGTCACCCTCCTTGTCATCAACAAAATTGTTGGTTTCATTTCCAAGTTGATTATGCATCTCAATTGCAACTGCGGTATGTTGGGCCAAGACCGCCCTGTTTATGGCCGGATCGAGTTTAACATGCCCAAAATAGAGTGGACCGGGCCAAACCCGTCGGGGCAGGCCGATTTTGCCATTCCAGAGAGTTCTAGCCTAGCTATAAATCATTGTCAACATTCTTCGCAACTCACCCTTTATCATAATGGAGTTTTAGGCGTAAACTTGATGTTAGAACATATTGAATAACCCAATCACTCGCAATTACCTCCTAACGCTATTTGTCAAACTTCTTGTAACACTTGGGTGGTCATTGATAACCACAATCATGAAATGTATTTTAGGCGCTCTTTTGTGGGAAAAAAGGAATATTTGGGAAAACAACCCCACAAGTCTACTATCAAACTATAAAATTTCCCTCTCGTGCTCCTCATTACCAACACCATCTTTTATTATAACCTCTCTCGCCTCAAAAGGCTAGAAACCCAGAACAAATGATTCTCTAATACTTCCTTTCCCTCTTCTTCATATAAATTTTTCCCCCTCTTCTGACTCAGTAAGTAAACCCAGAATTGTCCCACAAAAAGGAAAAGGAAAAAAAAAAAAAAAACAAACGTTTTTCATTCAATGAGTTGTCCACATAGACACGAAAGCATTAATGGTGGTCCGTATCCATCACCATGTCCCAATAATTTGCTGCTGCTGCTGCTACTGTTTGTGTCGTTGTTGTTGGATGATCTTCTTCTCCCTCCACCATCATCTTCTGCTACCTGTGGTGCAGCAATCTCTCCACCGACAAAAAGAGAGTTCATCACACTTCCACCTACACTCTCCGCAATTGGGGAGAAATCATTAGGACCATAAACAAGTGTGTGTGGGCTCACACTGCCATTGTTGGGGCTATTACTGCTAGCGCTGCTGTTGTTGCCACATGCAACGGCAGCTCTTCTCTCTACTTGAAGGAAGTGGCCAAGAGAAGGAGGGTGATTGTTGCTATTGTTGTTGGTGCTGTTTGTGTTCACTGCATCAGTGGTAAGCCTGGAGCACAATGAGAATATCCAGGGCTTTGGCTTGTAACTATTGTTGCTGTGTTGTTGTTCTCTTAAACTAGATGTCCTGCCTCCTCTTCCCCTGGTTGACCTTCTTGACAGTTCGAGAATGCTAGAGAATCCAATTAAGCTCCCTAATGTGATGCTCTTGTCATGGAAGAACGAGCCAGTTGACTGAGAACAAGAAATATACATGAATGAATGATGAAACACAATGGAGGTAAACTGATTAATGTGGTTTTAAGAAAAAGGGCAAGATAAGTAGGCAAGGAAGCAGCCACATTACTGGAGAGAGGCTCAATCACAGGATCTAGAAGGGGGAAAGATGTAAACTTTATTATTGGGTAGTAAACACAGCAAAAGATTGATGCAGGGTTTTGATTTGAAGGGTCAAAAGTCATGATTAATGGGGCCATTGAGTGTGGACAAAAGGAGCAAAAGTGTTGAACTTTACCTTTCTATGGTATGAAAACAGGAACACGAGAGCAGTGGGAAAAACATGCCATAAATGCAGGGTGGTACAACAGTGACAATCTGCTGCTATTCAGCACTCCCAACAAATTCAAATGAGTGCAATCATTAACCATGACTTTTAAAGCAATAAGGGGGGTTTCATTCTTCTCGTTGAGCATGCAGAGCAAGGAACTTTAGAATGGAAAAGGAAAGAAGAGAGCAGACTGTTCTGTGAACCCAACCTCAGTATCAAGATCTGAAGAAGAATCAGTGGTGGAGCTCGTCGACCTGGTGAGCATGGTGGTTGCGAATGAGATTGAGCCGTTGAAATCCTGATTCCTCAACATCCCAACTCTGGCATTCAATGGCCGCAGCCCCAGAGGCCACCCTTCTTCCTGCGAAACGAGCCGTTGAATGCCCGGTCAGAACCCAGAAGAAGAAATCAGTTTTGTGATTCTTCGCACATAATGAAAAAACGAAATAGTGAAGGTGACTCACTTGCTGCTCTTGCTGTTGTCGAGCCATGAAGATTGGCTACTAGTAGTCAGAGAAGGGTGCAGCTATTTGGGTTCACTTCTAAGAGAAATCAACGCCCTCAGTCCTCAGATCACATGCCTGCAGCGGGAGCTGATGCTTTCCTTCCTTCCTTCGCCCCCTTTTTGAAGAAGAATGGCATTCAGCAGGAGAAGGAGACAGTGAGAGAGATAATTATGGAACCAAAGGGATGGATGGCGTCTTGCACTCTTGCCCATTTGTTCTCTCCAGCTTATTATAGCGCCATTTTCTTTTATTTTTTCCACGAAGGCAGTAGGTTAGGTATGGACAAGAGAGGTGGGGTTATTCCTCTTCTGTGGAAAGTTTAAAAGAGGAACATGGATTGGAGACAATGACTGGCCCTTCCATAAAACAGGAGAGGAAGCCCACTTTCTTTTTTTTTCCACGGACCAAAGTGCACGTCCCCAAAGACCAAAGTTCCGCCATTTTTGCCTCTTTCTTATCCCTTCCATACCAATGAATCCCTAAGATGGAATACAAATTGTGAGATACTGTTATGGAATAGTGAAGAATGCATAGCGACTTGGTCTCTAATGCACAATAGACTTGTCAAGTATAGCTTCACGAGTTCTGATTTTGGGTAATAACTTATCTGAAGTACGTACCTAAGTAAGACTTCCACACAAGTGAAAACTTGTAGGGATAATTCCCTAAATACATATAAAAGTAAAACAAATTCCTAAACTACAACACTTATAAAAAAATTTCCCAAAATACTTAAGTTTGGAGTGGTTCGAGTTCGAGAAACTCGAACTACTAACCGGTTCGAGTGTAGGAGACTCGATCTAGTCGTAGATCGATGATATAAGTCTCGAACCATGTGGGGCTGTCCTTTGAAATTTCCAACAACCTTGATTTTGTGCTCGGTTATCCGATCGTAGCAAACTTTTTTTTTCATTTCGCATAACTTTTCGAGGACTACAACTTTTATAATAGAAATATTTTCAGAATATATATGAAAATGTGAAAATTAAAGTTAAAGTTACTCCCAAAACCCCTTATATTAAAAATTATTCCTATTTTGAAAATTTATTCCTAGTAAAAAAAAAAAAACATTGCGACGTTTGGATTACGGAGCAATAAGTTATGATTCTCTAAAGTTTGGCAAAATCGAAAAATTGCTCCTTTAGGGGTAACAAATGACATTTTCTCGGGGCGAAGGCACAGGAAATTGTTTTATATATAAGAAATTTCTGCCAAAAGAACAATAGTTTTGCAAACGAGAAATTTTTGGATGGCTATCTTCCTTGAAAACGTCATTGGCTACCCATAAACGAGCAAATTTTCGAATTTGTCAAACTTTGGAGGATCATAACTTTGTGCTCCGCAATCCGAACGTCGCAAAGTTTTTTTTTTTATTTTGCATAATTTTGAGTACTACAACATTTACTAGGAATAAATTTTCAAAATAGGAATAGTTTTTAATATAAGGGGTTTTGGGAGTAACTTTAACTTTAATTTTCACATTTTCACATATATTCTGAAAATATTTCTATTATAAAAGTTGTAGTCCTCGAAAAGTTATGCCAAATGAAAAAAAAGTTTGCTACGATCGGATAACCGAACACAAAGTTAAGGTGGTTGGAAATTTCAAAGTAGTGGTTCAAGTTCACTGAACTCGAACCACTTCAGCCCCACATGGTTCGAGGCTTATATCATCGATCTACGACTAGATCAAGTCTCCTACACTTGAACCGGTTAGTAGTTCGAGTTTCTCAAACTCGAACCACTCCAAACTTAGGTATGTTGGGAAATTTTTTTATAAATGTGGTAGTTTAGGAATTTGTTTTAATTTTATGTGTATTTAGGGAATTATCCTAAACTTGTAAAACATAGTGACTCGAGCAAGTTAGATGCATGTGATGGATACTTGTTCATTGTTATACAGACAATGCTAATGGCAACTGGCAGGTAAGGTAACTTCTGCACAAGAGCACTGACCTTGTCCGCATGATCTGTCTGACAAAAGACCCAACCAAAGATATGCCCTTCTGCCTTTGCCTTCCGCTGCATACATACTCCCACTTTAACTTTAGTGTCCTTTTTCAGGTGCCGGCTTTTGCACCTTTCATCTTCACTTTCTCTTTTTCCCGACACCCCATCGTACAAAATTTACTACATGTATTCATTCTGTTAGCAACAAGAGTTGCTGTTACTCCTTACTCGAGGAGCCACTTAAACGTATACAAGTTGTAGACGTATCAAAACCTCCTCTCTTTTTGGATCTTTTGTGTTACTGCTCTCTGTTAAAGAAACTCAAGAACAATGTTCCACGTTACAGGATGATTGAAGTAACTTTGTTGACCAGTCGTTGAGAAAAGGTGACTAAGTTTGCTGTTGGAGAGATTGGCCTGCCCCGGGACGATACTCTCCAATTCCAAGCAGGTCCTGCAAGATTTTAGCAGGTAAAAGACGGGTTAGAATGAATGTTAACAAAGTAAAAGCTTCATCATGATGATCGATGCTAAAGGTTGGGGGTGGGCGACCAGCAGTGAGGGGAACAGAGTGATTGACAATGGCTTCCCATCAAAAACGGAGAAATTAACATGTAAGTCTGAAAAGGATAATTCTAATGTTAATATAGTTCACCCAAAGCGTGTGGTCTCCAATTTCTCTAGGATATAGCTTTACCAAGAGAAGAACTTATAGATCAGATTCAGACAATGCAACTGCAAGGAAGGTTGATTGAAGATAACATGGGCACAAATGAACGACTATATCAAATATCCACCAATTCAAGTTACCACGGTGTGGGGAAGGGAACTTCCTAGAGAAAAGAACAAGAAAATCATTGACTGGGAATTGACAACTACAAAAGCTTGTGAGAATAGATTCTCTATTTGTGGAAGTAGTTTCTGGTGATTCTCCAATAAACTGCCAACAGTAGCTAGGATTGATTAAACGGGAAAGCAAATCATCCTCACAGTGTGGAGAAGGGAACTTCCTACTTGAGGCAAACTATCAATTCCAATGTTAATCAATGCATAGTTCACCCACAGCATTGTTGTCTCCAATTCTCTAGGAAATAGCTTACCGAGAGAAGTACCACAGATTAGATTCAAATAAATGACAGATGACATGAACTATTATATCTAGTATCCACCAATTCAAGTGTCAACATATTGCTATTGGTGCATTGTACTAGAAAGAATCTCTCTCGACTCTCAGTAACTGAAGCACATACGATGAAAATCAAGTCTGAATAATGAGAATTTCTGCGATGAAATGAATCTTGACAAGTTAGGCTCATGGAATTTGTAGGTTTTGAGAGCTCAAAGATAAGCAGGTTGAACCACGTGATTGACAAAATCACCTGTTCCCATGCATGTTTGCAATTCAACAACTAGCGAATTCTCAAGTGGGTGGGGAAAGAGAAGAAATGGGAAATCACCTGGCAAGCTTTGTTCTTTGCCCGAGTTTCTGCTGTGCTAGGGATGTCATGGTTTGGTTTGAAGAACCGCTTCTCACGCTTCTCACATGAGCCCCATCCATCAGAGAACCTTCCACCCCTGACAACAAAGAGAAGCTAAGTGGCAGTAGAATCACGAACAAAGGGAAAGAGTGCACAAGGGCGCATATTGGATTCAGAGAGTCGTGGCGGGAAGCCTACTGCATATGAGCTCGAACGACAAACTCAGCTCGCTGGACATTTCGATTTTCGTCGAATTCTATGCTCTTATCTTTGATTTCGAATGACAGATTGAAGAAACACGATATCTTCCTCCAACCTAGAGAAGCCCCCTCGCCATGAACTTAGTATCCCATCAATCAGTTAATCCAATGGAAGGACAAGAGCAAACGGAAGAATTGTTAACTCACCTGACTTCTTAATGAACGGGTGTCCTGAAATCGTCATGTAATCAGACTTCTCCAGAATCTATTTCATTGAATTGAAAGTCATCTAATCTCATAGGCATTTTGTCGAATAGGAGATGAGCATAACCCTAAAACCCTAATTAAGTGCACAACAGCAGACATTTATTGAAGATTCAGGTGAGAGTGAGTACCGCCATTGCCGCATTCTGGTAGTCCTTGAACAGCGAAACCGAAGGGAACTTCAAATTCAAGCAATGCCGCACAAGATCCTTCTCCTCGCCGTGCTGCTGCCGGAAGTAGCTCCCCGGGGACACGTCAGATCTGTCATCACCAAAATCATTCACGACATACCTTCCGATCTGAGGCGACAAGTACGCCTCCGGAGAGGAGTACGCCATCGTGGTAGCAATCGGCGTCCTGACCACAGCGAGCGGACTCGTACCCTCGCTCGCCTCGGAGGCACAGGTTCTGGCCATCTTCTGAGGCCTGCTGCGATAGGGATCCGAGTAAGGGGAAACGGCATTGGAGTTGCACTTGGAACTCTGTGGGGTCTTCGAAGGCGGCGGCGGCGAGCGCTTTGAGATCGGGGAGTGGAAGCTGCGTTGTTTGACGGTGGTGAGCTGCTTGCGGGATGCGGAAGGGGAGTGGGAGGCTTCGGCGGAGTCGATCACTGCCCAGAGTGCGGCATCGTCGAAGTCCTTGTCGTCGATTGTGTAGGAGACAGGCGACTTCATCTGTAATACCTCGGGTTGGCGATTTGGTGAGCCTTGCCGGCGGCGGTATTGTTTTGTGGTGGAGATGAAAAGGCGGGATCGGCTAATTCAAGGAAATTCAAATCTGGCTGTAACCTGTAAGCTGGTTTTGAAGCGTTCTGATTATCGCCCAGCCCATTACGCTGTTGGGCCGTTGGTGGCCCAAATAGAGGTGGATCCGATAGCCCACAGGCTTGGCGGGTGAACCCAAGATTTGTTGTTGGAATCTCCGGCGAGGTTGGTGTATGAATTGATAGGGGAAATTTCAGCTGAGGCCGACGAGCTGGAGCTGCTTAGTGCTCGTCTTCCGAGTTCTCACCTGATCAATTAGCGGCTAATTTGTTCTCCAGCTCCTCGAAATGGCGAACCCAATGTTTCGAGCTTGGCTTCTCTGGTGGAGAAAGTGGGGGAAGAAGGAGTGGGCCATCGCCGCCGTCGGTTTCGCGGCCGTACTCTTCACGTTGACCCTACTGATCGAATCGGGAACAGAGGATCCATCGGCGATTGGCAACCGACCACTCGATCTGCCCATCAGCGCCGACGATCCAGTGGAATTGACATTGCTGCGGAATGCCAAGGATAGAGGCGCATGTACAAATTCGATTCACTTTCTATTTTCTACTCTCCTTTTGCTTCATCCTATGAGCTCCGTGAGTTGATACTCTCTAGTCTCTTCAAATTTTCCGATCAATTACACGAAATAGTTTGTTTGGACGGGAGCTTGCCGGGTTACCACTTCGAGAAGGGTTTCGGGTCCGGATCCAACAAGTGGGTGATTCATATTGAAGGTGGAGGTTGGTGCAATACAATCGAGTCGTGTTCGTATCGTTCCAGAACGGCGTTGGGTTCCTCCAAGTTCATGGACCGCCAAGTCATCTTCGCCGGAATGTTAAGCCGTGACCCCTCCCAAAACCCTGGTAATAACTTCATTCTTGCTTTCCTGTACATTTTTCTGTACACGAGTTCAGTTTTCATTAGCAAAATGATAGTCTTTCTGAAGCTCGGCCATATCTAACTTTGTTGCAGACTTTTACAACTGGAACAGGATCAAGATTCGGTACTGCGATGGTGCATCTCTGGCTGGTCACCCTGAAAGCGAGTTCAAGGTAACAACTTTTTCAAGGTTCTCTGAGTTTGGGATTTGCTCAAGAAAATTGAACGAGTGGGTTTCAGCTCAAATTGTTTAAAACGTTGTTTTACACTTCTTTGTATTGTAGAATGGAACGAAACTCTTTTTTAGAGGACAGCTCATTTGGGAAGCCATTATGGATGAACTCTTATCAATGGGCATGGCCAAGGCTAAGCAGGTGGTTTTCTTTCAGTCATATAATCTGTCTGTGAAGGACGTTTGTTTTGAAGATTGTTTTCTTTAGCAGCAGCTATTCTTGCTCTATAGTTTTATTACCGGGTTTCTTACGCTTTTTGTACTTGAAACTTTGCAGGCTTTTCTTACAGGATGCTCTGCTGGAGGATTGGCAACTCTGATCCATTGTGATGACTTCCGCCACCTTTTGCCGAAGTACACGACTGTGAAGTGCCTTGCTGATGCAGGTTTTTTCCTCGATGAGTATGTTCGTATATACTAACCACAAACAATTGAAACTTCTTAGCTGGTTGCTTGTGGATGTTAAGCTTTTTTTGGGTGTTGTGTCCAAGTCAAGGCGTGAATTGCTGAGTATTAGATATAGGAGCGTGGTTTGCTTGTGTTTTGCGAGTTTTCTTGAGCTGTCTGTTCAGTATGTAAGAAGCTGACGAGATGCTTGTTGTCTTTCTCACATTTCAGGAAGGACGTTGGTGGACATTACACCATGAGATCTTTCTATCAAGACGTTTTGCTCCTTCAGGTTCTTGCCCCATCTTCCTCCATCTAAAATTTCACTAAATTATGCTAAATAGTTTGGCCTTTCCAAGTTGGTACAACCAAAACTGTAGACAAAGTCCTGCTCAGCTACCATCTGACATTTGCATTTTCAGGATGTCCCATTTTAAACCTTTTTATTGATCTATAAATAAGTGCGGTTGCCTTTGTTTCTTGCATCGTTTATTGGTAGGGTGTGGACAAAAGTTTGCACAAGAACTGTGTATCCAAGACCGACCCATCTCAGGTAGAAACGCTTACTGCTTCACCTCATCACTTATTGTATTAGCTGGAGTCTAAATCGTCCAGAAGGAACAATAATGCTTTACTTTTCATGGGCAGTGCTTATTTCCTCGAGAAATCATAAAAAACACGAGGACACCGATTTTCCTTGTCCACCCTGGTTATGATTTTTGGCAGGTAGGTTCATCTTTCTTGCTGCATCCAACTTGTGAGTTATCTCTTAATTTCCATAGGCATTCATCTCTAATCTGGTACTGATATAGTGGTAGGATGGTCCTTAGATACGGAACATTTTGGTTCCGGATGTATCAGATCCTAGCGGACATTGGCGGAAATGCAGACAGGGTCTTCAGTACTGTAATTCCACCCAGATTGAAATACTACAAGGTAGTCAAGTATCAAACTTCGACATCATTATTCATTTGTATATCTTAAACGTACCAGAGTTTGATCGAACTATGTTATTGTAAACTTAGGGAGCCTGTCCATAATACAGATCTTGACAGGCTTTGTTTATGTTCTGTATCCATGTTCAGGTTTCCGTACATCGCTCCTGAATGCGTTGGATGAGTTCAAGCAAAACAAGGAAGGCGGATACTTCATAAATTCGTGCTTCATCCATTGCCAAACGTGGTCTTCTCCTGCGTGGCATTCACCCTCTTCTCCAAGAATCAACAATAAGGTGACAAAGAATTTTACTATCTTACATGTCCATTTCACCACGACCATTTTATCAGAACTTGAATTTTCTGTTACTAGTGGTTCCTGAACAAATGCTTTCAACAGACGATTGCAGAATCAGTTGGCGATTGGTACTTTGACCGACAAGAAGTGAAGCAAATCGACTGCCCTTATCCCTGCAACCCTACTTGCCACAACATGGATTTCGCTCAACTTTGACCTTATAAGTCCCATGATGGCATTAAACTTCCTGTTTATTTGTACAATGTTTGATAATTCCAGCTCTATTCTCTCTATGCCAATAGACTTGTACATTTATACTCTTTCTGTACAATTCTAGACTGAACGAACTGTCTTCTAGTGTTAATACAACTGGAACACTCTACTATTCAAAAGTGGCAATTCTATCACGAATTATTCAATAGGACAATCTTAGTACAACATATGTGAGTGTCATGAGTGAACCGATTCACATTGTTTGCTTCTGTCTGAAGAGAACCAAATTTTGTGCGCGTAAAATTCAAGCGATCCAAGTTGCTTCACGCTAGAGGATGTGATTGGTTCTAGGTCATGCACAGATTGCTTCCATAGGCCACAATCCACATGTTGATTGATGCCTATTGTTGCAATTAAGCCCTAAAACCCTGCTAAAGTAATTACAAGCTACACACGACCATCAGACTTGTCGAGCAATCCTTCATATTGAATTTCAGAATCAACATGTTTATTACAAACATAAAAATCATTTGTGAGCTCCATCTTCACTCAACACCTGAATAGGCCCTGGATAATTGCGCCTTTCATGTCCTTCAACTCATTATGTTGAGTACCGCTTCCGAACTCGTCGGGGTAGCGTTGATCTATCCATCTCATTAGAAATTTTGTTTACTCTCTATCTACCTTTGTTGCGCTTCCTATGCTCAGGAGGGAATACCTCAGTTCCATGGTATTTAGGCCAATAAGCTTCATGAGCTAAAGGTACAAACGAGAGTTCTAAAGCCTTGATCACTGAATGAGTCTTGTACTTCATGTGCTTTTTTTTACTGTGACATAGGCAGGTGCCTTTCTTGAAACTTTTCACAACTGCATTCCCCTGTTCCCTCTGAGTATTAAATATGAAATTTTAAAGTTACCTCCTTTCGTGTTGTTGTCTGACTTGCGATTTCTATTGCAAATACCTCATCTCATCTGTTGAACAAAGTACCCTAGGTGAGTTGGAACTTTTATTCCATGGATCCATGTCCTTTGTGATAGTTTATGGGTTAATAAATCAATCGTCAAGAATCATCGTGGCCCTTTTGTGTTGCTAAATGAACTACTCAACGATCCTGAAGTAGATGCGCAATATGAGTGCTTATATTGGCATTGCATGGAGGCAAATATACAAACCATTGAGGCTCTCACCCATGTTCATCATTGTGATGTCATATATATACTCTCCATCTTGGTGTAATATCCACTTCTCGAAATCATGACTATCAAACAAGTCAATCCGCATATTTCGGATGGTGGGATCTTATATTCTTCATCTTCTCATCATGCTTTTAGGTAAGGATTAAAAATTGTATCGTACTGGCGGTTCAACTGCTAAAAATTGATACCTGATCCAAAACCAGAACGGTATGATCAAAGGAGGCAAAAAAACTTGTGTCACTCAGTTTTTAGCTATTGAACCACCCTGCCGCAATATTCTTGCCGATTTAAATCATACTGGGCAGTCCGGGGGGAAAAATAGTTCTCCAACTTCCAGACGATGTCATTTAATCACATTAGCGACAAAAGGCCAAACCCTAATCGTTCACAACCACTCAATCATCCCACTAAACACCCATCTTCAATTTTGTACCATTTATCGTCCTCTTGTTCAATAGAGCAGTTGCTGCTCTAGTGCTCTGAGCAAAGCCACAAACCACCATACCTCTCGTCTACCGACGACCTGCAAAACATTAAGGCCAACCTGACACAACTTCCCACGCTCGCCATTACTACTTTGTCAATCGAGCGACTACGAGCCAGACTCCACCCGTTTCTGCGCCTCTCCCGCTCGCCTACGTTTGTTTGTCGTACGCCATTGTCATCCATTGTTGTCGTCTGTCCTTAGGTACCCATCTCGACCATCGATAAAAAAGAAGGATTCATTAACAATATGTACAACAATGAGACGAAGGATTCAAATCTTAAAAACAAAGAGAAAGTAGGGATGAGGGATGAGGGATGAGGGAACCTATATGTAGTATGTAGTTATTTACAATAGTATTTGAGTGGGACGGGAAAGAAAAATTGGTGTAAATTAATACACAACTTATGCTGTATTGTGGTGATACTTTGAATGTTGTAATGTGATATTTTGTAAACATTTTTTTTTTGTTTTTCTAAAACTCTTTAGTAAATATATAATATGGTATTTGCTTTAAATTTAAGGTCATCCACATCAATGATGTTTAACCAAATGCAAATCCTAAATGACATTTAATATTGCAATACAAAGGAATTGCACTAATTCAGTGGACATTCAAGAATGCAAGGCGACTGATCCGGATGATGGGGGACTAGAAAGTACTAGGCGGGTTTGCGGAACTAGCAAGGCGACTGATCCGGATGATGGGGGACTCCAAGCTCCTGCAAAACAAGGGTCCTTGGGTGATCACCCAGGACACCCTCCAAAGCTCAAGTTAGAGAGAGAGAGAATCTTATAGTAATGTTTAGAGAGAGAGGGAGTAGTTGGTTTACCATCAATGCAGATATGAATGTATTTATAGTGGTTTGGGCTGGGCTTCGAGCATTAATGACCATGTCAGGCGCCCTATACCTTGTCTTACTTTATTTAGACCGCCTACGGCGGCAATTAATGCTTAGTCCTGCAGTATTCGAGGTGAGTATCCTAGGAAGATCTCCCATTATGCCCCTAACGGCTCTTTGTGTCAGGCGTCCTAGTACCTGTCATGTCCTAGTATGGCCGCCTTCCTTTATCTGTTTTCTTGTGTGTTACGTTCCCCAGACGTCTTCTTGGGCCCTTTGGACGGGCCTTACCCTTCTGGGCTTCCAAGCCCTATATTGCTCAGCTATGGCCCAACAATTGCCCCTTAGTCGTGAAAAGCTAAGGATTTTGGCGGCTACTTTATGTCCTTTGATAGCTGAGCGGTCCTTTCATTAGCAGCTGTCTACCCTTTTGCCCCCTGGCCGACGCAGATCCGTGATTTTCTGGTCGACAGCCTCCTATAATGAGTTGCGTTGTTCAACTGCGCTGTCCACCCCTCTTCTGCAGGTTGAGCTGTCCACCCCCTTTTTGGTCGTCCTCTTTCCTTGTTGATTCGGGCTTTCGGGTCGTTCGTATTTTTAGCGGTTGAGCTGTTCACCCCTTTTTGTTCGCTACTCCTGAGCATCCATCTGGAAGACTTCCAAGCCACCCATTGTGGGCTTTTAAGCGGTTTCGCTGTCCACCTCCTCTTGACCTTCAGCTTGTTAGCTTGTCCCCTGATAGCCGCTTGTCGATTGGCCTTCCACGCCTCGCTATGCCGCCCATAAGTCGCGCCACGTGTCTGGTCTCGGCTTTCGTGCTCTGACAGCGGGCAACTTTACGTCCAATCACCTGCCCGCAATTTGAATTAAATAGAGTAGGGTTTGCCCTAGGTCTCTTCAACCATCGCTTCGCTGCCCCTTTCCTTGCATATTTATATCTCTTTCTTCTTCTTCCTCCTCGTTTTCCTTCTCCCATTATCTCACTTCTTTCCCGATTCTCTCGTCAAAATTGCTCGGTGCTCTCGTTTTTCCCTGTCTTCCTATCTCCGAGACAACTCTTCTTTGTCTCCGCCGAGAGCAGCTTTCCTCGTTAAACTCCGACAACGTCAGAAACGTGAGAAAAGAAAACTTCGAAGGCAGATGGCAATCGAATCGCAAAGTACTAGTCATTCCGATAGCCAAAATCGGAACCTCTCCGGCGACGTCGTCACCGTCACAACTTCCAGTGACCTCGCGGTTACTGCTTCCGGCGACGCTCGCACTTCCAGTGCCGGCGGCAGCGTTCCTCGGTCCTCGAAGTCAGGAGGAGGATCTGGCGGAGCGCCCTCTGGCAACCGGCAAGTGAATCCAGGTAACTTTAGACTCTACCTTTGCACGGTTTATTCATAGACTTAGGACTTAGAATTGACATCACTCGCACGGCGTGAGGTGTACTTAGACGGTCTTCGTTATGACCTTTTAGGGGTAGAACTGGACACGGCTTTTGACGTGGGAACGTCGGGCGGACGACGTGGAGCGTCTTCCTTGGTTGGGGACAACCTCGGCGACTTTGAATATTCGGAGGCGGAGAGTGAACCGCCTGCTAACGTTACCTCCCTCGATCCTCATGGTGATGACCACACGGACCGCCCCGGGGACGCCGAAAAGGAGTTGTCCCCATCGCTAACTATATCTGACGCTCTGCCGGTGGGCGCTTTCCAGGCCGTCCGCGACACCACCTACCGCGTACGGTTACACGCGGACATGTGGGAGGGGGAGCCCGTGCCGTCAAGCGCATACGAGCAGGGACCGCCTAACGAGGCTGCATACAACCCCCGGCAAGTTCTACGGCAGCTAAAAACGCATCGCCTTCCCACCGACTGGGATTATGCGGCCCCTTCTCCGGTTGGGCGGTCAGGTTCTTGTCCGGGTGGGTGGATTCCCATACACGTGGAGCACCTTCGGATGGGCCTGACTTTTCCCATCGACCCTATCCTTACCCGGACGCTCCTTTTTCTGAACTGCACGCTGGGCCGCTTGTCTCCTGGTATAATTTTTCATTCGATTGCCTTTAGAGCGGCCTGTGCCAAGGCAGGCGAGACGCCCTCTTTTGACGCGTTTCGCCAGCTGTACAAGATGAGGGGCTCCGAGAATTGCTGGTCCTGCTACCGTCGCGAGTCGCAGGTTGGGATCGTTAGCGGGGCGCCTAAGTTGGATTCCCCTTGGTTTAAGGAATACTTCTTTGCTCGTCCTGCGGGTAAGTGGTACTCTGGAGAGGTTGAACCGCCCACAGGCTTTGCGTCTGGAGACAAGAAGGATTGGAACACCGATACTGACGGTCTTGGTCTTGTCAAACCTTTGTTGAAGCGGCTCACGAATGCTTTTCAAATTCGTCTCCCCCCAAAGGGGGACGATAATGCCTTGGACATTATTCGCCGTTTTCACGGTTAGTTGCTTTACTTTCTGTATTAAGTGGTCCTCTCACGCCTTTTGTCTTTAACTTGGTTCGTTCTTCAGGTACGCGACGGTATGCGTCTTCCGCACGACCGCCGAAGCCTGGAACCAATGCTCCTGCCTCCCCTGCTGCTGCGGCTGTTCGCCCTGTCCCGGCGGTTTCTCAACTTCCCCCGTCTCAGAAGCAGCTTGTGGCTAGTCAAACGGGGGTGCTGAGACTGTCTGAGCCTGTTCTGCCGAGGACGTCAGCCAAACGGGCCCTTGACATCACGACCTCAAAGGATTTGAGGGCGACCGCTGGAGAGCCTCGGTTGAAGGGAGTGCTCGCCGAGAGCTCTACTCCGTTAGACGCCTACGTTGCGACTAAGAGACTGAAGAGAACATCTGTTGATACCTCCGTCTCTTTTTCGTCGCAAGCGTCTCTGTACCCAGCGGCTGCCAAACGTGCAATGCACGTTATATCGGAAGGTCTGGCGGTCCCTAGTGACTTCACCCCAACTGCTGGAACTCCTGTGCTGACTTCTGATACAAAGCGCCTGGCGGCCACTACGTCACGTCTGTTCTTTGCGGTACGACGATCTCCCTTTTTTTTTTTTTTTTTTTTTTTGCTATCCTTGTGTTTAACTCTTTTTCTTTGTACAGACCCAATTTGGTTTGAACCAGCTTATGCTGGAAAATGACCGCCTGGAGAGCAGATTGCTGGACGCTCAGACACAGGTGTTGAAGCTGGAAGACCAACTCAAGGAGGGCCGCGAGGGGGTAAGGGCGGAAGTGCGGGAGGACATCTTGAAGGAGCAGGAGCAGGCGATGAAGGAGAAGGATGCCCAGATCGAGGCGGGCAAGGAGTTGACTAAGAAGATGGAAGCGGACGCGGAACGCCTCCGGTCCGATCTGAATGAGTCTCTGGCTCGAGAAAGCGCCCTGCAGGTTGAGCTGTCTAACCTCCGATCAGAAAAGTCTGATCTGCAAGATGCTCATGAGGCCGCCTTACTGAGGGCCGCTCAGGAAGCTAGGGACACCTTCTGGACCTCCGATGACTTTCGCATTGCTGATGATGCGAAGTACAAGAAGTTGCTCCGCGACACAGTGGCTGCCATTCGTCATTGGTTCCGCCGTGAGTATCCGGAGGTGGTGTGGGACACCAACTCGATATGGGACGCGGTCGAGTTTTGGAGCGACGAGGACGTGAACTCCGAGTACGTTGCGACGCCCCCTCTGGAGAATGCAGCAACCACTGTGGTCGAATCTGCGGAGACCGCGAGGGATGGCGAGACCGCGGGGAATGTAGAAGTCGCCGAGGGTGCCAGGGAGGAGGTCCATGATGACGAAGTTTGAAGAAGAAACCGCCTGATTACCTTGTCTTTTTTACTTGCTTTGTAATCGTTTTAATTTCCTGGTGTAGTAAACTAAATCTGCCTTGGGCAGTGAATATTTTGGGCGTTTTCTGGAATGCCTGTTATGGATGCTTTTATTTACTTGTGTTCTTTGAGGTCCGGGCCTTTTTGCTTTAGGGCGGTTGCGTTTGTGCTTCGAAGCGATTAGGTTTGAACCTCTTGCTTTGAAGCGGTTGGCTGTGCTTTTTGCTCGAGGGCGGATGAGCACGATATAGCCTAAAATGACGTTTTAAGCTCTGAGGCGGTTAGACGTTTATCATAAATACATCACAATTTGGGCAAATTGGGTGCTCAGTGGCACTTTCATAACTTGTGTTTTACACGGGAAGCTTTTTCCCCAAAAGTGGACGCTCTACAATTGAGTGCCCATATAAGACTCTGCGGTCAGTTGGATTTTCGTTCATCACTCGAAGTATTTTTTCAGGTGGATGGCATTCCAGGTCTTTTTAAGCGGTTTCCCCTCCATTGTTGCTAGCACATATGTTGCTGCTCCTAACTTCTCCCCTACTAGGTAGGGGCCTTCCCATGCGGCTGCTAACTTGCCGTGTCCTTCTTTCTGCTTGAAATTCCTCTTCAGAACCAGGTCGCCCTCCTCCAACGGTCTTGGCTTTACTTTGGCGTTGTATGCCGTGGCCACCTTCATCTTTTCCTCTAAGGTTCTGACCAGAGCCGCGTCCCTCCTTGTCTCGATCATGTCCAATTGGTGAAGCAGCTTCTTGTGGTTGTCCTCAGAGTCGTAAGACTGGACGCGGAGTGAAGGTAGTACTAACTCTGTTGGCGCGACCGCCTCCGCACCATATGTCAGAGCAAATGGTGTCTCGCCAGTAGCTTGCTTGTAGTTTGTCCTGTGAGCCCACAAGACATGAGGTAGCTCTGCGGTCCACCCCCCTTTTGCTTCTTTCAATCTTCGTTTCAGTCCTCGAAGGATTAGCTTATTGGATGATTCGACTTGCCCATTCGCCTGAGGGAACGCCACGGATGCCATCTTGCACACGATGCGGTTCTTTGCACAGAAGTTTTCGAACGGTCTGCAGTCAAACTGCGTGCCATGGTCAGTTATAATCGTATGAGGCGTGCCAAACCTGATCATGATGTTGTTGAACAAAAACTTCTGGATCTTGGCGCTGGTGATTGTATCGAGCGGTTCGGCTTCAATCCATTTCGTGAAGTAATCGACCGCAACGACCAAATACTTCTTGCCCAGCGGAGCTGTAGGAAATGGTCCGAGGAGATCTAGGCCCCATTGTGCGAATGGCCAAGGCCCCGTGATGCTTCTGAGCTGTTCGCTGGGCAAGTGCTGTTTGTTAGCGTGGATCTGACATTCATGACATTTCTTGACCGCCTCCATCGCATCCTTCTTGACTGTCGGCCAGTAGTACCCCTGCAGCAGTATTGTTCGTTCGAGACTCCGCGGTCCGGAATGCGTCGCACAAGTTCCCTGGTGGATTTCTTTGACCACCCATTTGGCTTCCTCAGGACCTAGGCATTTCAGATATGCCCCCGAGAATGATCTCTTGCATAGCTGTCCCTCTATCATGGTATAATGGGCTGCCTTTCGTCGTAGCGCCTTGGCTAGGAGTGCCTCTTCGGGGACGATATCACTTTGCAGGTAGCCGATCAGAGGAGACCGCCAGTCTTGACTTTCCTCGTTAAGGACCATTACCTCATAGGTTGGAGCCGCTTCTTTAGTCACTGTAATCTGTCGCTCCCCTTCGAAGTCCATGGCGGTTGCCAGTTTGGACAGGGCGTCAGCGTGATGGTTATCTTCCCTCTTCACATGCTCCAACTTCCAGGAGTCTAGCTGTGATAGAATCCCTCTGACCGCTCCAACCAACTTGGTGAACGCCTCCTCTTTAACTTCGTAACTTTCCAGCACTTGATTTACTACCAACAATGAATCGGAGTGAATATGTAAGTTCGATGCCCCCATGCTGACCGCTATCTTCAACCCACTGAGGAGCGCTTCGTACTCCGCCACGTTGTTGGTTTTTAATTCCAGGAAGCGGTGAGATATCTCATGTATTACACCTGTGGGCGTCTCGATTACTATCCCTGCTCCAGCTCCTCCTTTTCCTGCCGCCCCATCCACGAACAGGCGCCAAGCTTCGTTCTCTTCTTTTTCGTCACTAAGACTAAAGCCCTCCGCGATGAAGTCTGCCAGCACTTGCCCCTTGATGGAGGGGCGCGGAGCGTATGTAACATCATACTCGCTGAGCTCAACGGCCCACTTGGTCATTCGTCCCGACACGTCCATGCCCTTTAGTATTCTTCTTAACGGGAGGTTCGAGAGAATGACTATGGGGTGCTCCTGGAAGTAGGGACGGAGCTTCCTAGCGGCCGTTACCACGGCTAAGACTGCTCTCTCTATTGGCATGTAGCGCCGCTCAGCTGGGAGGAGCGCTTTGCTCACATAATATACAGGATGGTCTGAGCCATCAGTATCTCTCCTGACTAGGACTGAACTGACCGCCTGATCTGACACCGCCAGGTAAAGATACAACGGCTCCCCTTGTTTCGGGGCGCTTAGCACGGGTGGAGAGGTGAGCTGTTCCGTTAGCTGAAAGAACGCTTTATCACACTCCGCGCTCCATTGTGAACGCGACGCTGACTTTTTGAGCATCTGGAAAAAAGGGGAACATTTGTCTGCAGATCTTGGAATGAAGCGACTCAGAGCGGCCATTTTTCCATTGAATGCCTGAATCTCCTTGACTGTCTGGGGCGGCCTCAAACTCGTGATGGCTTCTATCTGCTTTGGGTTAGCCTCAATCCCTCTCCTGGTTATCATGAAACCAAGGAACTTTCCTGCTTTGGCGCCAAACACGCATTTGAGGGGGTTCAGCCGCAGACCTTCCTTTCTCAAGCTCTCGAAAGTCTCCCTCAAGTCTTTCAGGTGGTTCCCTTCTTCCTTGCTTTTGACTAGAACATCATCTACATATGCTTCCACGTTTCGGCCAAGTTGGCTTTTGAAAACTGTATCTATCATCCTTTGGTATGTTGCCCCAGCATTTTTTAGGCCAAACGGCATGACTGTGTAGCAGAAGTTTCCCATGTGCGTCATAAACGCGGTCTTCTCTTGATCCTCCTCAGATAAGCGGATCTGGTGGTATCCTGAGAACATATCAAGGAAACTCAAGCTTTCATGGTTGGCGGTTGCATCAATGAGCTGGTCGATTCTCGGAAGAGGGTAAGCGTCTTTTGGACAGGCTGCATTTAGATTTGTGAAGTCGATGCACATTCGCCAGAGGCCGGAGGCTTTTCGAACAAAGACTGGGTTCGACAGCCAAGTTGGGTACTTGACCTCCCTTATAAAGCCGGCTTTAAGCAACCGCTTAACTTCTTCTTCCAACGCCATTTGCTTCTCCAGAGACGCGTTTCTTCTGCGCTGTTGCACTGGCTTCGCCTTACTTTTGACCGACAGACGATGCTCGGCGAGCTCTCTTGATACGCCCGGCATGTCTTCGGACGTCCACGCAAACAAGTCTTTGAATTCTTTGAGGAGTACTAGGAGCTCCCTTGCCTTTTCTTCCGCGAGATGAGAAGAAATCCTCACCTTTTTTGTTGGCTCTTCGCTGTCCAATACTACCTCAGCATCCCCTTCCACCGCCTCTGGACGAGGGTGACCGCCTCTGGTGTCCACTAAGTCTACCTCCAAACTTTCTATGGTTGCTTGATAGCATTCTTTTGCTTGTTCAGTGTTTCCTTTGGCTTGCCCAATGCGCCCTCCTACTGGGAACTTGAGCGTTTGGTGGCACGTGGATGGGACCGCTGAGAATAGTGACAAGAAACCACGCCCCAGGATTGCATTGTATGCTGATGGGCAGTCTGCTACGTGAAAATCCATGGAACGGGTCTTCGTTATGCTCCCCTCTCCGATTGTTACCTGTAGTGTGATCAGACCTAACACTCTGATTTTGGACCCTGAAAACCCTACGAGGCTGGTGGAAGAAGGTTTGAGATCTTGAACGCTCATCTTCATGCTTTTGAGCGTGGAATAGAACAGTATGTCCGCCGAACTACCGTTGTCCACTAGCGCCCTGGTGATCTTGAACTTTCTCGTTCGTAAGGAGATGACCAGCGGGTCCTCCGCGCTTTCTTCAGGGGCCAGCTCATCAGGTGAGAAGCTGATATCCACCTGTTCGCTCTTGTGAACGTTCAGGCATTGGATTAGGCGCTCCCCTTCGCTTCTGGGCCTCTTCCGGCCGCCCGCAATGGTAATTACCTCAACGTCATCCTCATTAGCGCGCGGTTGTCGACGTGGAGGAGACCTTCTTGGTGGTGGCGGCAGGCGATCATGCATAGGCGAGCGTTCCCTTCTCTGCGACCTCGACCTATGCCGCTTCGGCGTGCGAGATCTCCTTCTCGGACTTGGAGACCTATTTCTGTGGTGCCTTTGCTCCTCCTTCTGCGGTCTCGTGTCCAAGCGGCTCTTGAGATCCCCGGGTGCTAAGTATTTGAGGCTTGCTTTGAATTCCCGACACTCCGTGGTGTCATGTGTGGGCATTTGGTGCCAGTCGCACCATTTTCGGTCATCTTCTCTCCTGTGCGTCTGGCGCGCACTGCTGTCATTTTGCCTCTCTCGACCTCTGTCTTGACTCGTGGTGTACACTTCCTTCCTGTTGTCTCGTTGCGCGAACCGCGGCTTATAACCTCTCCTTTCCGAAGAACGCCCTCTTCTCTTTGGCGATCCTCTCTTCCTTTCTGTTCTCTCTCTCGGGTTGGGGTGCTTGGCAGTTTCTTCAACTGCCATGGCTTCTTCTAACAGGATCGCCTTCCTCACAAGGCGGTCCAGATCGGTCCATTCTTTCAGCGAGTGCTCTTTTTTAATGAGCGCCCTTCGTAGCTCGCGGCTATGCGTCGACATGCGTAGGTTTCCCGCCGCTACATTTGGCGAGATCCCCTGTACCTCGCAGGCTATCGCGTTCCACCTATCGTAGAAGTCTGTAAGCAACTCCTCCCTTCCTTGCTTGCAATTGATGAGTGACGAGACCGTTAGCTTTCTCCTTCTCTGCGACGCGAACTTCGAAGAGAAAAGAGTCGCGAACTGCTCAAAATCCTCTATTATCCCTTCTGGGAGGGAGGTGTACCAGGTTCGGCAGTGACCGCTGAACGTGACGGGGAACGCCTTACACAGATCAGCGTCTGTGGCGTTGATGAGTTGCATTTTGAGCATGAACGCACTCAAATGATCGGCGGGATCTGAGCTTCCATCGTACGTTGGGAGCCCTAGTGACGAGAAGTTAGGGGGGACCTGGGTCCTGAACAAACTCCTGGCTAGTGGATTCTGCAGGATGTTGGGGCCCTTCACCTTCCCGTATGAGGGCTTGAGATGCTCTTCGAGGAATCCCAAGTGAAGGTCGTCCTCTTCTTTCTCCGACTCCCCGCCTTCTGTTGAGACGGGGCTGCTAGGACCGCCTTCCTTCCTCTTCCCTTTGACCGCCTTCCTTCCTGAGCTTTCGGGGGCGTCACTTTCCTTCTCCTTGAGCATCGCCAAAATTTGGATCAAGCTTTCTTGCATGCTCGATATTTGCTGTCCTTGGCTCTTTACGCGGTCCTCCATTTCCATTTCTTCTTCTACGGTTGGCATCTCCATACCTCGTATTCCGCTCGCTGGTGCGTCTGGTGCGCGAAGGGGACTTCTTTCCACTACGCCTTTGACGGGAGTATTGGAGCTCCCATCCATCTTTTCTTCAGTGCAATGCTAGCCCCACGGTGGGCGCCAAATTGTTTGAGCCTAGAAAGTACTAGGCGGGTTTGCGGAACTAGCAAGGCGACTGATCCGGATGATGGGGGACTCCAAGCTCCTGCAAAACAAGGGTCCTTGGGTGATCACCCAGGACACCCTCCAAAGCTCAAGTTAGAGAGAGAGAGAATCTTATAGTAATGTTTAGAGAGAGAGGGAGTAGTTGGTTTACCATCAATGCAGATATGAATGTATTTATAGTGGTTTGGGCTGGGCTTCGAGCATTAATGACCATGTCAGGCGCCCTATACCTTGTCTTACTTTATTTAGACCGCCTACGGCGGCAATTAATGCTTAGTCCTGCAGTATTCGAGGTGAGTATCCTAGGAAGATCTCCCATTATGCCCCTAACGGCTCTTTGTGTCAGGCGTCCTAGTACCTGTCATGTCCTAGTATGGCCGCCTTCCTTTATCTGTTTTCTTGTGTGTTACGTTCCCCAGACGTCTTCTTGGGCCCTTTGGACGGGCCTTACCCTTCTGGGCTTCCAAGCCCTATATTACTCAGCTATGGCCCAACACTAAATGACATTTAATATTGCAATACAAAGGAATTGCACTAATTCAGTGGACATTCAAGAATGCAAGTTTTAAAAAAAAAAAAAAAAGAATGCAAGTTTGCATACGATGAAATTGAACATGCATATCCAAATAACAATGATTTGGAAATCACGATACCAAATTTATTTTTTAGAAAATACTCCTAAACCCTTTCAATAATGTCCAGCTATAAACATGCACTAGTAATGAGTTTTTAGATTTATGATTTATCAATCCAAAGTTAAAAAAGAAAACTATACCAAAAAACTAATAGCTTATTGTTTGTAGGCTCTACATGCATGCCTTTTGAAAAACTAGATAAATTTAACTATTCATGATAAAAAAAAAAATTGGGGAAAAAAATATGTTGAAGACTACATTTTTTTAATCATTACTTGTATATTAGTAGTTTAAAGAAAACTAAGCAAAAAAAAAAATCAAATTATAAAAAAAAAATTCAAAAATAGACACTTACTATAGCCGGTCGATAGTAGACAGAACTAGTATAGTCCACGACATCAAAGAATTGTCCATCATCACATTACGATTGAAAAAAAAAAAACTATGCCTATGAATTTATTGGGCCTTACAAATGAAAGGCTCGAAGAAGTAGCCCATGACCCAATCCGGAATTCAAAGATGCACCGCCGGCCCATCCATAAATGAAAAATCCCGGCACACGATCAATGGATGAATCCGACGGTTGGAGTGGCCATCTTTTCTTTGCGTTGATAATATCAGTTTTGTTGTTTTGCTTTGCCCCAAACCATAGGCCCGCTTCTCAAGGAAAAAGGGAAATTGGAAATCGGGAACCACCGTGCGTACGTGGAGGAAGGTAAGGGTGGAGGAGGTGGTGTAAACTTCTAACAGTTTCTAGATCCGCTACCGCACCGCGCGAGCGGACACGTGGATGGTCACTAGCGAATTTCTGCATTCCCTCTCTCACCTCCACGGACTATAAATTCAGGTCCCTACTTTTTACTTTCTCATCAAATTACCAGCTCGCTCTTGATCACCTCCTTTACTAGCCACATCTAGATTTGATTTCGTGTTGCCAAACAAAAACAAAAAAAATTCCATTATGTCGTCGTCGTCGTGCTGCGCGGGAAACTGTGGATGCGGCTCCGGCTGCAAGTGCGGCACCAGCTGCAGCGGGTAAGAAACACTGGGGAAAAACGGAACTTTGATATTTTATGGGAATTAGTTAATTAATGTGTGTATTGGGATTTCTGAGGGATTCGTCGTGGTTAATTGTACGCTGGTGGCAGATGCAAGATGTATCCGGATGTGAGCTACGCCGAGACGACCGCGGCTGCTGGGACGGTGATCCTCGGAGTGGCGCCGGCGAAGGCCAGCTTCGAGAGCGGCGCGGGGTTCGCGGCGGAGAACGGCGGGTGCAAGTGCGGCGACAAGTGCACCTGCGACCCCTGCACCTGCAAATGAGAAGCGAGCTAGGGAGTGTGTCTCCAATCGATCATATTTAAGAGTATGAAATAATGTTTTTTGTCTTCAGTTTTCCGATCCGTCCTGTGTTTCTAAGATGTGTTGGTGTCGGCCGTTACGTAATGTATATGGAAGGAAGGTGTCCGACTGAATTGTATTAGCGATTCAGCCAGTCTTGTCTTAATAAAGAAAGGCGTCCTGCCAATTTGGAGTCAATCCATACATGCTTTCCGTGTTCGAGTATGCGTTTGTTTGTTTGAATCAAAACTCGAATCTAATTAGTTGGAAGACAAGAGTTGAGATTAGCATTAAGCACGAGAAGGTTAATCCTTTACAGTAGGTGTACAAATACGGTTTAGTAGAAATACAAACAAAGCTGTGAGGGAAGGTCTTTTGTCGGAGAGACAATCTGAATGGGGGATTGGAGTTTTTTACACAACTCCAAAAGGCTTTGTTTCAATCCTTAATCCTTTCCTGATTCAAATATCCCTTGCGCCGCTCTGCTGAACATGTTGTGAACCTGCCAATTAGCCCCCAGTCTGTTGGTGAGTGAACTGAAAGTCACTTCCTGTGTTTCCATTCTTGTTTTCATGAACAAGGAGAAAGCATTTTATTTTTACCTGTTTAGAGGAGAGTCCAATGTTCTCCAAATCACTCAACTGCAATGACACAATGAAAAAGAAACACAGAGAAAACTACGCGTAAGTTTAGGATGTAAATAAGGTAGATGTTTGTATGCATGGACGGACTAACTTACTGATCTCAAAGGGCTTGTTTCTCGGAGTTCTACAATGTATTCTGCCAGCTTAACTCCTATGCCCTGGATTATATACAATCATAATAACGATGTCATTAACAAGGTGAAGGGAATCACACAGGACGATTAATGGGAACTTGAAGGTTTTAATAGAATGTTGGGATTTCAGACGCGTACCTTAATTTCCAGTAGTTCGCCTCTAAACAATGTAGAGCAAAACCCAAGTTAGTCAACTAACACACACAATTGTAGATATCCACGGGGGAGGGAGTTCAATGCTTGGGGGACAAGGGAAGAGATCGATCTTTTACCTGCTGGCCGTGTTCAGGAAGTTGAGATACTCATGAATCATAGAGCTCTGCAAATTTAAATTGTTCGAAGAAATGGACAAGAGCTTCTTGTTAGTTAGTCTTGAAGTTGTGAAAGCTGGGGACACAGATCAATCAACTTATCCAGTGTGACGTACCTTTAGGTTGGAGCTCAGGACGTTGAATTTGTCAAGTGGGGTGGTCGCCACCATCTTCCCTCCACAAGTTGCAAGCAGTGGTGTTTTTGGAGGAGTAGTAGTTGCTTGCTGCTCAACAATTCTGTTCATGTTCGGACAGATTGGGGATAACACCTTCCTTAGAGGACTTTCCTGTACTGTGCTGCTGCTACTTTTCTTATCAGTCATTGGTGGTGGTGCTGTTCTTAAGTTGATCGACTCCTTTGCTTCTGACTTCTCCTTTTCCTTCTCTGTTTTCCCACCATGTAAATATCCATTTCACAAAACTCAGTAGTTGTGTTTTGAGGGACGTATGAAATGCATGAGAGGATAAACAAAAAACTAATTCGACTGAATTGGTGGCTTCATACCAAGCCCAAGGGATCCTTCAATGTCAGCAACTTGAGCCATGACTCCCTCAACAGAAGGATCAGACAAATTTTCATCGTTCAGCTGCAAGCTTCTGAAAGGCTCAGAAAGCATCCTGCGTTTAATAAATAGAGAAAACTTAAAAGCACCTCAGGATCCAGAACTACTTGTAGTTTTTACAAGTTCAGACCTAAATCCGTACCTGTTCTTGGAGCTTGAAGCTGCGTTCCGAGTACTGACCTTTGCTTTAACAGAGCCTAGGAAATCAAGTCTCTTGGCAGAATTGACTGGAAATGGGGAAGGTGAAACACAAGCTCTATGGGCATTACTCTTGGTCTTTCCCTTTGATTCCAGCCAAGCTTGGAGTTTCGCTTCCATGTTCATTTTGACCTTTGGAGTCTCCAGTTTCTGAGCTGAAGGCACAAAATTCTTGACGTGGCGAGACCTAGATGCCAAGCTGACTGTATTTACGGATTCTTGGTACTCTCCAGGATTCTACATGAAATAGGAGAAACAGTTACATGCCACACCATTATACATCTGAAAACCCAATTGGAAACTCTATTTACACGACAAAGGTTATGAACTGATCTTATGTTCTTACCAGACAGGCAACCATCAGAGCACGGCTTGTTCCTCCAAGAGAGTCCTGCAGAATCCTGGTCAGTTTGCTTTCACGATATGGTATCCACTGTTTGTTGTTGTTCAGTGCGTAGATAACATTCGACAAAGCAAACAAGGACTGGTTGATCTTGGCACTCTCCTGCAGACGGATCCCCTCATTGAATGTCCTCCTATTGTCTTCGTTGCCTGTTACAATCAAATCACAAGCACAACTATAAAAGCTTGGTGATTGATTTCCAAGCATTTCAGACTTACTTCATGGAGGTTGATTAAGGCTCACCTGCTAAATCTATGAGGTTCAACTTCCCATAAACGGATGAGCCATCTCCAATAGGAGTGGAGACACTTATCACCAGCACCCCATGGCTCCTGCTGGAGACATCATTGAGACCCGTATGTGCAACCTTCCTTCTCTGAGTTCCACGAGAGAACACCTCCTGGAACTCCGGCATTGAACTGATGGGCACTCCACATAGCCCCTTGAGGTGAGTTTTCCCCTCTCTGTCATCCAGAATCGCAATCTCTTTTTCATTGGGTTCAAGAAGATCATGGCATTTCTCCAAGTATACTTCGTAGTATGAAATTTCAACTGTGCTTGGTGTCCTGCTACACATGGAAAGAATATTGGACATGGCCAGCGGCATCAGGCCCGGCAATCCATCACTACCCTGCATCGCAACAACAACAACAACAACCACAGCTCAATTCTGTCACCGAAACATAGTGCTGTGAAACGAACTTTCCCCACAGAGACATTTCATCGAGCAGTTTACCAGCATTGTGTAGGTCTTCCCACTGCCGGTAGCTCCATAGGCGAAAACTGTAGCATTGCATCCCTGGAACAACCCAGGTATCAACGGGCTCACCTCTCTCTGGAAAATCCTGTTGACGTTGTTGTCTTCCGGGCTGAAGAACGAGTCCAACTGATAGACTTCACTCCGGCTGCAGAGAATAAACAAAGGGCCGAAGTTTCACCCACAGCACACAAGGAGGACTTCATGGACTGAGAAACTGGAAGACAGGAAATCAGTTTTACTACCTGCTCTCCGGATCTTTGAGGTAAACGGCCACCTCGTCTCCAGATTCGGAGACTTGATCCAGAAGGGAGATGCAGGAACTGAGCTCGTGCTTTGCAGCGATTTCGCTAGGGAGGAAAGGGCGCACCCTCACGATTACCCTCACCTTGGAGCCGAAATTGGAGTCCGCCATGGCCGTGCTTGTTGATTTGGTGAGATGCGCTGCCTTGAGGGATTTGGGGGTGTTCATGGATTCCATTGAGGAAATTCAGTTTGGATGGCAACGGAGAGACAGAGCGCAGAAGAAGAAGCTGAAAGAAATTTTTCTTTGTAAGAACTAAGAACGTATTCCGAAGAAAAAAGTTACTGTGAGTCTGTAACTGTAATGCTGTAACAAGCCGTAGTAGTTGTTTTTGAACGACGACCAGAAGGCGGGCGAAGTTTTCGAAAAAGGCAAGCAACCGTTGAGGACGGGAGTTTTTTTTTTTTTTTTAAATATAATAAAGCCTTTGTGCTTCTTTTCAGCAAAAACAGATGGTGGATCAACTGTTCAAAAATAATATAAATGGTCCTAGTTTTGAGCATTGCGGGCCAGAATATGGGCTAGTGCGTTGTTGGTCCAAATCTCCCACTGGACCTTGAGACTTGAAATCTGCTCGTTTGCTAACAAACTGCCTAACCAACACTAGATTAGGGCCCGGCCCATTGGCCAGGTAATTTGAAACATGGTTCATAATTTATATAAATGCCACTCAAAAAATAGAAATAATTGACTTGACTAAATATTTATACAACTGTGAATCTGTGATGGAAGTGATGCATTTTGTTTGAGCTTTTTTTATAATGCAAAGGAAGTGAGACGGTCGTTAGAAGTGGAACCAATTATAATTGTGAGGAATCGCATTTAGCATATATGAATAGTATTAATTAACTACTTAAATTTATATTTTCCTCTGATTCTTTTAATTTTATATTTTTTATGGAGAAGAGAAACTAATCTGAATACATTGGCTTGATTCAACTAAACAACATTTGTTGGGGGAGTAATTTGTCTAATGAACTACATGATATGACATTCATTTTAGGGGTTGTTTGGTTTTGGTAATATTTAAATCAATGCATTGTAACATACATGCAATTAAGGAAAATGATGTAATGTACTTTTTGTTATTGGTTTTGGTGATAGTTCTTTTAGTATTCAACAAGTTATATTATTTTTGTGCGAAAGATCACTATTACCCTTTCTTTTATTAGAACATACAAATAAATAACTAGGGATATAATTGGAACAAAAAAGGAACACAACAATCTCCCCAAACTATCTCAACAATCTCAAGTTTTAGTAGAGATAATACTATCACTCATTTTTGTGTGATAGTTTCCATCACATCAGCAAAACAATGCATCTATTGTTTGTGCAGAAAATTAAAAAATACAATGCGTTGTGGACAATGTATGCATTATAACTATCTCAACCAAACATCAACAAAAATAATGCATGTATTATTTGTGCACAAAATTCAAAAAACAATACATTGTGAACAATGCATGCATTGTAATATCCACTTAATTATTAACTGATAAAATAGTTGTACCGTATGATTTAGATAAAATAGGCGTACTTATACTCACAAGTTATTTCTTACAGTTCTTTTTGTCATGGCTTATTTTTAGCTAATGGGCTTTATTTACTAGCCTCAAACTGTGTGTTCAATTTTCTTGTTTGAATCGCATGAACGTTAGGTTAAGAATAAGAAAAATGGATTAAAGATAACTCATGTTATAGTCTTCAACATAATCATCTTTGAGAAAGACCCGGCCCTAGATGGGTCTCTTTTGATCAGAATGAATTCAATTGGATTGAATTGAACCTCGGACAAAAATACACGAAAACAGGGTGATGTTTGGAGTGTTTTGGATGGTCAATTTCGTGCAATCTCGCACAAGGGAGAAGGCTTAAAATACATAGGTAGAAGCCAAGCCACGAATAAGGTGTTTACTTGTTCGATACAAGCACACGAATCACTCGAAATCCACCAAGCAATTCAATCAACTCACGAAGCAAACTTGTGAATCAAAAAATTTGAAGTTTTTATTCAATTGAATGTAATCTACCTTACAACGCAATGGAAACGACCTTAAGTAGACCTAGCTACGTCTACAAACAAAAAGGAAAACGTAATTACAAGAGAACACGAAAACCACACGCTCAAATCCAAAGAGGAGATGTAATCCTAATCCGAGAAAGATTCGGATTGCTTAAGGTGCAGGCTTCCAATCGTTGCTCCATACGATCTTGCACCAATCCATTCGAAGCCTTCCAGGTACGTGTTCACTCATCCAATGCCTTGCGGTTGTAGTAGAAAACATCAATTTTTATGTGGCACAAACACATTGAGTCGACTCTCAGCCTTCCATCTCGAATAAGCCTTCAAAGTTGGGTTCCTCAACTGCCTCCCATACTTGTCAAAATCTGGCAGTTTCTCGGTTTTGACATAGCAACTTGATGGACTTGGAAAACAACCTTGTAGACTTGTTTCTAAACCTTCCAATATATAGATAAACATCTTGACTTCACTTCCAAGCCTTCTATTTGAATTTTCATCGAGCCAATTGTGAGAAATAGGCTTGCAAAGTAGGTATCCTGAAACAGAATAAACACTTAACGAAATTTGAGAATTTTTGTTAGTTGGTGGGATTGCTTCTTGTTCAAGCAATTTTGGATTGTAGATTGATCTATTTAGGATCATATCACATTGAGATCTTGTAGTCATATCTAAAGTGTGGAAGGAATACATCCAAAAAGGCAAAAACAATGTGTCGGGAAAGAAAGATCACGAAAAGAGGAGCACATAGCTAGGGAAAGAACAAGTGAAAAGGAGGGAAAATGGGTGTTCTTCTCAGTCGATCATTATTTTCTAATGGACTAGCTAAGGCAAGTGTACCTATCATTAGAAGCAATTAATTCCAAGCAATGTCGTATCTCACAAAGACAATGACTAGTATTGATTAGCTATTTTTTTTAGAAGAAACCTGGTTGTATTGATCAATGAGCTGGTATAGCCTTACAGTCTACTTGAAGAAGGGAGATTAGGATAATGGGAGGCCTGTGAGTCCGAATTTCTTCGGACTCCCAGTTACAAAAAGTGTGGGCTAACATATGGACCGGTTTGTTTCGTTCCCGGCCCGAAAATAAGGCAAGTGTACCTATCGTTAGAAGCAATATAGTACCAAGCGATGTCGTATCTCACAAAGACGATGACTAGTACTAATTAGCTATTTTTTAGACGAAACATGGTTTATATTAATCAATAAGGTGGCATAGCGTTAAAGTCTGCTTCAAGAAGCGAGATTAGGAAAATGGGAGGCCTGTGAGTCCGAATTTCTTCAGACTTCCAGTTACAAAAGGTGCAGGCTAACATATGGGCCGATTTGCTTCGTTCCCGACTCGAAAACGATAAATTAACCTCTCCGACTCAAATGCTTTCTGCCTGATCTCCTTGCAGAGTTCCTCTATCTCCAAAGCGAGCACATTTCTCGCGTCAGTTTCTGGACAAGCGACAAACAGTCCATTTCCACTTCCAATGTTCTGAAAGTCAGTCGATCTGCAATCTCCAACCCGAACAACACCTATTTTCTAAGTCTTTGTATCCAAAAACACATTTGTGCCATATATAAGCATATTTATGAAGAAGTTAGTATATATTATCATATTTTTCTCTCATAGTCTCGCTACCCTAAAGAATATTTCAACTTAAAAATGAATATTAAATGTATATTCAGTAGCCTTTTGCTTTATGGTGCAAAACAATTGTGTTTTTTTCTCTTTCTTATATTGTTAGGTTGATTTTTACTTAAAAGTAAAGTGAATGAGTCGGGTGATTAATATGACTAAAGTGGAATCAACTGAACCATGTACACCTCCAATTATGAGGCCCCAGAAAACAAAACCATATATATTTGAAATGGAGGATGCATGACAAAAACGAGCATATGCTGAACACAGATACTCTGCTCAAAAGTCAAAACCTAACCATTTTCATTTGGTCCCATTACCATAAACACAAACTAAGAAGATGGACAATGGTCATATTTCCTGATTCAGCGAGCGTTTGGGTCAGGGAGCCTGGCTCTGCTGCAACCCATCTGCTCTAGAAAACAGGTAAGCCTCCCATGTTTAGCAGCCCACTGGTCGGCCAATTTCTGCTCCTTAGCTTCAGCATCCCTTCTCAACCCAGCCAACTGATCCCTATATTCAGCCTCGATCGCATCAACTGCAGCCTTCTGTTCTTCCCTCAAAGCCTTAATCTTCGCCTCAATCTCCTCCGTCTTCTCCCTCATTCTACAACACTTCTCCGACTCCAGCTGCAACTCCACCCTGCTCAGCCTCCAAGCAGCTTCCTTCTTGTGCGCCGCCCATGCCCTATGCCCTTCTTCCACCTCTCTGCAACATTCCACCAACTCATTTATCACCATGCTCTCATGAGGCAGCGGTGGCTGTGGTGGAGGCAGTACGCTGTAAACGAGATTCTGTGCAGTGTTATCCTGCGCTCTCTGGTCAGCAGCAGGATGGAGCCACGGTACAGATGGTGCAGGTGCCATGGTGGAGCTAGAGAGGCTCAGTGTTACGGATGGGGAGGCTGGTGGTCTTATTACTCCAGCTGTCCCAACGCCATTGGAGCTCGATGATAGCCACGGCGGCAGCTGCTGCATGACAGCTGCTGCTGGTGGAGCAGGATAGCTGCTGCTGCTACTGCTACCATTTGCAGTTGCCATGGTGACGAACCCTGCTGCTGAAGGAGGTGGTTGCATACTAGTGATTCTTTCCTTGTTCACAAGCTTCTCGGCGAAGTTCTCGAGGATTCGATCGTACTTTGTCTCGTCGACAGGCTCGACGGTCTTGTTGGTTTCCTTCTTCTCCCTCTGCTGCTTCTCCTTGAAAACCTCCCACCACTTCCCCAATCGCTTGGCTGTTCTTCCGGGCACTTCAGCAGCAATTTTCTTCCACTTGTTGCCGTACTTGGCCTGGAGTTTGATGACGAGGCGCTGCTCTTGTTCGGTGAGCGATCCCTTCTTGATCCCTGGTTTGAGGTAGTTCTTCCACCTTTCCAAGCAGGATTTGGCGTCGCGGTTTAGCGGTGTGTTCATGCGGTGGGAGATGAGGTTCCATTCCCTTGGGCCATACTGCTTGACGTAAGAACGTAGCAAGGCGTCCTCTTCAGATCTCCAACGCTGCCTCTCCTTCATTTCCAGATACCAACGCCACAGCCCAAGTCATATTGCAACTGAAAAAAGTACTGCATCCTCGTCAAAAGTACACATGAGCCTGCATCCTTGCAACAACAACAACACACACGCACAAGCAGAGCAATCAAAAGAAGTGAACAAACAACCCAATTATAGATGCAACCAAACAATGAAGGGTTGCAACATGATTACAAGCCAATAGTTGCTTTCCCCTCTCTATCCTTTTTCAACATAAACCCCAGCTTAATTTAAGGGCAGGAGCAAAATTGGGGATTTCCCATGTGAATCCAACACCAGACAAAGAAGGAGCCGTTAATGAAAAAGATGATAACTTGATGCTATATATGCAACCTGGTGATGCACATTCCAACTATGAAGTGAAAAAGCGAGTTGGATTTTCTTATTGCTTGGACACTGAGCCACAAAATCCTTGTCTAAGCACACACAACTGCGAATGGAGAGAGTGGATAAGGCTAGGGAAGGACACAGATTAGGGCGCAGGTTACGAAACTATTGATTTCGTTTTCGGTAGCACCAAATCCTAATTAGAAGAAAACATTACAACTCGACGACAGAATTTGGTATGGAAACATCAAACAATCTGCAGAGCTAAAGAAGGAGACTCGAACAGGGAGAGAGAGGGTAAGCGCTTACATATCCTTCCGCTATGTATCTCCGGCTCCGGCAGGGTAGAAACGTACGAGCAAAGTTGAGGTGTGAAGGTTTCGGGAGAGAAATGTGATGCAGCAGTGGAAGATAAGCTGGGGAGAAGAGAAGAGAAGAGAAGAGAAGAGAGGGTAACACTAACAACAACAGACTCAAGAGGAGAGAAAGGATCTCTGACAGCGGGCGAAAAAGGAGGGCACGCGAATTAAAAGGCAAGGGGAAGCAAAAAAAAAAAAAAAACGAAAGCAGAGTGAAACAGTGCCTTTTTTTCTCTTTTCTCCCCGGCCCAGTTGACGCTGACGTTGCTTCCGGAATGTGATTGCGTCACTTCCTCCGCCCCCCACCACCGCCAATGATTCACGCGGCGCGACAGTGGCTATACACAGTGCTCTTTCACTTGCCTCAACTACGTAAAGACGCTTCGGGGGCTTAAAATGCGCCACCATCCGCCATTTCGGCTCCCAAGCTTTTTTCCCCCCCTGCTTTGACAATTCACAATTCTCCTCCCGTGGCGTCAATCAAGTCTGCTGCTCTCCCCGCGCAGAGCTTTTTTTTTTTCCTCACTTTACTTCCCCAGTTACTGTTAGTTTCGTCTGCACTTCACTGTGCAGCAATAAGAGCAGTGTCTCTCTCTCTCTCTCTCCCCCTCGCGTTATTGTCTATCGGGCCATCATCCCCCATTCTCTCCTTTAACCTCACCCGCCCGTCACCTAACGAAGCATAACAGCGGCATCCTGGCCCTCAATATTGCTGACTTTTCTTATTTTTCATTTTCGGAAGGGATGGTGGTGGAGGGTAGTTTTGTTGCGGAGGTGAGGTGACTGATGAGGGGAGAAAAAAGTAGTGCTGACAGAGTGGCGGAGGGAGGGACCGATGACAGGGGTCCCACTTGGGGAAAAACAGAGGCAAAAAGATTCCCTATATATACTGGCTTTCTCGTTGGCCGGAATGTTCATATTTGAGTTTTTTTTTTATGTTACATTTAAGTCTATCAACCCGTTTAATTTATTTATAATTATTCGATCGAGATGATATATAAAGAAAGAATATATAGGTCGAACTTTCAGAAAAATAAGAATATAAAATATAAAAATGTATCATTGATCTCATTTTTATAATGATAATTAAGCTCCAATTAAAATGTTAATGGTTAGTTGATTGTCGAGATAGATAGAGTATAAAAGCTCACTTGAATTCTCACACGACCCATAGATAGTTTGAAACTCGATCTTAAACCTCACAATTCTACATAAAGGGTTCAATGCTCTCCTTTTAGGAATAATATGTCACTAATCAAAAAGAAATGGAGAGTCGTTGATTCAATTCAACTATATACTAACAACTCGGTTAAGAGGGGACCAATAAAACTTGAGAGCAAACGACAAAATTAGGGTTACCTCCAATATGCTAATAGACTCGATCGAAGTAATAAGACGCAAAATTAGACACTCTTTATCTACCAGTTCCAGTAGGTTGAATAAAGAATCGACCTAGCTGCAAAAAATCATAAACCTAAAGGTCCAATAGTCACCACTCTCTGTTGTACAACTAAATTTTTATCTCAAGAGGCATATGTTACAATAAAAAATTCAATCTCTAATCCTCCTTCTACAACTCCATTTATTGAACTCCATTCTATTCATCATGGATTGATATCGGATTTGAAATCTTCTACTTGCCTAGCTTAAATCCCCAAAAATAAAATCGTAGTGCCAAGAGATACCAGAAGATTGATTTCAAAGGCGACCTTCTATTGGAAAGTGAAAGGGGCGTAAACTATTGCACGATGGAGGAAATTCCGAAGGGAGTTAAAAGAGATAAGAACAAAGATAAAAAAGCACTAACTTTAAATTTAAATTGAAAATTTCAAGGACACAACACGCAGTAACATGATTAGTTTCTTCTATGGTAGCCAATTACCAATCTACCTTTAGCAAAAAATTACGGCGAGAGCAAAAAATTTAAAATTGAGAAAATTACATGAAACTCTAATATGAAAACTGAAGTATCAAGCACCATAAAATACATACGGTAGACTTAGTGGGCTTGCTAATCATTATGGAAAATTCTTCCAATTTCCAGAGTTTAGCTTGTGTATGTTTTGTACTCGAAAAGATACAACAAATTTGTTTAGTGTAATTGGTTGTGATTGTTATTTTTGTTTTAAGAGACCCGGGTTCGAATCCTCATATTGATACTTTTTATATGAGATAAATAATTAATTGTAAAGATAAAAATGTCCTTCCTACTTTCACTCTCGTTGCAGGAAATTTGAAATTGAGAAAAGTTTACAAAACTCTACTATATATTATTGGAGGATTGTGGGCAAATTGCATAGTTGGTCACTGACATTACAAAAAACGTTCATGTTTGGTCACTAAAAATATTTAATTTCAATAATAGTCACTAAATTTAGTAAAACATGTCACATTTGGTCACTCTCTGTTAGTCTCCATCCAACTCCGTTAATGGAGTCCGTTAAGTGCTGAGGTGGCAAACAGAATCGCCTAATTAACTGGATTTAACCGAAAAACACTAAACCCGACCCGCCACATCATCACAACCCGCCAGGTCATTAAAATCATATCTCAACCCAATACAAACCCACCAATTGAACCAACCAACTTTAAAAAAAAAAAACTAACTCGTCTTCTACCCCAAGCCCCAACTCCACATCCTTTCCCCAGACCTAAATCGCTCGTCATTTTCACTTAATCTCCAGTCGGGACAATCTTGTTGGATCTTATTGCAAGAGAGAAGACTTATTGCCCCAATGTTTCTCCAGCGGTGGCTCCAAGCTCCAAGCTCTGCTGCCTTGACCCCATTACCCGGAGATTCCTCTGACCGAGATGATGATGATGATGGCGAATATGACAACCTCTGCTGCTAGGAATCACCGAATCTAGTTGAGATTCTCTCTAACATATCCCCGGAGAAGCTCCTGCTCCCGCACCCACTAAATCTAGCTCGCAGCAGCTGCCGAAGATGCTGAACCCTGCCAGATTTCTGGGGGATTTAGCATGGCCGACAAAGGACTAGGTTTCCCAGGGACCCTGAACGTCTTTCTGTTCATCTACTCCCAAAATTAAACCCCCAGTCAGTTCTTAACTGTCGCCCTTCTCCATTGGAATCCGACCCTCAAGATCTGCCAACAAACTCACAAAAAAAGCCCCCACTGTCGTGTTCTTATTCTCCCTCTCCTCTCGTCGCATCCCTCCCCGACGAACCCATACAAATACAAATCAAACTCCATACAAATACTCACAATCAAACTCCATATCATTATGCAAAATGGTTTCTATTTTCAGACCTCCGGGTACAAAGAACACACAGACCAGTAACTTGCTTCCCCACGCTTCCTATTCTATCCTGCATCACCAACTCTATTATGCATGATCAATTTGATTGTAACATTGCGTTTTCATATTGACCCTTTACCTCATACCAAATTATCCCAAACCTTTTTCACAAATACCTAGAGACATAACCTCACCATTCAAATACAAGTTGGGAGCAATAACTGTGATATAAGGCCGCACAACCTCTCGACACTTCAATGTCTTTCTCCAAATTCATGATCTATCAGACTTTAATGGTTGGTAGATCTCATATGAACTTCTTTTTAATGTAATATTTCCTTATCCAAGCTACCTATAAGGAACCTTCACATTCTAGAATGCGCTTCTTTGTTATGCTTGTTACTGGCTCTCTTATCCTCCTTTGGAGCTTCATAAGTGGTCGGCGGGAAGGCTTCTCAAAACAGGATTGGATTTCAACTCACGAATGTTAGATATCTATGACATTCCCTGATGTCCGATGCGGCAGGTGGGCTGGTCTTAAGAGATGCGGCTGGTTTGGTGGTGGCAACACAGTGGGTGATGTTTCGCAGTCTTGTGAATCCGATGCTTGTAGAGTTATCCACCTTGCGGGATACTATTCGGTGGTGCCCTCATCGTGGTTTGGAGGTCGTTACGATTGTGGGTGACGTGAAGATTGTGATTGACAAGGTCAACGCGGGTGGTGTTCATGATGCTGCTGGTGAGGCTTTATTTGAGGAAATTCACCATATGCTTTTGGCTTCTCTGTGGTTAAAGATTCGATTTGTGGTTAGACAGAATATTAGGGTAGCCCATATGGTGGCTAAGAAGGCCTTGTCTTTGTTTTCTGCGGGTTGCAATGCGTTTGATTTTCGTGCTTGGCTTTGGTCAGAGCCCGGTCATATGTAACTTTGTGTTCTTGTTTAATGCAAGCTATCTTTTCGTAAAAAAAAAATATAGTAGAATATTCATTACTAAATTGGAGATAGGTTTTAGCTACCGGCTATGTGTGGTCGCAAAATGATTTAGCTTGGAGCGGTTATGATTTGCAAAGAAAGTAAAAATAAACTTATTATTTAAAAAATTAAAACGTAGTATTATCCACGGCTCATACTCAAATAATATGTTGTGTTGGTTGCAAAATGTTTTGTTTACGTGTTTGGTTTTATTAGGATAGAAAATAAGATAATGTAACATATTAAATGTAAGGGCAAAGTGGTAGCATTGTACAAGACTCATTTAAGAATGACTAATCTAAAAAAATCTTAAACAAACAATGCATTTGGAAATTTCTACATTAACACCACTGGAACACCCTCAAACTACAAAACATGTCACTTCTATCATATAGTATTCAATATAACAATCTTAACATGAACTTTCGTCTCTCCTACCTTTAATTAACATTTATTGTTAGTGATAAAAACTACTTTTGTTATAATTTAAGTATTCCATTGTTATTAGCCTTTTTTTACTTCCTGCAAATTGGATAGTGGGCTCTTTCCTGGTATATATATTAGCAAGCCTTGCATCCCCTAATCAAAGTATCAAACTATTATTGTTCATGCACCTGAATACTCTGATTAATGGCGTATCTTGATATGATGTACTATGGTTGAAAGAAACCAAACCATCACAATGATTGGGTTTGACAAAACAGGGGAACTAATGATTAATTAGTTGTATAAAACATTATGCTGTCCAAATTTTCGACGCAGCAGGGAGGAGCAGATATGGTTTATGACAAAAGCATTGAGGTTCTAGAATGAATGTTAATCATATTTCTTTTGTGCTCCCAACGTGGTGGCCCGTCGGAGTTAGCCAGCGTGTACATACTCTGCATGCGATTCTGCTACGGACATTCGCTTATTTGATATTATGCTTCATCGTAATCTATATATTCCAAGGTTGTTAACTCAGTGTCAATCCGCGGGTTGATTCGAATTCGGTGAGAAAAATGGGCACCACATCTCTGGTTAAGATTTCGTCTAGGATTCGTCAAATTCACTTCAATGCGAACAAAACTTGGTAAAATTGGCTTCAACCAAGTCAAAACTCAGTAAAACTGGTCAACAAACTTTCATTCCAAAAGGTCGCTTTGTTTGACTTTTATAGGCTGTTCCAGTTTATATAAGGTGTCAATCGAAAACTTATATGGTGTGTTTGAATTTTTACTATATGTTGGATTCAACTACGTATTATTATTTTGGTATATGTTATTACTCATATATAGATGAGTTTCGATACAATTTACAAATGTATGAACAATGTAATGACTTTTTTCATATATCTGAATTTAATTGGACTAAAATGATCGGGTCATTAACCCTTCACCCACTTACTTAGATCATGCCAACGAGCTAAACGTATTCACAACTTTGCTATATTCTCATAATAATTGGACTAAAATGATCGGGTCATTAACCCTTCATCCACTTACTTAGATCATGCCAACGAGCTAAATCGTATTGACAACTTTAATATATTCTCATAATAATTAGTTTCATTAATTTGATTGATTAGTTTTTTCCATCCATAATTGATTACAAGTTGACATTATAAATTAGATGCGGCTTAAATGGGGATGAATGAATCCACATAAGCTTTATCATTGATTTCGGATTTCGATGGATGTCCATGTGCTATGAATGGACTTGCGTCGGTTTTGTTTTTAGCGCATATATCGATATATAATAACCTTCCCAACTCCGAAGAGTCGGGCATGGAAACGCAGCAAAACCCGACCGGTCGGCGAGAAAATCCCGCCGTTTGCTGTCTCCTAACTGTATATGCATATTCGAATGCTTCTCTCCACTTCGATTCGTCGAATGTTACTTTTACGCTCCTCAATACACCGCAAACATAAAAACGATGCACCCTTACTTTGAAGTGAATGTGGCGCTGCGAATTGAAAGGTTAACAAATTATTGTTTACTACTTGAGATGAGAATGGCATACATGCATCAAATACGTTCTCGCGTTGCAGTCGGAAAGAAAAGTGCTAAAACCGGCCACGCGAAAAATATTCAATTCATATCATTTAGTTAATGGTGTTGAATAATTACCAAAACAAATGGTGTTAAATTATCAAAAGAAGAAACGATAAGTAGATAAAGTAATTGAACAGGACATAATTTACGTGGTTTTCATATTCGTCAATCGTGACGAACAAGATTATTTCACGGACAAAGTTATTGCTACTCTTTTATTCAACTAGCTTTTACCCGACCCATTGGTCGGATGAATTCATTATTTGTCAGTACTTTATGATAATCACCTTATGGTCAACCATCATTGATGCGGTGCATCTCAATCCCAGAAAAAAATAAGATAAGAAACCGAGTTCTTTTGAGATGGAAAGGAGTAGGAAGATTTGTACGTAGTAAGGGCCTTAATGCCATTAGTGGCATCCCCAGTGACTATCATGTCATCAACATAGATAAGAAGAACAACAAGGCCATAGGATGTTCTATGTACAAATAACGAGGGACAATAATTGAGACACTATGTAAAACCAAGATTGAGAATGGTGCCTTGAATTTTTTTGAACCATGCCTGTGGACCAGTTTTGCATTGTACAAAGGCCAACAGACGAGGAAAACGTGGTCACTAGTGCCATGCAGATAACTAGGGGGTGTTTCATATAGACAGTTTCCTTTAAATCACCATGCAAAAATGAGCCCTTGACGTCCATTTGATACAATGACCATTGACAAAGAGAGCTAATAGCCATGAGCGAATGAAAAATAACCATATTTGCAATTGGATCAAACATTTCTTCAAAATCCACCCAATATGCTTGAACTGAAATCCTATGCAACCAGTCGAGTCTTATGCCAATCTAGTGCTACGCTTGATGTACAGTACTAATTTCTAATTGAGCTATATAATGAGAAAACCCATAGAGGAAAGGCATCTTTGCCAATTCCCCACATACATGGTTGTCACTCTTAATCTTTCTCTCTTCTTTGCACAAACCCTAACGAAAATATTCTACTAAGTTAACAAGTTTCTCATTGTATCATAGCCTGATTGACTACTGAATCTCTTAACCTCTTAAATCCTTCTTTCTAATTCTTCAATTTCAAACTTCCGTTACACAATTTGTCATTCTAAACAATGGAAACCAAAGATGGTTCTTCCAGATCTAGACCTGATCATCCAGACAAGGGAAAAGAGAGCTCTCGGCTTCACTGTGAAGACCCTTACAACAACCCTTACTATTTGGCCCAGAGCGACAACTCTTTCTTACCTGTCAACGACTTCAAGTTGAATGGCGACAACTACCTGCTCTAGAGCGAGTCAATGGAGGTAGCTCTTCACACCAAAAATTAACTGGGTTTCTTCATGGACACAATACAGGCACCACTTATTTCAGATCCTATGTTTAGCACTTGGAATAGAGTGAATGAAACTATGGTAAGCTAGATTAGAAACTCAGTCTCTGAAGACATCGCGCCCAACTTAAGAAATATTGTAGCTTTAGATGCTTGAAATTACCTCAGATCTAAGTTTAGCCAAGGGGGTTCTATTCGAATTGCTAACTTGTAGTAGAAAATTGACCTTGCTAAACAAAATAATCAAACTATCAGTAAATACCATACTCATTGAAGAGTCTAAGGGATGAAGACCAGATATATTTAAAAATACCCTACTATGACTGTGCCTCTAGAAATTATGAGATAATCATGAGGTATCAAAAGGTAAAGAGACAAATTTCATGTTGGATCCCTTGCCTGACCTAGATAGTGTTTATAGATCAATTGTTCAAACTTGAGAGGCAACTGAATAGTGTGAGTGGAAACACTCGTAAATCAGAAGAGGCCATTGCTTTGGCCACTTCTGTTGCAACATCTAAAAGCCATTCAGTGCAAGTGAAGGATAAGAACTTCAAAGAGGGTAATCAAGAGTTTGGTTTGTTCTATCGGTATTGCAAGAAGGATAACCATGTTATTCAATATTTCTAGAAACATAAGAAGAAAAACAAAGAAGGAGGAGCCAGAAACTTTGTTGGCTCGGTTGATGTCAATACAGCTGAGAGGAATGCTTTGGGATGAGGAAACATGAGTTATTCACCCACAAGTACCGAAAGCAACTCAGACACACAATCAACCTTCTCTGGCTTCACAACAGATGAACAAAATATACTAAAGTCAATGTTACTACCTTCGCATTACTCAACCTCTCCTTCTGCTCATGCTAATTCCATTATGACCAAAGATACCACCATGTTAGGTATTACTATGTTCTCGTCATCCTCCGGAACAAGTAATTTGAATGCTTGGGGTACTAAATAGAGGCTTCTATATATTGGGAGAAGCAACAACACCAGAAGAGGATTGTAGCCCTAAAGTTTTTGGAGTGAACACTAGAAAAAACTCAGAGCTATTACATGTCAGACTAAGCCACCTGTCACTACCTATACTATAAGAAATTAAGAAACAATGTAGTTATGTAGTAGTTTATGAGAATTTTGATTGTGAGCCATACCCTTTTCTACAAGTCCTTCTATAACTTTTTTTTTATCTAATTCATATAGACATCTGGGGACCAGTTGATGTGGTTTGCCATGATGGCTATAAGTATTTTATGAAAATTTTGGATGATTGTAGTAAAGCTACATGGCTCTTTCTTACGAGGAACAAATCTGAAGCCAGATATTTGTTGCAGTAATTTTCTACTTTGGTTACAACACAGTTTGATAAAAAGATAAGGATCATAAGATCGTATCAGGATCAGGAATTTAACATGCCTGCATTTTATCAAATGCATGGACTTCCCAACAAAATACAAGAGTGGAACACAAGCATCAACACTTGCTAAATGTTGTTAGGGCTCTGAAATTCCAGTCTAGGGTTCCGATAAGTTTTGGAGTTACCTCGTTTTGCATGTTGCATACCTCATAAACAAAACTCCTGCTCCAATCTTAAACAATAGAACCCCCTTTGAATATATTGTACGAAAATCCTCCATACTACAACAATTTGAGGGTGTTTTGGGTGTCTAGGCTATGCTACAGTCTTGGATGAGCATAAAAGGAAGTTTGATTCAAGGGCTTAGAAGACAGTTTTTTTGGGATACAACTATGAAGTAAAGGGGTTCAAACTGTATGATATAGAAAATAATGTTGTTTTTCTTAGTAGAGATGTGGAATTTGTTGAAAATGTATTTCCCTTTACAACTAATGAGAACAGTTATACACCAAACACCATCCACAATTAAACACTCAAACCACTTCTTCTTCGGATGCTTTTCCCATAGTGGTTTTCCCCCTTGATCACCACATTCATGAAACCACAGATTCTGATTACTATCCTTCTAATACAGAATCCTAACATTCAACACCGCATTCACCATATACTTTTTCACCTACCTTTTCCACTTTTATCCACAAGTTACTTCACTTGATTCCTCTACACACACTACTACTTCACCTCCACTTCCTAGGAAGTCCACAAGAATTCCCACGCAACCTACTCACCTCCAAGACTATCATTTTTCTTTTATGACCATTTTCATTTTTGGTTCCATGACTCTAAACTTCTTTACCCCCTTTCAAATCATTTGGACTATTCAAACCTTTTTCCAGACCACCTGCACTACATTTATCCACTTCTTCAACCACTGATCCTCAGAGCTACTCTCAAGCTATTAAAGAGGCTTGCTGGCAGCAGGCAATGAATACATAATATATACTTTGATTGATAATGGAACATGGAGAATAATCGACAAAACTCCTGGAGTAAAGGAAGTTGCTAACAAATGGATTTTCAAGACATAATTCTTTTTTCATGGTTTCCATTGATAAACACAAGGCCAGACTGGTAGCCAAGGGTTTCACGCAGACATATGACATTGATTTTGTTTACACTTTCTCGCATGTTGTTAAACTCAATTCATTCAAATTGTTATTGGGTGTTGCTGCAACAAAGGCATGGCATCTACATCAAATGGCTATGAGTACCTGAGAGTTACCTGAGGGTTACTTAATGGAGGAGGTGCATAGAGAGTTACCCTGAGGGTAAGAAGGAGCTAAGTCACATGCAGCCTGCAGGGGCAAAGCGTGCAAACTTAAAAAATCTCTGTATGGACTGAAACAGGCAAGCATGCAGTGGTTCATTAAGTTGTCTGAATTTCTAACGTCTCTGGGTTTTCAACAATCATTTGAAGATTACTTAGTGTTTAGTACATCCAAAGTTGTACCTATTGTGTATGTGGATGATATGTTACTGGCAGGACCAAACATTTAAGATGTTGAATTTGTTAAACGACATTTGAAGAAAGGTTTCAAAGTCAAAGACAAGGGAAATATGATGTATTTCATAGGAGTGGAAGTGCAAAGAAGCAGAGAAGGAATTTCACTAAATCAAAGGAAATTTTTCTTGGAGATGCTTGCCAATGCAGATTTCCTTCAAAGTAAACCTGCAAAACTCCAATCAGCAAGAAGACTATATTGTCTGCATCAGATGGAGTGCCACTACAAGATGGAACATAATTCAGGCATTTACTTGGTCAACTTCAATACTTGACCTCTACAAGACCAGACATCACTTTTCCAGTGCAACAGTTATGTCATATCCAAGCAAACTACCATAGTTCACATGAAAGGGTTACAGAGAATTCTCATATACTTAAAAGGAACTTCAAGCCAAGGGCTATGGTTCTCAACAGACTCTAAATTAACCATCAAACCTTTGTGACTCAGATTGGGCAACATGTCCTTATACAAGAAAATTTGTACTGATACTATACGTTCTTGGGGGAATCTTTGATAACTTGGAAAAGTAAGAAGCAGAAGACAATCTCACGTTTTTCATCAGAAGCAAAATACATGGCATTAGCACAACTCTCATGTGAGGTACAATGGCTAAAATCACTTCTTCTCTTCTTTGAAATTGCACATCCTCAACCTATACCAGTTTTCTTTGTTAACTAATAAGCTATTGATATAGTAGAAAACCTTGTGTTCTATGAACGAACTAATCATACAGAAGTAGACTGTCACATTATTAAAACATGGACTGTTGAAACTCTCATATGTCAGTATATAAAAACAGTTGGCAGACCTTTTCACAATAGGATTGTCTGTAAACAGATTCAGTTACTTATCAAGCAAGCTGGCAGTACACAACATGTATTTACTAGCTTGAGGGGGCGTGAGAAGATGAGTGGAATGACTACTATGTGATAGAAGAAATTGGAATGACTATCGTACCACTTAGTGATGTTAGTTAGTCGTAGACTAATTTTACCTTGCCACTTGTCCTCTTGTAAATGCTACGTTTTATTAGTCTATTAGTTTTACCATTGATGTCCGGTAACTTCTGATTGATGTATATATATGAGAAAACCCACAATCTTTGCCAATTCCCACACACATGGCTGTCACTCTCAATCTTTCTCTCCTCTTTGCACAAACCCTAGTGATGATATTCTGATAGGTTAAGAAGTTTCTCAATACTTGGCATGATCGGCGGAAGGAGGGAACACAAATTGGGACATCCATGGTTTCATTTCCCTTTCTTTTGTGATTGAGTGGGTTCAATGGCGTCTGGCTCAGGCTGGCCAATCATTGCGTTATAACCCATGGTTGAAAAGTAAAAGGTCATTAGCCTTGAATGTTATTAAACAAAAGCAAACAGTAGCAGAGGAATTAAAGAATGGAGAACATTCTTAGTCGTAACTAATTTATTCGTTGCTATATTAGTGGTTGGTCTTATTATTGATAATGATGATATAATAATAATAATGCTCTGTGTCATAATCACTCTGTATTTAAGGGAGGGATTTGCTTGTTGAAAGAGGAAGGAAGACTGAGGAGGCGAGGCAACAAAGAGCCAAAAGAGCGAGTCAACCAACTAATAGTTTGGCAGTGACGAGGTCCAAAAAGGCTACCATATCATTACCCACCAGAAGAAAAAAGATAGCGAAAAATCAGAGGAAACCAGAGAGAAGCAACCCAATTGGGAGAAACGAAAGACCCTTCCTTTCTTCCTTTTTTACTCCCTTCCCTGCTTTTCTTTTTGGGCAATCGTCAAGCCAACACCTTCTTCTCTCCACCAGGTGCCAACAGAACTCGGCGGTGAGATCTTTTGTAATCTTCCTGAACCCCTCGAAACTGCTGCTCCCCAAAAATTCCAGCCTTTTTTAATTCTGCTTCTGGGTTTTGCTGCTGTTCTATTTCCCACCCAACTCTGTTTCTTGAGCTGGAAATCTGAGGCTGCTTATTCAAGATCTGGGCTTTCCCTACTTAGTTTCCCTGAGCCTCTTGGAGTTGGAGAGGAAATCTGGGTGTTTCTGTTTGTTTGGATGGGACTCTGCTGGAGTAATCGAATCAAAGCATATAGTCCTTCAAATACAGGTACAGTGACATAATAGATTTCTATCTTTTACACCGTTGGTATTCAGGCTCTCTAATCTCTTTTGCCTCATCTCCTTCTGCTTTCGTTTGAGATGGGTTTTCAATATATAGGCTAAGCATCCAGTTCTCAAACGGATTGAACATATGGCTTCTACATTCACTAAAATGGGTTGTAGTGTCCCAGTCAGCTAGTAGTTACCTTTTTTAGCACAGGGCTGTTTTCTGCTGGAAGAGGATGTCTTTTTTTTTTTCTGCCTTACACAGTTTCTTCCTGCTTCTAATTAACTAATTTTGATAAGCTGATTTGTGAAAGATTGTGGTGCATTGGTAGTGGGTTTAACCGCGGGACTTCCCTTTTTGGGTGCTTCATCTTGTATAGGACTGAATTCAAAGGGTGATAGTAGCAGAGATGGCAGAAGTTTGAGCAATTCTAGTAGCAGGGACTCATTACCTCACACTCCTAGGAGTGAAGGTGAGATTCTGCAGTCCTCCAACTTAAAAGTCTTCAGCTTTAGCGACCTGAAGTCATCCACGAGAAACTTCCGACCGGATAGTGTACTTGGAGAAGGTGGGTTCGGATCAGTCTTCAAAGGATGGGTCGACGAGAATTCACTATCTGCTACCAAACCTGGAAGCGGCATTATCATTGCTGTGAAGAGACTGAATCAAGATGGGTTCCAGGGCCACAAAGAATGGCTGGTAAGCAAATGTCTTAGTGTGATAGATTAGTAGAGTAACTAGATGCTGTTTAGAGGAAGGAAGGCTTCATGAATACTAAGAATTTGGTTTTCTGTTTAAATGAACAGGCGGAAATAAATTATCTTGGGCAGTTACATCATCCAAACCTGGTCAAACTGCTGGGCTACTGCTTGGAGGATGATCATCGTCTTCTGGTTTACGAGTTCTTGTCCCGGGGCAGTTTGGAGAATCATTTATTCAGGAGTGAGTTAGTTGATTGCACTCTCTGCCACATTATCCAGACTAAGGTTTCTTTTCCATTCCTTGAACTACCAAAACTAAGCATTGGATTGGGTTTGAATTGAAGCAGGAGGTTCTCATGTTCATCCCCTTTCTTGGAGCATTAGAATGAAGGTGGCTCTGGGAGCTGCAAGAGGGCTTGCCTTTCTCCATAGCAGTGAAGTCCAAGTTATATATCGGGATTTCAAGGCTTCAAACATTCTTCTCGACACGGTATGTGAAAATTGTGCCTCTCCTCTTCTGATCACGTTAATTCAGTTAATGTGAATGAAAACCGACTTATTTTGTTTCTCTCTGCTCCTTTGTTGGTCTATGTTGTAGAACTACAACGCAAAGCTTTCTGATTTTGGGTTAGCCAGGGATGGTCCAACCGGCGATAAAAGCCATGTCTCTACCAGGGTTATGGGAACATATGGATATGCAGCACCAGAATATCTAGCAACAGGTAGCTATCTCAATCTATATTCTTGTGCCATTGCGAAGTCCTTGTCTGTTCTATATGCTGATATCCTTGCTCTGTGATTTGGATTGATGCCAGGTCATCTAACTGCAAAGAGCGACATCTACAGTTTTGGAGTTGTGCTTCTGGAGATGCTGTCTGGCCGGAGAGCCATAGACAAAAATCGGCCATCTGGGCAACACAATCTAGTTGAATGGGCTAGACCTTACTTGATAAACAAACGAAGAGTCCTCCGTATAATGGATGCACGCCTAGAGGGGCAGTACGCTCTCCCTCGAGCTCAGAAGGTGGCCAACCTTGCCCTTCAATGCTTAGCCATGGAACCAAGGTTCAGGCCGAACATGGATGAGGTGGTCACAGTCCTTGAACAGGTGCAAGAATCCAAGAAGAAAGGTAGCCTAGAGGATCACCAGCAGCAAGGATCTGATGTTAAAGAGAACCGCGAAGCACGACCCTCTTACCCCAGACCTTCTGCCTCTCCACTTTTTGCTTGAGTCCAGTTGTTTTGTTTCGTTCAAGTTGGTTTTGATGGGAGTTCTAGGGAAATGGGTTTCGTTGAAGAATGTACAGGGTGTTCTTTTGTTGTTGTTGTTGTTGTTCTTCTTCTTCTTTGTGCATTTCTGGGTGGAGAGCATTTCAGAGATATCCATATTGGACAGGGGACAGACAAATAAGGCTTCTGTACCAAGTAAGAGTCCCTCCATATGAGAGCTTGTAATCAGAGACGATAAAGTTTCGATGCTAAGTAAAATGTTACTTTTGAGTTATATTGCAGAATATTTCTGGGACGTGAGATTGATTCATAAGAATGATAACTGTAAGAATTAAGATACATCAGCCATTCCCAGTAATCGGAATTCAGGAGCTTCATGAACCAAGAGGGCTTTAGAAAGAAGATAGGTAACCAAAAAAATAGTTCTTGTCTTCTCTATTTGTCACTTCAGGAGACGAGGAAAGAAATCGAGAGTTGCTGGGATCACAATGCAAAATCAAGAGCACAAATCGCAAATGCATAAAGATCAAGATACAGCATGTTAAGCAGTCACTTGAAGAAACATACAGAGCTAGAAGTTGCTGAATGAGATCAGCACACTGTGTCTATCTTCCCAGCAGAGCAACGCGATCCTTCTGTATAGCCTGCGAGAGATTGATGTCAAAGAGCTCACATCTAATCGGCATCTCCATTTCATAGAAAGGGTTCTTCAGCACATAATCTGTATACAACTCATAGATGTATTTCAACAGATTCTCCATGTGCAGCGTTCCAGGCTCACAGACCACAAAGAACTTGGTACCTGGATCAAAAAAGAGATCAACGCAACAAACTCAATTCTCTTTTCTTTTCTCTCTTTTGGGGATTGGGGTTCAAACCTAATTCAAATCCCTAAACGTAAAGATTGAAAATTTTGCAGTTCCCAAGTTTACCCGTAAGGGATTGGAAGCAGTGGAGATCAAAATTGTCGGCTTCAAGGAGCTCGATCCCTGCGCAGCCAAGAACAGGGGATAACTGCTGAGAGATGGCGTGCATCGAATGCCACAAGCTGGCCACTCTCAAGGTATCGTTCGTATCCATTCTTCCAGCCGACCCGTAGTCCTAATCGCAAAGGGTTTCAAATTCAATTTCAAGAACAACAACTAGAGAGAACAAAATCCAAAAACGAAAACTTCAAGCACCGTGGGAAACGATCCGAGATAAAGCCAGCAGTAGGTACCTTGTAGAAGATCAACCCGCCGGATTTGTTGATGATGTAGAGACTGTAAATCGCCGCCATTTCTGGGCGATTCTTCTGAACTCTGAACTGCTGTAGAACTTGGACAGTCAAATGCAAAAAGGAACGAGATCGGCGAGGTTGGGGAGCGGCTCGGGTTCTTTACCGGTATGTGAAATTTCTTTACGAAATGGGCCGAGGCCCAAATCTTGGGAGGCTCGCAATGTTTTTGTTACACCTCGAATGGGCCAGAAGCTGAGTTCGTCAAATGCTAGCTCGACTTCTTCGTTGAGGACGCGACAATGCCACATGGTCATGGATTCGCAGGGCAGGGCAGCAGTGACCGTGGCGAATTTCCCTCCAGTCGGTAGTTAGGTGAGCGAGTTCGGTGGATTAAAGAAAGGAATAAACACTGGAGGTGGGAAGTTAATAGGAAGAGGCAGACCTCAACCGAACTGCGCGAAGAAGTAAAATTCAGCTTTGCTGCAGAGAGGAGAAGGAAAAAATGGGGATTATGGAGCAGCCAAGACAACCGACGATCGAAATCAACGGTTTAAGGTTCACATACCCAGGGATCGACGGTCATCCACCGCCGGGTTCCAAGCCTCTCATCGACGATTTCTCACTGACCCTCAATTCAGGGGAGCGATGCCTCCTCGTCGGATCCAATGGCGCCGGTTAGTTTCCCCAAATCTTTCACGGTGTGTCTCTTTCGTCTTCTTCTGCTTCAATTGAATTTTGTTTCAAATTGTGAAATGTGGGCAGGGAAAACGACGATACTGAAAATACTGGGAGGGAAGCATATGGTGGAGCCTCACATGGTTCGGGTTTTAGGCAGGTCGGCTTTCCACGACACTGGCTTGACGGCTTCCGGTGACCTTTCGTATCTCGGGGGAGAGGTCAGTTCAGTTTGCGCCATTTTTTTTTTAGTCTCTCCGCTTCTTCTTAGTAAGAAGGCAGTTAACAAGTTTGGATTGAAACAAGCCCTTTTGTATGAATCGGAGATTTGTTGGTGGGTGTGCAGTGGCGAAGGGATGTTGCTTTTGCTGGGTTCGAGGTGCCAATTCAAATGGACATTTCTGCAGAGAAGATGATATTTGGTGTGGCCGGTATTCACCCTGACAGAAGAGCTGAGCTGATCAAGGTAAAAGATTGATTGATGATCTGGGAAACCTGTTAAAGATTTCAGTTAATTGAATCTTTATGCGTCACGGTGAGTAGTTTACTTTGTCGTCAAAAGCACCAATCTTTCCTTGTGTCTGCTTCCGTAGGTACTGGATATTGATCTCTCATGGAGACTGCACAAGGTTTCTGATGGGCAGAGAAGAAGAGTACAGATCTGTATGGGCCTCCTTAGACCATTCAAGGTATTGTGTAGCACTTTCTGCTATTGCTTCCAGCTTTTGAGATTGTTGTTTGTGGCTTCCTCTTTCCAATCCTGCTCCTTTCCTTTTGTGTCAATCTAGGTTCTTCTACTTGATGAGATAACAGTCGACCTCGATGTGCTAGCCCGAGCTGATCTTCTGAAGTTTCTAAGGAAGGAATGTGAGGAAAGAGGCGCCGCCATCATCTACGCCACCCACATATTTGATGGCTTAGAGGAATGGCCAACTCATATGGTGTATGTGGCTCATGGGAAGTTGCAATTAGCAATGCCAATGGCCAAAGTCAAGCAGATTAGTAACCTCTCACTGATGGTCAGTCAGTTGGCAACTATTTTTTTTACTGTTCATGATCCGCCGATCTACCGTAAATCGATCTGTAATGTTGTGAGAAACTAACCATCCTTCTGACTTCTGCAGAGAACGGTTGAAAGTTGGCTGAGGAAAGAGAGGGACGAGGATAGAAGAAAGAGGAAAGAGAGGAAAGCAAGTGGCCTTCCTGAGTTTGAAGACCGGCTGGAGGGAACCCGTGTAGTCGGGGATCCAGCTCGGGCAGGCGTTCAGTTCACAAACAATGGTTGGGCAGCTGGAAGGCTGCATTCAACTATTGCAGGGGAAGATAACTTCCAGTTGAGCTCCAACAGAGTGCTGAGGTGATGGATTTGTGATGAAGATCAATCCGGTCAGTGGATCTTCGTTTTACTTGTGTGTGTTTTCTTGATGTACGATTTGTGAGGAGGAGACTACTCACCATGCTGATTCCTTTCAAGTATGTGTAGGTTTCTGGGGTGGTATTCTTTGGTTGTTTTTGTATTAAGTGATTTGTAAAAGAAACATGTAAGCAGAGAATGGATGAACTCCTTCTGTGGGAAAGTGAAACTTATTTATAGAAGAGATAAGAGGAGCGCAAATGGCGTCAAAGTATTCACCGTGTACCCTGACGGGATTGATTATAATTGATTATAACTTGTAATACTACAGCGTACTGCTGAATCATTTTTCTTAATAAAATTCTATGTTATTTTACCGAATGCTTCTAGGTCAATTTTTCTTGTTTTGTTTTCTCAAGTTCAAAAACCTCTGTAATCTTTTAGTTTAGAAAGATGATGGAATGAGACTATAGTTCCATATTAACTGCATGATCCAGTAAATGCGACTAATTTGGATCAAATTTTAACTGAACATTATTTTGATTCTCTACGCTCCAAATCGAAATAAAATCGGTTTGGAACGGTTTTAACCGAACACCGATACACATTACCACCACAGGTTTTGAAAATCATCCAAATCTCTACTACAATTGCTCTAGAAGATGATTTAATACTGTAGGAATGAATGCAAGGAGGAATGAATACACTACATGGGGCGTGGGGGTTGGGAGCAAAATCACGACAAGTTAGTTACCTACACAGATCTGCACACCTTCCACCGAGCCGTCAAATCAAGAGTATTACGAATTTCCGCGCTTTGCGAGTGGCAGGTAGCAGAGGTCATTAACTTCCTGCAACTGCTAGGAACTCCCTGGTATGCTTTGATATGGGAGATGGGCCAACAAGAATGAAGGGTTGACCACTCTGATGACATGACTGTCTCTACCAACAAAAATCATTCCCTCTATAGACACACATTCATTCATTCATTCATTCATTCATTCATTCATTCACAAGACCTCCTTTAGAGAAATATAATCCTCCCGTGGACGCGCTTCCTCCACCTTAACTCGCACCTCGTCTCCGATCCCTGATCCATTGGATACCCATGCCGATGCTTGAAATCCAACCTGTGGCACGAAAACCAAAATTTCAAATCGTAGAGTAACGTTGAGATGGAAATTGCGGAGGTTGTTCTGATATGGTATTGTGTTGAGGGCTCTTACATCTACTAGTAGCAAGGCTGCTACGCGATCTTTGATGAATCTAAGAATCAGAGCGCGGTATCTTCTCTGCTTTGGTTGTCTCCTCAGATATTCTATTATCCAATAGCGTAAACTCGTATTGCTGAGCTTTCGTATCAGGCGAGTCTGCATATTTACCGAGGCTGCTGCTCCTTCCAGCTGACCGGCTGAGAAAGGAGGAGAATCTCCTCTCAGAAATGCTTTCACCTGCCAAACAAGTTCCAGTTATTTTCCTTCACAAAACATGACCTAGCAACCTGGAATCAGCAACGCCAAACCACGAAAAGACTAAGGGTGTGTTTGATGGGATACGACATATGTTTTAGTAAAAAAAGAAGTGAGTCATGGAATAATACAGTTTGGTTAGTAATAAAGAAATGAGTGAAATTTGAGAAATGAAATGAGTACTGCATTCTTATTTCAAAGGGAAAAACTGAAATGGAATTTTAATGTTGAGGTGGGTTTCAATGCGTCTCTTTTAACTTTTAAGTCAAGCTTTTCTTAAGTTACTTGTTTTGTAGCCAAAACAAACGCAGCCTTTAAGCAAAATGTAGGAAGACACTGACCTGATAGTGCGCAAGCAGGTCAAGGTATCTGCGAATGGGAGAAGTAAACTGAACATATCCAGGAAGCCCCAAAATCCCATGGCGTATAGGCTTCCTGAAGTCTATCTCAGCTGCACGCAGAATTTTAATGATAGCAGCAGTCCTAACAGGTCCCTCAGGAAGATGAGCAAATGCAGACACGTCAATGTTCGATTGAGGCTGTCCTCTGTACGGCAAAGGTATGTTGTTCTGAGATCCAAAAGTCGCTATAACTTCACCACATAGTACCATCATCTCAGTTACAAGCCGCATTGCATGATCAGCCTGGTTCTCAACATAGAGGTTGATCGACGGCTCTGGATCATCAGGATTCACCACTTTAATTCGAGTTTCTATATTCTGTGTGTCCACTGCCCCCTGCAAAAATCAGAATTTGCAAAAGATATTACTGGAAAACCGAGAAACTGCAGGTAGTCAAGCAAACCACTGGGAACAGAAGCATATTGGCCTACAAGAAGGCATAACCACTTCTAACTTATATAATATTTAATATTTATGCATGAAGCCTAGAAGCTGATGAACCAAAGGCATATCTCACCAACTCACGTAATACATTCAACATGGACGCCACAGATGGCGTCGAAATACCCTAAGAAAGGAAGCATTCAAAACCTATTGCAAATAAAAATTACACAAGTTGTCGGTTTGGAGCATTTCAATGTTCTGGGAGACGAACCTGCTGACGACGCCAACGAAGGCGCAGAGCTGCAGCCTCGGAAAGGATTCTTAATTCGACTTCCTCTTCCAGATTCAAAGTAAGTAGCTCTGACGCACTTTCATAAGTCAGCATGTATGTCGGTTTGATGATTGAGTTATCCACAGAGTATTCAGCAATGCTAGTGCACCAACAAAGGAGAATAGTCAGAAGTAGGAAAAGCCTAACCCAAGGGAAATCATCACTTACTAAGCACCAGAACCCTCTATACCAAAGGAACCTACTACTCTATCTTTTCTTCTTACAATCTAGTGGTACTCAAGTCATCGAATTCATAGGAAAATCGTTCTATCCTGGTCGAAATAGTATATATAAACAGGCTTCCGATGAGTGCAATACTGGTTCTTTGAGTCTCACATGTATTATGTATATAGTCCTGCGGATAGCATTCATTAAACAATTTCTAGCAACACTATATAGTTGGAGAAACCAGACAGTTAAATCGAGCACCTAGAACATTTAAAGCATTCCCAAAACAAAGCAAAACAACGTTGTCCTCAAGTATAAGAACAGGAAATGGACCTCAAAATAACATGCAGTAAGTCATGTGTGAAAGGGATTACCAGCCATCAGGGTTCAGAACTACTGATACTGTAACAGCATTGCAAATCTCTCCTTGTTTCAGACTCATTCCCTGCATGGCAAGCTTCTCTGGAAACATAGGATATGTAGCAGTGGGCAAGAAAACAGAAGTTGCCCTTCTCATTGCTTCCCTACACGAAAAGAGATATCTCAAGGCATATACTGAGGTTCCTCAATGGGAACATTATAAGAAAGGTAGTCAAGCAGAAAACACGTTCAGTGGTTACATGCACACAGAATTCTAAATAAACCTGTCCAGAAAACTTCCAGGCTGTACATATCGAGTGGCATCTGCAACATGTATCCAGACTCTGATACGGCCATCCTGTAACTTTGTTGCACTTAGAGCATCATCAAGCTGCAGACAGTTTCAGCATTGACATTCAAGACCGAGAGGACAACAAAAGTAGGAGGCACGAAAATGGTCTGAAGTAAACTTTTTTTTTAGATAAGGGTGACAGGGTCTGAAGTAACAGTATAACCTCATCAGCCTCATCAACGTCGATGGCATAAACCTTTAGGTGAGTAAGATCCTGTCTCTCAAACTATTCACAACAGGACAGCAAACTTAGTTTAGGAATGTAGGCCCAACGAAAGGAGACATGCAAGACCGAGCAATCAAACTGTTTCTCAAGCCCAGTCGAGGCAAGTCCACATTGTCTCTTCAAACAATAAAAAGACGTATAAATGTATATCACTTCATTACAGGTAAGGATCAACCTACATGGTCTGGGTCAGGACACTCTGACAACATGTTTTCAGCAGCCAAATTCATCTCCTCCGAATGATCAGTACGAATGTTCAACTTCAACAGATCAAGATTGACATGGACAGGAAAATAGCCAATTGCTATGAGGAGATTTACAGCAGAGGATGATGTTTTAGTCATTCCCATTGCCTTGAGGATCTGACAGGCAAAAGCATTACCTCGTGTCACATGAAGATCGTAGCCGTAAGAAGTTAGGGAAAAACCAAACAGCCACTTATGATATTTGCATTGAAGAGTGAAGAGTCCTCAGCAGTTCTGGGTTTCCTATCTTCCGGTCGAATCAAAATCCATGATGTGTCATTATTTAGTATCACTGATGTCTAACTCGAGACAAAATCAGTCCAGTAGAATGTGTTACCTCCCCTGCAGTTTTCTTTTGGTCCTCACTTGTAAATTCGTCAATAGCATAAGCTTCAATAGACTGAATCTTGGATTGGAATTTCTCTTCGATCATCCATGAAGATTTCGGAGGTTTTGCATGTGAAGGCATTGCTTTAGCAGATTTCAACAGTTGTAGAAACTCGTTCAGTTCTCGGTCAGCTGCTTCCTTTGCAAGGTTCTTTCTCATAAATTCATCTACCTAGTTCAACAGAGAGAGAAAAAAAAGAGGAAAGGAACCCTGTCACTAAACTTTGTGAAGAAAGTACAAGCCAATGCAACATACAGCTGTCTCCTAGTACTTAGTAGTTGACTTAGTAGTTGAACAATGTCAGAACAATGTCATCCAGATATAGCTTCTACAAAAACATTTATGCTTATTAAATTCCTTCAGCTAGTTAATCAAATCTTATGTTTCAAAATTAGTGAAGCAAGCAAATATTCCATACAAATCAATCAATTTCAGAAACAAAAGAAACACAGTTGGACCTGTAATGTGAAAGAACACCAACACTAAATAGAAAGTCGAAGTATACATTATTCGATAGTGCAATCTCAACTAAACTTGATTTTCCAAAGGTTTAAGGTTGCCTCTCCAATTCAGGAGCAGGACTTCCCTTGAGAATACACAAAAGAACAGTCAGATAATCCACTCACAAAACAAGTCAAAATACTCAGTAATTCATTCTATTCATATCTGACGAATTTCTGTTGAAAAGCCTCCGTTTGTAGGAGTACAAGCTTGGCATGCAAGAAATCTAATCATATTCTAACATCAAGCGCTCGGACAGCTAATAAAACACTTCCTACTTAGAAAATGAAAGTACTATCAATTCACTTAACATATTCAATCGCCCAGCGAGGAATAAGACAAACAACTATTAAAAAATAATAAGCCTACGTCTATCAAGACTACAAGAGAGTTCACCTGTTCAGTGGTTCGAGGTACATAAACAGAACGAGAGCCTTTATTCTCCCGTACAGTAAAGTACAAGTTATCTCTTGTTAGCAAAAGATGTGCACAGTAACTCTCAAGGGGCTCCGCACTACCAAAAATCATCTGCAGGGTAAGCTATAGTCACTAAAGAGATATTTAAAGGACTACAAGAACTACTTTCAGATGAACTACCTCGGCTAGTTCTTCTGCTGTCACGGACTTATTATTTTCAAGAAGCTCAACCCAAGCAAACTCAAGAAGTGATGGATCCTGCACCATGCACGTATCCACTAAGTTGTAAACATCAGGAAATCGAAAAGACTAAAAAGCAGGCAGAATTGAGATAGTCCCTCACTAACCAAGTTATCTTCAGCTTTCTGAATAAAGCTAGAGATTTCTGTTTGATCAAACTTTTCAACCCCAGGGACAATGTACGTAATCTGCTGGGGTCTAATGGAAGAAGTAACTCCATTCTGTGGCAGGAAAACGGAGAGGATCATCTATTAGGAAAGTAGAAGCCTCACTGACAACTAACCACCCAATTGAAAAGAATGACTGATGAGTTGTGACACCTAGCACCCTAGTCAACATGCTTGTTTGTAGTAGAAGAACCTGATCGTACACCATCCAATTCTTCTTGCCGTCTGGTTTCTGTGCCACTGCCAGGAGTAACCTATCCGAATCCTTCTTGAACTCCAGCAGCAATCCCTCCACCAGCGTTTGGCTTCCAGGTTTATCATCCAGAAGCTCTCCACTGCTTGTCAATCTGCAGGGTAAGCTCTCCACTGCTTGTCATTCAGACTATGAAGATTCAAACGCATATTCACGAATTAAGACGCAGTCCACAACAATTTGCGTCTCGCCTCAAATCCTATCGAGAAGAAATTCGCTGTCTATAAAAATTGTAACCAACTACGACAACAAGGTTTAAAGGAAGTTTTCAATCGTGACAGTTCACAGTTACTGAGCTTACTTCACCGCAACAGCTGGAACTCTCCTGCGTCTGCCACAGGAGGCGAGCTCTGCCATGGCGCTTTCAAGGAGACTGTGGAAGCAGCAACTTCGAACGCCTCCATGACCAAAGTTCACCAGCTCGCATCGAAGTGCCGGGAACCGCAACCGTAACTGCAATCCATAGCCGCGGGACACGCCCAAGCTACTGAAATGGTTGAAGCGGCAACAGAAAGAGGAGAGCGGCGGCGGAGAACCGGAGCGAAGGAGATAGCAGGTGTTGACAGCTCGAACGGTCATCATCGCGCAGCGGAGGAAGGAAGGAAGTTGGCTCGGGAGATAGTTGAATTCATCCAAGGATTTGAAGTTGCTGGAAGATAAAAATGAAGATTAAAGTCTTGCTTCTGTTGGTCCAGACCAGAGTTTGTGGGAGGAAGAAGAGTGTGGCCCATAAATACCCAAAAGCTCGCTCTGGGCAATTTCTTGTTCAAGAAGAACCACAACGGCCCCGGACTTGACGACCATTATCCAGCCAACTAATTGGGCCGGACCCAATCCGGTGGTCGTTCACGTAAATGGGCCTCCAATTCATGTAAGAGCTTTCAGGTTGTAATTGCATTATTTGATGCGAGTTATTTGGACGAGAATAACTTTTTTTGACGGTAGCTATTTCATTTTTGCATTCCGACAAGATCGCTCACCTCGTCACACTATGATCTCTCTTATTCGTAGACTTGTGGCGAGAGATTGGGAGGTTAGTATCGAGCATGTATTCCGAGAGGGTAATTATGTTGCGAATTATATGGCTTTTGTTGGTCATTTACTACCTGTTGGAGTGCACCTGTTTGACACTCCGAGTTCGCGCTTGGGTTATTGGCTGATGTATGATCTTGTTGGGGTTCAAATACCCCGGTCTATAATATATAAGGGTTAGAGCGCCCCCCTGCCCTCTATTTTTCGCCAAAAGAATAAAAATAAGTCATCTTTATAAAAAAAAAAGTTTTCTTTACAATTATGATATTTACGCTCAGGTTTTGTTTTGTCATAACTAATGTTCTCCGCACTATATTTTTCTTCATCAATCCCGATTCTTATGGTCCGGCTCACCAATCAAATTTTGATATTGTTTTAGGATTAGTTAGACACTGTTGATTTTCTCGATGTTTTTACTGTCCACCAATATAATTGCAAGCCATAATGATTGCTAAAATTAAGCATCCATGCAACAGTACTCCGGGAGGTATGGGTGTTGAACTTGGAGTAGAAAGGTTGAGATTGGTTTGGGAGGAAAGTGGCGGGGTAAGAAATTGTGTTTGGATTTGGTAGCAAGTAAAGTTCAACTACATCAGGTGAAGGCAGAGACGAGCGAGTTGGTGAGGGTAGTGATCGAATTGAGGAGGGTATTGAAAGACATGGAAGCAAAACTAAAGTATTTGGAGAGAGAGAGAGAGAGAGAGAGAAGTGAATGATGACGAGGATATTAATAAAAAATGGAGAGGGTATTGAAGAGCATGGAAGTGAACTGGAGCAGGTGAAGGCAGTCAAGGATGAGATGAGCATATTGATGGAATTGGAGATGAGGGTTGGTGTTACCAAACTTATTACAACTACTCCTAAGGAAGATGAGTTGGTCAAATACAAAAAGAGGATTGAGAAGTTAAAGAGAGAGTTGGCAAGAACCCCAACTCGAAGAGAAATTGAGGGCCACAACGAGAATGTCCATCAAAGTTGCAGAAATAGAGATGCATGAGGAGGATTAGAAAGTGAATTTTGGGTTGAAAGAGATGCCTCTTGAAATTGAAGATAGAGCGGATAAAAAGTTGTTTGTACAACAGAGAGTGGTGGCTATCTGATCTTTAGGTTTATGATTGTTGTAGTTATCACTACTTATGTCTATCTTAAAACGAAGAATTATTGATTGATTTTCTGAAATTAAGGTCGATTCTCTATTCAAACTACTGGAGGTGGTAGATAAGGAGTATCTAATTTTGTGTCTTATTACTTTGATTGCATCTATTAGTATATTGAAGGTAACCCTAATTTTGTCGTTTGCTCTCAAGTTTTGGTGGTCTCCTTTTAGTTGAGTTGGTAGTATATGATTGCCTTGAATCAACAAATTTTCATTTCTTTTTATTAGTGGCATGTTGTTCCTAAAATGTTATCATTGAACCCTTTGTGTAGGATTGTGAGATTTTAGTTTTAGTTTCCAATTATCCATGGGAATTCCAATGAGGTTTATATACTCTATCTTTCTTGAACCCAGAACATTTTAACAAGGGCTTAATTATCATTATGAAATAGGATTTATGAGTATAATTTATATTTTTAGTTTTAGTGCCCGCCCGGTGTGTTGGGCGGAATCTGAAACAATGGAGCACCTTTTTTGGGATGCCCCATTGCGGAGGCCCTTTGGGCTCACTCTGGTCTGGAGCAGCTGGGTCATGGTTTGCCTCGTCATACCTTCCCTCTTTTCCTTAAAAGATGTCTGCATAGGTTGACCCAACCTAATCAAATTATGGCTTTGGTGGCACTCCTGTGGCGTATTTGGAAGTCTAGGAACTGGGCCGCCTTTGAGGGTAAGCAGTACTTAGTTCCTCAACTGATGCGTCAATACCGTCAGCAGCTCCATGAGTGGGTGTCCTTGCCCGTGGATAGGGTAATCCAGGATCAACCTCCTGTGCGGCATAGTATGGGCTTGATGGATTCAACCTCAGTCGTCTGTATGTGGGATGAGGCGGTTCGTACCCACTCACATTCAGCAGGAGGTATAATCATAAGGGATGGAGGCGACACTGTACTCTTGGCAAGAGGTGTAGTTTTGGAAAATATGATAGAACCTCTTCTGGTGGAGACTATAACCCTCCTGGAGGCAATTAATTGGTGTCAATGCCTCGGCATCCATCAAGTTCGCTTTGAAGGGGACGCGAAGGTGCTTATTGATAAGGTTAATGCTAAAGATGCGCATGATAGTCGTGTCAGGGTTATTATCCAGGAGATCATCCATTTGATGGCGCAGAGTAGTGGTTTTAGTATTCGATTCATCGGTCGAAATAGCAATGGGGTAGCCCACTCAGTGGCTAGGAAGGTCCTTTCTTTGTCTCCGAATATGTGTCGATTGTATGATTTTCGTGCCTGGGTTGGTTCCAGGGTGTAGTTCGATATCTTCTTATCATTTAATATAATTATCTTTTGTTAAAAAAATTTTTGTTCAATTCTACTGTCGTCTACTACTATCTACCTCCTTCATTTTTACTCAAAATTTAAATTTTTCTGCATAAAATAAATTAGTTCATTGTGATCAATAAAATGATATTAATTTTTATAATTTTTGAGGAAATTTTTTGCTAATTAGACCACACAATACCACCATCGATCATGTCTACCACCAAGGTGCTTCTCTTTCTAACTTTTATTTCAAAAAATTTCCTCTAACCTCTCTCTAAAGAACTCTCTTCCGGGCTTTTGAGGGGGGGTGCTGCCGGTGTTTCCCCGGCGACCGCTCTCCAACCCCTTTTTTTGTTTCTTGCTTTTCCCAGCCGTTTCGCTCTAGTTCCCCTTTGATTTCCTTCTTCAGCTTTTCTTGGGCTTGCTTTTCCTGCTTGTGTTCTTTCCCTTTGTGGGTTGGTGTTCTCCCCCTTGGTTGGGTTGAGTTTTTTTGTCCTCTAGTCTGATGATTCAAATCATGAGATGTCTGTCCGTCTAAGATGCAAGGAGGCTAGATCTGCAAAGATCTGGCTTGTCTTCTCCTCTTCTTTCCATAGTCTACCTCCTTGTTCTCCTTACAGGTCTTGGTGGTTCGGAGATGCAGCCCATGGCGAAGGATGCGGTTTTGGAGAGCTTGAAGACAGAAGATCGCTTCCCCTCTGTTTCATCCGTCGGCCGACCGATCAAGTGTTCCGGTTTCCCCTGAGTTTCGCGTTGTGGGAGGTGGGCAATTTGATTGGCTCGGGGCTGCCATCCGGGTTTGATGGAATCTGCCCTTTGCCTGTCGATGGTGGCGCCGTCGGTAGAGAGCGGCGTGGCTTGGTGTGAGTGTGCGGCAGAGGCAGCTTCGGCCACGGTGGCGGGTTTCTCACAGGAGGCTGTGTCTGTTAGGGTTGGGGGGGTTAGGGGAATAGTTTTGCGTCTTGGGCTTAGGGTCCTATTGGGTCCCGGGTCTGTGTTTTTTTTTCTTGCTAATTTTCTAATCCTTGTATGTTCATGGTTGTATCTTTTCCTTTGGGCCTGACTCTTTGAATTCTTGATGATATCCTCTTTAAAAAAAACCATGGTACCACCATCCTATATATAGTATATTTCTACCACATGGACAATAGCATGGTTTATTTCTACCATCATGGTACATTTCAATCACCATGATATGTTGGGATTTTTCCAAAAGTAGCATTGTTTAAAAAAAAAAATCCAAAAATAGCACCCAACTCCGAAAAATTTCAAAAATAGCACCCTTTCTGCAAAACTGCCACCCGTACTAGCGGTTTGGGTGAAAACCGCCGCCCGGGGGCGCGTTTTTCGATGAAAACCGCACTGGCAGGGGGCGGTTTTACAGACTGCACCCCCACCATGCGGTTTGGTTGCAGACCGCACCCCCACCATGCGATTTTTTTTTTTTGAAAAATCCTAACCTAGGTGGAAACTTCAAACGAACGTATGTTTGTGTTCGGGTATCCGATCGTCGCGAATGTTTTTTTGATTCCACATAACTTTTTGAGATCTTGCAAGTCGAAGACTGCCGAAGGTGGTGTGGTCCCACCTTCGTCCCAAAAAATGTCGTTTGCTACCCCGAACGAGCTTTTTTCCGATTTCGTCAAACTTTGGACAAAAAATGTCGGCAGGGCCTGGTACTACACATAGACTGCTTTTACTGTGCATTGTGACCTAAATGTAGTGTTCTATCCTGGCGTGGGGTGGCATGTGGGCAGGGGCGGACACCCCTAAATTTTGGGAAAACGATTATCCAACCCCCGGTAGTAATTTACGTATTGATAAAAAAATTATAATTGATAGTCGGGGACACCCTTAAATTTAAAAAAATGATTATCCTACTCTCATCTTTTAGTTTGAGTATGAGAATATAAGTCATAGTTTGGGTAATTCAAACCTAGGACACTTTTATTATTAATAAACATAATTTTCATTAGGCTACAACTCATATGTTATTCGATTTCAAACACTGTGTAATAGTATAATATCATTCTCTATCTCTAATTATTTTCAAAATCTAACAATTAAACAAATTTCAAGCTACCCTTAATTTGTATTGATTTATGGTTGTACAACAAGTATTGAAAGAGTATTTTCAG